GAATTTCAAAGGTAAACGAAATTTAGATCATTTACAACTACTACCTTGTAAGTACAATCAAACATTTAAGAGACGCTTTCAAAGTGTACACGCTTAGTATAAGAGTATATGCCTATTTAGTAGTTCAAGCCTCTTCTAACGGTTATCATCGTACACCTCATTTACTTGCACAAGAAAAAAACGACAATAAGCGCCTTATTTTGTATTTTTGACAATTATTTGAGCCTTTGTTTGGATTATAATTTCATTTACAAGGAAAAGACCTCCTACCATAAGCAATAACGTAATTCTGTTAGAGAATGCTTTGAATCCAAACAAATAGCAGCACCTAACAAACTGAGCTGATTGCTGGCATCTTGTTAATTGTGTACTGAGTGAAAGCAACAATACCTAAAGCAATAAAAATAATATCTTAATTGGTAATATTTTGTAAAGTTGTACCTTAAACTTAGTAATTCACAAATATTATTAAATTCCGTTTAAAGATGTATTTACGGGTGAAACCCCACAAACCATATTGGATCAAGAATTATTGTTTGTATCAATCTTGAATCGAGAAATCTAAGTTTATCTGCATTGGTGTCGAACTCGACATAAGCCTCACATTACCAAAAATTCCGAACTGTAAGCCTCCCAAAACGCACATAAGAGTTGCTGAAACATCACATAGAGCCCTAAAATTCAAGGTCACTTGTTCTTCATTGCGCAGAATCTTACGGCGGCGATTAACCTTTGGTAACCTTCCAACCTACTACCAACTACAATATTAATAAGGTTTAACCTAGTTCAAATAATTAAACACTTGCCTCTGCTTATACTTCTCGTTTGAACTTTCGTACTCATGCATATAAAGTAGTGTGTCATAAAAAATGTGTGACTATTGTTTCCAGTTGTGCATTTAACTTAGCGAGACAGTTCGCTCGATTTCGTGCCAACAAATTTTAGTCTGGACCGCCTGAAGCCCTACCAAAATATAACCGTTATAAACAGACCTCATCTTTAGGGCAACAAAAAAATTGGCAAACAAAATTCTCTTATGATACTATGGAAGTGTAGTTAACTCAATGTGGTCAATCGTTAAAAAGATGGGTATAGTGTTATTGTTCGCTTACTTGGATAGCCATTCGAGCCTTACGCTGTTTTGTATTACAAATAGGCTCCCAACCATTTAGAACCAATGCGTCTCTAATGGAGGTGTGATGAGCCACAATGTCTCGGTGAGGCAGAAGCGCGGGGGACTATCTCTGTCCGCCAACACCTACGTTACTTATGAGTGTAGAGATAGGTTGCTAAGAGTATGGTTTCCAAGAATACCCATTGAGATATGAATTTCGAATACCAATTTTACGCTGTCAGAAAGACATATTTGGTACGCTTTAAAAGTGAAGATGAAACATTTCTTGACTTCTCCAAGTTGGAAACCATAGAAGTCTTTAAACTTTCAACAAAGATATCTATCTGTGAGGAACATTCCTTTCAGATATCATGGAAAAGGGTAATTATAAGCTATCGTCTAACAAGAGGTTTCATCTGGATCATACCCCTGAAACAAGATCCATATAAAACTCAACGATGGTAGAGCTTTACCCATAGAACATGCATATTTTAACGTACATAGAATATAACTCAAAAAAAAGGGCCAGACTACTTCTATGCATCAAAATACGTCACTTTGAAATATGCAATCAGGTAATTTAAAAACTAACATAGGTATACAACTCTACAAGTACAAGCTAGGTCTAATATCTACTCATTGAGAAGTAGAAATGAGAATCTAGACATCTTTAACTTGTTGTACTGAAATATTTCGCATGTAAGACAGTAACGTCCGGCTAAGCTGAGCTCTGCCCCTGTTAATATGTACTTTTATCACTGCTGCATTCAGGTAGATTGTTTTCTATTCCTTCTTGGATCGAGAAGGGGCGATTCACATATGCACATCGGCTTCTCTCAAGTTATCTGTGCGTTGTGACGCTCAGATGAGCCAAATATGAGAACTTTCAGCTGCAGTGACTGTCAAGCACGTCAGTCATTTATAGCAGCGCAATTTTGTCCTGAAGATGTTTCAGGACGGAATCAGTGAGCATCGTCAAGTATGCACAGTAGAGCTTCACCCCAGACTTCACTAGAACGCAAGGGACATTGCATCGATCCATACAGGCTAGAATTTCCTCGCTTTTTAGATAATGCACTCGCCTGCTATGGTACTTCAATGTGTCCATCAAGAAATCTTTGATACACTTTACATCACTCTTGAAATCTGCAGAAGAGAATCGCAGTAGTTTCTAATACTTATTAGCCGTATTCTGGATTTGAGTCTCAAGAATATGTACCAATAGAGTACCCCCAAAAAACCAGTAAACCAATATGTTTTTGAGTAGGAGAAGAAGTGCCATTGATCTTGGATTAATATATTAGATACGAGTGCTTTTTTTTTTTCCTATTTACTTGATTTCATATCGCTCCTTTTCTTTTGGACCGTATCGGTTACCTAAATCTTGAGGATCAGAACTTTCAATTTGAAGCCTATCTCACTGTCAAAAACATTGTTGCCTCTTTATGATATCTTACTACCTATTACCCGTAAGATCCAAAGTTAATAAAGTAATAAAGTCTCTGATATTCTGTTTAGTTTTGATTCAATATGACTATCTTTCTGTGAAACATAAATTGCTTAACCTCTTACATATTAAAAGTGGTTTAATTTAAGTTCAAATCGGTTTAAATATTATCTTATATAATGTTCATCTTCTTGGGGGAATATCTACAGTGTTTTACAAGGCACTAGTGTTATGGTTATTCCTCCAACTTTTACGAGGAAGATTGTAATTTCTGCTAATGTTTCACTGAAGATAATCCAATGGTCGTGCTTATCGATGATTGATTTACGAAACAGTTTGCTTTTTAAGTTTAATGCTTACCTGAATTGACTGCAACAAAATATCCTATTTTCGACCTTCTAATAGTACGGTTTTTGTCAAATTAAGCGAAACTCGTATAACGTCGTTTATGTTGTCAAAATCGATAGACAAATTGCGGGAGCCGCTTCGTATTTCCTTTTGGGAGAATTGATCCTTTGTTTGATGGAAGTAAACTCTGCAAAATTCTTGCTAATGAAAATTGCATCAGCTGTAATGAATAATGAAAGTGAGTCTCGTAATTTAAAATAAGACCCAGCGGTACTTATTTACGGATAAATGAAGTACAATAAGACCAAAAAATAATTAAAAAATTAGTTCAACATTAGATGCGACCACTTTTATCATCTTGATTTATAAACTTTCGAACAATTGCATTCACACTGGGAAATACATTTACAATTTATTGTACATTTACAATTGTCAAAGAGACCTAGCATTAGTGTGAGACTATGGGAAATGATACAAATTCCTATATCGGCAGATATCATTAGGAATGAAAAATCTGGCTTTGTTCACTCATAATACCATTCAATTATCTTTGCAAAAGCTCAATGGTACATTTTTTATTGTCCCTCAGTATTCATTGCCTACTAAGAATAATATAAATTACTCACTTTAATAACAAACTAAGGTTCCAGAGACACAATTTCAAAATTGCAGCTAATGCAGGTGCTTCATGACCAGAAACCTAGTTTAAGGTTTACACATGAATTGGAAAGCAATGCACATTGCACTTGTCTTAGACGCTTAAGTGCATTAGTGCACAAAGTGTTGATATTTTTTTGATAGCACAGTGCATTGCAAAGATGAAAGAGCTGTGAGGTTTGGTTCACTTACAGGACCAACAATTAGCTGAAGGTTAACTCAAGCATAATAATAAGATTATGTGTTGAACTTCGGAGATTGAAGTAAGTAGGTACCAATATACAAAGCGCTCTACAATTCGAGACTTGAAAGTATCTTCTCAAATACTATTATTTGTGGCTCAGACTTAATACTAGTCTCAACTTGGCTCAAGATCGTTTACGGTGCTTTAGTACGACTAACAACAACCTTGCCCCTCTGGTTAAATATGATCACCATTCAGTAATCTCGGGTTTGATAGTTCGGATTTGTTCATGAACTACTGCATATCCAGTATTTGTTTAAGGTACTTTACTTCAAATGTTGACTAAAGTTCTCCCTTATACTTGCTACCTTTATTGTCAACTTTCTAAGTGAATTCAATTTTTAAACCTATCGGGCATTGTGAATCTCCGAAAACGTAGGTCTATAGTACATTCAGTATACTGCATATCATCCTACATCTATGATATTGTATTCAAGATTGAGATCTCGAAAAAATGATACAAACGGCATTCAATAGTAGCCAAATGTAGTACCGTTTTCATTGTGAGTATTCCGCAATCTACAGTCAGTCCCCTCACATCTTTAGTATTGTTCATAAACTCCATTGCTGGTTTGTTGGTATTTGCGTTGAGCAACAATACATACCAGAGGGACCGAGATTGTTTTCATTCCACTACCCCTGTCTGCCGATTAACCATCAGATGCAAAATTTCAGGACCTGCCCCCCATATTGAACTAGAGCAATCTACTGAGGTCTTGGTTGAAATTCCAGGGTTGAAACTTTCATTCATTTGTAAGAGTATTCGTTGTGTAATTCGAGATTGACCGCTTTTCGTTCTGCTTCAATGTACAACGACGAGCTGAGTGACATCAACCTACGTACATTCATTTTTCTTCTCGTTAACGCCATACGATGTGTTTTAGCTTTTCACTGTTGAAGAGTTGTATACCCCTGACCTAATTGACCTAGTTGAATTGTGTCACATTCAGAACTGAAAATTTTCAGACCTTGCAAGACATCATGAACTTAAGCTCTCCAACACAAATTAGGTTATTGTTAACGCAAAATAAATTGGCCAACAACGTGATATATCACGTGACAATTATCATGTGACCAAATATTTAATACACAAATCGATTTTCCAGAGAAAAAAAGAATACTGAGGTAAAACACTCACATGAACCAAACGATTTCAATCTTTGAGACTACACAATTACTTAAATATAATCATGACTGCCCACGAGTCTTCTGCTCCATATGAGTTTCTTTCGATTCGTAAGTAAAACAGCTTTTGAACGACTCAAGTATGTCCCAGTACTAACCAAGCCCAATCAACAGCCACAGAACAAGAATTGAATGACAACGATGTGCCATTCATTAACAGAGACAAATGTGCTCAAAGATATATTGACTATTACAAGTGTTTGGATAAGGGAACATCCTTTTGTTCTGAAACCAAGAGTAAATTCTACGAATGTCAATACAATTTGTTAAAGGAAAGACTTGATGCCTTCCACAAGGGAGCCTAAGTAATTCTACGGAGAGAGAAAGAATGGAAATCATGATTATCTATATATTCTTGGATCGTATGCTCTTATTTGTGTGATCATAGTCCTCAACTTTTACCAAGATAAGATGAACAAATTAAGAGTGGCATTTATTCAACTTCTTTCTCTTGAGTCGTGAGTGACATTGCATCAAACTACCACCACCACAACCTCATTCACACAACACACACACTTCACCATAAATACATACATACATACATACATACATACATACATACATACATACATACTTATATTTATATATACATATTTATATGTATTTTACATTATCAATTGTTATAGTTATCACCACCGTATATCTAGTAAAAACTTCCTGTATACGCAACACTTCTTAACTATGGCTGATTTCTCATTGGTTTATCGTGTTCGAAAATTTTTAGTATAGAAACAACTCCACTACTAAATCTCCAGTCGATACTTGGTTGTAGAGATTGGCTAATCAAATATAAGGATATCATAATGGTCCATCTTAGTATCACCGAGTTTCCTCCATTGCGTATGTATATTTCCATAGACTCTTGGATTATAGACATTGTCGAATCATAAGTAAGGAAAAGATATTGAGCCAAAGTGATTGAGTCGATATGAAGAAAAGGAAGCATCAATTGAGGCCCGACATTGTATAGTCAGAGTAACCCGGAAACTATTCCACTCTTGAATAAGTCTGCTTAATTGAAATATGTACTAACATTCTGATTAGTCTCACAGGAGGATTTGCAAAAGTACAAGGTTCCGTTAAAGTGGAGAGATAGATGTGCTGCCTACTATGCTTTGTATTTGAGTTGTCAAAAGAGAGGTGACACTGACTGTCATCACGACAAGGTTGTGTGGGAAGAATGTCAATATTTGGATTTGGAAAGAAGACGCAAGGAATTGGAAGAAATGAAGGCTAAAAGAAGAGAAGAATTGGCCAATAAGGACGCCTAAGGTAGTAGCGTTTCTAATAGCATGAATGCTCTTTATTTATTTTGGGCTTGACACCACTAAGCTTCCAAGACGACGACGACTATTCACCGATGGACATTCAGCAATGTACATAAAATAGATTATTTGACAATGAACATATTGATACGTATAATAGGATGTAGTATGAATGGTTTAACGCATGAAGGGATTATATATGTTATTATATTCTCAATTTACGTTCCGCTTACTTGAACTTTAAAGTACTCTTGCAATGTACATGGAATCACTATCTTCTATATCACTGTACTATGAGATATGCCATAAAATACGGGAGATCATGCTGTACCACCAAGCACTTTATGGGGTTCTTTCTACAACCAGTTCATGAATTAACTAAGTTGTATAAATCTGTTAGCCCCAGTTTTACGCGCACGAATACAGAGTTCGGCGTATATCTCAGAATACTTCAAGTCACCCAGTTGAAATTATCGCCAAATCCTCCGCCTCCCCCCTTAACAGCACTGCTCTATAAGTTCTAGAATTTATCACTAATTTCCAGGGTTGAAAAAGAACAGCTATTCCTCGAATTGGTTTCATATACACGTAATTGATACCAGTCACATCATCAGTCACATTCCCGTTCAGATATGGCCAAAGAAAAGCTTTCAGCTGCTTCAACTCAACCGGTTGATCTTGACAATAAACCATCGGAGGACCTCCCTCTTGATGATAGTGTTACAACTGAAACTGCTCAAGCCGCTTCTACTACTGAAGAACCCAAGAGTACTTCTACTGCACCAGCGGAAGACGAAGAAAATGCGCCACCCAGACCTCCCAGACCTGAATCTCCTATTCTGAAACTCCAAAGAGAGATGAAGGAAGCATTTCCTGATGTTGACGAGAAGACTATTTATGCAATATTGATAGCTTCTCGAGGTCAACAAGAGTATGCTTTTAATGCCTTACTTTATTTAAGTGATCCCAGTTACAAGCCAGAGATCGCCTTAGTGGAGCAACCTGTTACTACATCTGTATTAGGAGGAACAAGAGGAAACACAGGTACTGGGAGTGGTAATACTGAGGATGACGAAAGACTTGCACGTGAATTGCAAAAGGAGTTTGAGCAAGAAGAAAGAATGCGTAGACGAGAATATCGTAGGGCTCAACAACATCACCAACATCACCAACATCAACTGCAAGATGCACAAGGGAATCAAGACCTGGAAATCCCAGACGAATTTGAACAGATAAAGGAGACTTTTGCCAAAGGTGTAGAAGACGCTCGTTCAACAATCAATGGTTGGGTTTCATCATTAGCTAAGAAAATTGATAATAAGAAGAGTGATGATGATGAAAATGATTATGGTAATAATGGTGGTCAAGGTAATGCAGTGAATTCTCCTAAATTATTTGGTGCTTTAGGAGGATCCAGTGTTACTGGTAGGACTCAAGGAGGAAGACAAGGTGGTAAGGCACGTTTCGACGAAGATCCTGTGATCCTTTCATCTGGTGTTAATCTGATAAGTTTGCACAATCAAGAAGCTGATGATTCTGAAGGTCCCGCATTACCTAAACGGAAGGAGAGTCCTGGAGCTCCACCAAGTACCAAAACTTCTGCGAAACCAAGTAAATGGCAACCATTGAACTCCGATGTTCCAGTCAACTCTGATGCGTTTTTGGTAACTGACAGCGACGACGAATTGGAAAGTAAGAAAGAGAAGAAATAGTTCTACTACGAGTTGCATTTTCAAGTAAATGCGGACCACTTATAGATATATTTCTGTAAACCATATATATGTATAAGACAAGAGTAGTAATATGTACACAGGCTTGAGTGGAAGAAAGCCAGACAGGGTATAGGATAGGAACAACACGAGAAGATGTCATCATCATCATGTGGACCTGAATTTATAAGAAACACCGTACCAAAAAGAAGTAGAAAAAGCAGAAAGAAAAAGAGAAAACAAGCCGTAAAAAGATAGTGTAGCCGAAGTGAAGAGTAAGTAGAAAGATATCATTATCATTAGTTGTGTCTGTCTGGCTGGCTGACCCCTCCAATCAAAATTTAAAATTCTCGAATGAAAATTGATCATTTGAAGGGGAGTTGAAAACCTTGAGACCCTGATCCATTTGTTCTTTCAGGTTCATGGTGCCTTTAAGACAGTCACCTACCTTATCGGACAATCCGTATTTCCCCCATTGAACCACGGGTGCCTTAGGGATCTTAGAAGGTGTAGGTAAATGGACTTGACCTTGAAGAAGTCTTAAGTAGAAGCTGATTAGACTGGATTTATTCATATGTTCCAACGTAGCCTTCAAATTTGTGAGTTGAGTCATTTCGCTATGTATTTGGGATTCCTTATTATGGAGCATTTCCAAGGTAGCACATAATGCGGAATAATCTGAATTTCGATTCAAGTCGTCACATATCGTCATCTCTCGTCCGCTGTTGTTAACATCATGTTCAGACATAATTTCAGACGAGGAAGATTTGGAGGCGAACTCACCAAAATCGTCTTCATCATCTTCATCCTCATATTTAGGAGTTAAGAGAGGAGATGCTTCGTATTCTTTATTGTTGGAAATATCAAAGGTAACAGACTTAGAACGTGTCTTCGCAGAGACTGGTGCTGGGACTGGTACCACTCCCACACCTCCTGTAGTAGACTTTGGTGGTGGTGCGGAACATTCCAGTGTCACCCCCATCTGTTGTGGACAAGGTATAGGCGATAGAGAATCGTCTCCATTGGTTTCAGGAGGCGTTGCTTCCTGGTGGTTACTATGTATATGATGTGAGCAGTATATATTATTGGTACCAGTATTATTATTACTATTATAGTAAACGGCATCTGTCAAGCTCACTTTTCGTCTCGTTGTTGCTATGGGACCAGAGTCTGCATAACTAAGTCTGCGCTTCGCACGTAACTCCCTAGATGTGACTTTGGAAGATCCCTTGACTGAAGACGACACCATATTGGAAGGTGGAGATGATACTCTGGAGGTGGCTAAAGCCATTGTTATTCATATGCTAGTTGTTAACTAAAAAGGTGAAATATAATTTGGAGTCGAGTCGAGTCGAATCTCAGACACACACCAGAAAAAAAGTGGGGATAATTTCGTGGGTTGGAATGAATGTGCCTGTTTGACTATCTGTCTGTCTGGACTTCCGATAGGCTTCTGCTGAATTAGACTAAGCAAGTACAACAAAATATTATACTGTACTAAGCTATGGCAGTGCTAAAGGAAAATAGATTAAGATTATTTTATTTTGCCATCTATGTTTTAACCCTTTTTCAGTTTTCGTCGACCGTATACTTTTTTCAGGGTCGTGCAATAACTACAAAGTAAATATTCACGCACACAAAATGACTTCATCGCCAGACAATTCTCGGAATGGCTGGATTGGGATAATAGGAGTCTTGTTTCAATTTGATTGCGATAGTAATAATATTCCAAGTAAGTTGTATATATTTACTTATCCTTCAACTTATTAGAGGGCTCAATCCAAACAGTTTACAAGTGATAATTTCCTTCAATTAGACGCATTAAGCGCTACCACTAAACAAGTCAGTCTCCGTGCCTTTCTAGAAGATGCCAACAATATGTGTAATTACGTAATCAAGCAGTATTTCACTGAGAAATAGGTGCGCTGTCTAGAAGTGGGGCCATCTATTATTAGGAGATGGCCATCTCCCACCCTCTGCATGCTTTGAATCTGTAAATTCTACATTAAGATATTAGGGTCATACATTAGTGAGACTCGATTATTGATTTAATGAAATGCTAATATTAAAAGTGGAAAAAAATGGATCTTCCTTTTCATTACTTTTCTTTGCAGACATACATAGCTGTGGTACATTTGAAGCTTCTACAGCATCGAGTACCATCTGTGCAGTTGCATCAAGTATGCATTTAACGGAGAAAATACTGCAAAACAAGCATTTCGCGGATCTGTTCTGCATAACTCCGAATCAAGTGCATTTGCGTCTATTATAGTACTTACAATACTAGTGAAAAAAAAACTTTCAAATATAAATACACAGATAAAGGTATACGACAATAAATGTCCTATGTACAAGAGAAGATCAAAAGTTATAATCTTCAATGATGATTATTATTTAGTAGGAGGTTTTGGAGGTAACCTATTCTTAGGAGACGAGGACTTTAATTTTCCAATATAATTAGCACCCTTTTGAACATCTTCCTGTACTAATTCTGAGCCCATTTTCAATCTCCAAAATACCCCATACTTATCCTTCATGGCTTGTTTCTGCTTCTTCAATTCAGCATTGACCATAGCAAATTGTGCATCATATGGCACACCAGCTTCAGACTCAGCAATTGTTTCATGACCAAATAATTGGTCCATAATTCTTCCATCACCCCAGAAGAACCCTTTACGATCAACAATCCAACGTTTTGTCTTGATTCCTTCTTCCTTAAGCACGAAGAAGAACATCAGGGCATCAGCTGTACCGTAGAAACCTTTACCCGTCCACACTCTAGCCTTGCTATTACGACCCAAGTTATTAAGAGGAATGGTAACAAGAGGAGTTGGTCTTCCAGGTATCAATGGGTATGTAGAAAGACGTACATGTTCAATAGGACCAGGTAAATACCACATACGTCTAACAAGTCTTGTAGGGAGTTTTCCAAACCCATAAGCAGCAGTTAAGGCAATAACTCCAAGTGAAGAATTCAACAACCAAGTAATTGCAAACTCACGCTTAAGTCGAATGTCGTCATATCCATGTTCATTTTCATCGTACTCTTTTGATGCCTTGAACCAAGCAAACTCAAGTAGAACTAATCCGTATATGGTAAACATAACAGCGCAACAGAAACTAGCAATAAAGTAAAGTCTATGTGGTTCACTTTCGTATATGAGTTCTGGAGCTTTCTTATGCTTGAGAATGGTCAATGCCTTTTTAAAAGTAACCTGACCGGGTCCATTTCCTATTTGAGGAACGCCAGGTCTTGGGAGTAAGGTAGGAACGGTTTCCTTTTGAAGTGGAAAAGATGGGATTCGATCTCTAAGAGTGTTATGTTGAACTGCTTCACCCGGAACATGGTGTTTCATATGTTGCCATTCTTGGATCGTGGGGGGTTGGCTTTTGGTTTCATGCTTTGCTATATCATGAGAAGAAGAAGAAAAAGAAGAGTCGGTTAACGATGAAGGCTCTTCCTTTCTCTTTTCTGGTGGTGATGGAACAGACGACTTGAATCTCAATGTCTGTAAACTTATCGTTTCGACACTATTGATTCTTGAAAAGCTCCTTATCCCTCGCCAGAAACAGGAAACCCGTATAGGGGACACCGTAAGCTTTAACATATCGGTAGTAAAAGATGACGAAGAAAAAGGTCAAGAAGAAGACTGGCAATATCAACAGTCCCAAAAAAAATATGACAAGAATCATGTGATACTGCACGTGCCATAGAACGTGACTTGTTTCATTTTTGCCAGACGTTTTATATACAGGAACATGTCCCGAGTTGTAATTGCTCGGTAGTAGTTTGGAAAGGTCACCTGTATAAACTGAGCACTCTTATCCCACCAATCACAATGCTACGTTGCGATGATTCCGGTACACTATGAAGCCCCCTTGTGTTATCGGAAGCATTACCCAGTGGGTGCGAATTAAGCTCAAAGTAGGCGGCTGAACTGGTTAGTGTATTACCAACCGGGGATGTGCGCCGACTTAGAGTTACAGTACGCACAGTTCAGTTGGAGGAACCGATCCGATGTATAGCGGGAACAATACAAAGTGAATGATGGATGAATGGATGAATAGGATTCGTTTGCTTCAACACACACACGTAACAATTCAGCTCATCGTACATTTGTCACCATCGGCCAAGAACTACATCAAGACAGACAACGACAGAAAAGGCATACACTTAGAACCATAATAAGAAAGCCAGACGCACAGACAACGACATTATCACACAATGGATAATCTCCAGCTGCCTTTGGACCACGACATCGCCGACTTCAAACTCAGGCTCGCTCTTCAACACGACAACTCGCTGCCCTCTACAGTTGGTATAAAGGATATTCTTCAAGACGATGACTCGTCTGTGGAAGCCATGTGGAAAATATATATGAAGGCCAAGGATCTGTTACCGTGGAAGGAACGGATGGAGAACTTGACTTGGAGGTTGATGTATATGGAAAGTGACCATCAAAAGCATCAACATCAACAAGAAGAACAAGAACCTCCTTACAATCTGATGTACATAGATCTGCATCAGGATGTGAATCATACTACGTCCTCTTCTTTGGACATCATCAGCAGTAGCATCAACAACAACGTTATCTACAATTCGCCACTGAAACAACAACAGCAGCAACATCAACAGCAACAACGGCATGCCCTCGATCAGGACTTTGAGATGAAAGAACCGGACGATATCTTTGAAGAAGAGTTTGACTATGCGTCTCATATCAAGAAGTTGGGCCAAGAGGTCATTGATGATATCAGTCCAAGGAAGAGGTCTGGAACATCTCCTCAGACCTCACAAACTACACCACCTAAAACGTCAAATTTGTCAATGTCGTTACGGGGATTACTCGGGCAACAGAACAACCACAACAACCCCAACAATCTGAATGATGACAGCAAAAAAATGTCGTCTTCGTATGACTTCCATTTAGACCCTATGGCCCTCGAAGGACCATCAGGTTCATACTTAGATAACGATTTAGAGTTCCAACACAAGTTCTCGCCCCCAAGTCGTCCACATACAACCATAGGCCCCCAATCAATATTGCAGAACTTCAAGCAGTTCTCCCACCACTCCCAAATCCACCAACAGATCAATAATCTGACCACCAACATTGCTGACAGTGGTGGCGGTGGTAATGGCGGAGGAGGAAGTTCCAGTGCCATTTCAACGAATAATATCCCCAGTTTCAATAGATCAAACCTGCTATTCCGTCGAGACCATTCGCTTGTTAACCTTAATGACCATTTTCCTAATCTGTTTGCTGATTTGTCAGACTCTACACCCTTATCGTTGCCTACCGATAGTTATATGACCATGGGTCTAGACTCTTCACATCGTCCGTTCAATCACAGATCGTCGCTGGGACTAATGAGCTTGCCTCCGTCGTCCGCTGGTGGTGGTGGTGGTGGAAGCGGACGGTTCAACATGCAATTGGGAAGTGACAATGATATCAACTTAGTATCGCCAGAACACGATTCCTATTTCGATGACCATTTGAGTGCTAGTCATTTACACAACGGAAATAGCATGCTTTCTAAGCATTTCACATCCTTTGAGGCCTCCAATGTGATGATGAATGGTCTAGATAACAGTCATGGACCCATGGACCAACAAGTGTCAGTGAGTGCTAGCACCACTCCAACGTCTAATTTCATGGCAGGCAACTTGAATTCATCATTATCAGCATCACTTACTTCAAACTCATCCACGACTACAATCACTCCAGTTTCAGCCAAGAAGAATAATAATAATGTTAATACCAGCAACAAAAAGACCAAATCTAAGAGTTTGAATGAGCAGCCAGAGTTATCAACTTCTTTACCTCAAACTGGCACATCTAGCTTGTCGACAAGCCCCAATAAATTAACAGCAATTAACAATAAAAAGAAACTCACTTCAGGAGCTTCTAAGGATGGCAGTGACAAGACCGGTGGACGTTCGAACAAGAAGAAATCGGCTTCTCCCGATTCCACCAATGCCAACATCCAATGCACGAATTGCCACACGAGAACTACTCCACTTTGGAGACGTAATCCTAAGGGTGAGCCACTTTGCAATGCCTGTGGGTTATTTCTCAAGTTGCATGGAGTTGTCAGACCGTTATCATTGAAAACTGACGTCATTAAGAAGAGACAAAGAGGTCAGGGTACAAGCAGTCGGAAGAATAGTTCTACTAATTTGGCTGCTTCGTTATCAGCAATGTCGAACACTCCTCCCTCAACAGCTGGTTCTTCTTATATGACGATGAATAAAGGGGCCCTTTCTTCTACTAACCTTGGAAGCAATCTGAAGCTTAATTCTGTGGCTTCTTCCACCAACATCACCAACTCCAATGCCAACACCAACTCCAATACCAGCAACTCTTCGTCTTCCATTTACCATGATGGTGACGACTTTAATCCTACAGCTATATTGGGCAACTCCAAAAAGAAGAATAGAAAGCCTAAAGCAAGTGCTGCACAAGCCGCAGCCAAAGTCAATGTCAATTCCAAAGCGAACCGAAAGTCTAGTGCCATGAACTCTCCCGCAATCATGTCTTCAGTGGGTACACCTTCAATGGCCACCTCTTCCCATCAACTGGATAACAGTTTATCCAATACTCCTACGTCGTCTTCGCATGTGAATCCTTTGGAGTTTGAAGCTAGAGGAGGACTTCTGTATGGCCAAAGTTCAATGTCGCAGCCTTTTGAATCTGTTGATATAGGTGCACCACAAAATTCCCCCCACCCATCCCATTCACTTCAATTTGATCGTATCCAAGGGTCCCCCCACTCTCCGTCTCAGTCTCATTTCACCAACACAGATGCCATGGACGTGATGCCCTCCATTGAGGAATCTGGTGATCATCGGATGTCGCAGAACGGCAACGCTTATTTGTTCGGACAAGAAGTCGAATCTGGTGACGGGAATTGGGATTGGCTCAAGATGGCACTTTAAATTGATAATATTTTTTACTTCTTTGATACGTTTATTTTGGTGATATTTTGTTGTTACACTTTTATTTTAGACACATTTTTAAAATATAGAATATATAATATGGCTAAGTGCCAATCAGAAGAATAGTATACTGGTTGAATCAGACAATTAATGGTGTTGAGTCATGAGAAATGTCGTGAAATATACTTATATTTATTTATGAAGTTCAATCAAAGTGTAAGCTGATCCACAGCTTTATCTACTCTCGCATACCTGTATATAAAAAATCCATAAGTAGTCAAATACTTTGTCCAGATTTCACCAATCATCACCTTTCTCTTGTTTGTCAATTTAGACATTATGTCCACGTTATACCCTAAAGTCACTATCAAGTTCTGTATCAAATGCAAATGGCATAATCGTGCTATCTGGTATGTCCAAGAGATTCTTCAGACATTTCCTAGCGTCGGCGAAGTGTCACTTCAACCAACATCAGACCCTGCGGGACTCTTTGAGATTCAGGTGGCTGTCAATGCAGACTCGGTCCAAACCATCTACAAACGGAAGTTCCGTTCCAGTGCCGATCTGCAAACAGATGACTTTTATTATGACGGGTTTCCTGATGCTAAGCTTGTGAAGGGTTTGGTTAAAAGGGCTCTTGGAGAGTCACGGGACTTGGGACACTCTGAAGGTGGTGGTTTATTAAATTGTGGTGATTGCGCTGCTGAAGATGGCATTTGTCAAGTTGACTCATAGTCATCTTTATAATCATCTTTTGACTCATAGTCATTATACAGAGAATGAACGAGAACAAAAAAAAAATTTTTTCATGGCATTCGTCATGACTCGTAGTCATCAATCGGTCTCTTCATAAGTGAAGATGTTAGGCACGTTAGCTATGGAGTCCCAGCCATCGTCATCAGCTACATAAGGTAACGAGCTGCCCAAGGTCCCAAAGTATAAGCCATTGTTAGGCAACCCCAATAACAGTTGGTACTGCTTAATTACAAACGTGGGTGAAACGTTGCGAGGGTTGCTCTCCTCAGAAGCATTGGCATCACTGCTTCGTCTTTTAGATGCTCTGTAGTTAATCTCTCTAGTGATCTGTTTCCATTTGTGCTTCTCACCCACCAAGAGTAGTTGACGTAAAATCTGCGTATCTTGGGGACTGAAACGGGACTGAACCAGTTGTAGTTGTCCTGGCTGTGAAGGTACAGCTTGCAGCAGCACAGATGACTGTTGAACGGGCTGACGCTGTAACTGGGACTGCTGCATAACAGATTGTTGAAGCTGTGGTTGTGGCTGTTGTTGCTGCTGATAAACGTACAGTGACGGTACTCTAGAGTCCAACTGTGGTTGTAGGATCAGCAGGGGAGGCTGCTGTTGCTGTTGCTGTTGCTGCAGCTGTTGTTGTTGTGGCTGTTGCTGAATCTGTGGCAGATGCTTGGGCCCATGAGCAGCTAGTGGAATCAAGCCCAGCGTACCTGAACTCACAGTCGTGGACGTGGCTGGTGGAACAGGAGGAGGTTGAACGGCTGGGGTTGAACCATTCAGTACTGCTCCTTGTTGGTATGCAAAGTTGTATTGTGTTCCTGGTGGATACAAAGGGTTCTGGCTCGTTCCGTTATTGCTATTGTTAAACATATATACGAATGGATGAATGCTATATATCTCAATGTCTCCACTTGAAGCGACTTTTAATGTCGTAATCTAATTAGTTATTAAAAGATGGCGTATGTGGTTAATATTTATCAATGCGATTTTGTTGATCAAAACACCACACAAAACTCCCAGGCAACTGTTAAGCTCCAAGTTTGGTTGTCACACAATGCTGAAAGATAAAGGTGTCTAACATTACAGTATGTAGATTCATTTTATTCAGACAGACTTATGTCTGACTTCTCAATAGATGGTATGTTTCCACAGTGAGCGCCGAGCTGCTTATTTCGGGAATGTGCTTAGATAACAAGTCCCATAGATATATACTATATAATTATTCACTTTCCATGTACTCTTCTTCCTCAGAGACGTTCTCAGGCTCAGAATCAGTGAAACTGAAGTTGTATGTGACCTTCTTGGGGGCACGTTTCCGACTAGTGGGCGCAACATTAACCAAATCAGTTGAAAGATCTTCTACTTGTTTGCTTTTAACTTCGTTGGTCTTAGGTGGTGTGCTCATCTTGGTGTCTGAACTGATGGAGGCTGTATGAGACAGCAGAGTGGAGTCGATTTCCATAACATCACTATCGCTATCGTCATCAAATAATGATTTAGATTTGGAAGTAGTTGTAGAGCCAGTGGAGGCCGTTGACTTTTGGGGTGTTGCTCCAAAGAACGAAAGAATGGTATCTTGTTTAGCTCTTGGTTTCAGTTTAGGTTCAGATTCCGTCTTTATTGGACCAGGGGTGCTGTCTCTTGAACTCACCACAGTGGAAGGAGTCTTTGATGCTGGTTGTTCCTTTTTGACTTTTGGTTTCTTTGTCACGGATTCCACTTTAATACCTTCAATTGCTCTCTTATTAACCCGAGGTTTACGAGCCTTCTTGGAAGTTCCTTTGCTAGGAATACATGCAAGTCTAGCCTCTTCGTCTTCCTTCATAAATTGAGCATATTCCATCATAAAAGTATCCAAATCAGCTCTCCATAGATCTTTGGCAGTCTTCCCCAATAATTCATTTAATTCCTGTTCCTTTTCATCTCTTTGCTTAAGTAACTTTTCATATCTCTCTTTACTCAAGGACCATAAAGACATTCCTAACAAATAATCATAGACAGAATAAATGGTAAGAGGCTTATTCCCTGCTACTTCATCATCAACAATGGTTTCACCTTCTGCGTCCAATTCTTCTTCTTCTTGAAGTTCAACCTCTGCATCTTGACCACTTACAATACTCTTTTTAGCTTCATCAATTGGTTCTCCTTTATGAAATTTGACAAAGTTATTGTCCTCCAACATCTCAACTAACACGGCTCTTTTCTTGTTGGAAACAGACATCTTCTTTTCAATTATCAACTTAATGAATCTGGCCTGTTCACTTAATTTAGTTAATTGATTCTCTAAATCTTTACTCATGTGATCTTTCCGTCTTTGATAGTAATCTAACCGAACATAATAGAAATCTTTCAAAATTTCTAATGGAGATTCATACTTTTTGATCTTACCATTAGGATCAAAGGCAACCATATTTGCAACACTTATTGAACCTAATAACTTAAACTTCTCTAATAACCCAGCACCTTTACATTTCGCCATTTGTTCATCAGAAACCTTAATGACAAACTTAATAGTAGAATCATGTTGTTCCTCGACATCTTTAATCCACGCAGGTACTTTATCTGTCCCCAATGCAGAAAGTAAGTACTCTTTCATGGTATTGGTCCACATCTTCACAGGTAATTCAGATATGAGCAATTCATTCTCATTAATTTCTTCAATACGTCCCATAACCCGATACTTATCAGCACCAGATTTTTCAATCTCTCCTGTCCAACCTTTATACCAAGGAGACATATCTTTCATTTCTTCTCCAATCATCATCCTTTTAAGATTATCGACAATTTCAATAGGGTTATATTGAGGAATATTTGTAGACCAACCAGTCCCAATACCTTCAGTACCATTCACCAAAAGCATAGGAAGAACTGGTATATACCATTCGGGTTCAACAGTTTGTTCATCTTCTTGAATATAATTCAATAAATCAGCATCCAATGGATTGAAAACTTGTTTTGTTAACTTGTTAAGTTCAGTGAAAATATATCTTGCTGCAGCATAATCTTTCCCACCAAATGCTCTGCTACCAAAATTACCATTAGGGGTCAACAAATTTATATTATTGGACCCCACAAAGTTTTGAGCCAACCCGATAATAGTTTGTTGTAATGCTGCTTCACCATGATGATATTGAGTCTTCTCAGCAACGTAAGCAGCCAATTGAGCCACCTTCATTTCACCCTTTTGCTTTCTCTTGAAAAATGCATACATGACTTTACGTTGTCCAGGCTTAAGACCATCTATGACCGAGGGAATGGATCTAACATTATCGGCCATGGAGAATACAATCAATTCCTTATTAATAAACTCGCTAATGGGGATCTCATTTAAGTCAGGAGGAAGATGGGTGCCAGGAATGTACCCTTGCAACCATTCCTTTCTATCATCAGCTTTCTTTTTCGAAAATGCTAACTCAATAAACTCTTTATCATTACCTTGTAATGCATGGAATTTCTTCATATGTTTATCCAATTCTTGGAAATATTGACGGAATTCTTCCTCCTTTGATGTACCCAAACCCTTGTAATACTTCAAAGTCCATCTACAATCGTCACCTTCAGTCTCTCTCCACACTTGAAACTCAGGCATACTGAAAAATGGTATAACAGTCTTACCGCCCCCTCGTTTGCTGATTGTGACCTTTACAATTGGAGTAATGAATTCTAAAAGGAACCCAGGGATTTCCAACAATCCAGGGAAACTGGATTCTAAGAAATTGATAATTAAACCTTTAATATGAGAGCCATCTTGATCTTGATCTGTCATGATCATAATATGACCATATCTTAAAGTTTTAATATCTGCAGCAGTATAAACCTTTTTATGTTTTAATCCAATAATTTGTTTTAAAGCATTGATTTCGGCATTTTTGGATATTTGTTCAGCAGATGCTTCTCGAACATTTAACATTTTACCTCTTAAAGGGAAACAGCCATAGAAATCTCTACCAACCACAGCTAACCCTGCCACTGCGTTGGACAATGCAGAATCTCCTTCAGTTAATATTAATGTACATTGGTAACCCAACTTTGTACCTGCCTTATTGGCATCATGCAATTTTGTTTGACCTTTAATTCTTTGCTTACGAGAACCATCAGCCTTTTGTAATTCTTTATCTGCATTGGCATCAGCAATGTTTCTGATTTTCTCTGCAAGTTTTGTCTTAAGGACATTAGAAATGAAATTATCACCAATTGTGACTTTACTACCACCAAATTGAGTCGATCTAGTAGTCAATTGCTCCTTTGTTTGTGAAGTAAATGCCGGATTTTCAATTAAACAGTTGATGAAAAGGAACATATTGTTTCTGACATCTTGGGGTTTTATTAGTAATTTCTTTTTCCCCTTTTCCTTTTTATTTAATGCTTCTGTCACTTTGGTAATAATCTGATCTGCAAGATATTTAACATGAGTACCTCCAGACGTAGTTGCAATGGAATTTACAAAACTAACTTGATTAAAAGATCCGTCACTGACAGCAAATGCAACTTCCCATCTATTGTTGACCACTTCATGAATAACAGTTTTATATGCTTTATCATCTTCCAGCAGATCATCAACAGAGTTTCTTAATTTTATAGCATTGACATACATTTCAACATAAGCTTTGAAATTTCGAATACTCAATTTCTTATCATTCAAGTAGATATTACAATCCTTTACCGTACCACATAAATCGTAAACTCTTCTGTAAAGAACAGAAAGTAACTCTTCATCCAAAACATCCATTTTGAATTTTGCCAAATCAGGCTTGAATGTTACTTTAGTATATTCCTTTTTAGTTTTCAAAGTGGTGATCTTGGGTTTAGAAACACTCGACATATTATTAGTCCAAGTTTGAACATAAACCTTCTTATTGGACAAATCAGCTGTTTCCAATACAAATTCTGTGGAAAAGATGTTACATAACTTTGCACCATAACCATTCCTACCACCAGTGACTTTTTTTTCATTGTCATCATAATTGGAAGAGGTTAACAAGTTCCCAAAAATCAATTCAGGTATATACATATTCTCCTTCTCATGGATTTCAACAGGGATACCCTTACCATCATTCATGACTTCGATGATATTATTTGTGGGATCAATTTTAACCTTTAAATTCTTCATTGAAGGATCTCTAATTTTATTATCAGCCGCATTAACCAAGATCTCATCGAATATCTTATATAACCCTGGAACTATATTGACGTTTTTGAAAACCATCTGTTCAGTTTGAGCATCAAAAGTCCACATTTCCATAGGCTCCCTTTCAATGGACCCAATATATGTATCTGGTCTCTTTAAGATATGTTCCAATTGAGAGAGCTTCTGGTACGTTTCTGAAGCGCTATTTCTGTTGGAAGGGGTGGTATCTCTTGTAGATGTCGTTGACGGGGTGGATGCAGAAGAAGATACATTTTTGGGGGGACCACTTTTCTTAGAGGTGGCACTTTTTTTAGTGGCAGTCGTAGTTGTAGTCTTCGGTTTATTACTAGTCTTTCCCTTAGACACTTCTTCATCTTCGTCTTCATCCTCGGGAACAAAGAAATCCTCTGACTCGTCAGAAAGATACAAATCTGACTCCTCCAAATCGCTCATCTTTTGTTTTGTTTTGCCAGTGGTTACAGGAAGAGCAAATGTGACGTGTAACAATTGTAAACGGTATTTAATTCAATGGGGTATTGCTTGTATTTATATATGATTTGTATTTACGTGTGTGATACGCGAAACCACTCGGTACGGACACGACAAAACTAAGAAACAGAAATTTCTGAACTATACGTGAGTAGTACTACTATAACTAAATTAGCTATTAACTATATCAGTACTATGCATATGCTATTTTGTTGTCTTGACTCTTTTGGTCTTGGCTTTGCTCTTTAATCCCAGTTGGATTCTGTCGAATTCATCATCGGAAATCTCTTTATTTGATCTCTTTGAACCTTTCCCTTTACCATATTTCATCTCCAAAGAAGAAATCAAGTCATCCATTCTGGAAGCATGCTTTGATTGAATAAGCAGTCTTAAATCCGATTCCGACAGTATGGAACCATTTTTGGTGGAATTCTTGGTCAACAATTCCTTTTGTAGTTTAGCTGCTTCTTTAGCTTCCTTTGCTAGTTTCTTCAACATTGCCTTAACCTTTGTTTGTCTTGATTTCTTATATTTATCCCAAGAAACAAGCGTGGCCTTATCAACAAGTGTAGCCTTATCCACCTGGGATTGTGCTGCCAATTCTTGTTCGATAATGTTGAACACTCTGTTCTCTTCCTCTTCTGTAAACTCCAAATGGGGGATCACCTCAAATAAGTAAAGGAAATCTCCTTCATAATAAATGAAATTATGCCAGATGTCATCTCGTTCCTCTTGAGATCTTTGGTACTTGGCTCTATCTTCTTCAATCATATCCAAGGTGATTTTCTCGTTGATCTCCTTGAAATAATCTTTCCAGTCAAACGAATCCAAATCTGGTATCTCCAGTTCACTTAAAGATCCAGTGTGATCATATCGCTGTCTTCTTATTGGATCGCTAAGCACACTATAAGCAAATTGTAACCGTGCAAAGGTTTCAGTAGAGTCAGCGCCACCACCGCCATTACCACCATCGTCATGTTCGTCAGGTCGTTCTCTTACGCCAGTTTGCCCTTGCTGTATCTTATCAGGGTGATGTCTCAAACATAGCTTCTTGTAGGCCTTCTTGATCTCGACCGGCGTAGCACTAGAAGAGACCTCTAGAACCTCATAAGGGTCTATATCATGAAACACCATGGTAGTGTGATTGGAACAGTTGAAAGAACCAGTGGACTGGTGATCCGCTTTCTATGATCAACTACTTTTTCTTTTGTTTGTCTCATCGCAGATCCACTACCATAATCATATACTGACGTACGGCTATGTGCTGCTACCAACATAAGCAATTGGAAGTTATGAACCACAACTACCGTTGATACATTTGATTAAGACCGGACTGCACCACAAGTACATTACCCTACTAGTATAGTGATAAGGTATTCCAATGTTGTTAAAGTTCGGTATATACTATTACGCTACTTAGATTCTAAGATCTCCTCAATGGCCGTAATCAACTTATCAATGTGGCCCTCGTAAACAGAATGGCCCATGTGGCCAACACGGAAGTATTTACCTACAAGTGCCTTGTGAATCCCACCAGCAATAACAAAGCCCTTGGAAGACAATTTAGTCAAAAAGTCTCCACCATTAAGACCCTCAGGGAAATACACCGCAGTTAACCCATGGGCTGCAACGTTGTCATTAACAGGTAAAATGTTTAACCCTAAAGAAGCCATTTTTTCCTTGAATTGATTAGAAACTTGAGCATGTTTCTTGAAACGAGCATCCAAACCTTGATCCAAGATTTCGTCCAAGGAAACCTTTAAAGCAGTAACCGTTTGAACTGCTGGAGTGGCAAAATAAGCACCAGTACCATTTTCGTATGCCTTCATAATTGGAGTCCATCTCTTCATGGAAGCAAAGAAAGTAGAATCCTTTTCTCTGGATAAAGCCTTTGAAACTGCTCTTTCAGAAGCAAACATAATGGCCAATCCAGCTGGAACACCAATGGCTTTTTGAGAAGCAGTCAATACAAAATCGAGACCCCATTTATCAAATTCAATGTCTTCAACACCCACAGAACAAACACCATCCACAACAACCAAAGTATCAGGAGATACGTTTTGAACCAGTTCACTAACTGCTTGGATATCCGAAACAACAGAAGTAGAAGTGTCCACATGAGTAATGGTAATAGCAGTATATTTGTGAGCCTTCAAGGCTTCTTCCACTTTATTCAATGGGACAACATCACCAACTTCAGCAGTGATCACATCAACTTCAGCACCATAGACACGCAAGCAATCAGCAAACAGATCACTAAAGAACCCAGTGGATAATACCAACACTCTATCACCAGGGTTAATCAAGTTTGCAGAGACTACATCCCAACCCAAAGTACCAGATCCACTGATAACATAAGGTTGAGCTTTGGGTTCGGTAGACTTGAACAACTTTCTCAAGCCCTTCAAAACGGTTTGGAATGTCTTAACAAACTCAGGAGAAGTGTGTGCTTGAGATGGAGTGGCCATGGCGTACAACACTTCATCACTGAACTCAATTGGTCCAGGAACCATGGTCAATTTATGAGGCTCTTGTTTATAAGGAACAGATGACATTCTTCTTGCTAATATAGGAATTGGTTTGGGAAATACTTGAACGGCTGATCTGGTGAAGTTTCTGACTAACAAACAATTCATAAAGAAGAAACTAAGTGGAAGAATGAAAAGGCGTGTGAAAATTCATTGGTTGATTTTCATGGGAAGCCTTTGGCACTCGATAACGAGAAAGTGTGGGGATATCCGAGCACCCGAGGGAAGGTAGCGCGGGCAGTACCCAACAGCATTACCGTGCTGTGCCAGGGAATAGACTGCTCTTGCTTTACGAGATGTTTCCTTTTATAGGTAGCTTATAGCGGTTTTCTTTATGGTAGGTGAATGCGTTGGTTGAGTTGAACCTCTCCCTTACGATATCCTCAACTGTGTAGATACTGTTCTAATGCGTTTTTGAAAGGAGTATAATTCAAGACTTTTTAAGTCACATAGAATGGAACTTCTGTGTTTGCTCTGTATAGAATTCGTCACATACCGTTCTAGTAATTATAATGAATGAATGGAGTTGGTTGTATTTCCCTGGTTGTGCTTCCCGTAGGTATTTTTCGCAGCCAGATTAGAGCAGCCGTTTCCGGCATAAATTGTGCACATTTTGGAGAATAATATGGGCCATTGGCGCTAACAATATCATCACTTCCTTTACACTATTACTTTGTGAATCACTGGAAATGAAATCGGGCTCGTTATCTTCACCTGATGATGCCAACCAAGACTTACGAGACCTTATTCTGGGAACAGAGACCTTGGTTTACGGTGATAAGTCATTCAATATCAACCAGATGCAAAATGGTCCGCCCAAGAGTCGGTTTTCAAATCAATGGAATTACCCACCACCTATGAAACCCGAAGCATTGTATACAAACATAAATGCAAATGCAAATAATAATGATAACTGGCCCAACAGTTCCCAAAGTAGACAAAGTGGAACTACGAGATACAATCCTCAGCCTTATAATAACCAATTATCAGGAAACCTGGGCTATGTTGGTGCTTCTTCTCAACATACCAACACGAACTTTATGAATATTGCCAACCAGCATTACTACGATCAGCAGCAGCATCAACATCTTAGTCAACATCCTCATCAACATCTTCATCAACATCCTCATCAACATCCACATCCTCATCAACAGCACCAACAGCAATGGTTTCAACATCAACAAAACACTCAACAACCAAAGCCATACCATAGTCTAAAAGATAAAGGAATGTGGAATTATCAAGTTCCTAGCAATGCTCATTTTACACCCACAGCTCAACAATTCTACCCTAACTGCAACTACAATAATACCAGCCAACTCACCAAGAGAAATGACATCAGTACTATACAAAGTTGTGGAAACCATTACTGTAACAATCCGTATTGCATTATTCCTTCCAATGTTGGTGGTCCACTTCTATTGCCGCAATATACTGACCCCTTTCCTCCCTCCGTATTCAATCGACCCAAAAATATAGAGTTTTACCATTGTGAACCTCCTTCAGGTCGCCATACGTCGCTGGAAAAGTTATTGGAACAGCATCTACAATTGATGAATGACATCAACTTCACTCCGTCCATGGATCTGCAAATCTCCAGTAGATATGGACCCTATGATACGTGCTCCACATATTTACAAGGACCCAAAACGCTTGGAAGTCAACGAAGTAGTGGTGTTTCCTCAATGAGTGCCAAAACAGTAAGCACCAGCATCAGTCCACCAAGTGGAGTAAAAACCGTAGAGACCACTCCTACAACCTCCCGGGTAAATTTGGCTAACAAAGAAGAAGAGAAATAGATATAGATTCTATATTTGTAGAGTAGTAGAGGCTTATTGGTATATGTTTGGCAAATACACGACTCTTCTTAAGTTAGAACCCTAAAGCAAAGTAACAGTGTGAGTAAAAGTTGAAAAGGTATTAGGTATACGATCGCCATTGAAATTAAGTGGAAACACCTTCTTTAAGAAACAATAGTGTGATAAAAGGGTGATTCAAGCATGGGATATGCCGAGGATGTCCAGTTCCAAAATCAGCTAAAGAGCTTGCCCAATGCAACTCGATTTTTCATAGCACCAGAGAAGGATTACTCTACAAGTTTGGAAGAACTTGAAACTATGAGTCTACCCCTTGTGCTTATAGCTGATCAAAAGGAGATACCCAAGTGTATAGCACTTGTTGAGATCATCAAGAAGAAACGGAGCCAGATTACAGTTCAATATAATGGAGTTTATAAATGGAAAACACCATTACACCCGGTTTCAGGCAAGGAGACCGAGGATGAGGTGAAGGGGAAGAAGATGTACGATGTTCCAATATATATAGGGGTTTTAAACGACACTGAACTTGAATTGGACTCCAAAATGTGGACCAAACAGACACTATAGATTTGATAGAACTAGTGTAGGATATGATATAGGGAATAATAGAGAATTATGATATGAAGAACAAGTAGTAGTAGAGGGTTATTGACATAAAGGAGACAAAAAGCATGTAAAGTAAGTTTAATAATGTAGACTGTAGTAAATGTACTGTCGAGAAGTGCTACCATCAATAATACACTTTATTACATAATAAAAGGACACATATCACGTGCGAGGTTTGAACCAATTACATCCGTTTATTTCTGACATCTTACGATTTTTGGACTGTATGAGGAGGTGGTGGAACTGTAGAGAAAATTTATCAACAGTTTAAAGAGATTAAGCATCATTAACTTAACCAACCAATACAGTTAATTATTCATAGACAAGATGGCATTTGATTCTGAGACTTTTAAGTTTGATACTCCTCAATTCGACGCTCGGTTCCCCATGACCAACCAAACCAAGAGATGTGCTCAAAACTACGTTGATTACCACAAGTGTGTTAATGTTAAAGGTGAAGACTTTGAACCATGTAAGATCTTTTTCAAGACCTTTACATCCTTCTGTCCATTGGACTACGTTGAGAAGTGGGATGACTTGAGAGAAGCTGGTAAGTTTCCATTCGACCTTTCTGCTTAAGATAAGAAGGTTGGCCCTCACCTATCGAAATGCATTTTATGGTTTACAACTTAAGGAAAGGAATTAGTATATTTCTTTATATCATTTATAATACAACAGATTATTACTATTACCAGAACTCCTCTTCAACCCAATTTTCGTTACGGTTTTCGTTATTAGAATTCAAGTTCCCGTTATCAAATAAATCAGCGTATGGGTCCTTATTGAACTCACGTTGCTTTTGCTTCTCACTCAGTATCTCCTTGAACTGTTGTTGTAGTTTGCGTTCCCGTTGACGTTTTTCATTTTGTAGTGTTTGTATGCGATCTTCTTGTGATGCTACAAACTCTTGTATTGGCATCTCTTTCTTCAATTTGTTCAACTTGTTAATTAAGATTGAATCCTTCTTAGAAACGTGGATTCTCTTGACTTTCTTACTGTTCTTGAACGTAACTGTTCCCACGTCCATTTCTCCGTTACTGTAGACGTTCTCAACTGGAGTATAAATTATAGTGACGTTATTCAATTTGCTTCCCTTGATCAGATTTGCTTTAGTCAATTGACCCATAATTTTGAGCAATTCAGGATCCAATTCGAGACTATCAAATGACTTAGTATGTAGTTCAGAAGGAAGTTGATAATATAAATGTGCCAGTGAAAGGTTATCCACATGGAACCATACATTCTTAGGGTGTGATTTTTCTACTAATGGTTCATTTTCAAACTTATCTTTCCCCATATAAATATAATGCAAAACAGAGCTACTGCCATCATCTCCTAGCAAGTCTCCAAGGTCATCACTTGCAGCAGAAGAAGCCGGAACCTCAAAATAGTACACCATTTATGACACTAACCACTGACACCATGAAGAAGAGGTGATATTGTTAATGAGTAGTGATTTTTTCCAACTCTCGGATTCACCTACCGAATTGGGCAGGCCAAAGATATTAACGAGCTTTTGAAATGACAACCCAACATAGACTCTAACGAACCACTATAACATACTACTCCTTCCACACACTAACCACTACTGCTACCATGTGATTTATACGCTTACAGCAAACTAATATACTCTTATCAACATACTGTTGGTACTGCGGTCCTACCATTCCGGACTAATTCGTGTCTCGTACTACCCCTTCTAACTTGAAACAGTGTTGCACACGATCCAGGTGGTTCCTTAGCCAACATGCACTACTGAACACGAATTACCTAGTAGGGCTAAAACATGATTCAACTAAGCCAATACCACCTTGCAATCATCTGGGTTTGTAGCTTTATATTATACACTTGAAAATTCCTCTTTCTGGTATTAATACTCAACTAACCAATGATCTATCATCGTTAGTTCTGTTATATTGAATTGTTATAATATATTGTCGTTCCTTATTTTAGTTGCATCTTTGCTTCAGCCATTCCTTTATCCTAGTATAACAGTTATAGATACTCATGGCCCTTCCATTGCACCTGCTCCTTGAGTTTGACCAATCGCTTCCTGATTGGAGCACGTCTCCCTTCATAGAGGCCCTACAGATCTCTGTTGAGGACTGTCAGTCTCCAGAAACTCCGGACCAATACTCGGTGGAGAATCTTCGGCAGATATTCAATCTGTTCCAGTACAGCGATGATGTATTTCTCACTTGTGCCAACTGCGGTGGGTTTCTTTCAAACGTTGAAGATTATAAGTCGTGTTGTCAGAAATACACCAGACATGCATCGCTTTCTGAGAGTCATTTGAGTTATTGGCTGATCCTCTTTACGGACCCTTTAAAAGCAGTGACTCTCCTTCCAAATTATACTTATATGCTCTTTTTACAACATGGTGGCCCTCCTATTCAATTTAGACGACTTCTTTGGAGAAGAATCTTGATCAACCAAACTAGACTCACGCAAACCTGTGAAGTCTTTGAAGAATTACAGAAAAGATTCAATGAAGAAGCCGATAAGCAGATTTCAAAGGATTTGAAGAGAACGTTCCCAGAAATCTCCTTCTTCAAAGGGACAGAAGCCAGTAAGGATTTAAGTACAATCTTGAATGTCTATGCCAATTATGACGTTGAACTTGGGTATTGTCAAGGATTGTTGTTTTTGGTGGCTGTTCTTTATTATCAATTCAACCAAGATTGCCAATTTACTCTTCATGCCTTGATTCAAATTATGGGATCGAACCCGGAATTACATGAGATCTTTTGTTCCCATTCAATGGGGTCCCGTTTAGGGATTTGGTATCATGAGTTTCTAGTTCTTTTACAACGAGCAGATCCAGAATTGGCAGATCATTTAAGCAACAACATCAATGCAGACTTCCTGGTGTTTTTATACCAATGGTGGCTTTCCTTTATGTCTGCCCATACCCCAGACACTAGCATTGTTTATAAGGTTATTGATTTTTGTCAGTTCCATATGAATTGGAAACGTGGATTCTTCAAGATCTCTCTCGGGCTTCTTTTGAAAAACAAACATTTGCTTATGTCTTTTGATGATTGTGAAATCGTCTATCGTCATTTGCTCAGTGAAAATAAGTGGGGTGCAAGCATTTCTTTCAACTTGGATGCATTCTTTGGTGATTATTTAATGTCGTTCCCCAATGAATGGTTTGAATTCTCTAGCAATGACAATGACATCACCACTACAAGACATAAACCACAATTAAACATGTCTTTACTTCTGAATACGTTCAAGAAGTTACAGTTGTACACCCCCACCAGACATTCCAACCATTCCAACGAATCTAACGATTCTAACAATTCAACCCTATCATCAATATTCACCCGCAACAATAATGAAGATACAACAGAGTCACTTTATTCTACCGATACCAGCTCTACGGCTCTGTCTACGGCCAATGAACGTAATTACTTTGACTTGCTTCGTATGCCAATGCTAGGGGGAGGCGGCAATAAGGCTACTCAAGACGAATTGGAGCTGTTGAAGATGGAAAATGTTCAACTAAAGTGTTTGCTTGGATCGTTAGTTACCCTCATGAAAGATGGTGATATTTCGCCCAGTTTGAGATTGCAGGTACAAAAGTATTTATAGGGAAGGAAAGGCTAAGGTATGTAGCATTATTACACAGGATTTGTAACAACAACAGTAATAGTTGTAATAGTATATTAAGTAATAGTAGAACACCTTCCTCAATATACTTTTCTGACACTCGCGCTACCATCACGTCCGGGTAACGCTCTGTCGACAAAACAATTTCCCCATAGAAAATTTTTATTGGCCACCCCTCTCATACAGTAATTGATCTACTGACTAAACTACATATATAAGGATTGCTGTATTCAAAGACTACTGATTAGATCTTTGGATTGATAGATTAAGCAAGTGCATCCTGATATAAACATTATATGTCATTAAAGCCATCTAGGTTTATTATCGCAAAGATTGCATTTAATTGATTTAATAACTTAAGCCGTGACTTCTATAGCCCAAACAAGCCCAAAGGGCCGTCCATCTGATTCTACCAACGATTCATCAGTCAAAGCCAACAACTCAAATCTTACTTCTGATTCGCCCACACCCACGACCTCCTCCAGTACTACTCCACCTTCAACTTCAACCTCCGATAAGCCTAAAGCTTTTATTCCTGAAGATCCTGAGCTTTTACGCGTATTAGATACTCAATTAACCAAGCTATTAATTTGTGCCACAAAGGAGAACAGCGAGTCGACCAGTTGTCAAATCAAATTCATTCTCGACCATCACAAGAACGCACTTCCTATTGAAGAATATTACTTGCACAAATTAGTTTATTGGTGCTGCAGTTTCCCCCAAGATATAGGTCGGGCTTCATCTGAAAGATTATTCATCGAAGACGCTTTAATCACCCAATTGAACCGTTTGAAATTTGTCAATTTCTGGGATCAAACTCATAAAACTTTACTGAAATTATTCGACGGAGAACACTTTTTCGTAACCAAATTAGTCGAAGGCTGGAAGGAAGATCTCGATCCGATCATTGCATATATATTAATTGCTGTTTACGCTAAGAAGGAAGAGGAATACATTGAAGCCAAAAAGTTTGCTGTTGATCATTCTGTGAATATTATCCAGTCGATTCATTCAAAACTTGGAACAGACTTCAATTCTCATTTACTTTTGGATTGCATCTTAGAATCTCCTTACTTCCCATTCAAGTTAAAGTTATTATCCATTCTGGAATTTGACGCATTTGCTAAACATTATTTGGAACCTATTAAGAAATTTTATCAATCAGTATTACAAATGTCCTTTAAAAGTCTTGCCAGTGAAATCGGTCCAGAACATTTATTATCCGAGCAATTGCTCTCTAGAGTCCTTGAATTGAAAGGTCGTGACATAGATGCATCCATTGCAACACTTTTAAGTGAAGTGCTTATTCCTGGGTCCCAGGGTTTAGAAGCTTTTGGAAAAGTCAATTCTTTACCTGAAGCAAATGCAAGAGGTGCTCAATTGCAAACATGTTTAAAGGATGTTGATCATTCAAATTCAAAATACGTTGTGAATTGGTACCAGGTGTTTAATCATGTTCACTCAAATTTATTCGACAGTTCTAAGCGTGGTTTACAGCCTTCCCTTTTCAACATTACCTTTTTATTTCTGTCGTTGGATTACAAGCCTGGTATCATTGACATTTTCTTAAACTATGAATGGTGGTTCAATAAATCATTTTTCCATCATTTAAGATTGATGGTGTTAGACGAATCTGCTTACGATTTAAGCAAACTGAATAATTTGACACTTTGCTATTCATTCGACAGTGTTGCTGGTGGTGGTGCTTCTTCAAGCACTAAAAATTTGTTGAAATTTATAAACATTGGTAAGTTAGAAATCCAAGTGCTCAACAAAATCCAACAAGCTCCCAACGATGGTGACCCTGAACTAAACAGAAATGTACAGGAGTGGTTCAACTATGATTGCAAAGAAAATACCATATATCTTCTTGCTGCAGCTTTAGATCTAGTTGAAAAGTCTGACTTTGTCCAGAGATTAATCGACAACCTTTTTGTTCAAATATTAGACCTAAGACACCCTTTATTATCAGCCGTGTTGCAAAAGTTCAAGGAAAATGATGTCCAATTGCTAGTATCAAACCTTCTTAAGTACTACATGAATCATCCTACAGATGGAAATTTGGTATTGTTGGTTCGTGAGTCGCTCAAATTGGATATTGTCGAACCTCTTTTAGATAGAGTTCGGGCTGGTGGTGCATATGAGAGATTACTCTTGGAATTTATTATTGAAGCTGGAGACGAAGGATGGGAGAATTGGAAATCTGTTTTGGATGCCCAATTGAAGGACAATAAACCCGAAGTTTACCAAACACTTTTGTCTGTGGTAGAAACTAGAGCCTCTCAGGACTTCGAAGCAAGTCAACAAGCAGCAGCAGCTTTACAGGCAGCCGGGGAGGGAGCTATTCCACCACCGCCATTACCAAAGGAGAGAGGAGTTTTGCGTATCCCCACCGCCTACTATTTGTTGGAAAAATTGAAATCCTCGGGTGGTTTAATTGATGGAGAAAGGTTGAAAAATTTGCAATTATCATTGCTAACTACCTATCCAAGATTGATAAATTTTGGAACCGGTCACGATGAGGCTATTTTGGCCAACGGAGAAGTTTCTTTCTTATTCCCTATTGCTGTTGAGCAGGAAATGAAAGGCTATTACTCAAAAATGTATAGCAAAGAAATGGAGATCAAAGACATTGTTGAGATGTTGGTAAGAATGAAGGATAGTGATGTTCCTCATGATCAAGATGTTTTTGCTTGTATGATTCACTCATTACTTGATGAATACCGTTTCTTTTCTGAGTATCCTTTACTGGCATTAGCCCTGACGTCTCTCTTATTTGGGGCATTATTAGAGAAAGAATTGATTCAGGGTACAACATTGACAGTTGCATTGAACTTTATATGGGAAAGTTGTAATCAACCTCAAGACTCCCATCTCTTCAAATTTGCTGTGCAATCGTTGTACAATTTTAAGTCGAAGTTGCATGAATATCCTATTTACTGCAAACATTTGCTCGAATGTCAATCTTTACTGGCACATGCCAAGATGTACCAAATTGTCAAGGACGCTGCTAACGGTATACCTTGTCAAACCCAGCAAACTACTCCTGCTCCTGAAATGCAATCTCAACAACAGCATCAGAATGGGAACAAGTATCAATCGATAAGCTTAGATTCAAAGACAATAGGATTTGTTGCTCAAGAAAGACCGAATGAAAATATCTCGGACAAGTTGTTGTTTGCAATCAACAACATGACAGGTGATAACTTGCGTTTGAATGAAATCAGACCACATTTAACAGAAGCATATTACTCTTGGTTTGCCCAATATTTGGTTGGTGACAGAGCAAAAGATGAACCCAACAACCATGAAATGTATTCTAATTTTGTTACTGAGCTTGGTGATGCTATTTTCTTTGATTACGTATTGAACATTTCTTTGAAGGAAGTTGAGTACATCATTCGGAATTTCAAAGATTCTGCAGTGGAGAGAAATCAGTTAAAGACTTTAGGTGCTTGGTTAGGTAAGATAACTTTGGCAAATAACAAGCCTTTGAAGAGAGATCAAATTGCCTTGAAGTTCTTATTGGTTGAATCATATGATTTTAACACAATGCATTTAATTGTTCCATTTGTGTGTAAGATTTTGGATCAAGCCCAGTATTCCAAGGTTTTTAAGCCTCCAAACCCTTGGGTTCTTGGTGTCATTAAAGTTTTAATCGAGTTGTATGAATGTGCTGATTTGAAGTTGAATTTGAAGTTTGAAATTGAAGTATTATTGAACAATTTCAAGATGAAAGTTTCAGATGTTTCTCCAAGCACTATAATTAGAACTCATAACCCAAACCCTCAGGCCTTGGCTGCTATGTTTGCTGTTGGCAACGATACTTTAGGACCCATTGAACAGCAATTACAAATGCAAAAGGCTTGGGTACCATCTGGCCAACAACAGCTGCAAGCATCTCAACAACAAGTTCCTCAAGTTGGGATGCCTCAAAGTCTTGTCAGTGGTGGTCAACAGCAATTGTTACCCCAACAACAACAACAGCTTCAACAACAACAACAACAACCACTGCAACCGCAACACATGCAACAGAGACAAATGCCAGAGCCTACTTTGAATACTAGTTTCAACAACTTAGTTGGTAATACTATCTTTGTAACCAATGCCAATTTGAGAAGAGCTTTCCAAGCAGCATTATCCAGGGCAGTCAGAGAATGTGCTGTACCTATTTTGAATCGTGTTTCAGAAGCAGTTGTGACTACTACTGAAGCCTTGGTTCGTAAGGACTTTGCTTGTGAACCAGATGCCAATAAGCTTCGGAATAGTTATCTTACTATGGTGCAACAATTGGCACATAGTATGATTATTTCCAGTGGCTGTGAAAGTCTTATGGAGTCTATTGCAGGAAACTTGGTACAAATTTTAGGAAACAACTTTAGTGAGTTACCTGCTGCTGAAATGGGACAAGCAATCCTTGCCAATGTTGGTTTATGTGTTGAGATCCTTGATAAGATTGCCTTTGAGAATATTAGCGAATTAATTGACGAGCATATGTTAAAAGACAGAAAAATGAGAGAACAACAAGCTAAGGGTCAACCATTTGTGGATAAGAGAGTTTCAGAGTATGCATTGAAGTTACCTCAACCTTTGGGATTAGGTCCAGATGGTCTCACACCACAACAGTCAAAGATTTATGAGACTTTTGGCACCAATGGTTCAGTTATTCGATCTGAACCATTCGCTGATTCCGAGACAGTACAACAACCAACGGAAAGTACCTTAACACCAAAGATGACCCAGTTGCAAGTTCAGCCAACAGTGGTTACCCAACAAGTACAGCCTATATCTCAACCTCAACCACAAGCCCAAACTCAACCTCAATTACAAGCACAACAACAACAACCACCACAACAACAGCAAATCACCGAAGATTTCATGACAGCTGACCATTTGTTCACTTTGATCACTCAAAACTGCGAGAAAGCAATACAATTATTGGCCGGTGTTAAGGAAACAAAATTGTCAGATTTAGGTTCATCCCATCCCATTACCGCATTCTTGACGCAAGCTTTGTCGATAGCTCAAAAGAATGCTTTGAAGTATCCTGATTTATTGTTAAAGGCTGCTCAATATTCCGTCAACTGTCTCTTCACTCAAACAAATGATAATCCTATAGCCAGTGAAATCTACGTGGTTGTCTTGGATAAGTTATGTGAATATTCTTCCTCTACTGCCAAAGATGTTATTTGGTGGTTAGTTCATTCTTCAGATGAACGTAAGTTCAATGTTCCTGTTATATTTGCGTTGTTGAAGATACAATTAATCAAGCCTGCAAGGTTGGATTCTTCGTTAGGCAAATTAGTTGAAAAGACAAAATCACCAGTTATTGCTAAGTTTGCAGCCAATTTGCTCACACAAGTCTACACATCCAGCGAGCTAAGACCAATTGCACTCAGATCTGAGTTTGCTTTCACTTTGCAGGCCTTAAGAGAATTGTCCTTTGAATCAGAGGAAGAAGATGAAGGTAAAGGCAATGCAGCTAAACCCGAAGAAGTTAAGGATGCTATCGAAGCACGGAATAAGTTATTTGAAGCTATTGATAATAACTCGTTGTATAACTCTACTCAATTATATGCACAGTTGGGTTATGTGTTTGCAGAATGGGTTAAGTTGTTGAGCCATGGCAGCAAGACACTTGAATTACAAGATGAATTTGTTCAAGGCTTATTGGACGCAGAGATCTTAACCAACCCTGAGTACTTTGAGGTGTTCTTCAAGGCAGCAATGGATATTGCTAGCACTTCATTTGCAACTGAACATGAGATTCGTATTAGAACTTTGAGTGAAACATATTTAACTGTTGACTGCTTAGCTATCTTGGTGGCTCGGATTATCTTGAAATTTAAGGATGTGGATGAAGCTATGGACTATTTGAAGAATATACTTGCAGTATTGGTACTTGTTTTAGCTAATGATCATAATGCTGGCAGTGATCAATGGAACGAAAGAGTCCATTTTAGACTCTTTTCATCATTATTTGCTGCTTGGAATAGTGCTTCAGAATTAGATAAGGATGCCACTGCTAAGTTTGATACCAAGTTTTACACCTTAATTGCTGAAACATTGAATGCTCTTCAACCAATGATATTCCCTGGTTTTACCTTTGCATGGATATCATTAATCAGTCACCGGTTGTTCTTGCCTAGACTTCTCGAATTACCGGACAGACAAGGATATCAGAGCACATTAAGATTGTTGACCGCTTTATGCAAGTTCCAATTGGTGTATTCCAAGGAAGCCCATAACGACATCATTAGTGTCATTTTCAAGGCTATTAATAGAATATTCATTGGTATCCTACAGGGATACTCCGAATTTTTGGTGGAATGCCATTACCAATTGGTGACAGCCATCCCACCCAGTTATATTCAGTTAAAGAACTTGGTGTTATCAGCCACACCATTTTATGTTCATCTGCCTAACCCATTTACCCCTGGGTTAAAGGTTGAACGGGTTAGTGGCATTGATGATCTGCCATTTGTTGCCTATAAACCCGTTGATGATTTGGTCAAAATTGGATTAAAGAAACCAGTAGAGAACTTTCTTCGGATCCCAGCACCAGCGTTAATGAGAACCATTTATAATGGAATGAAGTTGAACACTCCTAAGGAGGTTGCCGGATTAAATGGTATTGATATTGTTCATTATAATGTCAAGTTAATTAACGCATTGGTATTACATGTTGGAATATCTGCAGTTGCTGATAAGGCCCCCACGAATACTCGTGGATTCAATACTAAACTGTCACAGGTTGCACTTTTAGTTGATTTAATGAACCATGGATCCAATGAGTTCCGGAACCATTTGATTAATGCCATTGCTAACCAATTAAGATACCCCAATAGTCATACCCATTGGTTCATTGGAGTGATTCTTCATTTCTTTAGTGCCAGTGCAATTTGGAATTCCGCTAACGGGTTGAATAATCAACTTGTGGTTCAAGAATTGATTACCAGGGTATTATTAGAACGTCGTGTGGTTAGCAAACCTCATCCTTGGGGGTTAACTATAGTGTTTACTGAGCTAGTGAAGAACACAGACTTTGGATTCTTTGACTTACCATTTGTTAAGTCTTGCAATCCTGCATTGAAGGCTATCTTTGATTCGTTGGCTCATAATATCAAGGCAGTGCCTGGGCTTGCAACGCCTGAAGGCAACTTCTGATATAGATGAATTAGAAAAACCAGTTAAACTTGATATATCTAATATAGATATTATTGATAGAGCTTTATCTAAAGAATTAAATCCTCTAAGTAGTTTAAAATATAATAAAACTATAACTGAGACTCATCATAAAGAAATTGTTGCTGCTACTGAAAAATTATTCTTTATAGATATGCTTGATTGCATATGGATGCTAAATAACCACTTATAGGTGTATTAATACTTATTGATGTTGCGCTTTCTGTTGCGGTTTTACAAGCATTATCCTCACGTAATCCATCCGTATAACCTTCATTCATATCAATTAATACTTTATCATTAATAATTTATTTACCTAATCTCTTATAAATATGAACATAATTAAACTGAGATCCTTTTGATTTGTTATTTATCATAGATAATATACCTTCCTTATTTGCAGTTAATCCTTCCAATGTTAATTCTTTTAAATCTACTAATACATAATCTTGTGTTTTTATTGGTTTGAGAAGTAGTATACATTGGCAAGCAACATATGGATAGTCAAGGCAGCCAATTTTTGCGAAATTACAGCAAGGAAACAAAGGAAAAGAACCATAGTGAATTAAGAAGTGGATGAAATGAAATTGACAAAGAGTAATGAACGTAGAGGTTAGTATACATAAAACGAATAGGGGCCAAAAAGCAGGAGAGATAGCATATGATGTAGTAAGTGAGAATATAAATGAATGAGAGAAACATGAGATAAAAAGTGGGGGTAATGAGGGTTGATAGAATGTGAGTAAGATATATGTAAAGCGTAAGTGAAGAAAGGTTGAGAATGGATGCGAAAATTTCTAGAGTAAGTGAGTAAGGGTGCGAAAAAAGGAGAAAATTTGTATGTAAAAGCGAGAAATCTTTTGAATTCAGGTACGGAAGAAAAATAAGTGTGAGGAAAGCTATAGTATACAAAATCTTTGCGAACAGTGAAAAAAGGGCCTGGAGGGACTTCATGCGATAATACTCTAGTAGAACTTTTTTCCAGTAATTAATTTATACAAAACTAATATAAAGCATATAATGATTTTTAAACAAGACGTTCATAAGTATAAAAAATCTGCTTTTTCTATCTACAAGAATTTAATTCATGCTTACTTTGGTGATAAATATCTGTTTAATAAAAGTATTGATCCCGCTGTAATTCCTGACTTCCTTAATGCTTATTTGTACTGTATAAATCATGGTTGTTGCATGAGTTTTGAATTTTCTAATTATATTTTAGATAATTTTTATTTTGAAGATACAATTTATAAACAAAGTATTACTGCTACTTATATAAGACATGGTAAGTTTGATGAAAGATTATATTTGGATAACTACACTTTATTTTTATATAATAATATAAGTTTAAATGATATAAAACCTTTACTTTCTATTGAAAATGATAAATTAAAAAGAATTTTATATATTGTTTCTTTATTAAATAATTTTGATATTGGATATGAGAAATATTCAGATACTTTTGATCGTTTTATACTTAATAAATATTTTAATATTCCAGATTCATCTAAAAGTTGTTTTAGAACATATTTTCCTTTTCCTAAAGATGGTGAATATACTTTTATGCATCAAGCTTTAGCTCAAATTAAATCTAGAGATCTAGATGATTATGTTATATCAGATTATAATTTTGAATATATTCCTGCTGATACAGACGCTATTTTTACTATTGAGAAAAGTATTGCTCGCCAATATTTTGAATCTATTTATTGTGGTGGTGTTTTTTATTTGGATGACTACGGAGATATTAAAATTGAAGATGTAAATGAAGATTCTATAATTATGGATATTAGATACGCTATTAAAGCTATCTTTGAAAATATTTATTTAGATGAAGCTTTAAGTAAGTTATATATAGTATATCCCGCTTTTATAAAAGATTTGTTAGAAAAGCACAAACCTTTTTTAATATTAGGCAATACCTTTTATTCTACGACAGTTTATCATGGATTTAAGGATGTAAATCCTCTTTATAATGTAACAATGATATATTCTTTAATAATGTATCATATAGACATTACTCCAATGAAAAAGAATATAAATTATTTAGATTATTGTTTAATAGAAGCTTGTATTGATTCATGTAATTTTGATGCTTTTAAAATTTTAAAAAGTTTAGGTTTAAAATGTTATAAACGAATTGATTTTAATAAAAAAGAATATTATCCAAATAATAATGAAGAAATTAAACTTAATTATGACGAATTATTTAGCAAATTAAAGTTTAATCCTAAAAAGTATAAATATTTATCTATATTTTAAAATAAATGTTATTTTTATTTTTAATGTTTTAATGGAGCTTTAATACAAACTTTATTCATATCAGTATATTTCTTGTCAGGAGGCGGAGTTCTTTAAATATTATCTAAATAATATGTATTCTGAATAAATTTTAAATGATCAAATGTTTGTTTTGACGTAATTTTACTTAAATCATATTTACTAATATATTCTGCGAGTTTATTTAATTTATCTATATCTGTTTCAAGAGCAATAATTTTATTAAATCCATTGAAATTTAAACCTCTAGTACCTATATTCAGATCAGTTAAACCTATTATAGTTTTAATATCATTCCTAAAATTATCCGGAGTGCCAGAAAATCTAAATAAATCAGCCATTGCTCTGGGAATTCTAGCTTTATTCATTAAAGTTTTAATGTCCAGTAATTCATTAACATTTATTGTTTTAAGTCTATTATAAGTTACTGCAAATCTATTTGCATAAACTGGTTGTTTTGGCGTAACTAACTGTATATTAACATTAATATTTTTATTTTTCAAGAAATCTACAACAGTAGGACGTAATTTGGTTATATCATATTTAGCCTTTAAAACGTTAATTGTATTACCATTTGAGATATATTCTAAAAACTTATTGTAAAAATTATTTAAAGTTATATCAGTATTTTTTAAATCTCCATAAATATTATTGTAGATATCAGGATTTATCATATTTATTGAATATTTAAAGATTTTAATCTATCATAATCAGTACTACCATCTAAACTAATTCCATCTTCTAAAATTATATATTTTTTTGTTATTCCACTTTCATCATAATCAACTTCATTTTTCCCTTTAGAAAATTGTATATAAATCTATAGGATCAGCAATTATTATATTATCATACTATGGATTCAAGTCAGTTTCTATTATGTTTCCTTTAAAATCAATAATAGTACATGGCTCCCCTTTCCATTCTCTTATATATGCAGCATTTTAATATCCCTTTGTTTTTATAGAATAAGGAATTTTATATAAATTGTTTTCTTTTATCGTTTTATACAATTTTGGAATAAATATTTCGTCATTATCATCGTATCATTTTGCTAAAGCTACTTTATATTTATCATGATAATACCATATTCCACTATTTTTAGGAAATTCTAAACCACCTTTTATTTTTTTTTTTCAGTTATATAAGGCGATTTTTTTTGATTTATTCTACTTGTTCTAAACCAGGTTTTATAAGCCAATGATCTATATGAATATTTTTTATAAACATCAACTCTATCAAATAATTCTTCTATATCTTTACTTTTATTATTATACTCATTTTCAAATTTTCTACAAAATACTTCAAATTCATTTGTATTACTTCCTTTAAATACAAATATATCATCATATAATTCAATATAACTTATTATAAATCAATATTGCTTTCTTTATTGCCGAATTTTTGGTTTCAGGTATAATAACTTCTTTGTTTAAACCCATTATAGTAAGCATTACTTGTAAATTAAAATACAGTTTATATAAAGTTACATTTGGTTTTATTATTTTTTTCTATTATTTTAAGATTAGGTATGCTTATTTCTTCTGTGAAAGATGTCATTTCACCTTGTCCATTTTCCAAGCATATCCATTTATTTTTTGTATATTAAGCTATTTCATAATTTTTTCTAGTTTTTAAATATGGAAAACGATCCATGTACACTTTTTCTATATGTTTTATTTTATTTAATCTTAATATTTGCCACTCCTCATTTATTTCAAAATTATCACACCATTTATATGGATTTTCTATATTATATGTGAAGTAAATTTTAAATTCAATAATACTAAGCATGTATAAAATAGTCGATATTAAGTATAATCTTTATTACTCGAATATAATTTCAAAAGAATTGTTTGAAACATTTTTTAACTAACTAACAAACAAACATTTTTGTTTGTTAAGCCACTGAACTCTTGTAGCATTAAAACCAGGTCAAGTTTTTAAGCAAAAGGGTCCTATTGTTATTCCTTTTATTAGATGAATTGATAGTTTTGAAGATGATGCAGAATTTAATGTCATATGTGATGTCCAATATGTCAAATATAGATGATACCTGAAATACTTGAGAATTTTGAATATTTTTCAGGATTAACTCAGAAAACTTTAAGTGCTTTTCATATAGCTGGTACTATCGTGAATTAAGCAACGAAATAGAAAATGTAAAAAATGAAAATAAATATAAATTAAAAAAAAATGTTGTTAAAACAGACAGAGATAAATATATTAGGTATTTTACTGATGGTACAAGATTAGCCACTGTATATTAGATGTATATTATATGAAGTTATATAGTAGTAGTATGGTATCACGATATAGTGGCATACCAATATGTAATGTTATCGCCGCTAGTCGTGTCTCTACCCGATCACAAACTCCAAATAGGGTAAGAATCAAAAGAGACAAAATTGTCGGTTGAAATAGAAAAGCGGATCTAACAAACTGAAACACAGTATAAAAGGTCTTCTAGTCCTAAAATGTCTCGGGTTAAACGGATTGCCAAAGAGTTAGAAGAATGTCGCCAAGACACCAACTCCGGAGTGTCATTAGAATTAAACAATGAAAACGATTTGACTTCATTGACTGGATATTTCGATGGTCCTCCAGGTACACCATATGAAGGAGGTAGATTTAAAGTGGATATTAAGATCCCCAATGAATACCCTTTTAAACCTCCACAAATGAAGTTTTTAACCAAAGTTTATCATCCTAATATTTCATCAGTTACTGGAGCCATTTGCCTTGATATCCTTAAGGATGCATGGACACCTATTTTGACTTTAAAGTCTTCATTGATCTCTTTACAGCTGTTATTACAACTGCCTGAACCAACTGACCCGCAAGATGCTGAGGTAGCGAAGCATTACATTTCCAATAGACAAGGGTTCAGTGATACGGCTGCCTATTGGACCAAACTCTATGCCAGTACAGAAAAGACTGGAGCTACACCTGTTAGTGACACAGCCATGTACGGAATTGATGATGGGCTAGTCACTCAATTTGAAAACATGGGTTTTGCAAGAAAGACAACCATTGACGTGTTACGAACAATGGGGATCAAGTCATTGAACGGAAGTGATAAAGCCGAGTTGGAAAACAAGATTCTTGAAGAACTATTGAAACAGAGTTGATGATACTCAATAACGTTAATCCTTATATATGTATATATGTATGTATGTATGTATGTATGTATGTATGTATGTATGTATGTATGTATGTATGTATGTATGTATGTATGTATGTATGTATGTATGTTAATTAATCCGTATATATATGACACAAAAGCAATTTTCTGATGAACCCAAAAAAATTTCACCATTAACTCTGTTTAACTTAATCCACCCATTAAATATATATCCACCCTATAGCTTAAAACGGGCCATTAGTATTCATCGCAGGTTGGAGCGTTGATATTACTTTTTTTTATTATATTGTTATTGTTGTTGTTTATAGAACGCCATTAGATCACATCATACAAACTTAATTCATAATGACTACTTCTCCTAGTGAAATAGAAGAGTTACAGATTGACCGTGCTACTTCTGTGGGCTGGCTCTTTGTCCAATCGTACTATGACATGTACAACAAGAACTACGAGAACTTCCACATGTTCTACCATGTTGACGGTTCACTTAGTCACAGTGAGTTCCCTGAAGCAGAAGAAGAAGGTGATGGTGACAAGAAGGCGTCTGACTCGGTAAAGACTGTGTTGAAGGCCACAGGCAAGGAAGGGATCAAGGCCAGATTCCTCCAAGATGGGTCTTTGAAACTGAAGAACAACAGCATTGTGGTTACTAGTGCTGATTTCCAAGTGAGTTTGAAAAAGAACATTTTGATTGTTGTCTCTGGTGAATGGTCTAGAAATGGGTCTCCATATTGGCAATTCAATCAGACATTCTTATTGACTCCTGGTAGAAAGGCCAATAGCTATGATGTGGCCAATGATGTGTTGAAGTTTGTTGATTTCAAGGAGTTTGACGACGACAAGGAGGTAGTCAAGGCCATGGCTGAAACGACAACTGCTAAAGAGGAGAAGGAGAAGGAGGATGAATCTGAAAAGGAATTGGAAAAGCCAAAGAAATCTGAAGTGATGGTACCTGAGACCACCAAGAAGGTTGAGTCTGAATCACAGGATGAACCTAAGAAGGAGAGGAAAGAGACTGAACCAAGCACTGTTAGTGTGCCCAGTACCAGTGATACCACGGAGACCACTGCTACGACTAGTGAAACCACTGGTAGTGAAACCACTGGTAGTGAAACCACTGCTACCAGTGAGACTACTAGTGGTGACACCACTGCTACTACTGGTACCAGTACTAGTGAGACTACTCCTACCACTACCACCAAGAGTGATCCAAAACAACCTATTAGTTGGGCAGCTTTGGCCTCTCGAGCAGCAGAAAAAGAGGGTGCTGCCCCTGCCGTAGCCAAGACAACCAAGACCAACTCTGCGACTCCTGTGGCTGTAGGAGCACCCACTGCCACTAAGAAAACAACCACCCCCGAAACTACCATAGCAGACAAGAAGGGCAATGGTAAAGACGATTGGTTCCCTATTTACATTCGGGGGATCAAGAATTTGGACGAGAATGTGGTGAAGAATTACTTGGTGGATAACTTTGGTTCTGTTCTTTTATTCAAGCCACTGGTTAACATTGCGTTATGTGATTTTGCCACCGAAGAGGGCCAAAGAAGAGCCCTTGAAGCTGGTAAGGCAACTATTGATGGGATCACTTTTGATTTGGAAAAGAGAGAATCAAAGAGAGACAACAACAACGGAGGGGGAATCAATGGTGCTCCCTTTAGCAGTAATGGAAAGAAGGGAGGTAAAGACCTTAAGGATAAACAACAACAACAACAACTTGGTGATAATGTAAAACGTACAAAGAATGATAAGAAGAATCCTAAAAAGAGACCTGGAGTCAAGCACCCAGAAGCTTTTTAGAATGTATAGATAGATAGTTTTAAGCACAAAGCATCAGATACAGACATGCCTCAGTATCCCACTGTTACAATGGAAGGTATTCTTTCACCTTCTCTAAATAATATATGCCGGGATATCACCTGCTGATAATAAAGACTGTAAACATTAGTAGATACATAGTTCCGTCTAGATTGAGACTACTACATGTTGACCTTTCAATCCATTCGTTTTTCGCAGCCACACTTAGACTGTGTAGTTAGCAGTTGATAGCTAAAGTAACACCCAAATTTTCGTCTACCAGACGTCAGACATAGTAAATATTTAGCACCATTAATTCAAGTCTATCACCTTGTTTATCGTCACCACATTTTATCATCACCATATCTCATCATCACCATAGAGTTAGCGAGAATAGTCCGTTTTCCACGCCATTTCTTGAACCAGTTCTTGAAATTTTCTATATTCATATTCCAGCTAATATAATCACCGCCTGCTACATCTAAAATACTTTCAAATAGTGAGCCAATTGATATGCACTCATTATACTCCCAACATTTAGTCACTTTTACTTTGTCATACAAGTCTTCACAACTTACAACTGCATTAAGCAATCAGGTTTTCCCAAGTCCAGTTTAATTTCTTCATCGTTCTGCTTAAATCAGTATGAACCAAAAAGTCATCCAAATTGTTATTTCTAACTATGTTCCATTGTTAGTAGCATATTATACGTTACGAAAATCTGCTTGTGGTATGGCAGAAATAATTACTGTCGTGCACATACCGAATTAATCACTGCCTCTTTTCAAATCAAGCCATGAGAGCAGGCTACTACAAAACAACCATCTTCTACAGCAATTATCACCATGAACTTCTTGCGGAGGCGGAAGAATAGCTCCGAGGATGAAGATGATGATGAATTCTTAAATGTTACAGCGGCAAAGAACACTAGAACAAAATCAAGGAAACCTCCAAACACCGCATTCAGACAGCAAAGACTTAAAGCATGGCAACCAATCTTAACTCCTAAACTGGTGATTCCTTTATTACTTTTGGTAGCAATTATCTTTGCTCCTTTGGGGACAGTGATTACACAGACTCAATATAACGTGGAGATCATTCAAATCGATTACTCTAAATGTGAATCATTGGCCAATACTGAAGATTATCGTTCTGTTCCCAAAAGTAAAGTGTATTATCATTTCAAGGGTAAGAGTACTGATCCTAATGTTAAATGGAAGTTGATCAATTCAACATCTCACCGTGGAGATGAAGGTTTACGCTGTCTGCTTCAATTTGATTTACCTAAAGATATCAAACCTCCACTTTATTTATATTATCGTTTAACCAATTTCTATCAAAACCATAGAAAATACGTTCAATCTGTTGATTTACCTCAATTGAAGGGGGAAGCTGTATCGCCGGAATCTTTGACTACCAATTGTAAACCCTTGAGATCAATAACTGATGATCAAGGTAATGAAAAAGCCATTTACCCCTGTGGGTTGATAGCAAATTCAATGTTCAATGATACTTTTGAGAATCCTGTGCTTTTGAACCCCAAACTTAGTGATAATAATGAAACATACACGTTTTCCCAATCTGACATATCTTGGTCTTCTGATAAAACAAAATATAAGAAAACAACCTATAACGTCGATGATATAGTTCCACCTCCCAACTGGGCTAAACAATTTCCCAATGGGTATACCACAGATAACTTGCCTGATTTAAATAATTGGGAACATTTCCAAAATTGGATGAGAACAGCTGGACTACCCAACTTCTACAAGCTTTATGGTAAGAACACAACTTCTACGTTATCTTCGGGTACTTATCTGATGAATATCAATCTTAACTACCCTGTATCTGTGTTTGGAGGAACTAAATCAGTTGTTATCACCACTTCTTCAATCTTTGGTGGTAGGAACGTTAGCTTAGGAATCATCTTCATTATTGTGGCCGTAGTATCACTTGTGATGCTGATTGGGTTCTTCTTACAGCATTTGATTCGACCCAGAAGAGTCGGGGATCATAATTTCCTCCAAGGTTCTGCATTCACGGCTGTCAGAGATCAGCTATAGGCATAATAGTCACTATAGTATGGTATTATATAGTAGTGTAAAGTATAAGTTGTACAGTTATCTCACAGTCGTCCCCATACCGATTTCTCCAGGAAAAATTTGAAGTTTCTATCCGAACACCGATTTCAAAGTATGGGAGTGTCTAGACCTTCAACATAATAAGTATCCTCATCCCTTTATCCCACGTATATAAATAAGGCCACCGAATCCGAGTCATCCAATTAGAGCGATAACCGCCTACACCCCGTCTCAAGCTTATGTGCTTACAATGAATGTGAATCCACATCTCCAATATTTGCAGCAGCATCAACAGCTGCATCAGCAGCAGCAGCAGCAGCAGCAACAACAACAACAGCAACAACAGTCAGGTAACCAGCCTCCTATAAGCATTAACATGTCGTCACCTCAAGTGTCCCTGTTGCAGCTTCAGCAGCAACTCCAAAGACAGCAGTTGTTGAGTCAACACTTGCAGTCACAGGGCCAACAACAACAACAACAACAACAACAATTAGCAGGCAATTCAGGTACACCCGGCGCAGCCAATCAGCTTCTAGCAGTTATAAATGGTGGAGGAGGGTCTAATAATATTAGTGGAAACTCCAATGTTATGAATGTTGCACTCAACAGTAACAACACCAATATGAATCCATTAATTCAGATGCATTTACAGCAGCAGCAGCAGCAGCAGCAGCAACAACAACAGCCGGCACAGTCTCAATTCCAACAATCGCAACAACAGTCGTCACAGTTACAACAACAGTTTCAACAATTGCAACAACTGAGTCAGCAGCAACATGTTCCTATTATAAAGGAAGTTTGGGCTTACAACTTGGAACAGGAGTTCCACAACTTGAGAACGTTGATCAACGACAAGTCACTGAGTGTTTATGTAGCTATTCACCAAGAGATCCCCGGGATTGTGGCCCGTCCAGTGGGTACTTTCAAGTCCTCAGCTGATTATCATTTCCAGACCTTAAGATCCAATTCAGATTTACTTAATTTAATTCAATTGTGTTTGTGCGTGACCATGATCAAAGATAATACGGTTAGTACCAGTGTTATTTGGCAATTCAATTTCTTTTACGATCTTAACGAAGAAATGTATAACGAAGAGCATTTAAGTATGCTTTCCCAAACTTCACAGATTAATTTCCAATTACATATGAGTCAAGGGATAAAACACTTTTCATTTGCTGAATTATTTATTGAGAGTGGGTTAGTATTAGATTCTTCAATCAATTGGATTAGTTATCATGCTGGATATGATTTAGGGTTTTTGGTAAGTTTAGTTCTTAATGATAATCTTCCAGTTGATGAAGAAGATTTCTATTGGTGGTGTGCGCAATATTTCCCAAGTTTTTATGATTTAAAGTTCATTGGGAACCAAGTCCTCAACAAAACTCCTAATGACGAATCCTCAAAGAATTCAAATAAGCCCTCTATTGAATATCTTGCAGAGGATTTACATTTATTACCCATTTCTCCTGCTATAAGACAATATTTTGCTTCGGCCACGGGCCAATATGGTAACCACCAACAACAAATGACCGCCGTATTACATGCATATTTATCCATGGAATGTTTCAAGGAGATCTTTAGACAAACCGGGTTTGATGGTTCGTTACTTACCAGATTCAAAGGGATTATATGGGGATTAGGATCTATTTATAGTCCTAATGAGGGTACTAGTAACGGAGCAACCACTGCAACATCGGGGAACACTCAAGTTGCCAAGACTGCTGCTCTTTTACAACCTTCTACACCTGTTTCGTCAAAGACCGGAGTGGTTCATCTTGGAAGAGCAATGTAATTGTCATCAACGACATATGTATTTTAGTGTAGTTAATATTACAGTATATCATTACAGTACAAGTGTGACCTTAATATAACCCTTTATTAATCTTGAATACCTTTCCATTCACCATCAACAGATTGAGCTTCGTCTTCATCCACAGGTTGAGTTTCATCCACCTTTTGTCTCTTTTCCATCTTCTCTTTCTTCTCTTCTCTCTTACGTTTATAATGAGCTTTCTTATCTTCACCATCTCTCTCCTCTTCATCCTTTGGTGGAGGTACAAACCATGGGATCTTCCCTCTGTTGAAATCATTCAACACTTGCTTTGCCACACCAGATTCATCAGGCTCTCCACCTTTCAAAAGTCTACCTTGTTTCCTTGCAATCAACTCAATGAACTCTATGCTTGCTCTTTCCAATAAGGACTCGTTTGACTCTTCATCTTCAAACCTGGTCCATCCTTTGATCTCATATGTTCTCTCCAAATGCTTCCGTTCACACTTCTTCAACATGTCACCAATGTACTGTTCTGGATTCGACACATGTTCGACTCTGACTACTCCCCGGAACAATATGTCCGACTCGGTATCCTTAGCAGACGGAGGTACAATCCCGGGACAATCAATTAAAAAGATTCTCTTCATCAATGTGATATATTGCCAGACCTTAGTCTCACCGGGAATGGGTGCCACCTGACACACCTTCTTTTGACGTAAGGTGTTGATAATAGATGACTTCCCAGTGTTGGGGTAACCAATGAACCCCACGGAGATTTGCTTCCGATCGGCGTGCAACGTAGAGAACTGGCGTAATAATTGGATCAACGACCCCTTACCAAACGAGTTGGTGATAGAGGCATGGAATGCAATGGTAGGATAGAACTGGGATAAGTATTTAACCCAGGCAGCCTATAGATAATGCTGTTAGTATGATGTTGTAAAGGGTAAGGGCTAGGAAGGCCCTTCATTGGACGGGTGACATAGAACAGTGATAAGTGTAGAGATAATGATGTCGGTTTCTGTACTACGAAACAATTCATGAGAAGACACTCAAGTCTTGAAAGGTTTCAACTCAAATAGATCCCGTGACTATCCTAAAGGTGTCAATAAAAACTATCAACAGATTGAACTAATCCCCACCAAAACGGAAGGGAACCAGAAAACTGGGTCCAGAAAGTCGGATAGCATTGTTCTTCCAAAGACGTAACAGACAACGAAGTAGATAATTGGTTGAAATGCAACCATTTCGTCACCCTGACAAAGGCCTTTGGTGTTAGTAATAGTAGTCAAGGTACACTATAAATGTAGTGCCCTGTCACAGTACTTGCTGTACTAATATTATCCTCCACACTATGTCCCCCACTATACTCCCAATCAATTGATACATACCGCAACCCATGTAGGGACTAAATCACACTTGTTTAAAACATAAATCAAATGTTTATGAGGACATTCATCCTTAATATACTTCTCAACAGAAAGACACCGAGTCCCCAATGGATCTCGAGAATCTAAAACATGTATAACCACGTCCGATGAATCAATGACTTTGTATAATTCGTTCCAGATTCTTTTGGATTGTCCCTTACTGAAAATATGTTCCTTTGCTTCTTGAGTAAACTCATCGTTATCTAAAATCGATCCTCCCATCAACCCCAACGTGGCATTTAATTCTTGTTTCTCTTGATAAGCCGTGGCATCATTGTCAGTTGATAATGCCAATTCCTCTAAATTAGATGCAGTAACTCTAGGACGTTTCCGTTGTTGCTTGGGACCAAATGCATGTTGAAACGACTCAGTTTCCAAAATATTGGCTGTAGGTGATTCACTTTGATCCTTCTCATCTAAAAGTGACATGGGTAACTTGTTTCTCTTCATTAAAACTTGATAAGAATCATGTTTCCTTTCACCCATAGCTTCACGGAAATGAGTCAAGGCATCTTGTGCAATAACTCGGGTATTACCAAACCAACGTCTATTAGGATCAACCCTTGCGTTTGGTTCATCTGTACTTTGTAATGCGGCAGCCTTCACAATCTCTCCTTGTGCATTTCTTTTGGCTCTACCTTGTTTATACATATTTAACCGTTTAATCTTTTTAGCATCTTTATAAAAGTTTTCTCCTTTAACCCGGAGATTCCCATCCCGAGTATCATTTTGTCTGACTCTTCTTTGTTTCTCCTTCTTTTGAGTACCCATCACGAACTATTATTATTAAGATTATATATATATACTATTTAAATAAGAAGTTGACTTAAACAATGAAGAAGAAAACTTTTACTACGGTGGAATAAATTTAATGAAAGAATAATTTACAGTAGCGATGAGATGAGGTTACACAAATATATCCAACAGGCGCTACCAGAAATTGAGAAATGGTAGCGCCGCGAAAAAAAGTTTAAGAATGGTGTTTACGTTCTAAAGGTCATGATACGCCCCTTAGGTAAACGTAGCATCTAATTATCGTAGATACAATTATATATGTATCATGTATATGGATGATATACATATACATATATATATTCACTCAATTGGCATCAGCCTAATTGCTACTAGTCATTTATTTCAATAAGAGCTACTATAATCGCTACATATTATGTCTGATATCGTATCTAACTTGAGTCCTACTCAAGAACACTTTCTTAAAAAGTATCTACTAGAACAATGTCTAGCAGATGAACTACATGAATTATCGGAGCCTGATTGTTGTCAGAAGATAGGATTTCCCTTCAGTAACAACAGCGACACCGACTACCTGGCTCAATTGCCAATGGTTCGGTTTATATTTCAACGATTCATCATCACCTTCCCCTTCCTCAGCCACAACTCAGAAGCTAACCAAATTAGATTCTGGCAATCAACAGTCCAACCATTTGTTGAAAGTTTCAATCTGAAACCAATTAGCACGTCGGAAGAAAGGAGAACCAATGTTACAAAGAGAAGACAAGTTAATCATAAGTTTATGTCTTCATTCCTATTCTTTTACAACTCTACGATAATATCTCCGAAAGATCTAGATTACTTTAACTCCGACCATCTAAAGGCTTCAGACTCGGGCAAGATCGACAAGTTAGCTACTGCTACCAATGTTGTTGATTCTCAATTGTCTACTACGCATTACTTACAATCCCTTGATGATTTCAAGAAGATGAATTTCCATAATGGTCTAGCACTTAATGTTGTAGCTGTTCGGACCAATGAAGTGTCTCGGAACAAGCTGTTGTTTCTGTCATTTTTACCCTCTAGTGATCCTCTGGTCAGGAAACATGAGTATGTGATTAATGTGGTTCGTAGAATCGATAAAGAAGAAGGAATATACTCCAAGCACTTTGTTAGTAGAGGGTACAAGGACTTTCAAAGTCTTCATTCTAAGTTGGTGCGGAAGTATCCCGGTATCGGGCTTCCTCTGTTACCTCTGAAGCCCAAGAATGATCTGAATTCGATTCTTGTGAAGGAGAAGCTCCGCCTTGCCCTAAGAGGATATTTGTTAACGGTTTTCAAGTTTTCCGAGGTCGCTCATCTGAGTTATTTCATTGATTTTATATCTCTAGAGAAATTTGATTCCTTGCTGGAACTGGACCAAAAGGATTATAACAAAAGAGTCATTCAAGAAGCCAAGATGATAGAAACTCAAAGGCAATTTCAACAAATAACTTCAATAGCCATTAAGGAAATGTCCAATTCACTTGAACTGTTGAAAGCTGAACTAATAAAAAACCCCCATTCGTTAACTAAAATTATCCAAGAAATTGGTACAATATCTAACATTAAAGAAATGTCACCTTTATTACAAACATTCAATGAATGGTCCAAATTAGAAGTTGCAGCCTTGTTTTATCAATCATTTATTGCACTGGATAATTCAAGTGATTGGTTTCTGAAAATTAAAAGATTCCATCGTCTTTTCCCTTACACCTTGGTTTATGGTATACTAAGAGTTACCAATCCTGCCAAAATTATTTCTAAAATAATTGATTTGCTACTTGTTAATATGCCTAGCCTTCCAAGTTGGGGATCATTAACCAGTGGGTCCAAATCCAATGAATCTCGAAATCTTCTTTCGTATATATTTGTTTCGATTATGGATGAAGATTTAAGTGGCAATCATAAAGAACTTGAAGAAATAAAGGCAAGAATCCCCCCTGATCTCAATACATTTATTCAACGAATTGAAGCTTATTCTTCACTAAGTTATGAAGAAGTCAATCACATCAAAGATTATGCTCTTGAAAATGATCATGATTTATGTTTAGAAGTGCTACTGACAAATCTATTGACACCTAAACTCTCAATGACCGATATTGAATTGTTTAAGATCATTCAAAGTCTGTACGAATGCTATAAGAATGGAGATATGAAAAAGGGTGAAATATATTCACTTTTATGTCAGTATTGGCAGTTAAGAGTTAAACAGCGTGATAGTGAACTTTTCAAACAACTATGGAAAGAACCTGAATTAACTCATTTGATTAAAAATTTTTTAACGACATTTTATCATCCTTTAATGGATTTATTTTGCAAATGCAATATTCATCTTGTGTTTCGAGATTTTCAACTGTTTATGAATGACTTCATTGAATTATTCACGGAGCTCTCAGATTCAGGACAATACTATAAAACTCCAATGGAAATGTATAATGACATTAAAGGGTTATTAGATACTCATGAAAGTATGTTTTGGAATTTTGCCAATAACATCTATTCTAAAGATGATAAACATTTGTTTTCCAACATAACGCAGTGGTTGGAATTGATACTTGTAAATTTACGACTTAAACAACTGAGACCTGAATTGGTAACGATTCATTTCAAAGTCGACGACGCTAAGATAATCGATAAGGAGTTATTTTTAAAGCAACTTAATGGTCGAGTCTCCAGAAGCTTGGAGAAGAGGAGATTGGTTGAGCAATTCTTAGGGAACTGTATGGCCCTGAATGAAAAACCAAAGGAAAATAAAACTTTTCAAGAGCTAATAGATAACCAATGGGATGAACTTCATGATCAAATGATCTCTGGATTTGGAGGAGCGGAAGACTTTGGGTTATTAAGTGATGATATAAATGAATTGAATTTGAAACAAGATGGAACCGGCGAGTCAGAGAAGGAATTAAGATCCCGTCTTAAACAATTAGATGAAGAAGCTTCAAAGTTCGGGACGAGCGAGCTTGATAAATTTATTGAAGGCTTCAAATTACAGTTGATAGAATTACTACCAAGACTTCATACTGAACTTGAAACAGTTCGAAAGAAGTTGGGTGAAACATATATTGATAGTTAAAGCGCAGCTTTATAAGTAAATTATACTATAAACAGAGACCACCTTTGTTTCTTGAAAGATACCATATATTTGTGGGAAAACCACTTAAAACTATACAAATAGTCCTATAGAGTGCTCCAAATGTAACAACCCAGGTATACTCCTAGTTGAGATTCAGTCTGCCAACCATCTATTCCACACAGCTCTATTGTTAATCAAACTGGCCCTTAATAGTATATAAGACGCACATAAAGATTCAACAACATTCGGTTGTATAGTGTAGTGGTTATCACTGTCGGTTTTGATCCGACCAACCCCGGTTCGAATCCGGGTACGACCTTCTTTTTTATTTTTTTTAACATACTTGGCGGTAGACACTGAAGATGTACGAGCTAATGGTAACAGCGTACATTGCGTGACTCTACCAGAATATGTATGGCTATGTGAGAGTCTTTGATGATCGTGTATCTTAAACCTCTCTGGCATGGTTCTAGACCATATACCTTAATGTCATATTCTCCGGTATGCACACGACGTACACTATGGTATACCCCCGCAATTTAGCAGTATGTGAGTACGTAAGTTACTTACCCACTGCTTCCCTTTTCTTGACTGTCAAAGTGATACATCACATTTTTAATACGTTACATTTGTATTGATTATGATTGAATACTATAATAGTTGTGTTGTTGATGGAAAGTCGGGGTTCAACCTCCGAACAGCTAAAGATAAGCCGGACATAAGAAACACCAAGTACAAATCTCCCACAGATCATTTGAATTGTCCGATATGTCAACAACCATTTATAGAACCTATGACTACTATTTGTGGACATACGTTTTGTCGAGAATGTATAATGGAATGCTTCAAGATGACGTCTCCGGGAACCAATGAAAGTAGTAGTAGCAGCCGAGGGTCTTGTCCATTAGATCGTACTCCTATAGATTCAGACAATAGTAACGATCTATTCCACACTCCCTTGGTAATAGCCAATATGGTTGATGATCTACAGGTTCATTGCTTGAACATGGACCGAGGATGTGTGTGGATTGGAGCCAGATGGGAGTTGGAACATCATGCTATGGTTGATTGTGGGTACACTGGAGTTGTATGCAATGGAGTACGACTAGAAAATAGACACGAGGAACAGAAAGAACCACATGATGAAAATGCTGGTAGAGATGATGCTAAAGATGATGATGTATCTGGAGAAGATGAACAAATAGAACAAGAACTGTCCGACTCTGAAATACAAGATGAGATTCAAGTTATGACTGAAGAATTGAGTCAAAGTTCACTTGAAACCCCCCCGAGTAAATGTTCATTACTTGTTGAAAGAAGATTTATTCAAGACAACGAACAGTGTTGTCATGAATTATTCCCTTGTCAATACTGCGAAGAGCCAATATGCCATGCTATTGAAGAGACTCATCTTGGGTCACATTGTAGGTTGAACTACCAAACATGTGATATCTGTGAAAACGATACCATTCTTCAAATGAATATGGCTACTCATAAAGCCAACTGTTGTCACATTCGAAGTTTCAAGTGTCCTGCCAATGCAATAGGATGTAAATGGATTGGGAACAACCAAACATCACTTGATATTCACATGGAAAGTGATTGTCCTTTGAATATGTTTCTCCCCATTTATCAGAACCTTAGCAGCAAGATTGAGACCTTGGAGAGTGATAATCAATTTTTACAACGACAAATAAATCGTATACTAAACCTGGTAATTCAAGGTAAGGTTACTAACTTGGGATATAGTGATCATATTGAAGAGATAAATAAGTTTGAAACATCATTTGAACAAAACAAAATGGTGCATTTGAATTTTGAAGTTGAAAGAATGAAATTCGAATTGGAAGAAAAAGTATTGCCATTAATTGATAAACTAAGAGGTAGTCATGAAAGAGAAAACATGTTGAACAATATAATCAGTGACAATTTTATGATGAAAGAAGATCTTAATGTGCAAAGAATGTACATCAATAGTTTAAGGAAGCAATTGCAATTTTTATTATTTGCAAGAAATCGAATGCTGACTCAACAACCAATGGAATTTGACCCTTCAGATCATCTAGACTATAGTTCATCAGAAGAAAGATTAAATTTGAAGCTATAAAAATACAAATATTTTCACCACATCTTAACAAGATCAGACCATTCATTGTTTTTTCTTCGGTTCCAATAACTGTTTTCTCCTGTTTTATAAACCCATTCTCCAGTGTCTGGGGATCCACCTCCCACATGTTTGAAGAATCTTGGAACGTGTTCTTCATTTGAAGATTCATATTCCTTACGTCTGGTTCTTTGATCTTCTTCCAATTTGATCTTCAATTCTTCTGCTTTTTCAATATCCCCTGAAATGTACACTTTCATATCAGGACGTAATCTTGAATCTGTTGGTGGTAAACTATTGGTTTCTAAGGGTGTGACCAAATTTAATGAAGCAGCAAATTCCGTTAATCCATACCGTTTACTTGCTTCGGGTAATAATTTACCCACTTCCCATATAACTTTTTCAGTTGTTGTTGTCTTTAAAATCAATTTCTCTGTCCATTTACCAGAAACAGAATAATTCAATTTCTCTTTAGAAGAATTGAATGCATTAATCGTAAGATCTTCAGATCTTCCACTAAACATTCCAGCTTTAGCAAATTCAACCACTGCTTTCAATCCACTAGATGATTTGATTGTCATTGAGTCTGTTGGTTCTGAATATTTTTCACCAGCAATAATGTTTTTGATTAATGTTCTTGCTTGATTCCAAGTATAAACTTCCCCAGTGACTTTATCAGTTAATTTACAAGTTCCCTTTGTGGTGACTTCAAAGTTTTTACCCCAGAATTTCTGTTCAGGTGATGGACTAAATGTTAACAGCCAACTTTCATGTTCAACATGATAAGCAAATACCGGTGGTCTATGTGATACTTTTTCAGCAACTAATCTGATACCAAAATCTTCTCTAACCAATTCAAATGTTTCTCCCAACAATGGATTAAAAGGCTTTCTAACGTTCCGTTCTTTAACTCTCATAGATGACAAATAACTCACAGCAAAGGTTGCAATACGTAAGATCTTTTCACCTGAATCTGGTGGGAAATCTGCCAGTAATGCGTTGGTTATAACATCACAATATTCAACCAATTCAGCAAATTTTTGTAAGATAGTTAATGGTTCATTAAAGGTAACAGGCATAGCAATTGAAGCCAAATCTTTACCGACATTTTTTCTAACAAATGATAATATACTTGGTGGTGTATGGGTACATTTGGGGATATCAATTTCCCGTACAACGGTCAGATGAGGTAATGGGAATAAGGTATAGTCACAATCATCTTCCTTATAGGCAATGGTTGGTTCTGGTACAGTTTCTTCAGCAACGTCACTTTCAGAGTCACATTCAGATGATGAATCTCCATCATCATCTGATACCACGGGTTCATCTTCTTCCTTGATGTCCTTCAATCCATTGGATGAGGTTGTTGGTTGTTCTTGTGTTTCTTCTTCATCTTCATTTAAAAGAACCACACTTGAATAGAATTGCTCTTGAGCATCATAGAATTCACCCAGAGAGAATATGGAAATACCATCACCAAGACCCGAACCAGAACCAGAAGCACTTTTATCATCTTCAAAATACTTTAAAACATCAAGAAGTTCGCCATGAGTATCAAACAATTGTTGTTGGATTTGTTCAGTCGATGAAACACCCACGGTGGTTTTCAATTCGCTCAATTTGTTGGAGATTTTAACTAACAAAGATCTGATTTCTGCCTCTGGAACTCTTGTGCCAGACTTTTGGTTGGATATATCATCTTTCTCTTCATCTTTAACTTCATTGAAGGCATTGACCCATATTTTGAAATCATTTTTGTCTAGAGCTTTTAAGTACCAAACCTCCATACCCGAGTCCACAATGATCTCATTGGTACTTGAGTTTGCACTGACTATAGCCAATTTTATAGGCATTTGACCTCTTAATTTATTGTCATTGGGTTTATAATATGACAAATTGCCCGTGGTGAAGTTCAACACAAAATATCTCTTGACAAAGCCTTGCAACTTCTTTCTTCTTCTCTTTTTCAAAAGCATGCTCTGCAAAACATCACTATCTTTGGGTCTAAAGGCTCCCAGTGAGGTATGGGACTTTGTTGCACTCAGATCAACTGAGAACAGCACAGAGTTTGAAGAAGAAGAAGGAGCAGGAGTGGGGACCGATTTGGGAATAACACTGCAGTCAAAAAACACTTTTTTGGCAGTGGTTTTGGAAAAGGTATTGTCAAACATAAACCCATAAGTTCCAGGACCCACTTCAAGTTTACCATGGACGAATTCATCAGCCACCAACTTGAAATAGTCTTTGATCAACACAAGATTCGACAGTGATAATTGACTTGAAACTGTTACTGAGGACCGTGAAGCTCTACGGTATGGAGGGGGGACTCTTTGAACCGAGTTGACCGAATCCGATCTCAATCGAGATGATGAAGCTCCAGCTCCTGCTTCAGTAGGCAATGATGGCGGTACCAACAGATCTGTGCTGGCATTTACACTGGAACTGCCATTGGTGGTGGTGCTAAGACACAGAGACCCGTTGTTCTCTTGTAGTCGAGAGAGAGACGACACACTGGATTCATCACCGTTCTTCTTATAGAAGCTGAAATTGATGGACTTCTTCAACGGACGCACTTGGAACTCAACAATGGAATCACCGGGCACATTGATCCATTTTATAACGAAATCCTTCGAGTGTACTTCAACGGTATCCATTGTGGGTAGGAACTTTATGGAGATCGGAGGGAAGGATGTGTCTGTTTACGACGGTACTTGTTGTTGTAAAAGACACACAGACAGACAAATGAACTAGACAAACCCGCCAAAGTAGTCAGACAATTAATAGTGTAACTCAGACAGTTAATCTGCGTTAACTTGACCCAATGAAGAATCAATCGTTACTTTATATCTTTAAGGCTGTCGCTTGACCGTGGGTGAAACCCAGTTTATGTACAGGACGGAATACCCTATTTGGGAAATAGGTGTTCCAGAGTCCTCGGATAGGGGAATTAAAGGTGTAACCAATAAAACGTATTAAGGGTAAACAATATAAGTTGGCGTGCTGCTAGTAACTATAATATATAGATATACATATATATGTATTTGTCATTGCAATGGGTGTTTTTGGGTATCAGTGTATATTTATTTCCTGCATATAGAAAACATATAACCTCTTGGTCTACCATAGAGTTTCATCCACAAAATATAACCAACTAAACCCATTCCAACTACTTATGATCCCCAATGCGGTATATACACTTATAAGCATTAACTTCAAAAATTCAAGTTTCCGAAGAAACTCGTATTTGGACTCAAACAAGTCCATCATGGAAGTGAAAAGTATTAATGGAACCAATCCAAGTATATATAATTGAGTAAGACGATGGAACATGATCCCAGAGGAGCCTCCGACGTTTTTTGGGAGCTTAACGACGGCATTGAACGCAACGTAAAAGATAACAAACCACATGAATGTAAAAGTCACCTTAAAGATCCATTCACCAGGAGTGAAGATTAATGGGAACAAAGAAACGTACCCACAACTTACTAACAAATTAAATGGTGCAAGTAGTGATTTGCTGTTGCATACCAAAAAGGTTATAGGGAAGATCACAATTAGGATGGCTTTCTCATGAACATGCCATCCGAAAAGGAATGAAGCGTAGCCACATAACACCAAGGCCCCGACAAATCTCTTATAATTGGGCTGAAAGAATAATGGAATCAATGCCATGATCTGGTAGAATAATGTCAAGATAAAGGTGATTTGAGGTGTTATGGTGGGTAAGATGAAGAATTCTATATCACCCACAATTCCTCTTGTAGATTTGTTGAGCATGTCGGGATTTGAGAGTAGTCCGGCATTAAATTGGAACACTCTTTGTAAGATTGTTCGGGACAAGGGTACTGATTTGTACACTTGAATCAACACTCTATCGACGAACAGATAGATGGCCCATATATTTGGTGCCCAATAAGCGTGAGTCAACCCTCTACTGAAGGGGAATAATCTTGAGAATAACTGGGGCAACACTCCGTAATAGGCAAACGGACCGAATGCTACTGTGAACACACTGGCCACCACTAGCCCTAATTTTAGACAGTTAGTCCATTGAATAAGACCCACCACATTATTGACCAAAGATTTCTTGTTATCGTATTTCAAGGAAAGACAATAGCCGCTCAACAAATAGACAAACACGGCTGGTGCAAGATACAAGTATATGTGTTTGAAACATAAGAGTACGGCAAACCAAAAGCCGCACATTAAATGCTGATCTAATCGGGCGCAATTGAGCATAAGTACCAAGATCCCATACATCATTCCATTGTACTGGAAATGAATGTGATCTATCAACATTAACCCTGGAGATAACGCTAAGGATGCAGCTATGGCATACGCTCGTTTCTTAGACAGATACAGCTGGCACGTGTTGATGAACCATTGAAGGGCTACAAACAAGACCAATTCACTGGCAATGACCGTGGCTCGTTGGAAATAGATTGTGGGGAGACCATAGTTGCCCACGGGCACGATTTGTAAACAGCCATCGGCTTTAACTGGGGCCGGGACCAATTGACTTAGAAACCATTCAAAATAAGCGAAGAAGGGTGGATAGTCCAATGTCCATTGACTGGTGGCTTCCACGTACCATTGACTTAACGGTAAGTTATGAGTGATAGCCAACCAGTTTCTGTGCACGTCAAAGTCAGTGGAGTGATATCCTACTGCCACCAAGAGCTTAGGGGCCAACAGGATTAGCCATATGTTAAGCAACGAGAATTGGTCTGTGGGTGACGGTGAGGAGGATGACGGTTGATCTTTGGGTTCAGGTTTCGATTGAACCTCCCTCGGCAGAGACATAGCAGCACCAGTTGACGTCTTTGCCATGCTGATGATGAGAGAAGAGTGGCATGAGTTGCTTTGGGAGATAATTTTCGCAGTAGTAAACATCAAACGTCGCAGTAGTGACGGTGTTGTGCAACATTAATGAGTCGAGTGAGGTGGATAGAGACCATTGTAGTTGGATGCATAGGAGCATACCCAGGATACTGTGCTCTGTTTATAATCAGTATAGTTGCTGCTCCTAACACGCTGTAGGTGAGATTAGTGTATTTCCAAAGCTTATGGTACTCTTGTAGTGCACGGTCGTAAAGTCAGACCGCATACTCAACACCTTCTTCTCTCTATCTTCACCGGTTCACGCCAATATAATTAGACTTAGCCTTTGATATCGGCCGGCATCTACTTGTTCCGATAATAGTGATCATACTCGTACTGTGCGGTACCGGCGTCCGATACTTATCTACTACTTGGTTAACAAATGGCATCCGAATCTACACCCTTGCACCAGCACCATCCACATACAGCGTATCTCCAAGAAGCCTCTACCGGGACCGCGGGAGTCGTCGTGGAAGGAATAGTTGGCGACGAAGATAGTCTTTACAACAAGCTAGCCCCCGAAGAGTATGGCGCCACAGAACAACAAACTGAAAGTAGTGGCGGTACTGCGGGCCTCGCTGCTGGGACCGCTGGGACTGCTGGCAAGACCCGCTCCATTCATTCTGCTACTGTTGAGCCTTTATCGCCTGCTCAGTTGAAATGGGTGGTGGGAAGTCTTTGGTGTGGGGCGTTCCTCGCAGCGTTGGACTCAACAGTAGTGACAACGTTACTCACTACCATTGCTTCTGATATGGATGCCATTGGGAACATCGCCTGGATCGCCACGGCTTACTTGTTATCATGTTCGGCATTCCAGCCCATCTACGGTAAACTATCGGATATCTTTGGTAGAAAGCCGTTACTTGTTATGTGTACAGTATTCTTTGGCCTTGGATGCGCCATTTGCGTTACCAATAATCTTTGGGTCCTTGTTGTGGGTCGGTTCATCACGGGTATTGGTGGCTCAGGGCTAACCACCTTGGGAACCATCACCATGCTGGACTTGATCCCCTTACGTGATAGAGGGTTGTACCAGGGGCTTGCCAATATCTTCTATGGTCTTGGAGCAGCTTCTGGTGGGATCATCGGTGGGGTGGTAGCAGATACTTTGGGTTGGCAATACGTCTTCATCCTACAAATCCCTCTTTGTATTATTGTAGGGTGTGCCATCTACTTCAACCTTCAATTGCCTGAAGGATCTCCAGGGTTGGGCGTTCATGGTGATGATATGAAACAGAAGTTGAAGAGAGTAGATTTCTTAGGGTCTTTGTTTTTGGTGTCTGCTCTTATGGTTATTCTTACGGCTGCTTCGTTAGGAGGGAGTACTATTCCCTTTGCATCTGTAACCTTTGTGGCATTAGTGATCTTGTCCGTGGTTTTACTTGGTGCGTTCGCTTATACTGAGACATACGTCTCAGCCGAACCCATCATCCCTATCGAGTTATTGGGAGAAAGAACCATCTTATCATCTTCCTTAACTAATTGGTTTCAAACTATGGCGATCTTCACTTATATGTTTTATCTTCCTGTTTATTACGCTTCCGTTTTAGGGCTTTCTTCAACTGATAGTGGGTTAAGATTAGTACCTAATTTCTTTGGTATTTCCTTTGGTTCAGTAGGGGCTGGTATTTATATGAAGAGAACAGGCACTTACTATTATTTTGCTATAATTATGGGACTTCTATCTATCTTTGGTACTCTTCGGATTTACAACATCCAACAATCCATTCCTACTTGGGAACAGTTTACTTTGATGGTCCCCTCAGGTATTGGTTATTCTGCAATGTTAACCGTGACTTTACTTTCATTGATAGCTGCTGTGCCCGTGAAATACCAAGCTTGCACTACTTCAATTCAATATACCTTTAGATCCACAGGGTCTACTATTGGTGTTTCCATTGGACTGGCTATATTCCAGAAGTTATTACTGTCAAATTTGTATAATCAAGTACCGCAATTGATTAGGGATCCAGAAGCTGCTACCAACATCATCAAAAGAGCCTTGGAAAATGCAGATTATATAAAGAAGGCTCCTCCAGTGGTTCAACAAGTGTTGAAGGATTCCTACGCTCTGGCTTGTAAAGGTGCCTTCTTATTCAGTTTAATTACTATTATCTGCGGGGTGGTAAGTTCAACGTTTATGAAAGAGCATGTATTGCATAGTAGTCTCAATAGGAAGTGAGTGAGTGGTCAATTCATCTACCACTACTGGGTCCAATCTGAGGAGATTGCACTTGTCTAACATGATACTTATGGTTCCCCCCACTATAAACCAAATAAGCAGGTCTATGCCCATCTGGTGTTCTATTACCATCTGGATTTTCAACCTCTTCATTTTCCACCGTGTACAAATTCTTTGAGTGGTTTGGATTTGTTCCATCCTCTTCGGAACTAAGCAGGAATGGGACCGGGGAAGGGGATTGAGGTCTGGTAATGGAATTAAATCTTGGAGAGAATTGTAATCCTCTGTTCGCATCGAACTTCTTCTTTAGGAACTCGGTTGGAGATTTCAAGGTCAATGCTGATGATGAAGCAGAAGCTGAAGTACCTAATAAAGGTGATAAAATAGGCGAGAGGATTTCATCATCTTTGATTGCTTCTTCCAAGGCTTCTTCAATGGCATCTTCAATTAATTCATGTTCTGAAGTAACATTAACATTAATTAAGATCACCGAAATTAGTATGGAAGAAATCCCCAAAAGATAAACCAAATTTAAATTGGTTTTACCGTCTCCTGTGATACTCATGATCAAATAATCTATGAAAATAGTGATGGGAATGCAAGAAGTTAATGATAATGATGTCACTAAGGGACTAGTTAATAACATGGCACAAATAGTAGCGAAATCGGAGATCACCGAGAAGACTCCATTGGTAATAATCAGCCAACCTGTTGCAGCATCAGGAGGTAATTCAAATGGTTCAAGTCCAATCTTATCCACTATATAAAGCATAGGTAACCCCACAAGAAACGAGAATACACCCACCCAACCAAAGAGTCTTCGTTCATTGGTGGTCTTATTACCGGTTCCACATTTGATCTTCATGATCAAGAGATAAATGGCATACGTAAAGGCACCAATAAGGGCAAAAAAGTTGCCCAATGAAGGGTTTTTAGGTTGAAATATGTTCCCCCCATTATCACCACTATTATTGTTCCCACCAACTTTAGATTGACTAATGTTAACAAGAAACACACCAACAGAACTCACACATACGCACACCACCTTCTTGAAGCTAAACTTATCGGTAGCCATTCCTACACCAATGAATAACGTGAATATAGAAGTAGTAGACCCAATGACTGTTTGGTTTGAAGCCGAAGTGAATCTCAAGCTGCACATGACAGAAATATTGTAGGAATAGTAGATTAAAGCGATTTGGAGTGCCAATGTAAGCACTTCAAATCTAGTCAATTCTATTGGTTGGTTATGTTTAAAGTTATCTTCCACCACGGCCTCCCAAGGATCTTCCGTTGAATCTTTGAAGAGTAAAAGCTGGTTTTCACCACCGATAACTGCAGTTTTGTTATTGGGATGCCTCCATAACCTCCGTTTCAAGTAGTAAAAGACATCTGGAAGGAAATTAAGACTGAAACATGTGCCTGTGACAACTGAGATTAAGAACGGTTTATCGAAACTGCCCCCCTTCATCACCACATTAATCAATTCCAACCCACCTATCCACGTAGCCAAAGCAAGGATTATAAGAAGCACCCCTAAGCGGAAGTTCTTTGTCTCCTGATCATTGATGATTTCCAAGACCCCCACAGGATGATGAGTGATTTGAGCAGTGACTTCGTTTGATCTAATGGCAGATTCCTGTGCTGCTTCAAGCATGGGGGACCTTACCACATGATGCTCACCGCTGCCACCACAGGATTTGAGTTGGTGTAATCTGTCTTCACCCATACTAACTGAGTATATGCCAACTGTCAATGGATAATGGTTCAACTGTGACTCGACTAGGCCTCTATTAACGTAACACCAAATTTGCGCTTATCAGAGGTGTTCGAGATCAACACTAAGCTAACTAAAAGTATTCCACTAAGGACCAGAAAGAAATAGTAGAGAGTATTATTTTACTGGCGATGATGATTGTAATTCCGTGGAGGTCAGCCTTGTGATCTGGAGGTTGTTCCGTACTGTATGTACTGAAGGTTCCGATAAGAAGAGAAAGCTATGCCTGATATGGTAGCACGGGAAAAGACTCAGCGGAGTAGTTACTTACCGTGGGTATAATAATACTGGCAATGAAATGTATCTTATATAAACGTTTTTTGTGGTTATTTCTTTGGTTAGTATACTCTGTTAGCACCATGGCCTTGTGACGAGTTGCTGTATGAACCTTTCTTACGGTTATAGTGTATACTGACCCGATCTGGAATCATCGCATCCGAGTTCCTATTTGGGATCCAATCGCGCTTAATAGCTTTAAACTACAGAACATAGCAGTAATATACGGCCCTTTGTTACGGTATGTATGGAATGTATGGAGTATAGTGCTGGTATTCAATATTTATACGTTGCGGCTAAACGTTTATCCAAGTGCTCTTTCGCAGTAAGTACTTTACCCGCATTACTTTGAGGACCTCTACCTTCAATGGATCTAATCTTAGCACTAGGAACTGGTTCAAGTAAAGCATCATGATTTGGATGAGAGAAGAAAACAATGGAATATCTATCTTGATTATTAGCTTGAGACTGAAGTGGGAACTTAACTCTATGCACAGTAGATTTTAGTAATCCACCAGACCAATAACTCAATTGATCTGCAATATTCACAATGATTGGTGGAGCTTCTTCATTGTTCTTTGATCTGCTTTCCACATAAGGAACAGGTTCCCATTTCTTCAGAACTGGTGATAAGATTTCAAGGCCTTCCTCATTGGCTTTTTGGAAAAGTAACGTCATAGATCCATAATCAGTATGAGCACCTGCTCTAATTAATTCGTCTGGATCAAGCAGTCCTTGTGAAGGATAATGCAAGAATCTAAAGGTAGTCCCCAGACTCTTTTCGGCATCATATCTGGAAACAAACCAATCTTCTCCCTTGCACTCGTTAGTATCTTCGATTTCCAATCCAATAGCCAACAACTTTAGTAATTTGATACTTAATTGATATAACTTGGCAATGGTATTCTCCACCAATTCACGTCTTTCGGGATTAGCAATAAAAAAGGGTGGAAGAGCTTCTGTTGAAGTTCCCTTATCACAATTCAAATTAGCAAAGTTCAAAGCTTCCTTGGGATCAGCCTTCTTACCTCTTGAAGGATCTAAATTCTCTTCCCAAGAATACCCATGGTTTGTCGCTGGATTATAAGGTACCTGATCCTTTAAAGCTTGCTCTTGAGCAAAGAATTCACTACTGGTTTGAAATAAATCCGCAATTTCTTTTTTGGAGAAACCATGACCTTCGACCATTAGGAACCCTTGACTGGTAGCGGCATCCAAGAGCTCATTGGCCACCTTGTCGTTCACCTCCGACACGTCCACAATTTGTAAGGGATTCTCTTTTGTCATCATCGAGTTAAGAATGGGATTTATATTTGAATTGTGTGTGATCCTTGGCTTATCTCCGCTGAAAGCGATAACAATTTTCGATCTCTTAGCTGCAGGAAAATACAGTCAGACCTAAAATACAAAAGTATATATACACCAGGGTATGCTTATATATATATATATATATATAACTATGTCTTTATACTATATGCCTTATTGCTATAGCTGGCGCAACTACCCCCAGTTATCCCTTACTAATGTCTTTGTTTGTTTATTGGTGGTATGGCATTGCTAATACTGTATACTGCATATAGTCTCTGTTTGGGGGTAAGAGCGCAATATCTAGTAACTGATTGTTTAGTACAAGATTGTTATATTCTGAAGGATACGATTACAATTGCGCTTTTGAAAATGGTCCATGGTTATACAATGGGTACCTTCCTTTGAATGCATGATATTTAGACCTGAACCCTGCAAAGTAATTTCTTTCATAACCCCATGTACATTGAGTAGTGAAGTGTAATGTTTATTGGCAGGTCACGTGACAGTTAAAATGCACTTAATTTTGCGGCGGATATCACTTATCGAGGTCAGATATTGCGCTTCTTGATGCTAAAGAGCGCAATAGCAAAACTATTTAGATACTCCTATATATGGGGTTAAACGGTACTTCGATAGGCAATTGTTGCCATCCACGAGTATAATGGCACCGCGGAATTGCAAACTAACGGAATTAACCATCAGTTCAAGTTGAATAAAGGTTTGGTGTATATTCCGAGTATTAACCAGAGATTTGAATGAGGTGTGAACTTACGCGACTTGGAAATACACGTCTCATCATCACGACGTCTTCTAGATCAGGTCGTCTTCTTCCGTCGTCTTCTTCCGTCGTCTTCTTCTGCCGTCTTCTTCTGCCGTCTTCCCCCAAATGTCTAACACGTTGGTAGTACACACTGGCGACGAGGTTCCATTGGTTGATGTCAATGTGATCCCAGTTAAAATCGGCTACAACGGTCCTGCCAATGTAAACTCACACTTCACCCCATCCAAACATGGATCAGATGCTCAATACAAAGCGTGTTTCCACGGGAGACAGCTTGTCGGCGAAGAGAAGTGTATCAAAGATTATGACGCGTATGTGTTCCATAGATCCGAGACTTTGATTAGACGTGTCGATGGTGATGATGGTGATGAGTATAGTGATCATATTGTGGACCACCAGACAGTAAACACATACTCATCAGTTGCTAAAGTTAATAAATATATAGTGTATGGACATGACTCGCTTTCTTCTGATGTCAATTGGAATAAGGTGGGTGAATGGATAGGTACGTCTGAAGCCCTTCATGAAACGAATTAAAGAGATGACAGATATTAGACATGTAGATAATATACAACTATGACGCACTTAACACCAATACACTACCAGCACTAGTGTTGACCGTGTGTATCACTTGACTCTCATATTAGACTACACTACTTACCAGTATTAATGCGACGGAAAAATTAGACAGGTACCAACAATACTCATTAGCTCCAATGGATGGTCTCTTTGTTGATGATGACCACGACTACGATAAAGCTGATCTATTCGACGTTAGGGAACTAAACGACGAGTGTATACAATACAGTGAAGGTGAAGCTGCTGCTGATGATGACGAATACAGTGAAGGTCAAGCTGCTGCTGTTGATGACGAATACAGTGAAGGTGAAGCTGCTGATGATGACGACGCTGATTCTGAGGAGACGGATTCAGATATGGAACATGTCCCCCTTGAGCCGCAATCGTACCTGATTACTATCGGCAATGGACGTACGGAAACAGACAAGATCAAGACCCGGAAGGTGAACCGGACCAAACGTTTGGCCATCCATAACATGGGGATGATTGCTTATTTGGTTATGGCTTGGAAGAGAAACCAACTCATTCAGTCCAAAAGAGTGTTGAAGGTTTTGAAACGACTAGTCCCTAAACTGTTGATGGCAGACCATATTAAACCATTTAAGAAACTACTTGTGGCTCCAAAGAACCCTCAAGACAGTAATGCCGATACAAGACTCATCTATATACTAAAGTACTTGATCAAATGGTTTCAGTTGAACTATCAAGTTGACTCCAATGGTCTCAGAGTACTAGGGTATGTTCCCGACAGTAGTGGTCCCGATAGTTCTGACCCCAAAGACTTCTTCCCTCCACCTCCAAAGACCCGAATTGGCTCGGTTTCAGACTTCCTTCGAGTTATTAAACGATTTAAACATAACAGGGATACAGGTTCGCTTATATTCACGGGGATACTACGAGCATTGGGGTTTGAAGCTCGAATGGTGTTCTCGGTGCCGTTGTTATCACCATCAAGTACTGCTGGTTCCACCCAGCCTAAGAATGACCTTCAGTTACTACGTACAAACAAGGACAACGACTTGCTCTATCCGTACTTCTGGACAGAGGTCGTTAATCCTTTGAACCCAAATGAAATTTTGGTTCTTGAGCCTATTTGCTTTCATGAGCAACACAAGCAGTTGCTAAGGAACAGAAGAATAACAGGAAGCACTTATTCATTCCGTAAAGATATGGATTACATTGACTTCTTTAATCCGTGTCAAAGAAACCCATTGAACATCATGCCTCCTTCACAATATGTTGCTTCTATTGACTCCAAGGGGTTAATACTCGATGTAAGTCCACGATACATGACTGACGTGGCCTATAGATATTTCGGTAGATTGGACTTACGTTCTGATACCGGAAGATCGACTCTTCTATTTCAAACTGTCTTGAGACGACTCAATGGCGGGGTAGTCTATAATGAATGGGATAACAAGGAGCTAGATACATTACGAAATATAGCTTTTGCAAACTTAACCTTGCCCAAATCCTTATCCGGACTAAGAAGAAACCCCAACATCGTCACTAAGCAGACTCTACGGTATAATGAAGCGTTGAGGGACAAGTCCCGGAGTTTGACCAAGATTAAGTTGAAGGATGGATATAAAGTCAAGGTATATCTAGGTAAGCAAGTTCTCTATGGTCGGACAGAATATCAATGGAAACTTCTTGCCAGATCCGTTCGACCGGATCAAATAGAACACCCAATTAAATCAAAGAATAACCTTTCCAGAACTATAAAGAGAAAGAAATTGGACGGCCTCTTGAGTCCATTATATAACTTTGAGCAAACATGTCCTTACATCAAGCAAGAAGTTTGTAATGGAAAGATCCCTCGGAATCAGTATGGTAACATTGAGATCTTCAATTCAGTAATGATCCCCACTGATTGTACTTGGGTGAAATGGACATATGTTGAACGGATTCTTGGCTCATATAACAAAAAGAAGAAGGAGAACGCTACCAATCCTCTTATAGAATATGTCCCAGTGGTAGTAGGGTTTGACTTTAAATCCAAACCGGGACATGCTATTCCTATTAGGCATGGTGTTCTAGTGCTCAGTACTCAATTGTTTTTGGTTAAGCATATTTGGTTCAGTGGTAAGTTGATGATAGACAGGCACAACATTCGACTTAAGAAGATGAACAGTTTGAATCATTGGAGAACGTTGTTGAGTCAAATCAGGATCAAAAAGCGTTTAGATCTTCAATACGGGACAATTCAGCAATGGCAGCATTAGGTCATTTTAGGTCTGGAGGTGAACTATAAATATTAATGTTGAGTCTTTGCGGGTTAATGGATGTTCCCTTATTGGTTCCACCAGAAAGATTTAGTTTCTTTTCAAGACTTTGGATTTGTCTTTCACTTATACCATACGGATCTTTAGGTAGCCATAGTTTTGGCTTTTCAAACCGGAAACTAGGATGCATGTACATTAATCGATGATACAGAGTCAATGCTGCTGGATCTGGTGCTGGAGCCAGAGCCGGAGCCGAAACGGGACCATGGGAATTGGGGCCATGGGAGTTATCTGAGTTTAACAAAGGCATATACTCAAAATAAGGGTAATACCGATTGTATATTGCCATGTGACCCAAAATGGTTATCATGGTGATGAGAACCATAAACCAACCTTGCCATTTCATAGGGAATTGTCCTTGGTTGTCTCTAGAAAGGAAGAAGACCCCACTTAGGCAGCCTTCTAGACAATAGATTCCAGCATACAATTGGAGCAAGGCTATTGGATAGAACTTCCCATTGGTCTCTCTGTGGTTGTAGTAGGAGAAGATATACTTCAAGGCATATTTATAATATACAAGAACAAGGAATAGGAACAGACAAAGGAAGCATAGGATGATGGGGGAAATAATGCAGAATGCAAGTCCAATGGAAGCGTACACCGAATAGACTGGGTATTGAGTGCCCCAATTAATGGTTGGCAAGTTAGTCATTCGTTTAAACTTTTGTCGGGGAGTCTTATCTATGACTTTATAAAGGGTATAATGGAAGAGTAGTTGGTCGAGTCTGAGGAAATTGTTACCGCAGAAAGCTATTGCCTTCAACATAAAGTACAGAATGAAGAAGGTTGCCAGTTTAGGTAAGTTGGTTGCCAATAAGGTCGGGATTGAGGTCGGTTGGTCGATGATTTGTTTGAATATAACGAAGATACTTGACAGAATGGTGAACACAAGGAATTGATGGACAAATAAGAAAGCAAAGTACCATTGCTGGAATCTTAGTTCAATGATTTGTTCGGCCAATTCACCCTTAAAATATATAAGGAAGCGGAATAACTTATGGACGATCTCCGTTAGTATTGATAACATCAATGAGGGAAGAAAGCTAGAGATTATATCTCTAATCTCTTCTGGCAAAGCATATAGCCAGCTCAAAGATGGAATTAATGCGGTTAACATGGGTACTTGCGACACTAATCCGATGAACGAAACAGGAATCACATAGAGGATGATTATAATGATGAACATGATGGTCACCAAGTTCTTCTCCAACATGAAGGAAAGCTTAGAGTCTCTTAGAAGGTTATTCCAGAGCACATCTTGAGGTTTTAGACCCAATAATCGGATATCAAAAAAGCCTTGGTTCTCGGATAAGAGACATTGTTGGGCGATATAAGCACCTTGAACCGTTGAGAACTCTATGAAGACCTTGGTATGCTTTGTTAGCTGTTGGCTATTAAGTTTTAACTTTTCTTGGACAATCTCGTGATACTTGTTGGTGAGTTTCTCTACACACCAGTCTTCGGTGTTGATTCTATGTTGGAGCATTAATGCTCTTAAGAAGCCTGGAAATTGTACTTGAATAGCCCGTTCAATAACAGGAATCTTTAAAGTGAGTGCAAATATTGGAGGATAGAATTTGGTTGAAAAGTCTTTATTATTATCAACTTGTGACTTTCTCAATTGCTTCTTTAACTTTACGATTTGATCTTGTTCTATGAGATCAAGAAGCTCATTGCACTCTCTTACCAAATGGTTTATTTTCATATGATCATAAGTATACCAAATCTGGACGATTTCACCCGGGATACAAGCAAAGAGTTGTTTCAATTTTGTATCTTCCAAGAGCTCTGGAGGTACGTTGGCTATCAAGATAGTTTTGGCCGACACGGAGTTAACAATTTGGAGTCTTGATAAATGGCTATGTCTTAGCTTGACGAAGGACTGGAATTCGTAAAGAATCATCCAATGGAACAAAACGATCACCACGAGGCCAATCACAAAATGAGCATTGAGTCTTTGGGTATGCAATGGAGAGATATTGGATACACTTAGTCTGTCTAGCCCCATGATACGTGAGTCCACGGCATTAATGGGTAAAAGAACCGCTAGACACAAGATGGCGATCATGATGAAGAAGCCGAGAAGGACATGGATGAATCGTATGAAGAAATAAGTATCAAGTCCCATGGAAAGATAAGTACTTGGAGGTAACTTGAGAATAGGCGGTAACCAATGCCAGAACCCATTAGGTAAAGGGTTCATTCGTTCATTGGTGGGAACACACACACATCTTGGTTGATAAAGAAACAGAAACAATGGTCTTAAATAACAAAAGAGAGTTAATTTGATAACACAGAGACACAAAGGAGCCACTATTGTTTTAGTCAATTGAGAAACAGTGGTACCACTTGAGGAATGAGCATAACCAGTTTGGGTTGTGTTTAGTACGCTTTCAAACATTCCATTATCAAAGATTCCCATATAAGATTTGGTTAGCGCTGAATAGTCGTTGTCATATTCATCAACAGATGCAAGCATTTGCATAATGGGAAGAAGCTGTTACAGATGGTATAAAAGAGGTATGCTATAAGTATGTTATACTGTATTGGGTAATTCTGTTACACCGCGCTTAGCTCTTTTTAAAGGCTACGGCTTCTGGTAAGACAAAGCTCACGCAGAACATGGGTTTGGTAGGAGCAACGTATCTCACCACATGAAAATGACACTCTTCAAAGGCAATAGGATACTCCATGATAGTGCATATTCTTTTATGGACTCTCCTTTCCAATTGGTCCATTGATGGTTCTGGAACTTCGTCTCTCGAGTACTTTTCAAAGCAATGGACGTTGATTATGGGGAGTTTGAAGTGAGAATCAGCCTTAACCGTGTCTTCCACTTGACTGTAAAGACCAATGAATTCGTTAAGAAACTCAAGTGCTGAAGCAGGTAAGTTCATCACGTATTGGGAAATATATTTGGGCACCGTGGTTCTGGTTATGGAAGTTTCTTTAACGGTTATATTTTCATTGGTTATGGGGTCTAATTTTCTTCTTTTGACGACTTTACTTCGTTCAATGACTTGGTCTTTGGATGCCCAATCCAAAAGAAGTTGGGGGCTCTTTTTGATGAACTCTCTTCCGTCCAATTCAAATGGTTTCACCACATCACCAACTTTGTTCAACTCAATGTTCTCCTTCAAGTACTTGAACGATTCAGGGTTCAAATCATTGGCTAGCACCAAGGCCCGTTTCTTACCAGCTGGTACGGCAAATGGCCCCACTCCAGCGAAAACATCAGCTACAACTTCTCCAGCAGGGAACTCCTTCACCAACCTTTCGTGTTCAGTATTCAACCGCGAATTCCAGTACACCTTACTGAAATCAAACTTAAATTTACATCCACACTCTTGTTGTTCCACCATCATATCTGGCCTACCTGCCAATACCTTCATTTCAAATGTTCTGAACTTGGTATCAATGGAATCAAGTTTATCTACTACGGTCTCAACTTTAGGGTTCTTGTCCAATATAATTTGGCCTATAAGCTCACCATAAGGCTTGAATTCTCGTTTAAGATTGAAATGGGCCAAATGTCCTGCTTGTGCAAACCCTGTGGGAAGTTCATCTTGTAACTCTTCTGGGATTACTGCTTTAAGAATGTCGTCAGCCTTCCAGAAATCATATGTCAACTTCAATTGATATGGTTCCACTTGAGCACCATACTCTTTAATGGCTGCTACAGTATCTTCATTGAGCTTGTCTTGATAACCCTCCACAGAGTCAATGTCGTCTCGGAGAAGAACTCCTTTGATCCCGTTCTCAAGATAAACAATGTGTTTCACATACGGAACAGTTAAAACATCCTTCTTACACCGTTTATTAAAGGATGCTATGTGTTTGGAATCGGTAAACTTGACTACTACCAATGGGACTTGCTTATCAAAGAACAGTTTATCCAACACTTTCATTTCCCGGTTAACGGGTGGTGCGAATTTGCTCATGGTTCTAGTGTGGGGGGATGCCTTTATTGAGTGGATGTGAGTTGTTCCGACAACCGACCGTCCAATTGTTCTTGTTAACAAGCCAATCGTACTAAGCATAGGTGAAGGTTATAGTGGGGTTGAGTCAGAGATGAGGGTTGTGAAAAATTAATGGAATCTGTGGTGGTCACGTGACATGCTCGGAATTGGAATTGGAATTGGAATTGGAACGTGGTACTTTCAAAACTATACTATAATACTATCAATTATATTGGAGACACATAAGAAAGTTGTTAGCGTAATATATGCCATGATTTTACATGATACATGATAAGAGGTATATGTATAATTACTTGTTGATGTCACTTGTTCATTCTCATACGTGAGATGACGCGTACAAGTATGACAATAATATGAATGAAAATAAAAGTAAATAATAGGAGAACGCCATAGTGTATCTCATTCATTCTCTACCGCAGCTATACAGCCGCTATACAGAAAGTATACAAAAGCAAATACTACACTATATGCTTTTACAGTTTGTCACGTGTGTGATCACGTGAAACACGCTAATAATTGCGATGAGATTCAAATCTGAACATCAACTTCTATGCTCTACTCTTTTTCAGCATCACCCTTCAACCATGGATAGTGTTATTACCATAACGCGTCCTGTAAAGTCAGATTACGAGTTTGACGACGAGTTTGAGTCTGAAGATTTCAAAAAGGAAGAAGGAATTGTTACACCCGGAGAACTAGTAACAGATGATCCGGTCTGGATGAAAGGACACGGGACATATTTTGTTGGAGACTCGCTGTATTCGTCTGTGGCTGGCCAGGTATCGCGTGTGAACAGGTTACTTTCGGTTGTGCCTCTTAGAGGAAGATATGCCCCCGAAACCGGGGACCATGTTGTAGGAAGAATCACCGAGGTGGGATCCAAACGATGGAAGGTTGACATTGGAGGGAAACAAGATGCCATATTGATGTTAGGGTCTGTGAATCTACCTGGAGGGGTTTTACGTAGAAAGTCGGAACTGGACGAGTTGGCCATGAGATCGTTTTTAAAGGAAGGTGACTTATTGAATGCTGAAGTTCAAAGTGTATATGCCAGTGGAGTCGCCAGTTTGCATACCAGATCGCTCAAGTACGGGAAACTCCGGAACGGGATGTTTACCAAGGTTCCACTGGGGTTAATTGTCAAGTCAAAGAATCATAGTTGGGATATGCCTGGAAATGTCAGTACAATTGTGGGAGTTAATGGGTATATCTGGCTCTATCAGACAAATCCGACAACAGCAGCTCCCATTGGCCACATGCTGGGAAAGACCCAGGCAATGGTTGAAGGTGCTAGCAAGCACACCTCGTATCAACCTGGCCAAGGTAGTGTCCTGATCACAAGGTTAGAGGAAGAGTCCAGCTGGGAGATCTACAGTGATAAGAACGACATTATCAATTCCCGAGTCAGAAATAACATAGCACGGTATTATAACGTTCTACAAGCGTTAAGTCATTCGGAGTTGGGAATCAACCAAAGTCGGATGATTATGGGCTATGAAATCAGTTTAACATATGAAGAAGAACCATCAGACATGAACGTAAAGGAATTAATATGTCAAGAGATACTAAGGATGGAGACCATGAGAGGAGGCCAATAAGTGTCGTGTCGTCAAACTATATTCTGTTTCCTTAGAAAACAACCGAAATAAACCAATTGCACAGCCCCAGTCACACCTGTGAATACAATTAGTAATATGGCCCATTTGGAATAGTTGGTATAAATCTCTTCATTGGTGTCTCTTAGTTTGAATTCATTCTCCATTAGTGTCAGGAGAATTGACTCGGACCCTTCCAAGGAGCTGACAATATTGTTTAACTCCGCCTGAAGATATTTAAGGTTCTCCTCCAACTTCTCCTCGGTGAAATCCGTGTGGCCGTCAATGGGTTGTTCATCAACCTTCTCATCCTCTTGAAGCTTGTATACCTTGTTGAAATATTGGGCATAGTTCTTATAGTTGATTTGTTGTAGAGACTCAAGGTTCTTTATCTCCACCTGTACCTCCACCTCGTGATCTCGGGGCTTGAACGACCAGGACCGGTCCGTGTACACGTTATCAAAACAAATGTAGATCAACAGTTTCCCCGTATTGGCTTCAAGTAGTTGTTGACCCTTCTCGTCCCGTTCAACGGTGTCGGCTCGCCTTGTTCGTTTCTTCAACGGGGACTCCATTGCATGGCCATCGTCTACCCGGTACGGACTGTTTAAGTTGGTGAACATGATGTGGAGATCATGGGCAATGTTCTTTTTGAATCTGATCTTATTGTTTTCCAGATCAAATATGTTCAAGTTAAGTGACTGGGACGTGATAGTGTCGCCAGCTTGGATCCTTACAAGGATCATGTCGTCTTTAATTGTCTGGTAGGAGACACAGTTTTGTAGATTGTCCAAGCTGGAAAACTTGTGTCTGTTTGTGATGGAGATGGGAGGGACTGTGACCCCTAAACCCGTCACTGGTATGACCCAGACCATCATGAACGACATCATTAGTGACAATATTCGTTTAACAGACATTATAAGTGGGTTGGATGAAGCGAACGAATAGTTGAAGCGAATGTTACAACACTTAATGTCGTATGATGAATATTGCAACGAGTATTATATTGACTGATATCGTTTTGTTTGTTTGACTCGTGTCTCCTAGTAGGAGGAGACGGGTAACAATGAAAAGCGTTGGACAGATTTAAATTGTCTGGTCTTTTATTCAACAGACAACGTTGAATTTGATCTTGCTTGATGCCAACAGAACGGTGGCTCTTTAATGGGTGGCTGAATGTCTGGAGACGGTTGGTTGTCTTTAGTTTCTGTTTGGTTCCTTTTCTTGATCTATTTTTTTCTGTGTAAGTAGACAGAGTTTAGACAGTAGCAAGTAATAACAGAAGTTAGACAGTAGCAATTATTAGCAGAAAACGCGACATTCAGACAATTTATGTCGTCAATTCTGGTTCTTCTTCTTTCCGTTAGCTACAATTACACTTACATGGCATAACTTCTCTAATATCTACACTTGAGAAACGGTATTTGTCTGCTGTTTGGTTACTGCTTAACTTGACTTGATCAAGGTTACGTTTGCTAGTTAAACGTTACTTCGCTGGTCAGGTAAATGCGCCTTTGACAACTGAGGCCACAAAATCTTCGTCTTCCCAATCGGGCAGATGTAACAACAACAAAACTTGGCCAGACAAATTATTAATGTCGGAGCAACAACAGACACATGACCTTGCTTCACTTATGTACCAGTAATTACATAACTGCATATACATGGCTACAAGTATAGTACATGTCAATTCCTATTTTTATTCACAACGGTCATGGCTCGTTTGGTTCCATTAACTTTTCTTAACTTGTTTGTCTGAAATTATTGATGTATCATCATATGTAGTATATATAATGTCGGAGAAGTACATTTCCTGCTAAGGCGTAGTCTCCATGTTAGTTCTTCTTTGTGTCTGATTAGATTGTTTCTAATTCATTGTGTGTTTCATGCTTATCAGACAATAATACAAAAGACTTAGATTGTGTTGTCAGGTGCTAATTTTAAAGTGCATTTTAAACTCTGCTAACAAGCACCTTCAGTAATTACTATCATGTAACTTCCAGATTTTGTTGTCGGATCCAAAGAGTCGGTTTCTAAAGCTTGAACTGCATAGAATCCGGAAATTCGATTCTTTTCCCCTGAAATCTCCTATCTCGTTTCACACGTCAAGAAAAGTCTGATCGCAGACACACTTAAAGTTGTTAGTATGTTTACAAGTGCTCAGCTTTAGCCTCACAATTAAACGTTTTGGAGGATGGTGTAATGACTGATGGTTTGAATCTGATCAGAGATAACATCTCGAAGAAGGCTTTTGTGGCAACAAAGGAAAGGCAGTGTCGCGGGTTTTGACGGAATTTGTTAGCTTGAGCAAAACCTTGGCTTATAAGGAAAAAGCCGTCATTAATTGTCGTAATTACACTTTTTTGATTATAAAGTGTTTAATTTACTAAAAAAGGTCAGCTCATAACAAACATGTCACAGCTTTCCTATTTGGGTAAGTACATTTAACTTTATACAAGATATAATATATACACATGTAGTCTGATCTATTTAGACACCCCCTTTGATGCTATTAAAGCCTGTAATTGCTCTTCGAATTCCCATTCCTCCACTTTATCCATCAATTCGTCCAAGCGTGTCCCCCCCATGACACCCTCAATGTCGTACACTGATACACCACATCTATGGTCAGTTATTCTATTCTGAGGATAGTTGTAAGTTCTAATCTTATCACTTCGATCAGTTGTCAGGACTTGATCAGTACGTAGTTTACGCTGTTCGGCCATTTCCTTTTCTCTTTCTCTTGCTGCTAAACGGGCCCGAAGCACCAGGAATGCCTTTGCTTTATTCATGGGCTGCGAACGTTCATCTTGTTGAATAACAACTAAACCTGTAGGTATGTGAGTAAGTCTAACGGCACTATCAGTGGTATTAACATGTTGACCCCCTTTCCCACCTGCTCTCATCGTATCTATTCGGACCTCACCAGCAGCAAAAGTCCTTTCATCTTCCTTTAGCGATTTAGCATCTCCAGCAGATATCTTAGGCAACACAACAACAGCAGCCGTGCTTGTATGGACTCTCCCCTTGACTTCAGTAGCAGGGATTCTTTGTACTCGATGAACCCCCAGTTCTAATCTCATTCTATTGTAGGCACCAGCATGATCTATACAAAGAATGGCTTCAGAAACAGAGTTATTTACTCCTCGCTTCACAGATTCTAGTTTATAGGGCCAGCCATTGTTGCTAGCATAATTAATGTACATATTCAATAAGTCACCAGTGAAAATGGCTGCCTCAGAGCCCCCTACACCAGGCCGCAATTCAAGTAGTGCTGGTTTATCACTATACGATAACTGTGGAAGTAGCTGCCCCAGAAGTCTAGTTGTAGTTTTGGTTAATTGCGGAACTAGACTGGCTAACTCCGATTGAGCTTCTTGGACCAACTCAAGATCTGGCTCAGTGGATGCCATATCCATAAGTTCCTCGGCTTGCTCGACATCTCGAAGGTACTCATGGTACCCCTCTAAAATACTGGACACTCGCGAATACTTCACCATGGTGTCTGGGTCTACGGCGCCGTTGCTAACAAGTGATTCCAATTTCTCGTACTCTTGAGTCATCGTCTTGGCTCTTTCAAGAAGTAGCGGGTGAAGACGGGGAATTTCAGCTGCGGGTATTACAGTTTCCGACGAGTAACATCGCATCAAATGCCTCCCAGTTAAACATGCATATCGTCTCCACATCTTTGCAACTCGGATCAATACACGATGGGATGTAGCTCCATACCAAATTGTACGAGCTTTAACTTTTCACCATTCCATGAAGATCAACGGTGCTACCATACACCAACACACGACTTTGATGATGATAGCAAGGTAGCCTTCAACGTGAACCAGATTAAGGCACTAACTCTCAGATCTAAGTAGATTGATAGTTCATAGATTAGCTAAAACAATGCTGCTATAAAGGAATTTCGCAGAATAGCTAAGAGCCCGAGCATTGTCTCGGTGATGCTAGTCGAATCACATTTCACCTACAATAAATTTCAGTTAATACCATTGATAACGTCATGATGCTATTTGCTCCTTTAAAGATGGTTAGAACATTGCTCTCTGCCAGCTTGTATTAGTGATGGCATATTGTTGGACATAGCTAATGTTGTAAACAGCTAAACTTGGTCAAGCTTAAGAAACACTTGGTGCTCCAATTGATGTAGCATAATAAGCGAAGATCGATAGCACTTTTTGTTTATCTTTCATATGAAAAGTCATACACTGACATGGATGGGAGGACAACCATGATAAACGGACGATATCGAAAGGAGTAAAGCCAGCTGTTCTTCAAAACCCCACAAAAATTACTTAATTGGGAAAAGTAATGCCGATTCCCGTCTAAACTCCTTTGCTTGATAAGTCCACCTGGTTTCAAACGGTTGGGAGTTAAGGGTGGATTCTCATTCACAAACCCAGCCTCAATGAGTCGCACTTGACAATAGCAAAAGAGTGTCCTTACAAGTGCATACATCGTCATGCCAACTTGACCTTGGTTTGCTCCTCCAAAGTCGTGTGGCAAACCAGCCGTTTTCGGAAAGCGGTCCGTGTATATCGGAAACCGCAAGAAGCATTCTTCGATTACATATGATTAACAATACCCTGTCATTAACACAATAACTGTCAATTGCATTACATGGCAGGTACTACCTGCGTCATGCAAAATAAAATTATTTAGTAGTCAAATGTAGTTGACAAATAAAGGTTGTAGAGAAAATAGTGATGAAAACCGGAAGGGGATAAAATCGCCGATCGGAGAAACGTTTTTTTATTTGTCATAATATAAAAAACTAACCTAATCTTCTTTCCACTTTGTATTAATTTTATCGGTGACTATTGCTACAGGTTATAACTCCGCCGTTATATCTCCGTATATTGTGTCGTCATTGATTAAGGAAGACTACACAAAGTTGAAAAACATCCACTTAACAATTGTTCCGAGTTTATTACACATTCAATCACATATAAACACGCACAAATCCGAAGCCATCAACCATGTCAGAAGGATCTCTGCCAAAAAGTATGATTGACCTTAGCGAGGTCGTAAAAACTTTGGGAGATGAAGAACTACAAAATGCCCGGTCTGAGCTTCTCCGTAGCCAAACCAAAATGAAGGAAACCAACGCCGAACTAAAACTCGAGATCGAACGGTTAAAGCATGAATTATTAGGAAGCCCCCCAGAAGAAGACAGAGATGAAATAATGGATGATATCCAACTATACAAGGATTCCATAGATGAGAACATTGTGGTGCTTGATCATCAAAAGGCCAAGATTCGTTCGATTGAGTCTGAATTATCCAAGAGAGGTATACCAGTACATAAAGAAGGGATATATCTATAAATGGTGTAATAATTGGAGGTCTTATAGAGCGTTTGGAACGAATAAATTGTAACGGATTTATGATATGTATGGAATCATGTATTAATATGTATGTAACATGCATCAATATGTATTAATATGTTTGAAATCGGATAAATATGTACAAGATTGTAATCAACTAAATCTAATCTTTCTTCTTCAGTTTGATAGGAGTATAATCTCTACCAAAAAGCTGATCAAAAAATGGCTTCTCTTCCAAAGCAATTGGATCTTCTGGTCGCTTACAAACCATCATCCAAGTAGTGCCGAAATGAACTCTTTTTTCAAAAGTAACATCTAAACCAGCATCATCAATTAACTCTCCAATGTCTAAGTTCCACCGACATGCCCATGTCTTCATTCTTTTATCACTTCTGAAGTCCAAATGATTGTTAATCATGTCGTAGTTCCCTCTGCCATGTTCTAACAAGACAATTCTTCCGCCAGGCTTCAAAAGTGTCGTCATGTTCTTAAGGGCAGCAACGGGATCTTCATGTGCACATAATCCAAAGGCTTCCACAATGGTATCGTATTTCACCGAAGAGCTACCAGCTAAGGTTACCAAATCTTCAGCCTTACCAACAGTAAACGCGACTCTTGGATACTTACCAAACATTTCTCTAAACTTTTGCTGAGTAATGGCCACCATCTTCTCGGAGCTGTCCAAGAAGGTTATCAGATCGATGTTCTTAAGGTTAAGATACTTTAAATTCCGTCCTGTACCACAAGCAACCTCAAGAACATCTCCATGTAATTGTTCCATAAGCCACTTTCTTCTTCTGCCCATAAGAATACCTCTTTCTTCCCATTTGACTGCGTCGTCGTATTCTTCTGCCTTACTTTCGTAAAACCCTGTCGTATCTTCAGGAGGCATCACGTGAGGGTTTTCATTGTTCCCCAACTTCTTAACCTTCTCGTTCTCGTTCTCGTTCTTCTCCTCAACGTTATCCTCCACTGGAGCCTTGTTGACATAGATTCTCGCCTGTCTGCTGTACCACTCCTCCAAATCTTGTGGAGTGGGCTCAAACATAATGTCGTACTCCAATATGTTCTTCCGTCTAAACTCTTTACGCATCATCTGGTACAACTTGAACTTCTTGTCTTCCTTCGCCTTCAACCGTTCCCCACTTAATGCCTTTAGCTTTAGATACTCATATTCACTTAAACTCTCGGGATCTTTGGCGTACTTCGCCCTAATATGGTCCATCTGCTTGTCTTCGTAGTATCGATCCCGCATATAGTAGTAGAAACATACCAACACAATGGCAAACCCGGAAAGATAATAGAAAGTCATGGACTTTTTGAACTCCTTACTTTGGAAATATACGGCCCATTGTCTCCATTTGGGCATCGAGTCCAATTTAGCCTTTTCCAAATCCCGTTTCCGTTGTTCTACTAGGGCCTTTTCATTAATACTAAAGGGCCGGTTCCGGTGTTGCTGTTCACTGTAGTTTCGAGTGGCAGTTAGCCGGACAACCGGAGCTGCTACTCCAACAACGAGTAACCCACGAACAGGTCGTATCCCCACACGCGATAACATGATGATAGGAGAAAAACATATATAGAATGATAATAAAGTATTTGAGTTGAAAAAATCAGACTGAGTATATATTTGTAGCGTAGTCTTACGTAAGCAAATGACCACTTACGTAATCGCCATACACCCTAAAACTCACTCGTCGAAATCGGAAGGCAATAACGATCCTGTCACTGTTCTTCCTACAATCCATACTACACTACGGTGCACACCCTATATACTATGACCGTAAGCAATTTACTTGAAGAAGCGCGTCGATTGGCGGCAAGCGATGATCTCGGAGGAGCGGAAGCCAAATATTATGAGATCATCAACGGACCTCGAGATCAACCACAACAACAGACTTTAACCACCAACCAGTTGGCGGAGTTAGAGGCGGCGATATTGGAGTTAGGGAAGGTGTACCAAACGCTGGATCAAATGCAACAATTGGTTGAGTTGATTAAACAGTCACGATTGGTGTTGGGGTCTTTTGCCAAACTGAAGACATCCAAAATAGTCAAAACTTTGATTGAAGATTTTGACACTATTCCTGACTCTCTTGACTGTCAGATAAGCGCCACTAGAGAGTGCATCGACTGGGCCGTTGAAAGCAAGTTGTCGTTTTTGAGACAACTGCTTCAGTATAAATTGGCCGGTGTGTTATACAAGAAGGGCATATACCAGGAGGCCTTAAAGCTTATAAATGATTTACTATTGGAATATAAAAAGTTGGACGATAAGTCTTCATTGGTTGAAGTTCAATTGTTAGAGTCGAAGATTTACCATGCGTTGCGTAATATCCCTAAGTCCAAAGCGGCTTTAACCAGTGCCAGAACTTCAGCCAATTCTATATTCTGCCCCACGTTATTACAAGCTGAATTGGACTGTCAAAGTGGTACGTTAAATTCCGAGGACGGAGACTATAAAACGGCGTTCTCCTATTTCTATGAGTCCTTTGAGGGGTATAACACTCAAGAAGATTCAAGAGCCATTGTGGTGTTGAAATATATGCTTTTAACAAAGATCATGGTTAATTTGATTGATGATGTCAATGTGATAGTCAAGAGTAAAAATGCCTTAAAATATCAATCCAAAGATATCGATGCTATGAAGGCCATTGCTACTGCTTATTCCACCAGATCTTTAAAAGATTTTGAATTGGCTTTGGCTCAATATGCTGTGGAATTGAAATCAGATCCTATCATCAAATCTCATTTCAATGCTTTATATGATAATTTGTTGCAACAGAATTTATTGAAAATCATTGAATCTTATAGTTGTGTTGAGTTATCTCATATTTCCGAGACTGTGGGGTTGAATTTACAACAAGTGGAAGGGAAATTGTCTCAAATGATTTTAGATAAAGTCTTTTATGGAGTATTGGATCAAGGCAATGGCTGGCTTATAGTTTATGATGAACCAAAGAAGGGAGAAACCTATGAAGCTTCATTGGATCTTGTCAAGAACTTATCGAATGCTGTTGAATTGTTATACCAAAAGGCATCAGCTTTGAATTGATTAATATAAACCATCAGTTCCCCGTTCAATGGCAACCACAGAAAGCTGTCCTATTCTATTCAACAATTCATTCAATTTCCCACTGACTCTGAAACATTCCATCAAATCATTTTTGGTATCATCTGCAATGGCATTTATCAATCTTAATGCCTTGTAAATGTATTTCCAATCACTCAATCTAGAATGTTCATAGATGGTTATTAATTCCAAACAAAGAAAAGGTATCACAATGCTTCGAAGTTCATGGTACAAATCTGTAGAAGAACCCTCATTGATTAAATCCAATAACCAACTGTTGATTAATGTCAAAACAGTATTGCTAACTTTTTCAATAGATAAATCCATAGAAGGCAGTTTCCATGATTGAGAGGTTTCATTAATGCTTCTCTTCCAATCATCTATGAGTCGTAGACCATTGACCAAATCATTGAACTCCTTCAACTCCAAATGGTAAGTGTCTACCAAAGTTTGTTCTGTAGCTTCTCCAGCAAGAGATTTCACTTGGTTCTCGGCATCAAAGTCTCTGCGTAAGCGAGTCAAGTCTTTATCTTGACAAAACTTCTTAATAGCAGCAAACTTACCCTTGAGAAGGAACCGTTTCAAGACCACTATTGTTGCAATCACAGCATCTTCGTGCATGGAGTTCTCGTAGAACCAATCCACGGTACGATACATCTTGTAGTCGATAGCATCAACATCCAGTTCATGATCTCGAATCAAGACGATATCTTCGTCAGGTTGATAGTGGTTGCTTGTTTCTTCAAGTACTCTTTCCACTGTTCTTCTCAAGGTGTTCACCAATTTGTCACTGTTTGAGTATTCTTCTGTCAGTCCAAGCTCAAAGTTAGCAAACTTCCTGGCGATCTGGACTTGCCTGGATCTTTGTTCAGGATCGGTAATGGAAGATAAGAACATCGAATACAATTCTCTAGAGTCTGCTTCATTGGGAATGTACGAAAGATAAATGGGGACCAATTCAGGATGGTTTTCTTTGGTCAATTGACTAATGTAAAGCTTGATAAGTTCTGTAATCACTTGATGGTCAGGTTCCTCCGCTAATAGCAAGTCTATTATAGCAAGATGAACCACTATTCTTAAAAGGAACGATTTGGTGACAAGCTCATCGTGATAATCACTTAGAACATTACTTAGGAAGGTCCCCACCTTGTTGATGATTAACGTACCTTCAATGATCCTAATAGGATGAGTGGATAATTCTGAAACAGGGTTATTTGATTTCAGTAACACCGTTAAGGCCTTCTCTATAGAAGATATCTGAGGTAATGGGATCTCATAAGAAATAGATTGGCTTTGCTTTCTTTCTTCCGGATCACTGGCTTCTAATAGATCACCATATTTACTTACAAATAATTGGTTGGTGTATAGCAAAAGACTTTTCTCCCAATCATTTGAGGATTCCTTCAAGTTTTCAGTTATGTCTCCTCCACACAAGTAATTGTAGATCAACTTCTCATAGTAGTTAATGGTAGATTGTTGCGACAACTTGTATACAGTTTGTTTCCATAATATCTTATGTTTAACACCGCCTGAAGAGTTGTCAAACGGATCGTTATGTTCTGTGGCTGCACCTACCAAAATAAGGGCCAAAGAATAGTTCCCTGTGTTGTTTGCCAAGTCAATAGCATCTTGGAGCTGGTTAGCAAGGATCATTTTATAGACTGTCTTGAACACATCATGGCCATCATCATCACCCTCATCCTCTTCAACAATTGAAGTGTTTGTTTGTATCCAACTCACAATCAATTCCAATTCCTTGATCTTCAGTTCTTTGTCACTCTTGCCATACAATGACGATGACTTCTGTTGTTGCGCCCGGAAGCCATACAAAAGCTCCACCAAGTTCCACATCTTGGTCTCCAAGTCCCAATTGTCAAAGGTTCGACCAATCACATCGTCTTCAGGGTTCTGTAACATGACATTCTGAGCTTCTAACGCATTTTGAGCTGCAATACTCTTGAACTCCAAAACAAGCTTTAAGGGGTCGGTTTTCGGCTCAACTTGGAATTGCTCCAACACCAAAGCAAACAGGCTCTCCACCAGACCCTCATTTACGCTATTGACCTCCATATCTATTCGGACTAATGGTTGTTGTGGTAAAGAAAACATTTGCTTTGTGTTGAATTGAATTGATGATAATAGGCGAAGGGTCGTGGGAAACACAAATGGCGGGTAACCCTCTAATGAGTAGTAGTAGTATAAGAGGAGTATATGGGAAGTATATGGGAGTATAAGGGGGGTTGTAACTTGTTCTAATGGAGTAATTAATAGTAGCACGACGCCAATTGACAGTTAGGAATATGAACAATGACCCGGGCAAAGCAATCAGAGGTTCATCAGAAGATGTCAGTAGTCGATGCTGGCAGAGTATAACAACAGTGGATGCAGTGAATACTAAAAGTGAATAACAGTGACACTTACAGTAATACTAAGGATGGATATTAGCAGTGAACAGTATAATCATTTCAATAGTCGTACCAGTATGTGCTTTAAGAGTGACATTCATAAGGCACTTATTGTCGTGAATAATGTCGTATTTGAACCGGAACAAAAGCCAGTACTATTCTAAAGTCATAGCAATTATCTGTAACTACACTTGAAGGCTGTATAAATCTAATAAAGGTTACTTTATCGAGCACTAATACGAACTTATCTAGGATTAATATGGTGATGATGCATTTTGTGGGGTTGAAATAACGTAGTGCGCTAACCAATACAATATATTCGTTTGATTTGCAAAACTCAAGGGGCAAGTTAAGGGTATGTTCCGCCAAAGAAACCTTATCAAGAACAATTGACACTACCAAAATGATGGAGAATAGTGTCGGACCAGCGGATGTTGAAGGTAACCACGAAGGCTTTGAAGCAGAAGAAGACAATAATCCGTTTTCCCAATCACATCAAGGACTTGCAAGCATTATGTCCGATAGGAATGCGGAGATACCCAAGATGAAAGGCGATAATAAACACGGTGGGAAATCAGCAGCAGCTGGTAATCTTGACGACGACGACGATGACGAGTCGATGTTGTTGTATGCTAAGAACAATAAGAATAGCGATTTAAGTGACCAATTGAATGATTTCCATGTTGAATACGAAAGCAGAGTCTCCAAGCTCTTGAAGCCCGGGAATGAAGTCAAGGTCCATATTACCGAGGCCAGTAACTCCAATGAGGGCATGAATAACTCTCTGAAGAAGTATGTGGTGTATACAATCAAATTAGTCAATAGTAAGGATCCTCAAGATGAGATCCAAACCAGAAGACGATATAGTGATTTTGAAAGCCTTAGAGATGTGCTTACAAAGATATTCCCCTTGATAATTGTTCCTCCTATTCCTCCCAAGAACTATATGAACTTTCCACTGTTGAATAACTTGGTAGGAAGTCAAGCACATGTTTTGAATGGGTCAACCAATGAAGATAGTACTAGTGGAGGAGGACCCAATGCTAACTCTTATTCGTATATCAATTCTACTCATTTAAATAAGACAAAGTTGGTCGAACATAGGAAAAGACTACTCTGCAATTTCTTAAACAATTGCTTGAAGATCAACCAGATTAGAAATTTGGAGTTCTTTGCCAAATTTCTTGATCCCAATGCTAATTGGACAGATGAGATTGTTCTTATAGTCAGCCAGTTGCCTAGAACAGTATTTCAACTGAACCCTGAAAACGGGTTGAAGACGAATCCCATCTATGTCCACCTTCCTAATCCGTCCAGTGGTCACACGATTTCATTTTTAAAAGATAATAAGAACAAGTTGAAACAAAAGACCAATAAACTATTGTTGTCCAGTTCTGAAGACAACACAATTGGGGTCAATGGAGTGGAGGCAGGAGCAGGCACAGGAGCAGGAGCACCAGCAACTACATCAGTTTCTTCTCCTTCACCAACGTACAATGATTTAATGGGTTATACAGCCGATTTGGATGTCATCAATAAGAAGATCATGCAGAATTTTATTGGGCTTTCTACAGACTATGGGGATTTAGGAACATCGCTCAACTCGTTTTCCTTATTGCTAATTGATACTTCAAAGGTTAAAGGGTCTAACGAGGAGCTGAAGCTCAATATTATATTTGATGAAATCGGACAAATCTTTGATAGGTCTTGTATTTCCATCAACTCATTACTCGAAGAAGTGGAAACCAAATTCTCCGAACCTCTAGGGGAAGCGGCCCAATACACACCTATTCTTCAGACTATCTTTAAGTTCAAAGAGAAGAAATTACGACAACAAGGCTTATTGGATTCAGAATTAAAGGACAAGAGAAAGGAATTGGATGATTTGTTAAAGATAGAAGACGAATATGCTCGTATAGACAATGCCTTAAACAGTACGGTTAAAGATACCAAATATGATCTTAATCTGGCTCAGGGTCAACCAACATCACCATCGCAGACTACCAACGATAACAACAGTAACCCAAGTACCACCAGCAGCAAGTTCAGGTTTCCCTCGATGAACACCTTCAAGAGAATTACCCAATACGTGAGTGAAATCATAGATCAAAATCCTGAACAAACAAGAAAACAAAGAATCGAATTGTTGAAAGCCAAAATTGAAACCTTGGAAAAATGCCAAAAGATAATGCTTGAAGATATCAACTATATAACTGATGAAGTTACCAACAACTTCAGCATCTTCCATAAGAAACAGGCTCAGGCTATCTTCAATATTTTGTTAACTTATAACAAACTACTTATTGGATGGGCAAAGAAAAACATGGAAATATGGGAGCAGGTTAAAGAAGAAATCTTAAAATTATAAGGTAGTTTATTCTGGCTATAAGTTTTAGCTGTCAATCTACTTATATTCTCCTGTATATAAGCTCGATGGCATCTCGGAATTTTCCCCCACCAAAATGGTCTACCCTTTAAAGAACTACACACTCGACTTGTTCTTCTTTATCACACACACAGCCATGGAGTCGTCGACGGCGTTAATGGCCAGGTATTTGGACCCGGCAAGCAGACGAAGTTTGGTAAAAAGTTTGGTGAGTGAAGTTGCACGTGATCCGCAGGCATTATCGGCATTAGTGGCATTGTCTGAAGACTTGGACCCTGAGACCTTTGATTCCATTTTCGAAGAGTTGTACAAATATGTTATTACTCTGACGGATAACTTGGAAATGGAAAGTCAACAGAACGTTTGTGTTTTGGTTTCAAAGATTCCAAAGTTAACAGATGCTTGGTTCCTCCACGTGACGCAGTATCTTGAAACTTATGTGCATCAGAATCCCCTGGATATTTGGAAATCGTATAAGACAGTTATAGTGGAGAACCATTTAGTTTTGGTTGCAACTGAAACTGAAGCTGAGGCTGAAGTTGAGGTTTCCAAAAAATTTTTGATTGGAATTCTTGGATTTATTGAAAGGACATTGGAAGCTTTAGGGTCTTCCAGTACTTATCTGAATTCAAAGCTTGACAATTGTCTTTTAGTGTTGTTAGGAAACCAAGAACCAGATATATCTTCTCGTTGTTCCAAGTTATTGAGATGGAGAATAAACCAGATTACTGAAGAAAGAAGCTCTAATGTCGTTTGGGATATCATATATCTGTTAGAAACTATTCCTTATAAAGCTAGTAAAGATCATGCATATATATTCTGGTTAAGATACTTGAATTTTAACAGTGCTAATCTTGGAAGTTCCAAGTTGTTCCAACAGCGTCTTGCCACAGATAAGTATTGGGAAGTTTTGAAGAGTGGGTTGACAAGTGAATATCATGATCATCGGAAATATTGTCTTTCGATATTACAATTATCTCTTAAATCTGTCAACTGTTCCTTCTTCAATTCCGTTATCACCTGGGACAATGAAGAACGTGATAAATATTTAAGAGAATGGAAGAGATTTGCTACTGTATACGAGATCATAGCAATAGATGCTTCCTTACACCAAGCTGAAGCAGCTATTAATGATATTATGTCTTTGCTTTCTTCAAAGGACTCATTGATTCATCCTTCATGGGGGATCTGCCTATTTGCCAATGGGTTCCGTGCAGCTATGGATTCTATGAGGAAGTTCACTCGTTCTTTACTCTTTTCAGTTCCCAATGAACGTCTTGGGTTATTCAAATATGATCTTGCTTCGTTCGAGAACATCATCTTGCCCTATGCCATGCAAGCACTGAATTTTGTGGTTAAATACAATGATACTTCCAAACAGAACGAATGTATTTATGGCCAAGCCCTTTCAAATTTGATACTGAACATGTTGATGAATATTGCCGACGATGAGGATGTGCTGCTTACTGCTACTGCAATATTTAATGTCCTTGTTCGTTCTAAGGATGCATTTGACCCTTCAAGAATTTATGTTGCATTAGGGATGTTGAATGGACTTGGTGATGGTTGTCTTAAATTTGGTACGCATGAATCTCAATTGACTACTTTATTCGAGTGTTCATGTGAAGGATTTGTGTATGAAAACTGTTCCCAGACCATCTTCCTTCGCTTATTGACCAAGTTCAAGGTGGAGGAGTCACTTAGTGATTTCCTTGATACCTTGAGAAAGTTCACCAAGTTTAATGGCACGGAAATATTACTTGCTAATGCTCATATTCTTGGGGAGTTTGTTGTTTCAAACGGCTTTGACATCATCAACGAAGTTAAAAGCAACAACTCTTCTGACGATAAGAAAGCTTTGTTGATCCCTTTATTATTGGATGAGAATAAAAATAAGGATGAGATAGTTCAATATGTCGTATCTCAGAACAAGTCGTTGTTCTGCTACCTTATTGAGTGCAATTTGCTTAATGGTCTTCTTATGGACGACAATGTCGAGATGCAACAGTTCTCCCAAGCTAACGCCAAGTATCTTCTATTGGAATCAAGATCATTTGAGCTATTAGATGCAGTTTCCAAGACCAACGTCACCACCAAGCTTTCCATAGCTGACGATCAAGACTATGTGACTGCTTTGGAGCTTATCAAACAGGAATTGAAAAGCAAAGACTACCATTCATGTCAAATAGCATCAAGAAGATTGAGACTAATGAAGACTTTGTACTTGAACTCTGGCTATGTTTTTGATTTGCAATCCTTGCTTCTGTTTGAGAAGTATGTGGATATTTTAAAGAAGTCACCTAATTTGAAGGAGCACTTGGACCACTATAAGTTAGTCGAGTTGATTCAAGCTGACCATTTACAATTGATCCAGGCCACTCTTGAAAGAAGCCAGACTGTGGTTGATTTCAGGGCCATTTTCGCATTAATGAATACTTCATCCACTAGTTTTGATTTAAACGTTGCAATGATCTCGTTGATCAAGTTTATACTTGGGTCCTTCAAGGATTCCTCCTTGGTTGAAGATTTGACGGGATTCTTAGCGGAATTGTGGGAGAATATCAGTTCAAGTAGATTGAAATTGAATGAGAACCGTTTACACCTATTGATAATAGAGGCAATGCTTGATAAAAAAATCATTGACGTTTCTTTGGATAGTGAAGTGGTATCCCAACAATTACTTGTCTTTTGCTTATCAGTGATTGAAAACTCTTATGGAAGAAGAAGCTTGTTGCCCACACTTACTAGAAAGATCTCAGAGTATCAACTCTTGCAACCTTCAAGGTTTTCTAAGTTGAAATGGATACCTGAAGTTTTTGTTGGAGCCTTAACCATGAATCAATTGAAGACCAACTCTTTTAAGCTAGAGACTGTGGTTGGTGATCTCTTTGATAGTGTTTTCCCAGGAGGTCCAGAACCGTTATACAAATCCATTTATGGTGCAGAAGAGATTAGTTCTAGGGTTAATCTCATGGCTATATTACTAACCAATCAGTCCGAGGAGTTTTCTTCTACTATGGTGAAGTATATTATGGAGAATGAGAACAAGTATCATCTTTTACAGCCTATAAAGTCTACAGATGGAGCAGAAGAGCATGTGAGAATTCAATTACTAACCATAATTTTATCCCTAATGAAGCCATTAATCAAGTCAAGTGACCTGACTTTATTGGACAATTATATGGGGACATTTCATGATTTACTAGACACTGAACCCAGTCCATTAGTGAGGATTTACATTGAATGGATCATTTGTCTTTACTCCAATGAAGTACAGTTGACAGTGATGTTGAGCAGATTAGTCGATGGTGATGGTGACTCCAAGATTAAACCAAGCAGACTGATTTCGTACCAGAGAATCTTGTTCCTTGCCATTAAACAGCTTCCAAAGAGCAAAGAAGAACAGTTGCTCAACCAGTTCATTACGGTCGTGTTACCTGAAGCCACGTCCAACAAGGTGATCATGAGACACTTTTCGTTGTCGTTGATCACGTCCATTTACGACGAGGTGAACCAGAAGAACCTTGCCATAGAGCATGGACTAATGGTGATCTTGGAGTCGCTCTACCAAACAGCAGTCCAGAGTGAGTCGTTTGGACTGTACCGTAGTGGAAGTGCTTTATTATGGGACAGTGAACAAGACTACAATCTTTTGTCGCTTTCAGGAAGAATTCTTCTTCGTATCACGGACCGTGACGACTTGCCCAACATCACTCCAGCCCAGGCCAACTTATATTTGAGCGAGGAGCAACGGGGAGCTCTTGATATCGCCGTAGGGGACGAACACATTGACAGCTTGTGGGCCAAGCCAGAAAGAGCCCCGCACACCAAATTCTCCGTAGCTGACTCCCATGCCGGCAAAACGACTCCGCTTCAAACCAAGTCTGGTGCCTGGGAGACCACCGTTGATGTCGATATTGAAAACTCCAGAGAAAAGGCCGTTGTTCGAAGCGATTTAATAGTGGTCGCATCTTTGGTCGACAAGCCTCCCAACTTGGGAGGGATCTGTCGGTTATGTGATGTTCTTGGAGCCGGCTTATTGGCGTTACACGATATCCGAGTCAAGAACCATACACTGTTCAAGACTGTGGCTGTTACTGCGGACAACTGGATGCCCATGGTCGAGGTAACTCCAAACCAGATAAGAGACTTTATCCTTGAGAAGAAGACACAAGGCTACACTTTGATTGGCTTAGAGCAAACAGACAACTCCATTGAGCTTAATAGCGACTTCCAATTTCCTAAGAAGTCGTTGATAGTCTTGGGAGCGGAAAAGGAAGGTATAAGAGGAGATTTATTGGCCGAATTGGACTGTTGTCTTGAGATAAAACAAGTTGGTGTTATAAGATCCATGAACATTCAAACCGCTACAGCCATTATAGTCCATGCCTATTCGAGTCAGCACTGTTAACGGTACGTTTATTATTGTTACTAAAAGATTGACCCATCTATATCGTCTTCATCTTGGTCGATGAGATCATCCAATGCCTTAAAGAGAGCCCCACAGTATTTATTACACAAGGCTATGCTTTCAGTTATAGCCTTATTGTCCAACCCTTTAAACTGGGTGTTGTTGGAGTTGTAAGCCAAGTTCATGTTGATGATAGGTGTGGTCACAGCGTCGTCTGCAAAGCCAGCAATGATGGCATTGTCTAGCACTTGTTCTTCCTCGGTCGAAGGGTCCAACAAGATATTGGACCCCACCACACCAATGGTAATAAGAATAGGAGGTCGGAACTGTATGTCCGACATGTGTGCTAACAATTTGGAATCGTCCCAGTCGTCAGAGAAGGTGGGGAGTTCTTCGATGTCTTGGTCGTTGGTTTCACTTACCAAAAGAGGCAATCTGGTAGTCTTAAGCGCCAAATAAGTGGTCAACGACACCAACGTCACAGGGTAAGACGCGTGACTGATCACTATGCAATCAATGTAGAGCTTATAACTGTATCTGGAAGTCAAATGAAGACATTTAAAGGGGAAACTTTGTAGTAATAATGTCGTTAAATTGTACTTGATGTTGGTAACCAAATTGGAATCGTCTCTGAGTCCTGAAATGTCCACGTCTACCTCTATCAAGTTCGATTCTTGAGCTCGTTGAACAACTTTGGACTTGACACTAACAATGCACTCACCTCCATCGGTCATACGGATTCTGGCTGATCCATTGGACCCTGGAAGAAACCCGGTCTTGGCCTCCAACAGTCGAAACTGGTGAGGGCTCCGGAGATCGGGTCTAATAGGTGGACTTTGTTGGAGTGAGTCGTGGAGATACGATCGTTCGGCCGGAGATAAAATCATGTTATAAAGAAGTTAGTGGTAGTTAAAGGTACAAGTCTGGTTTATCCATCTCAAAAATTTTATAGACAACTGCACGTGATAGATCACATGCTTGAGAACGTGACTGAAATTTAGAGAGCAACTTGTACAGGAGGGTCTTTCAGAATGGTAGGTATTGAATTAATAGCGGACCTAGTTAGTTAAATTAATAATATGTCTTTGTTAACATATGAGATGTATGTTCAATTCAAGATGCCCAGTTAAACATATTACTTCAGGAGTGCACTACTTTGGCTGACCGCTATAAAATTATGTGCACTGACTTGCTTCGGAGCACGACATTTATTGAACACTACTACCAGTGACCACTCCCTTTTGTTGACATTCTTAAGTGCAGTATTGAAGCTTCTAGATTTATGCTGATTTGGACTCTGATTATTGAAGTCGACAGTATTGATATATCTCTTTTCAACCGGCTGCTGTGAAATTGCGTTTAAACCTGTACATAATTATGTCAGCTTCGGTTGACACATTATACGAGCCTTTCAACATCTGCTAGTCGTTTGCTATGTCGGCACAATGACTGTTCAGTGTCTTATCAATGAGTGCTCGAATTCTTCATGCAGTTGAGTCAATATTATGTTTAATTTCGGTGAAATTGTTTTAGAAAGTATACTCATAAAACTCGGTCTTGATTGGAAGCGCCTAATGCTATTGATGAAAACAATTAAATTATTGCAGCTTGTATAAACAGCTATGAGTGGTATGTTTGGTTTGGATACAAAACAATCGATGGTTAAGCGAATGGTTAGAAGTAACTGCTCCATGATTTTTTTGTAGGTTTTACTCTAGTGGGTATCGTTTTTAACTAAAGTACTTTAAAAGTGTCGTTAAGCTGACATAAGTGATTGCTAAACACGATTTTATCATGTTGTTAGTTGCATATACACTGTTTCTTCCCCTAACTAAATTTGCGCTTGCGTCCTGTATGTAAATGTGTCACATTTGTTCGACAAATAATGCGAGTTAGATCCTTTTAACTGTCAGTAAGTTCATTGATTTAAACTTCTGTTTGGCATATCGGTGATATTTAAGGATATGTTTGATTCCTAGGATAGTTAGAAGAATTTAAATGCTGGAGTGATACTGTTCGTTCCCGTGATATCGGAGGCTGAAATGGAACTTTATGCGTATATGAAAAGTAGATTTCAAAGAATAGTAGTAATAAATCCAGAGATTGCGTGAATGAAAATAGCACAATATTATCCAACCTGACCACCATTGGCTTCAATCTAAATATCACACACAGATTGAAGCCAATCTGTGTGTGATAATTAAAACCAAATGCCCTCAATAGTGATATATGATTGAACCAACTGCACGCATTAGAATTGGCAAATAGTTATATTTTCTGCTGAGTGATTGAACCAGGAGCTTTGTAATTAGTGTCAGTTAAAAGGCATTTACTAACTATCTATCATGGTAAGTATCTTACTGGCATTTTTATATCAATGAGTGGTAAGCAGTGCAAACATCCATGTATTGAGGTGCATTATTAAACGTGTTATAATGATGCAATACAAGGTGCCGTTATACAAGACTATTATACCCATAATTGAAGTAACGGATTCGGTTACAATGTCGTATACAAATTAATGTCTGCTTTAAATACATATACGAAGAAATACACAAAAAGTATTTAGAATCCACACTCATTTACACCCTCCTCACACTCATGAAGTTACAGACAGTACCGCGATTACAATTGGTACACACACGACCATATACCATGTTTTTTCTCAAAGCAAATCAACATCAAACAGTGATGCATTAACAAAGTCATCTTCTCACACTATGACCAGTTTGTATGGACCGGGGTCTTCCGACGGAAGCCAGACGAGTATTGGCAGCAAGAAGAACGATAATCCAGCGTGGTTCAAGAAAACAACCAAAAGAACCATCCCCAATCATTTAGTACCGAAGAGGAAGACGGGATTCCAATTGGCCCCCTCCAGCAATGAAAACGCATCAAAGTCCACTGTCGGACCCGGAAACTCAGGAGATACCAACCCCATGAGTTGGTTGCTGTTCAATTCCCAGCATCGGAACAGCATTGTTGACGATAACAAGAGCACACTCGAAGACTCCAGCAGTTTAATGGTTGACGAGTCTCCGTTTCTTGGGAGTGGACCTGATTTGCCTCCCAAGAGGTCCCTTTATGATTTAGACGATGAGGTTCTACTTGCTTTGAATAAGCCAGCTCAACATGTTGACTCTTTCATCAACAAGGACCCGAAGAACTTCACCAATGTGTTCAACAAGTCGGCTGCTCACGTGACCAGTGGTGACTCCGAGAATGGAAAGGACAAGAACGAGTTGCTTGATGGAGATCTGGCGGTCTTAGTGTTTGGATACCCTGATTTCATGGTTACTCAAGTTATCCAGCGATTTGAAGAGTTTGGGAATGTTCTAGAACCTTTTGATACCAAATACACTTTAAATAAGTTGGTGCTCACACTGAATATATTGCTGCTGGTAGAACTGGGGCATAAATATAAGAACGTACCTATATTAGCGGGCGAAGGGTGGATCAAAATCACATATGATAATCCTATTAGTGCCATTGATGCTTTACAAATGAATGGGAAAGTGTTTAATGGCAGTTTATTGGGAGTAGCACCATACTCCAAAGAGTCAATTGAACAGTTACAGAGTAGAAAGTTGACTATAGATGAAGATATTGGGGGGAAAGGAGGCGAATATTCTTCACTTTTCTCAAATACCAATGCCATTGCTAAGGAACCTCCAAAGAGATTCAATTTAGATGAGGAAAAGAGTGGTGCATCTGTGACTGCTTCTGCCTCTTCTTCAACAAGATTAGACATTAAAGATGGGTCTTCGTTATTCTTGCAGTCCCAAGAAGATAAAGCAAAGGAAGAAGAGAAGAAAAAGAATGAAAAATTGGGCATGGTTGGTACCATTTTCCGGGCATTATTTGGATTCCATGAGCTTTGATTATATCGATGTTGTCAACGCCAAATTGGTTTCAGTGGACTTGGACTTCGATTGGGTGAAGATCGATGCAGCAGTGCATTCAGAGATCTTCTAACAAATTGGTTTATTCTTTCTGCTGCTGTGGGAGATCCCAATCTACTTGAAGATTGGGTTAAGTTGGGAGCCAATCTAGTTGGCAGACTCATTCGTAAGGATTTGGAAGGACTTGGAGTCCGATCGGGCATTTTAAAAGGTGAGGGGGTTTTATGAGAAGTTGATGATGGTGGAGGGATAATTGTATCATTGTGGATAAGATCATTCCGTGGAGTTGAAGGAACATACCAAGGAAGATCTTCTTCACTATGATCACTATCATCTTGGACAGTTGAAGGAGGAGCAGAAGCATGAGCATCAGGACTATAAGAGGTACGGAAATGTTGCAATTGTCTTGAAAGTTCGTTGTTGATCTTTTTCAATTGGTTTATTTCCAATTTGAATTTATAGGAATCGTTATTATAATAATTTGGTGTAGTTGTTCCTCTACGGAAAGGTGACGTCGATCTCAGATAAGGTTTTGAAAGAAATCGTTTGGATGATGATGATGTAGGGGGGTCCCTTGGTTTTAATTCATGATAATTATTCACCTCTTTACCTTCAATATCATGAGTGGTGAACACTCTCAGTTTATTGGAAAGGAAGGGAACCACATCTGTTAGCACAGTTGAATAATAAGGACCAGTGGTAGCATCTATAAGTACATCTTTCTTTAAAGTGGTTGTTCTGGGTACGACATATTTTGTCTGATATTCTTGAAACATCTCCTGATACAAAATCTGTTTGTCTTGAAGTAACACAAGGAATTTGGAGATCAAGTAGTACATGGACCCCGTGACGGCCAAGTTGGTGACCAAGAGCTTGACAAACGATAATTCCGTAAGTAAGATGTTGATTAAATTGACCAATGGATTAAGCGACATTAACAAGTAAAGATTGAACTTTGAAGGTTGCCATACTTGCAATTGCCAAATATCTTTATATATGACGTCATTATCACGATCACGATCATCAACATCTTTAGGTTTTGTTGAGGGCTTCTTACCAAATACTTTCGACTTGATGGTATCCCAGAGCATTTGGCCCAAGGAATAGTTATCTATCAACGTAAACCTTTTAACTGAGGGAGTGTGCGGTTCCCGATCGGTGTACATCAAGTTGTAGAACCGGCTGGACACCGCAAGGTAGTAGACATTCCAGAGAGAGAAGGCGATAATGGCAATGTTCACTTTGGTCAAGAAGCTGATGATGGAGTCTGTACCCGAAGTTGACGAAGATGATCTGGAGTTGGAGGGGGAGATGTACGGCTTAGGGCCTGCAGCCCTAAACGAATTTTGAAGCACTTGCTTCTTTAGTTGCTCATAGTTTCGGTAGTCTGTTTGGAACAAGACGTTATGGGTTTGGCCCAGGACTTGTTTATAGTTGTGGACCGTCAAGACAATCATCATGGAGATCAAGTTGAGTAGTCCACCCACTGGTAGAGCCAATACAAGGGAGAGATCATCCCAATCTATAGCCAATCTCGATTCATTAAGCAGAAGCCATAAGTCGAGGGGGTACGAAAGGATTCTTCCCCATAGAGTAGATGATTCCTCTGTTGATGACCATAAGAAGCCCATAGATAAAGGAAGGGATTGACTAGGAGAGGAATACTGATTGAGTGTATCCAGTATACTGCCTGTATCTAGTATAAGCGTCTGACTGTGTCTGACTGTTGTATATACGCGTTGTGTCCTCCTGTTGTTGTTTGTGTGTGCCTAAAGGTGGACTTATAATGTCGCATTACTATGTCGCACTTTGTTGATGTTGCGCGACATACGCGCGTATGTTTTATAACCAAAACAGTGATCTACCACACCATAACCCACTCATAATTGTGACTACACTATGCTTCGCTCACGCAATATAGACGATGAAGATATACGTCTTCATCGGACCCGTAACAGCCAATCACGTGACAAGATCAAGGCCTGGTTGGAGAAACAACGAATGACAAACAACGAAGACACCGAGCTTCAACGACTAAGACAAGCACTTGAGACAGAAGATGTGCGCGACATTAATGATGAAGATGAAGATGAGAAGGAAAATCATCAGCTGAAGTTCTATGACTCGGTTAAACAGAAGGTTGATCAGATCAATTCAACCAACTACCAACTACCAGGGTACAGCCAGGGTCAAGGCCATGGTCATGGTCAAGGTCATGATCATGATCATCGCCTTGGTGGCCATGGTCATGGTCGTGATGGTCGTTCTGACGATGATGATCGTTCTGACAGTTTGACACTGTTACCTCCACTATTTGACCGGTCAGTCCTGAGATCGATTCCATCCCTCCCATCTACTCCTTCTAATCAACCCACTACAGCCGTTAGAGACACCAATTTCCTATTGAAGCGTATGGAGTCCCAACAAGCGGAGATTGCTAGGTTACAAGCACAATTAACCAGTCAAACGCACGAAACTCGTTTGGCTGAAGAGTCCAACCGCAAGCTTCAAATGGCCGTAGACCAATTGATTGACACACGGCAAAAGGAACTTAAACGGTGGGAGTTGGCTGAAAAGGTTCATTTGGATCAGAAACTACAACTAGAAACTCAATTAGAAACCCTTCAACAGTCACAAGCCCTGGAAGTACGTCGACTAGAAGCAGAGGCATTGAAGCTGGCGCAAGCTCTTGTGGAAACAGAAAGAAATGCAGACACTTTGAAGCTACAACTATTGTACTACCGTAAACAGATTCAACAATTAGAGGATCAAAATGAACGGCATGTTTTCATCAACAACTACATCAAAGAGTTCTTCCAGGATGAGTACAGCAAATATCGTTCGTATTTGATGCAACTTAACGGGATCATTGAATCCCGAGATAATGATAATGACAACAAACATTGCCGTAATGACGGTGATACAACCAAACTTATTAATGGGACATTATTTCAAGAACCTACTGGTGAAATATTGAATCCGTTTTCTGTTGATAAAATGATGGCTGAAGAGTCCAGTCGTCACCGCTCAAAGGTGCCTCGGTTAACAAAATATATTTGGATGGTCATCTTCATAAACCGAGTGAAAAATATAGTCAACCGCAATCGAAGAGTCTACGACACGATTGGCACTGCCCAATCACTTGCGAGAGAATGATATCACAATAGGACTGCTGATACGAGATCAAACCTTCCACTTATGTTTCCATTTGCTGTACCATCCCGTCCTTCCGAACAACAACTTATATACGGGACGTTAATCTGTATCCAGAAACGGAATTCCTGTTGAAGAGGGGATATTTTTAGATATTACGTCATCGGGTTAAATATAGCACCAGAACAACATCACCCTTTAACATTGCCCAGCCGTGCGGTCTTTCGGGTTCAATGTCCCTAGTAAAGCCCTGGAGTCTTTTTGCCACAGTATACGTATTATTCCCTATGGCATTGTTCCTTATGTGTTCTAGACCCCACTAGATGAAAGCTTAATTGTACACCTAAGCCCAGAGCTAAATATACATAACCTGCATCTGCAGCTAGATTAGTAGGTACATAGATAGACAGATGTATGTTCGAATCAATCAGACATACAGGCAAGCAGTCAAACTAGGAAGCAAAGCAACAGACCAACACTTAATTTTAAGCGTGCATTTTTTATCATGCGTATATTATGTGAGAGTCGCAACTTAACTGCATGTAGAGATCCGGCATTTGGTTCGGGTTTCCTATGTGGTGACGCACCGATGGGGGCGTAGCTGCGCTGCACTTTGGCACATTCCCCTCTACACATATAAACGTACTGCAGCCGGGAATGGCATGTGTCCAAAACCCGAACGACATTTAAATATCTAAACATGATATAATCAAATGTAAACATACACCTTTTTCTTTCCACAACTTTATTATCTCCATATTTAACACATTAAAATATAATTTGCATGAGCTCTGTCTCGCTTTGCTCGCTAAGCGAGCCCTTAATGTCGCCTTCAATATTATCTTCACCAATGTGGTGTAGTGAACTTCCATCTGACGTTCGGTTTGTTCCATCAGGTGGAAGCCTACAGGAGTATCTGTTGATAGTTGATGTCCGGTCGTATCATCAGTTCAACAGTTCTCACATTAAAGGGGCAACTAACCTTTGCATTCCCACCACTCTACTTCGGAGAGTATCGTATCCGTTATCGGCCATTTTGAAGGATCTTCCTACCCCTTTGAAGGACCTTTTGGTCTTGAAAGAAGATGACCCCAACATCAACAATAAGACTAATATGAATACCACCATATTGCTTTATGATTCTGACTCGAGACGGGGCAAAATCCTGGTCCATCTTTGTCAAACTGTAAGAAAGTTTTCCAGTGTCAACGCCAAATTGTTTGTGCTTGATGGCGGTTTCCAACAAGTGCCATCCTCCAATATTGAATACTGGTCTCTGTCGTCGTTGGAACAGATGGGCGGACCTTTATCTTCGAATAGTCAACATTCATCGGCGTATACGTTATCACCGACTGGTTCCTTGACTCTTTCAAGTGCCATCACCACTCCGGGAACAGCAGTTTCGCTCTCGTCATTATCGTTGCCTATTGGTAAGGCAGCCTCTACAGGTTCAACTTTACATCCTCCATCGTCCTTAGCAACGTTATCGACATCGCCTTCATCATCTTGTTCTTTTCCCCTGCCTTCCGTCAGAACAACGGTAATCCCCAACTCCTACAGCCAGCCAAACTCCAGCTACTTGACGAGCTTTACCTTGCCCTCGGCAAACACTCCCTCCAAACAAAAGTTTTTGAAATCACTAAAGACAAACATCTTGCCCAAGTTGGACATGAGCTCTATCCGTGATAACAAGACCGTGATCAAGTCGTTGAAGGTCCCCTCATCGTTATCCGCAGACCAATTACCTCCTTGGTTGAGGTTTGTTACACAACGAACTCCAGAACAAGTGCTGAAGGTATTAACAGATAAGTTTGCCAAAATAGAGAAGATTCAGCAGTTACGGCTTGCCGCTGCCATCTCCAACTCAAGTTCCAACATAAGTCCTCCTCAAATAGACCATTCTGCTTGCTCTCCTCTGGATTTTTGTCCTGGGTGTGATGGGATCACTTACAAGTTACCCTCAGGCATAGAGGACTGCTTGAAGAATCGATACCACGATGTGTGGCCCTTTGAACACTCCCGAGTCAAGCTCAAAAGCGGAGATAACGACTATTTCAATGGGAATTATATTCTTGATAAGTACATTGCTACCCAGAACCCATTAGTCAATACGTATGGTGATTTCTGGCAACTGGTATGGGAGAATAACGTGTGTTGCATAATCTCATTGAACGGGAACTCCAAAAACCAAGGGGATATGTTCTCCCATCGGAGATCATCATCAATGGGGAACAATTTGAGTAATAGTTTGGAGTACTTCGAAGACCAATCTTTAGGTCTGTTTAAGATTCAAGGTGTCTCCAAACAAACTTACCATGCCTTCAATTTAAAGGAACTAGAATTATCATGTGTTGATGAAGATAAGCCTCCAAGGAAGGTTTATAGACTTGAATTTGAACAATGGCCTGATTTCGGAGTACCTACGGATTTCAAGTCATTCATTGAGTTTATTGAATTTAAGAATACCTTATTGAAAGATACGCCGGTGAACGGTGAGTCTCGGCTTTTGATTCATTGTTCTGCGGGGTGCGGACGTACTGGGGTTTTTATAACTTTGGATCTGCTACTTGAAAAATATACTAATGGCGATAGACAAGTTGTCCAATTGGAACAGGATCAAATATATCGGTTGATACAACAGCAAAGATCTCAGAGAGTGAATATGGTACAGAATATTGATCAATATTTTGTGTGCTATGAATTATTGCTCTACTATATTAAGAATAACGGGGAAAAATAAGGGAAATATATATTGGAAACGGATTAGTACATCTAAATAGGAATAAATAAAGTGGTTTATCATAGTACAATAATTACATTATAACAGACTAAATAACACAACTAAAAAAGCAGTCAAAGGGTTATTAGCTGTGATTGTCTTTTGCTTACGTAATCTATAGACCCGTGCACTTACCAAATCCAATAGGATGTCCTAAAAAGGTAATGGCATTTAAGCTGCTACATGCTACCACATTATCAAGGCGTACAACCAGCACTACAAGATGGCCAAAGACATAAATAAGAACAAGATTGACTACCTCCTACGATTGCTAGGCAAAAGTCATCTTATGGAAGAAGACTTTGAAGACTTCCACCAAATCTACTACACCATTCTTCGCACCATGACAAGAAAGGCTCCCATACAAATGGATGTCTATGAATCTGAAACCACCAGAGCTCAACAGAAAGTGGAGGAAGCCATTAGAAGCATATATCTGGATGTAGAGATTGATCTGATGACTGTGACGACCACGAATTGTGGGGGGTCTAAGGCAAGTACTGATGTCATCTTCCCTCCATTAGATGTTGCTAAGCATGAGAATTATTGTCGTATGTGCTTGTCTAGTCCCCTACCTGGGGCTTTCATAGGGTTGGATGGGAACCAATGTTGGATGATGTATTGGCTTAGTAACGGCCATGGGATGCTTAAAGGCGTTGAAGGATTACCTGCGGATATAAGCGAGGGTATCTCCGCCAAGATTAGCCTGTTCGTTATTGATGAAGGTAGGAACGGGATTAGTAGTGGGCCATTTCAAAAGGGTCATGTGGCCAGTGTTTATGCAGCCGTGTTGGCTTTAATAGCCATTGGAGACTTCAAGACTCTTACGAATGCCAGGAAGGGCCTTTACGATTTCTTCTACAAGATGAAGCAGAAGGATGGCTCCTTTTCAATGACCGTCAATGGAGAAAGTGATGCTCGGTCAACATACTGTGTGGTTGTGCTCAGCTACTTGTTGAATATACTTGACGACAAGTTGGTGGATCACAAGACGTTGCAATGGCTAGATCTGTGTCAAACATATGAAGGTGGGTTTGGAGGTGTTCCTAACACTGAGGCTCATGGAGGTTACACCTATTGTGCGTTAGCTGCATATTATGTTCTTCTTGGTAAGGAAGGATCCACCCCAAAGGAATTCTTGACATCCCTCAGAGCTCATATAGATGTGGACAAGTTGCTTTCATGGTTGGTCCACAGACAACATCTTTTGGAAGGTTCGTTCGACGGTAGAACAAATAAATTGGTGGACGCATGTTACTCTTTCTGGGTAGGTGCCTGTTTTGCAATGTTGGAAGCCACGTTGGAGATCACTACTCTTTTCAATAGAGAGTCACTTAAGTTGTACATGATCCATTGTGCTCAGGGCATTGAAATGGGTGGGTTCAGAGATAAACCCGGTAAGCAAGCAGACTTTTATCATACAAATTACTCCCTTTGTGGAGTCAGTGTTCTGGAACACTACTTTACGCTTGAACGAAATGGATCATGGGCCAATTCGTTCACTACGGAAATTGTTGATGATACAAACGTTAACACAAACCCTGTTAACCCCATTTTTGGGCTACCTATTCTGCAAGTGAGCGCTTGTGTCAAGTATTTTTCAGCCAACGTATAAGCCAACGGTATATAACTGCATATAATTCATTCATAATAGTAACGTCCATTAGTTTAAGTTATGTCCCCCAAAATGTCCCCCACACTCACAGGTCCCCTCCCCTCCTCTCCCCAAACGGTATGTCCGGGTAACCCCCTGGTGATCTGTATTGGTGAAAAGTGCAATGTCGTAAACCCCATTCAGTCAACACTTCTGCCTTTGTCAATACTATGAACTTAGCACTACAGGACCCGTTTGCTGTAGCAAAAGAGTACCCTGATACGCTAATTACCACACTACTGTATGGGGCTAGTGTTGTGATAGAATTCAATCATAGAGGAGACTATCTTGCCAGTGGGTTGACAGATGGAACTATAGTCATCTATGATCTCACAGCCAATGGAGCCATTGTGGCCAAGCTTTCTAGACACGGGCATACACGACCGGTCACACTGTTGGGGTGGTCTAAATGTGGGAGATACTTGATTTCTAGTAGTCAAGATTGGAGTTGTAAGCTATGGGATTTGTCGTTATGTAATCAGCCTGGATCCAATAAGAGTGCAGTTATTAGAGAGGTTACATTTGATGGGCCGATTTGGCAATGCTATATGAATCCATTGAACCCTTTCCAGTTTGCTGTTAGTTTACTTGAAAACCAACCGTACTATGTTGATGCTACTGAAGAAGGGATCAAAATCACCCAGTTGGCCACCGAGCCTAAGCTTGATGCCAATGATGAACTTGGGGGCGGTGGGGGCGCCAATAAAGCAAAAATTGAAAAGCATTCCACACTAGTGCTAACGTTCACTCCCGATGGGAAGTACATATTCACTGGGACCAACAAAGGATGGATAAACATTGTGGATAGTCACACACTTACAACTGTTCATTCGATTAAGCTTGTTAATGCCAACATCAAGAACTTGGTGATTTCATCGAATAATCGCAAGCTCGTGGTCAATTCCTCAGATAGAATCGTTCGTCAAATCAATCTACCAGACATGTATAACGTTACCAATGCTGATCTCTGGGAGTTTGAAGTTGAACATCGATATCAAGACTTGGTCAATCGGTTACAATGGAATTCTGTTGCCTTCAACAACAATGCCGAGTTCCTAGTGGCCTCGACGTATGGACAATCATCTAATGACTTATATATCTGGGAAACCAGTATGGGATCATTGGTTAAGATTCTTGAGGGAGCCGTGGAGGAGCTAATCGATGTGAAATGGAACTTCCCTCGATGTATGATTGGATCTACAGGGTTGGATTCCGGTAACATATATCTTTGGTCCGTTCAATTCCCTCAGAAATGGAGTGCGCTAGCTCCGGACTTTGTGGAGATTGAAGAGAATATTGATTACGAGGAGGGGGAAGATGAGTTTGATCTTGTCAACGAACAAGATTTGAACAAGAAAAGAATGGAGGCTGAAGACATCAATTTGGTTGATGTTACGAGTCGAGAAGATGTTGATGCTCGGGGGTTTGAGCTATGGGAGGACTCATTTGTGATAAGACCCAATTATTATGATGGAGTCGTAGAGTCGTGAAAGAAGTACAGCATGCCTGTATAGCAAGAGCGGTGTCACGTGACTGACAACGGCCACTGTATGAGCCAATGCGGTTTAATACTAGCAGAGGGTTCCCACTGCTGTTGTGTACTATTGCTTACTGTATATATACTCAGCGTCTGTAGTATTAACTGCTGTAACTACCATACCACTGTACTCCTTCCGTGCTACAACTGTGCATACCTCTGCCATAAGACTACCTGTGCCACAAAGGCCCTGCTCTAGGGGATACCACTGTTACCACTGCAACACTACTACTGCAACACTACTACTGCAACACTACACTGCAACACTACACTGCAACACTACACTGCAACACTGCTACACCGTTAGTACTAGCATGCTGCTGTTCCCGCGTGTTCCCTCTGTGTTCCTCTACTCTTCCCATCCTCCCCCTGCACACTACACGGGTCCTACACGCCTTTCAAAACATAAACACCAAAACAAAACAAAGCAAATATCCAGACAAAAATTTTACACCATACAACGTTCAAAGTTAAAGCCTGTTCAACGTTAGCCGGTTGATTTGACAGGTCGAATCCAGATAGGCAGCACAGCGCACAACACCACAGCTACACGTCACAACCGTTACATGACATCTTGACCCAGATGGCCCCATCAGAAACCCCGAGAAAAAGATCCCGTGGTCATGATGAAAGTGAAGATGACGATTTACCCACGTTTGAGGATCCTCAAGATATGGTGAATGCGGTGATCACGGCGTTGACGGTTCCGGAAGAGAAAACCAATGTTTCCAAAGTTTACGCCAATGAGAACAATTTGGCAACAGAAGTCAAGGCATACGCCAAAATAGCTGGACAGAATTGGACCTTTTACGTCAAATCATTGGCCATTTCAATTGGTAGAAACACCGATTCAAATCCCGAAATTAATAGCAATAATAACTCCAACAGTGCCAACAGTAACAATGCCGTGGATATAGATTTGGGACCTGCTAAAGTGGTATCAAGACAACATGCAACTATCAATTATAATTTAGAATTTAGATGCTGGGAATTGAAAGTTCTAGGAAGAAATGGGGCTCGTATAGACGGAGTTAAGATCGAAGCAGGGAAGTCTGCTCCCTTGAATTCAGGTGCAATATTAGATATTGGTAACACTCAAATGATGTTTATATTACCAGATTCTCCCCCTAAAATACTGCAGAAAATGCTTTCGGATTGTTTGAAAAAGTATAAAGATATTATGAAATCCAGAAAATTGACTTCGTCTTCTTCAGTATCTTCATTTACAAATGGAATAGGTGGTGCTGGTCAATATCAATATAATTCCGGCCATTCTCATTCAAATTCAAATTCACTGTTGAAATCTTTCCAAATTTTTGACCAAGCCCAATTGGGTCATTCTCCATCTTCAGCCACTGCAAGCTCTTTACAAAGTAATCTTGATCAAGATTTATCCAAAGAAGAAGCAAAAGATATCAAACCACCTTATTCTTATGCCACTATGATTACTCAAGCAATTCTTTCCAATAGTAATGGTGTAATGTCTTTATCCGAGATTTATACATGGATTGCTGATCATTATGCTTATTATAAATATCTGAAAACTGGTTGGCAAAACTCCATTAGGCATAATTTATCCCTAAACAAAGCTTTTGAAAAAGTCCCCAGAAGACCAAATGAACCAGGGAAAGGGATGAAATGGCAAATCAGTGAATCTTATAAAGAAGATTTTCTAAATAAAATCAATGATGGCTCATTACTGAAAAGTAGAAGAGGTTCATCGGTTACAAGACAATTACAATTACATTTAGCAACTCATCGGAACCTTCCTGAACCAGAGAAATATTATAAGGCAACCATTGATACAAATTTGAATAGGAAATCAACTCCTCCCTCGGGTCAATCATCTGGTGGTACAGTTCATGCTACGCTCAATAGAAATGAAGCTGCCAATGGAGGGTTTAATCCTTTATATAATCCACAACAACAACAAATGCCTCCTAAACTTGGACAACCCATCCAATACGCACCTACAAACTTATCCACTCCAATTCATTATGGTGCTCAACAACATCAACAACAACAGATGTCACAAGGAATTAATTTCACTAATTATAACCAATCTAGAAACAGTTTTGGGTATCAGGCACCACCAATGATGTATTCTGGTGGACAAATGCTTCAACCTAATTATCCTCAACATCTTAATCAGCAGCCACCACCACAACAAAGTGAATATCATTCTTCATTATCGAAGTCTCCATCATTGAACTCCCATAACTTAACTCCAAGATTACCTAAAGTTGCCAATGCCAACCTATACAATCTCCAACCACCACCTGCTTCGGCCAATTCTTCTTTGATTCCTTCACTTCATTCGCGTCATAATTCTAACTCCGCTTCCGGACTTCCAGATTTGAATTATTCCAGTGGGAATAACGTTAGTACTAGTGATACTAGTCATTCCCATTTAACTACCTCAAATACTGTCGCCACAGACCCAACTTTGGTGTTCACTAGTCCCAAAAAAATCGCACCCTTGGAAGCATTCACTCCTGAACGAGGTTCTAAATCAACAGGAGGATCCAACAAGTTGGGGTTACATAACAGCATCAGTAATAACCAAAGTTCACCAGCATTCTGGAACTTTGTTCAATTTTCTACTCCTAATGGTCAGACTCCTCTGAGAAAGAATAGTGAAGAGCTGAATAGTGGGAGTCCAACTTTGAATAGGAAAGTCGGAATGAATTTAAATGGTAGTGTCAATGTTAAAACTGAAACCATGAAGAAGATCTTATCACCTTTAAAGGATCTTAATGACGATAAACTACAGAAAGTAGGACAAGATTAAGTCTTCCATGACTTGTATTACTAAAAGGCCACTCGGAGACGAAGATCTTGGATCTTCTTTTCAACTTCTCTGATAGTCTTTTCCATGTCCTTGGCTACCAATTGCTTTATACTCACCGGTTGTTCAAAGTATCTTTCGATCAAATCTCCATCAATGACATTCTTAGCAGGATTATAATATCCTCTAAACTTTTGATGGTCTTTCCCCAAAAGATTATACCCCTTTGTATTCTTGTTGAAGTCATCAAAGTTATAATCAAGATACTTTTTCATAGTCAGTTCCAAGGACATGAGGAACTCCACCTCGGACTTTGTAGATAATGGTAATAAGAGTCCCACCGTGCCCTTAACTGCAGTATATATTATGGGGTCGACTTCCCCCCCATATATCAATGAACCTTTAATAAATGACGTTGGAACATCATTAACGTAGAACTCACATACATTGGTGAGTCTCCCACTAGATCCGTTCAACCGGTCGACTTGGAACTTGGACCAATATTCGTCAGCCAGTCGAGACATTTGGGCCCCACACCGATTGACAAACACATTCCCAAACTTATCTCCGCCTATGACCGTGTCGTAGTCCAATGTCGTCAAGCATGTGATTTGACGATTCTTTGTGTCGTCAGCAAACATCATGAATTGGTTCAGAACATCATCAAATGTCGCAAACACTGTAGACTTATTCGCATCACCTATGACCACTCGTTGGTTACCCTGATAACAAAGTCGCACGACATTTGTAAGGTATTCGACTCTGGTGGTGCTCTTCCGAAGGAGTTGGGACTTTCCTAATCCGTATACTCTCAAGTAGTTGTTGGAGCCGACTAAAAGTCGTCTGTTGCCCAACGATACCATGGCCGTGGGAGGACCCTCTATGTCTGTCGAATGGAGGAGCTTTAAGGTCCCATCCTTGAAGATTCGGAACGTCATCAACGCATTGCCGGAGTTAGAGGCCATTGGAAGGTATTGGAGGTCCTTGGACATTCCAACAATCAAGTAACTTTCAGTAGTACTAGTAGTACTAATGTTGTCATCTTCAAACCCTGTATAACAAAGTGATAATGCACAATGGTTCCCTTCAAGTTGCACTGTTTGTATTATCTCATTGCTAGCATCAAGCACTTGAATACATGAAGCCCAGGAGTTAGGCGTGCTGGTGTATCCAAACACCGGTATGTCTTCCTTTATGTCGGAGTCCGGACTTTTGACCTTGTATTCCGACTCGATGATATACTTGAAGTTGTTCCTTATCACCAAACGTTTGGGCTGGAACCTTAACTGCTTTGAGCTGATGAAGAGATCTTCCTCTAGCGTACTAAGTTCCTGATCCTCGGTACCAAGTTTAAAGAGCTTCATGTCGTGTCTATTTATCCCCACGAGCATCTCACCCAATTCTTCGGAGGTAATGGCACCTCCACTGGTGATATCTACACCTATCAACGGAGTAAGCTTGAAGGGTCCTCCCTTTCCTATAGAATAGCCTAGAAACGCTCCTGTTGATAAGGCAAGCACACATGGCTCGCCATTGACCATTATGGCCGAAAGTCTCACGGGTTTAGACCCAAGATACTGCGTTCGGGAATCATACAACTTACCGGTTGCAAGGTTGATGCTGGTGGTAACAAACATCCCATCCTCCATCCCTATATGGACACTGTTCCCCCTGATCAAGATAGACGTACTGTTGGAAGAGAGTGCCTGCATCAGCTTCACTTCAAGACAGTTGTGTAATGAGAGAGACACCACCTGAATGGTTTCGTCAGTGCCTCCGATGATCACAAATGGACTCTTAGAGTCTGTTGCCAATAGCATCCCCATCGCCGAAACACCATGGGTGAGCTCGAGCCGATCTTGATACTCGATAAGTTGGTCATCCACCGCATCGACTTCAAAGTACACCACCTCAAAGTTGCTCAACGCTATTACCACTTGGTGGCTGTTGGTGCTCATCTTGGCTATGTGGATCCCTGCTGGTGGGTACCAGTCTGTAGTCTTCTTGGTGGTGGAGTCAATGTGTCTTATCCCATTGGCGTATATCTGTACTAGCGAGTGTTTCCCCACTTGTTGGACACCCAACGTAGCCTGGTCCAATACAAAGTTGGAGTCTGTCACCTCCTCAACGTCTTCACCAATAGACAAGACGATGGTCTGGGAAGACAACGACGAAGAGATCACCATGTACTCGTCGTTCACAGCACTGGAAGTCAACTTGGTGATAAACACATCTGTAGCATTGATAGGGAGTGGTGACAGTGCAAGCTCGTACGTCTGGAACCCATGTTGGAGCTCTTTCAAGTACGATTTGGAAGAGAGTAGCGCTACTTTCTTGATGGGATCAGGTGACTGTTTCAGAGTATGTTCAATCAATACCGCGTCCACTATTGGTTCCAAGGAGTCAAGTACGTCAACTAGCGATAAATACTTTTCTGATCTTGGTTTGAATCGGTGGTGGCCGTGAACGTCCGTTAGTTCGTGGCTCAGATGTAGCACCTTGTAGTTATCGTCACCGTCGTCACCCAAACTCTCAAATTGAAAGAACATCTTATTGTTATTAAGGACGTTGGCGAACAAGAAGCCACTGCGCAAGATGTTGATGCTGTTGCACGGAGGAATCGTCTCAAAATACTTGACCTGAATGTCTCGGACCAGCTGCTCATCTTCGTCCATAGTCACAGTCAACTTGAACAAGTCCCCTACACTGCTTTGGAGCAACACAAAGAACTCGTCCTTGGGGAGCCTGTGTACTACGTGGTTGACTATGATCGTCAGTGATGTTCCCTCTCGTATGGGAAGTGGAACATATAGTGTTGATGAAGATGATGATGGTCGATCATACACAAGGAAGGAATCGCACGTAACCAAGATGCCTCCTACCGTATTAGGAAGAGCTATAATGTTGGAACACGGCGATCCAGGGATACTCTTTGGCTTGGACTTGGTGATGTAATTAAGACCTTGGTCCAACTCATAGTAGTTCAATTGGACGTCACTATAGACGGTATCATACACGTTGTCATTCTGTTCATACGGAGTATAGTCAATCTCAATTGCTGCAAACATGGGATTATTAAACCCAACATCTAAAGAGCTTAGGGCTAACGTAATTGCGTTCTTCGACATCGCCTCCAACGGTGACGACATCTTCAATGTACTGTCTTTAGTAGTAGTAGACGACTCTACCTTATATACAAGTTTATTCCGTTCAATTGACGCTATCATCAAAGCTCGGTTCTCGGGATCAATAGCAAGATACTCACCGGGAGTGTTTCTCCGAAGGAAACTCTTGGAATGAGGTTCTTGCACCCTGGGGTGGAATCGTTGCAGTTCATTATCATATTCGGCAACCACAAGCTTCCCGGAATCAGATGTAATCACAAGAAGATCCTTGGTAGCCCCAGCCAATCGTATCTTGTCTATACATTGTATTATACCAAATGCATGTTGAATAGTTTGTTTCTTAAGCTTCCCTGTATCCGAATCAGGGATCCAGAGTTCTATTGTTGTGGAGTTTGCTAGGACGATTTCTTCTGATCTCTTTAACCCTCGAAATCGTCCTGTGCATGATCTAAAGGCTCCTGAGGCTGCTCTTAGGGTCAAGTGATACAAATATACAGAATCTTGCTCTATCATAGCGGCTAATTAAGTCACTGTGGAATTTTGAAAGTCATCGTTATGTTTTGGTGATGTTTTTCAGACTTAGATAATTCTCAGATCTTTTGTTGTGTACAGGAAATCTTGATACTACTTCTCTCGGTTTAAATTTCCTATTACAGTATAACTTTGTAGAAAGTATTAACTAATATAAATAATGTCCCACTTTGTATTTAAAATAAATATGAATGTCCAAGTAATATTTATTTTATTCACTCATTATGAACTGTTTCTTGCTTCAGTAATACTTCTTCAACGACAGTTTCCTCTGTTGTTCTAGTATGATCTTTCACTGTCCAAATCAATGGGATAGCAATAACCAAGGAAGCTTGAGCTAACCCCCAAGAAGTACCAAACAAAACAGAATAAGGCTTATGTATAGCATCTAATCTCCATGCAATAGCAGCACCAGCAGATTGGATACCCTTATAGAAACCAGAATAAATGGCATTCTTTTTTGAATCATTGGATAAGGCACCAATAATCCAAAGAATATAGTTCTGGAATACAGCATCATAAACCCCATAAAACATGTACAAAAACATAGGACCAACATAGTTGCTATGAGTGTAATCGATTGAAACGAATTGGTCGATATTTTCTCTAGTATAACCATCTTCAAACTTCAACCCACCACCCCAGATAACAGCAGTTAAAATAGAAAGGACCACGACACCAGCTTTAGCTCTTTTAGCACGGCCGAATCTTTGCCAATCCAAAAGATTACCAACGAAAATAGCACCAAGCATTTGAGAGAGCCAATAAAGAAGAGAGTTCAATGAACGAGTTCTAAGATTGAATCTACCAGCATTGAAGACATTAAATTGATAAGTGTAAAACCAATTGGACAGGAAAAACATTGGAAACATAAGTAAGATCATGGGTTCTCTGATCAAAGTGGTACCTAAAGCCTTAAGTTCTTTTAGCCAATGAGGATGCTTCTCAAAACTGACTTTTGAACCATCAGTTCTAACAACTCGTTCAAAGGGTAACATCAACCATGCTAATCCAAAACCTAAGCACATTAATATAATGAATGCCACATACGTTCCCTTATTAGCAGCAAATCCTTCATTATTAATGTTGTTAGCCAAAGGAATAATTGAACCAATGACAGCACCTAAGTTGAAGATAACCCAGAAAATCATAATGGCTTTACCTTTATTTTCTTCTGTGGGGTAAGATGTCAAGATAGTGTTAGCACTGACCCACAAGCAACTTGCACATACTCCAAGATAGGCACCAGAGAAGATAACAAACCCCTTGTTTCTAGTATCTATGAAACACAATAAGGAACCAGCGTAAATGATGTACCCAGTACAACCAAAAGCCATACTTGGTCTCAAACCTATGGTGTTCAAGATTGTACCAGAGAAAAACCCAATGGAGGCAAAGGTTGAGTATAAAGCAACGTTTGCATTATCAGACGTGGCCACATCGTCGATGGAAGCACCAATACCAGTCAAGGCATTGAACATACCAGGAGATAAAAACAACACACAAGAAAGCATAACCACTTGGACCATGGCATTAGAATAGGGAGGAATAAATGATACCCATTGTTTGTCATACCATTTCAGCTTTCCGTTAGACGACACAGCTTCCAAGTCTTCTAATACCTCAGCTTTGGTGTGACCGTCATTCTCGTGCAACAGAGTAGTTGTGGATTTCCCTTCAGACATATTAGTATTGCTCTGTTCTATTTTGTCTGTCTTTAGGAAGACCAAGATATTGCCACGAGAAAGAAGAACGGAGACAAAAGCCAGTATTTATAGTGTTCCCAGAAAAAATTAATAAGGGATATGGTACACTTATCTTAAGGTGAAAAAAGCTTAATCTTAATAGATAAGCAAACCCTTCCTAGTTGTATTCCTGTCCAAACCTGTGAGATCTAAGGTAAGCTTTAAGGTCTACTAACCGTAGTGTACACTCATGCCCCACAAATTCGTCATTAATAACCAAAACACCCATAACTTAATCACCTCCTCCTCCACCCCCACAACCAACCCAATACCAGAGTCCGCACCCCCCACACTATGTCATGCCCGCTCTCCGTATTCTTAGCCTATTCAAGATTTCCTAGAAAAAGCTTTTGCCAATACAATTCATCCCTGATGGTGTACGGCTGCATTTTCTGTTTTAGTCTGTTGTGTCTTATCTACAGGCCAGACACAGTGGTTTCGGATAATTTGTGCAACAAGGTTCCGTTGTGTTGAGAATTTATTCCGTAGCTTATTACCATATTGTGTACGGCATCTAAAACGAAGACGTTAACGTTTCCTTTTGGACAACATTCTCCTCCACCGACGGTTAATAGTGTCAATGTCACGACCCGGTACACGCACGCGACCTTGAACATTGGGTGCAAAAGGTCAGGTGTTGAGGCCGCGAGACAACAATAAGAAGTGAACGGCATTTCGGAGGGAACAAGTCTAACAGTCCAACGACCTCGCAGAAGCACCAGAGGGACAAAGACCTATATGATTGCATCCCATATATGCTGTCTTGGTGGGGTAAAGGTCGGTTTCGGAGTGATTTAATGGGGCAACTTTGTAATGTCATCTTGCGATACTACGTAACATGATGATATGAAAAGTTGTGTATCTGTGTGGCTATTGCCTATTGCCTTGACATGCGGTAATATTCTTCACCGCCTTCAACGATACTATGGATCAAATCATCAACCACACTATCGGTTAAAATTGGTGAATTGAACACCACTCTGAAGAATTCACCTCTATTAACTCCCGATGCATCGGATGGGTTAGGAGAAAAGTCTACCAAGTATTTTCCTTCTTTGTGCAAATAACGAGAAACGAATCTTGTGATTTCACTATGATCTTCCTTGGTGTAGAATTCAGGTTTATAATAGAAACAAACCTGTAAGCATTGGGGTAAATTGTCTTTACTACCCAAAACCAATTCAAAGTGGGGGTTCTTGGAAATTTCATCAATGAAATATTTGGCTATTTCAAAGGCATGGTTTATCCTTGATTCAAACCCTTCTTGTCCATAATATAACCATCCCATATAAAATTTGAGAGCATCGGATCTCCTTCCGCATCCCATTGTTCCATCGGCCAAATCAAAGTTCTCTTCATTATTTTCTCTTCCATGGAACAAGTATGGTGCTTGTAACGACATAGATTTCTGGAAATCTGCAACGTGTGGCATTAACATAAACGAACATGTGTTGGGGATCCCCAACATTTTATGGGGATTCACAGTAATGGAATCAGCCAAATGACATCCTGCCAACTTAACGGAATGAATCTGGGAGAAGATCACATTACCTCCCCATGAACCATCGATATGGAACCACGCATTATATTTCTTTGCGATGGAAGCAATAGAAGTGAAATCATCGTAGGATCCATACACAGTAGTACCAGCTGTTGCATTTATGTACAATGGAGTATAACCATCAGCAATAGACTTTTCAATGATCAGTTCAAGCTTCTCCACATTCATAGTACCATCAGGAATCACCGGTACTTTGAATACATTTGCGGAACCTAACCCAATTAAGATACCACCTTTCACTATGGAGTAATGGCAATGTTCCGAAGCATATATAGCGAACTTGAACCCTTCATTACCGAATTCCTTCGTTTGAGGGAATTTCAAAGCTCTGGCAGCTTGAAGCGAAGTGATGTTTGACCAAGAACCTCCAGAGAACGTCAACCCACCACAAGTATCCTTGTTGTCTTTGAAGAACAAGCCGGCATATTTTTTGGCTATAAAGTTCTCTAATACTGCAAGCACTGGTGAAACTGTGTAAACATGTACGTTAGTATTGAGAACCGAGAGGATGATATCCGAGATGATCCCAATCGGGTTATTGGAAGCGTAGAGTTTATCCAAGAAGCCAGGGTTCCAAGTATTAACAGAGTAGTTCAATACCTTATCGATAAAGTCAACTAATTTGGTGTTATCACCTTTAATACCTTGACTCAAGTCTGTTTCGTCTATAGCAAGGGCCTTCTTTATAGTCTGTGGATCATAGTACTTCCCAAGGGAATCTGTTTGGTATTTGCCACTGTTGGGGTCGGCTTTCTCGATGTAGTCCAACACCAAAGGCTTGATGAGATCAAGCAATTGGTCCAACTCCTGGACTCTTTCCGACTCTAAGTTTGATTCGATGGTCATTGGGTTCAATGTGTGGTATGGGTAGAAGGAAGAGAAAAGGTGATGGAAATTGTGGCTCGATTCGATGAGGTGCGAGTAAATTGTGGCACGTAGAGTATATCCATGTACGATACACTAAACGGAAGTCAACTCAGTTCAGTCAAACCGTAGCAAGGCTATACTTAAAAACACTGCTTTCGGCAGTACTTTCGTCTGTAGTGATCAGTACTTAGTCAGTATTTTAGTAAGCACTGTATTCAATATTCTTTGTCGTTCTTGTGCGGTACGTTACCAATACCTTATTACTACACCCTTCCTACTGTCTAACTCCTTTATATATACATTGAAAGATACCCTATATTTACAAGCTTTTGAATCTTAAGCCGTCTCTGTAACTTATAATTGGCCACCAGAAATCGCCCTCTACAACTCTCCCTTTAAACGAGCCTTCTCTTGTTCCTCACGTGCTTGTTTCTGTTTAGACAAGTTTCTATTTAAAACATCCAACTTCCGCATCTCCTCATGAGCATCAAAATTCCCAGTCGATAAGTTATCATAGATCTCATCGTACTTCCCAGTAGACAAAGGCGCATTACCTTTCATTCGTTTCCGCATATCAAAGAACCCATTCTTGCAGTCCATGAATGCTCTCAAGTTGGCCTTACACAACTCAGGAAGATCTTTGCTCAACTCAGGATTAGTAAGACATTCTTTAGGTGTGTTTCTGTCAATTAATACACATGGTGATCTTTGCAAGCAAATAGCCAATGCTTTCTTTTGGTCCTTACAACTGATGAAATGTTAGTATAAAAGCACGATATAAGTTATTGCATGCGCGTGTACATACCTGGCTCCCATCTTGAAATAGCAGTAGTAATGGCTGTAGTAGTAGTAGTAGTCGTAGTAGTAGTAGCAGTAGTAGTAGTAGTAGTAGTAGTAGTAGTAGTAGTAGTGGTATTAGTCCTAATTATATACCAGTTCATCATCGCTGGGAACTTGTCCGCATTAGTGGTAGCGCCCCTGACTATATATACCACCTGATGATTCCGGGGTAATACCCATACAAAAAAACAATACCAGGCATACAAATGAATCATCTCTTTATTGTCTTGTGTTAAATGACTATCACTTTTGTTCCTGGTGAAGCGAACAAGGCTCGGGCCTCGGTTCAACAGGCACTATGGAAACAACACCATATCACAGCCTATGGCTCAGGAAACAACCTCATAGTGTCAACCCTTTCGAGTTCAAGCACCGGTGCCAGTACCGGTACACAAATACTCCGCAGTCAATTCCATAATAATGACAGAAATCTCCAAAGTATATACCTTGAAAGTGACCCCACCGCGGTCGAGATCGACCACATCAATGGCTTGATATTTGTGGCAGTGACCAATAAGGTGTTGGTATTCAAACCGGTCAATGAGTACATGAAGATCCCTAAGTGGACGCAATGTTTGGTGTTAGAATTGGACGGCCGAGATGACTTGGCCAATTGCATTAGTTGGGCTCCTTTTGAAGATGAGTTGATCATTGGTAGCACTAAGGCCCTTCATTTGTATCATATATATAATGAATTCGGTCAATGGATAGCCACCAAACGATGGCATATGGACCAACCATTGCCAGTCTACCAAATCAAGATCACCACGACTTCGTCTAGAATAGTGGTTTCTAGTGGCGCATATGATCGTTTCATCAAGGTATGGTCTCGAATAAAATATGGGGATGATAACACCCTTTTTGGACTCTCGTACATTACTTTACCCAGGGGTAAATTTGTTATCGACTTACAATGGAGACTTATTTCGTTGGCTGAATATGCTAGTACTTCTTCAAAGGACGAATTGGATGGAAGCATGGCCAATATAAAGAATATAAGAGGCTACATTCACACTACTTCAACAGATAACAATGATGTGCTTTATGTCTTTACTAACGACCGAACTTTAAGTGCTTATGGTACTTATGAATATAATGGGCATGGTCATATTAAAGAGCTCTCAAGCTTAGATTTAAATTCTGCATTCGATGATCCTAATGCCGTGGCCGTATCGTATTTGATTGTGGACAATGGTGCCATTTCTTGTGCTTTTCTTAGTAGTTTTGGCTTATACATTGACGAATTTGAAAATAAAGATCTCATCTTTGTTTGCAATCTGGAAGGTAAAATGGCTGCTTATCTAATTGGAATTAACCCCTTGAGCTTAGTGTTCCAAAGGGTTCCTCAATTGGATTTCAATTTCACTCTTGAATGTTTCCCAGATTTTGATAGCGGTGTACTTTGTGAACAACTGGAAGAAGTCCAGCTAAGTCCAATTATATTCCCCAGAATCGTTTCTGTTGGTAAGGAGAATCAGCTTGTATTATTGTTGTTTGACCGAATCAAAAATAGCATACGATTCCAAATCGTTTATGTGGTCACTAACAATGCAGATAGAACCACTAAAGTGGTTTCCAAATTATACGATAAACTACAGGGCCATACCAAGTCCATAAGGAAGCTTTTTTCTTCCAATAGTTCTGATCCTTTGAGGAGTGTTTTGCTCTCGATACTGAACTTCCCGGAGTTCAATTATATTTGGGAGCCATTGATATTGGATCCTGTTGACGGTCAAATGACCATTTCAAAGTCATTTACTTTGAGTGTAACTCGTGATGATAGTGATGGTGACACTGATGCTTGTGGGATATTCAAAGCTGCTTTATTAAACGATATTTCACCTCCAAATGGTCGATATAGACATCATTTGGTGGTGTTGGCGGAGAAAGGAGGGTACATTAGTTTGTGGAACTGTGAAGGTGGTAAAAGCAGTAAAGATTGTGCTGAATTGATTCAACGGTTACCTATTTTGGCTACTGATTTATCTAATAAAATCTTGGATGAACCTAAAGCTTTCATATTAACTTCTATGCCTGATGATCCAAAGACCTATTTTGTCATATCAATATTTGAAAATAACTTGATCCGTGGTTGGTTGTTAAAGATTAACAGCAATAAGATAACTTTAAATAATACGGAGCTGCCTGATGCTTATTTGTCACCGATAAAAGTTGATAATTTACCTCAGACTGAAAGGATAAGACAAATTGCGGTTATTGATTCCATTGTTACGGAGGATAGAAAGGATGTTGTTTCTGTTATAGATTCAAAGGGTAAGCTTACGGTTTTCTCTTTGGATTGGAATGATACCTTTAAAACTGCCTCGTGGATGCCTTCAACTCTGGTTCACACTAACATCAGCAATGCTAGTTTTATTCATGGGTCCTCAATGATTAACAAATTCGCTATTGTTGATGAAAGTGGTTGTAAGTTAACTATTTGGGATACAAAGTCTCGACTCTTGGAATATGAAGAAGAATTCCCCCCCTCAAAACGTGGTCAGATCAAAGACATTGATTGGACGTTCCTGAAAGCTGGCAAGTATTCTACTTCCAATGCTTTGCTTTCGGTAGGGTTTGAAAGATGTGTTCTTTTGTATTGTCAATTGCGGTATGACTATACCAATAATTACCCGAGCTTTGCGATGATCAAAAAAATAGACATTTCCAGCTACACTCTGCACGAGATTGGTGACTCCATCTGGTTAAGTGATGCTCATCTAGTCATTGGAAGTGGTAACCAGTTTTTCATCGATGATAAATGGGTTAAATTAGGTAGCACTCATCTTGATTTGATCATTAGAGAATTAATGGTAGGATACACGGAAGGTGAGCATCATTATGGAAAGACTGCTAAGGAAAAAAAGGAATTGGTATATGGAGTTGATTATTTATCCAATGTTCTCAATGGACCTCTTCCTATTTATCATCCTCAGTTTTTAATCCAAAGTTTGTTCTTGAACCAAGAGTTATTTGTCAAGAACATTTTAGTTAGGTTATTCAATTGTTTAAGACGTGGAACGGAACTAACCTGGGATTTGGGTATAAATGTTTATGATGAACTTTTATATGGGAAACATATATCAGCAGTTCAAACAGCTTCATCGAGTGTGTCTGACTTTTCACAGTTAGATGTCTTTCAAGATTACAACCAAGAATTAAGCAATTTGTTGGTTTCAAACTTGATGAAGGTCACTGTTCCCTTGCTCACCAGACATCAACAGATTACGCTTATTTCTTTGATTGGAATCATTGACGAAATAGATAAGTTTGCTTTATCTCTTGATGAGAACGGAATGAGATTCCTAATTGGGTACAAGTTATTCCAAAAGTCTTCCAAGCAATCCGAAGTCACCATGAGAGACATTAATTGGGCATTGCATAGTGATTCCAAGGAAGTACTTGAAGGAATTATTGTTAATGATTTCAAAAGTCGTATGAAATGGGAGAACATTAAACAAGTGGGTTTCGCTTATTGGCTCCATCCTCGTCAATTGGTGAAAATTATAGAGCAATGTGCACGTACTGAGTTCAATGAAGAAAGAGACCCGAGTGGTAAAGTTTCTTTGCTCTATTTGGCAATTAGAAAGAAACAAATCTTACTTGGCTTATGGAGAACTGTACCTCATTCAGAACAGGCTAAGATGCTTAAGTTCTTGAAAAACAATTTCAATGAGCCTCGATGGAAACTGGCGGCGTTGAAGAATGCCTTTGTCCTTCTTTCAAAACACAGATATCTCGATGCTGCCTATTTCTTTTTGTTGGCTGATTCAGTGAAGGATTGTTGTGTGACAATTGCGAATAAAATGGACGATATTCAATTAGCATTGGCTGTTGCCAAAGTATACGACTTTACAAAGCCTCCAACTGAAGACAAATCAAAGCATTGTGTTCAAAGCATCATTGAAAATTATATTATAGCCAAAGCTGTTCAAGATGGAGATCGGTGGACTACATCGTGGGTATTCTGGGAGTTAGACTATCGCAACTTGGCTATTCAGGCTTTGATAAAGACCCCCTATAGGGTAGTACGAGATAATTGGAACATTTTCAGTCAACTTTGTATTAAGAACTATTTGAACGGTATAGTTGTGGCTACTGCCTCAAAGATCTATTTCAAAGATGACCCTGCATTGGTGATATTGTATGGACAACTACGGAATAGAGAGCATAAAGATGAAATAAATGAACTAGATGTTTTGAACAAGGCATGTTTGCTTTATACTCGAATGGGATGTGACTATTTAACCATTTGGTTGGCCAACAATTGGAAATTTATTCATGAAGAACAAGGTTCCCAAAATAATAAGAATGGGTCTTCTTCTACTGCTGTTGCACCTACTATAGTATCTGCACCTAGAACATTGATAAGGAGAGGATCAGTATTGGCTACTCCTGACCTTTCCAATAGATCTGCACCTCCTCCAGTGGCATTTGAAGAGCCAGATATGAGTGCTTTTGGGTTCTAGTATATTTTGGTTCTACGACCAGTAGTTGCACGCCAGAAGTCTTCAACTATGGGTATCAAAGGCAATACAATTCTAGAAATGATGCCTTCAAGCACAAACAACGTAGTAAACTCAATTCTTAAGACTCCTGTGATCGCATAAAATATCATGGCCACTACCACATGCGTATCTTGAAGAAAGACTTCCCAATCTAAAGGTTTATTATTGAAACTTTTTTCAAAAGCTAGAATTGATTTACGGATCAATGGAGTTTCTAAAGTCTGAAGAATCCAATTATCAATAACTTTAAAGACAAAGAAGTGGATATGAAACATTTCAAAACGGTCGAAATACTTTTGTTTAATACATGAAGCGTTTCCGTACTTGGGGTCAAGAATACCACAAACTTTTGTGTTGATAGTACAATAGTGATTGTTGAATGCTCTGACCTGCAAGAAAACCTGGAGCTCTTCCATCCTTTTGGGATAAACGTTAACTGAGACCATCATTGTTACCATCGATATGGGTATCAAAACGTTTGCAAGGAATTCCAAGTGGGTCCACATGGCTATCTTGGTGTATGGTAAAGCAAGAGTTTGGTTATTCATGGCGCTAACAGGGAAGGCAATAATGATTTTATTACCAAGAAATGCGACAATTCGAAGGACTCTGATTCAAATATTATTGGTGATGTTGTATGGACAATTATGAACTAGACGTTTTGAACAATGGGGGTGTTTAACCATAGAGCAGCACAGTCAGAGTTTGGTTCTAGAATATTCTGATTCTGTGGCCAGTATTTGCGAGCCTGATGTCCTTGACTATGAGTGGTAGTACTATTTTGCCCAATCTAAAGCACGACCAGGGGACCAACTTTCAAAAAATAAATCCAAAATGCTTACTTTTGCGTGAATCAGGGTCGGGGATGAAGTAACATTGCTCATTTGTTTTGGGCATACAATGGTATTTTGTTGAATGCTCCAATCTGGAGGTCTTCAAACCTTTAGGGATCAAGGAAATTTGGTATAAGCACCACCGCAGCTAGTGATGTGGGGACCACAGCCAATAGAAAGAAGTCAAGGTGTTTTTATGCAACCTTTTAGAATATGGTGATTTTACGACTAGCAATTGCATCCAGAAGGTTCTAAATATTAGGGCCAATACTTTACAATTAATCGAGTGACTCGAGACAAAATGTATCCATACACTTCAATTGCTAAGTTGCCTCTTATGTGATGGTATATTCCCGCGGTCAGATAGGCAATTAGTACTCTTTCAAGAAATAAATCCCAATCTAAAGGACCATGAGTGTACCAATTGGGAAGCAGCATAATGGTACACGGAAGAAAGGTGTATCTATAATCCGAAATATCCAATTTCCAGCAGTTTCAAAGGCAAAGAAAGAATAGGGTATAGAGCTCTTGATAACGTTCGAAATACGTCCTTTTACGTAGGGCCGGGTTTCCATACTTGGGATCAGTAACCATTGCACATTCCGGTGCATGGGCTCAACACTCTAACCTGAAAGTTGACCTGGAAATCTTCAATCCTTATGGGATCAAAAGACTCTGGTACAAAGCTCACTAATATGCAATGGGGGTTGCAAAGAGTACACTCACTTACAGTTTACTCTCTGCTTTATGGGCAAGTACGTCTAGAAAGAATGTCTATAGCTGTCAAAAGCTTCGAGTGTAGTAGTATTGACTTAGTGATTGTCTATAGGACTCTGATCCTTTTGGGAATTATGTATATAGTGGGCCATAATAAGTTAGCTGACGTAAAGCAAAGGAAGAATAGATGGTATTATATTACGGAATATAAAAAAATACAGCTCTACCCGGGACTCGAACCCGGAGTCTCCCGCTTAGGAGGCGGATGCCTTACCGTTTGGCCAGCAGAGCTCCTGGTCATAAAGATTGATTTTTACACAATATGGCAAATCTACAGATGCGCGACATTTCTGTGGAGAGCCTCTGGTAGCTTGATTAATGTTCCAGATGAAAACATTTTGTGTTTCTAATGAACTATGAGAGATATTTAAAGGTCTCTAAGTTGGTTTTGGCTTAGCAATTGAGTCCTTGTTGTTGGAGAGAAATTTTTGCAGGCGCCATATGTATTGCGCACGACCACAGAGGGAGATAATAGTATATTTAAAGGTATCCCGCTTGGGAGACATAGTACGGTGATTCCATTTAATGATCATACTAGGTTGTGTAGTGTTCATAATATGGTAGTATAATTTCCGTTAGAAGTGCCAGGAAATGTTCATACCTAACGTATAAATTATTCAAAATATATTATGAAAAACACACAACCTAGTATGAACATTAAATGGAATCACCGTATATCAGAACTAAAGTTAAGTCAAACTGTCTCTGACTTGGGAGATATTGTACTGAGTGCAGTATAATAATGTGAGCTAACTAGACTTTTTTCATTCAGATAACATTTTTAGCAAAGATATCATATTTTACGAATAATAAGATTACGATTAGCTTTTATGTTGTCTTAAACTATTAATACTATTGACTGTCGCTATTAGTATTATTATAACTATTGGTAGTATTACTATTACTAGTATTACTATAACTATACCTGATACTGCCCTGTGTTACCGTAGTATAGTTACCTAAGATCATTCAACTTGAATGTGTTAATCATTATGCAAGTGAAGCAGGTCCATAATATTTACGAGGAATAATTGTGATGATTATTATAAATTGACATGTTTGACCTGCATATCGGCGTTTGCCTGCCGTTTTTATAATGGAAATCCGTCTTAAATATTAATGAATAAATGGTTTGCCGTTCCTCTCCTAATCAGTATCAAATGACCTTACAGAAGACATGGAACATATGCAAGAAGATATTGACTTATATCGAAGTTATACTTGGACAGCAAGAAATAGTTGATGCTAAAGAGTACTTTAATTATTATATTGCCCCTAAATTATTCCTATTGTATATAGAAATCCAAGACCTTATATTGGGATGCTGTGAAACCATTGCACAAGTGAAAGAGTATTTATATCGGTGTTCTCATATCATGCGGTTGGCTATGGAAATCTTATCTATGTTGTGGTTACTAGCAACTCTGTTTAAACTGTCACTGGTGGATAAGAGCAAAGAGTACCTTATGGGAAGGGCACTTGAACTTATTTCTAGTTCCTTCAGGCCAACAGAAGAAACAACAGTTGGTAATACATATTTGATTGAAAACATTGATTGAAGATATCAGTTTTGTTATAGTCTTAGGTCAATGGGACCTTTGATGGGGGGGTTGCTTATATGCAACACTTTATAGCTGTTTATATGAACTAAAGCTTTGTTAAATATTATTAGTGTAGCCTCTCTCGTAATTATACGACTTTATTCTCGTATATTCATGCAGTCGAATGTATCAGTGAACAGTATCAGATTCATTTTATTATTTCACTGCCTCCAACTTTCATAGCTAATTATGTTAAATACTACGAAATAGCCAACGAGTGATGTTCACAACCACCCAATACAGCAAGCGTGAACAAATACCGTAACCATTACCGTAACTATCACCGCAACTACCACCGTAAACAGCACATATAATCCGTTACCCATAGCACTCACTAGCCTTAACTTGCTTACTACCACAGACATAGACATACCGTATAACTGCTGGTGCTTGTGACCTGCATATAACGAGACAACTACACTAAACTAACCTCAAGGTTAAAACGACATTAATCACCACCACAAGTATTCTTTCCCAAAAAGCCAACCCACAATGTCTCTCTTCTTTAAGATCCCATTAGACATCGAGATCCGGCTAGAAGGAGAAGACACGAGACAACACGTGGAGATTAAGAACGCCAGCAACCGTATAGAAAGACTACCTGTGTTTAAAGATGGAGAGAGTATCAAAGGGTCTGTTACTCTTAGAACCAAAGAGGGTAGGAAGGTTGAACATTTAGGCGTTAGGGTACAATTGCTTGGGTCTATTGAGACCAATATTGACGGACTTGTCAGTGATGATTTCCTTTCATTGGCCACGGAATTAGCAGCGCCCTCAGTGCTAACGCATCCGGAAACCTACCCGTTCGAGTTTAAGAATGTAGAGAAACAATACGAAAGCTATAGAGGTAAGAATGCTAAGCTAAGGTATTATATTCGGGTAACTGTCAATAGAAAGTCATCTTCGGCTTCGGAGATAACCAGAGAAAAGGAGTTATGGGTATACCAATATGTTAATACACCAGAAGTGGATACTAATACTACCACCAGTACTTCAGTGTTGCCCAAAGAGTCTCCAACAACAGTGAAAATGGATGTGGGAATAGAAGATTGCTTGCACATTGAGTTTGAGTATCTGAGATCAAGATTCTCGTTGCTGGACGTCATCATTGGAAGAATCTATTTTTTGCTTGTCCGGTTGAAGATCAAACATATGGAGTTGTCACTTATTAAGAGAGAAACGGTGGGTGCACCTCCCAATCAAATAACCGACTTTGAGACGGTTCTTAGATTTGAAATCATGGATGGAGCTCCGGTTAAAGGAGAAACCATCCCTATAAGGTTGTTTCTCAGTGGGTATGATCTTATACCCACATACAGAGACGTCAATAAGAAGTTCTCGGTCAAGAATTATCTTTCCTTGGTGTTAATAGATGAAGACGCAAGACGTTACTTCAAGCAAAGTGAAATCATTCTTTATAGAGATAAGCCCAATTAGTTCTATGCCTTGTTTAAATGATCCAAATCTTACCTTGTTCATACATGATCTTATTCTCTTGCAGTAACTTATTCAACCCAGCATCAACTTCACTGTCGGTGAACATTTCTTCTTGTTGAACATTGTCGTTCAAATATGTCTTGAATTCTTCCACAGTACAAGTACTGCCGTCGATTTCATTGACTTCATCAGGCTTCCGCAACGACGAAAGGAATCTCCGGAGCAACGCATATCTCTCTTGACTAATGGTTTGAATGGTGGTTCTATTCATTTCTTCCAATACATTTCCACCACCACTGGTTCTAGTAGGTGTGACCTCACCAATTTGTTGTCTTAAAGCTGCTCTTTGAGCCCGAGTAGTACTTGCTGGTTCATTCTCAACCATTACATATTCATCTTCAATGTCTGGAGGAGGTGTCTGCTGTTCCTCATCTTCCTCATCTTCCTCCTCCTCCTCATCATCTTCAGCTTCCAAATCTTCAACTCTTTGTCTCTTAGTCCTACGTTTCTTCTTTTGCATCTCTTTGAATAATGCAAATCTTAACATTTCTTCAGCAACTTTGGCATCCTGCAATTCAACTGACTTGCTCAATCTCACCTTGGCATGGGCTGTGGCCAAACGAATCAACGTTTCCAACGTTCTTGCAGTCACAGGAGCTGTGTTTCTTTCTGAAGTGCCTAATTCTTGATTTCTTAAAGTAGTATAAGTTGAAACAATCTTTCTAGAAGCCACCTCAGTTAAAATTGGCTTAAATCTTTGCTTAGCATATTGAATATATTTCTTTAAAAATGGAATGGATACTCTGGTTTTTGATCTGTTGGATCTTGAAGTAGCTCCATCTGACAGTAACAATAAGGAATTAAATCTATCAAACATAACTTGCTCTTCCATTTCTTCTTCCGGAGTTTCCTCCACGCCCACTGCCAACAGTAAATTGGTTTTCTCTCTAACTGGTTCACCCATTGCCAACCCAGGAGATATAAATCTATGCATTCTTAAAACATGTTCAGAAATGGTTCTATCCTTTTGATCATTGATATCATCTGTGACAATGAATAACAAATCAAAACGTGATAAAAGAGAATCTGGTAAAGCAATGTTCTTATGAGGATCTTTATGAACATCATACTGACCAAAAACAGGATTGGCAGCTGCAATAACAGAACATCGAGCATTCAAAGTCGTATGAATACCTGCCTTCGCAATAGTGACTGTTTGTTGTTCCATAACTTCATGAATAGCTACTCTATCCGAGTCTGACATTTTATCGAATTCATCAATACAAACAATACCTCGGTCTGCTAGAACCATGGCACCTGCTTCTAATCTTCTTTCACCGGTTTCTTTATCCGTGGTCACTGCTGCTGTCAACCCCACACCGGAGGAACCTCTACCGGTTGTAGCTATGGCTAAAGAAGCAGTGTTTAAAACAAACCGTAACATTTGGGATTTAGCAGTGGAAGGATCACCAACCATTAAGATATTAATATCACCTCTTAAATGTGCACCATTCTCCAAGTTCTTTTCCACACCACCTAAAAGCATTAATAGAACTGCTTGCTTTATATAGTCAAACCCGTAGATAGAAGGGGCTAACGATTCTGCCAAAATCTCAAATACTTTCTTCTTCTTGGAGAATTTATTGAATTCTCTGATATCATTAGGAGTTAACTTTTCCTTGGCTGCAACCCCGGTGGAACGAGCATGTAAAGGATAAACAGAGTTAGCGATAATAACGGTTTTAAACGCAGAACTGGTATTACCACCTCCCCCTAAAGCCCGATATACACCAACTACTTGCACCCGATCACCGGGTTTAGTTACATCTACCAAATCATCATCCAAAATGATATCCACAGATCTGGGCAACTGACCAGCAGGAGCAAGTTCTGGCATTTCCTGGATAGTTAATCTTTGATGATCACGATATGTTGAATAGCCGTATTCTGTTACCAACTTATTCCCATCCATATCTTCTGTAGGATAAATGGCTGGAGTAGCTATGGGATCAAAAGAGGTGGTTTGATCTTTATACTCTCTGGAGTAGAACTTCCCGGACTTTTCAGCATAATGAACCGATTTGATGATCTTTGGTCTGATCAACGAAGCTCGGGTAACTATACCTTCTATAGATACCATTTTAGAAAGGAACGAAGAGTTGATGCTTCTGGGAGTCACTTGGTGCGATCCAAGAGCACCAGTAAACAGGACATAGAACGTGTTACTAGGCGGAGTTTGAACATTGAGTACAATGTACTCTGTTAACGCCTTCTCACAAGCAGGAAGAATATCAGCTGGTCGATTCAATAGGCCGACCCAAAACTCGTCATTGAAGTCACGCAAATCGTCCAAGGACACGGACAACCGGATCTGGCTCTTGGTCACCATATCGTCTATCTTGGACTTGTATTTGGTCTGTTCAAGGAACTCTTGGAACGTCTTCATGTTGGCAGCCAACTCAGCATCGGCTGGAGTACCCAAATCAGTCTCATCCATCGGAGCAAAGGGTACTGGGTTATACTGTTATGTTTCTGGAAATAGCAAGAGCAAGCGAGGTGTAGAGCCGGTCTCTCAATTGGGTCCAGCTTGTTGTTATCAAAGAGAAGAAGAAGGGAGATGAAGTTTTGTTAGTGGTATATTTTTTTTTACTTTGGATTTGAATCATCGCGTCTTTCGCGTTCCAATTACATTTCCTATTTGGGAATATATACGATGTTCGGGTGTGGAGTATATCAAGGACTATTGTTTTGTTTTACCTTATTCTATGTGTTCTATAACTAACTATATTACAATTCCCAGCCAGAAACATAAGCGTTTGGCGTTTCTTTAGACTCAAATGGTGCTTGGTATTCTTCAAACTCAAGTGCTGCAAGTCCCTTGTACCTTCTTGTATCTTCCGATTCTAATAAAGAAGTATAACTCCAATCCAAAAAGTCTTCCAAGTTGTAGCTTGGTTTACGGAATGGCTGGGCAAATATCTTTGCCAAGGTTGCCACATTTGGATGGTAATGGTTCATTAGAGCTTCCAATTCCCACAATGAAGAATTCAACGCATTAGTTTCCAATGGATTCAGTTCTGTTTCACTGAAAGGGTCTGTTTGAATCGATTGCTTGGCTCCTTCAGGGTTGTGTAACATGATCATACATGAGGGATGTCTTTTAAGTTGGTTGTAGATGAATGGAATCACTATGACCACACCTGAAGCACTTGCACTGATAGCCAAACGAGCCAATCTCTTGATGAAAGAGGCAACCAATGCAGCAGATAAATGTGTAGAAGATAAGAACAAATCGCAGAGTCTAAAGAATCTGGACCGGTACCGAGAATAAAGTATGTCTGGAGTCAATAAGGTGTAAAGTTTGGTATAGAAATCCGGGTATTCCAAGTTGTAAGACTTCATCAATTCATAAAGAGAATTTAATGCCAAAAGTGGTACTGAACTATCATCACTAACGTTATAGGCATCGGTTAAGAAGTCCATAAGACTTTGAGGTTGTTCCATATTGGGGATAATCCGTTTATGTAAGATAACCAAGATCTCTTTATACTGGTGCACTGAGAGTGGGTACGATAACACGGTGACAAATGCCCTTTGGTATTGGGTTTTAAAGTGCGTAAGCTTGTATAAGACATTGGGTAACTTTGAGCGAACCAAAACGTCTTCTGAACGTAAAACATCATAATCGTCAGTGAAAAGGAGTTGATTCTTCATGATCAAGTAGAAGTTGTCAAAGATCAAACTCAATTGAGAGTCGGATAACTGCTCAGTTGCTTTCCATACCGTTAATGGCTCATTCAAGTCGTTAACGAAATAGAACTGTAAGTCCCAGTATTTCACGAATGTCTCTATAAATGCCAATACTATGAACTCATTTTCGCTTTGAAGGATATTTTCAACCATTTTCTTATATGTTGCTGTGGGGAAATAGGCGTCTTTCTCATTGGATTTCATATAGGAGGCTTCTAATTTAATGAGTTCAAACATAATCTCAAGCATATCCAATTGAAGGGACGATTCATATGAAAGCCTTTCTTTTAAGAACTCGAGGAGAATGTTTTTGAACGTATCATATTTGGCATTAAACCATTTCACCACCATTTGTTTCTTTTCGTCTCCGGATTTGGTGTATTTTAAAGCACCGTTCCTGACCAAGCCCTGGAAGACTTTGAACAACGTCACTGTCAATTGACGGCCGTTCTTTTCCACTTCAGTTAATCCGCGCACGCCATTATCACGAAGCTCCTTCTTGATCAAAGGGTATTGCTCAAGTAATGGTGTTAGATGGTTATAGTTCTTGCAGTTAGGATCAAGTAGTAAATCACAGTATGAATTAAGTTCCGCCAGCGATAAAAGAGGTGACGACTGTTTGCTCTTCTTCTTGTTGGAGGTGGGCAGTGCCGCAGATCTTCGTTTCGATGATGCCATGTAATGTTTATGCAATAAGTTAAGTCAAGTCAAGTTAAATTAAGTTAAGTCAACTTTAACCTAGCTTGAATCTACCGAATAGATTAGAGATGAGATGTTGATACGCTAGGGTATTACCCGGACAAAGCGCATCCAGCTTACGTAATTGAAAATTTTTCGAATCTCTGCCCCTATATATATGGAGGGATCCCACACTAAAGTAAATAATGGTTAACGTTTTTCTTTCTTCAGTATGACCTTCCAAGTTTTACAACATATGATGAAATCTCGCGTTTATCCATGACATTTCCCTTTGGAGTTGAGTTTCTCTTTTGGGGGAGATTCCTCTGAAAATGATTCTTTATATTTGAAGGGTCTGGGTTTGAATGGTGAAGGGCGTTTGGCGCAACAATTCTTGTTACTTAAACAACAATCGCTCATAGAGAACTTCTGACCCCCTACTACTTGTGACTGTTATACTCTGTAAAACCTTTGATCTCGAACTTGTTTGCATCGTAGACCATTAATCCCCCCTACCACCCCACCTGTATACTGTAGAACCAATGGTGCTTGTGATGCGCTCCAGATGAGTGAAGCAACACGGTACACACGGTACACCAATGCGGTCTACTACGATAACTCTGGATCTAACGTTATCAGTAAGTTTCTTCATTACTCCTAACAAAACTAATTGTACATTATATATATAAAAGACCCAGCAAAATACAGAAACTGTACCTCAAAAAAACAAAATAACCTATTATGAGACGGATGAATGTATAGTTGGAGTATTATTTAAATGAAAGTTTCATATGGAACTGGAGCCAAAGTTTGAGGAACGTTACCTTCAGTAGCAACAACTCTAGAACCTCTTGGCTTAGCAGGTTGTCTCTTCAAGTAAACAGATTCACCGTTGGCCTTAGCTTCTCTCTTAGCAGCAGCATTGGACTTAACTCTGTTCAAGAATTCTTGTCTACACTTGGAGTGCTTAACATGTTCCACTCTCAAGTTAACTCTCTTTTCAATGTATCTGTTACCAACAATCTTGTTGACAATAACACCAACAGATGACTTGGTGATGTTGTAAACAATACCTGTCTTACCGTGGTAGAACTTGTGAGGCATACCCTTTTGAATAGAACCATTGGCCTTAATATCCACGATATCTCCAACCTTGTATGTCTTCAAGTAGGTGGACAAAGGAATAGCACCATGCTTCTTGAAGTCACGGGAGAAAGCGTATCTAGTTCTAGATCTGTAACCGTGAGATTTACCCATTCTAACTAACTGCTTATATTATTAATGTATATACCTTTGCTTAGTAGTTGTTTAGTTTTAAAGGTGTTGATGGGTGAAAATTTTCCGTTCTCGCACTCTACAGACTGACCAAAACAAAAAACCTAGGGCTGAGACCTGGATGTGGTCACGTGAAAGTCACGTGAAACAGACAAGTAATGAATATGTTTTCCACGAGATTGGTGTTAATCGGAACATAATCACAGTGTTAGAGATTATCACCTTAGTACACAATGATTCGTTATTTATATTATTTTGGTTATTTAATTACGTTCTTACTAAACCTACCCACTCCGTTTCGGCTTAATCGGAACTAAGGTGATGAGTCCGCGATTCCTTAAGGTAGCGCTCCCCCACGATCGGAGATAAGATTCGTGATGATGGTAAGCCTAATAATAACGGCTTTACTTGTTAACAATAACAAAAACATTATCAAAGGACATAAATAAATGTGGAGGTGCATCTTCTTCTTTTGTTTCGGTATAACTTGAGAGAGCATACGGAAGCAACGCTAGACCGTATATATATACGATCGTATAATAATACGAGCTACACCCGTATAATACGATATAGCATTGCCCCCCCATAAAATGGACTACAATAAATATACACCGAGTCCAAGACAGACAGGCCATAATTTCATAGTCAAGTATTGGTATCTCTTCACGTCCTTCTTTAGCTCGTTGGTGTTTGTACAGGTGTTGATCAATGGTGCGGTAACTTACCATCTATGGAACAAGATAACCGGATCTGAAAAGTCCAATGAACCAGTGGATGTGGATGAAAACACTTACATTCCAAGGGAACCTTACAATGATATCGACCAGATGAAACCATCCAAAGACTTGAGATACTACTGCTTACATATGGGATTGGATTTGGAAGAGTATCGTATTGTGACTGAAGATGACTATGTCCTCCCATTACACCGATTAATTGATCCCAAGGTGTCTTCGGAAGAACGGAACATGAAGAAACCAATACTTTTACAGCACGGACTTTTATCCTGTTCTTCGGCTTACGTAACCCCAGGCTTCAATTCATTGGCCTACTATTTCTTAGAGCAGGGTTACGATGTTTGGTTGGGCAACAACCGGTCGTGGTTTGAGCCAATGCACAACACCATAGAAGGCAACTTGATGCACAGTGAAGAATATTGGGACTGGGATATCCTCCATCTTGCGTACTACGATTTACCGTGCATAATCAAGACCGTCTTGAGCCACAAGCCTAACCACGAGAAGTTGGTGTATGTTGGCCATTCTCAGGGCTGTACCCAGTCAATATTGATGCTTAAGAACGGGAACTTGAGTGAAGTACATGAGATGATTGAGTTCTACATTGCATTAGCTCCAGCCATCTTCCCAGGAAACTTATTTCATCATCGAGCCTTCATCAAGTTTATTCACAGTAGAGGAAAGTTGGGCTACAAGTTAATCTTTGGATGTTGTTCGTTCCTCAGATACCTTAGCATTGCCAGATCATATTTGTATTCTACTAAGTTGTTTGGAAGTTTAACATATTACATGTTCAAGTATTTATTTGGTTGGAATGCCCGGAATTGGTGTAAGGACCGTCGGATCTGGCACTTCAATTTCATCTTCAACGTCACTTATGTTTCCTCAAGACTCATGAACTGGTGGTTAAGTGAATGGGTCCCTCAAGGATTCTCCAACCAATTACTTGCACCTAAGGCGTACAAGACCAGGGCCAATGCCATGCCACAATCGGAATTTGATGTTGATGATACTCAAAGTTATTTCCCCTTTTCCAAGCAATGGTTCACCAATGACTTGAAAACAGTTCCCATGCTTATCTTCACTGCTGGTCAAGACTTCTTGGTGGACGGTGAAAGACTCAGAACTCACATGAGAACGTACGAAAAGAACTACATCGCTGGTGAAAACTTGTTCCTTCATCATCTAGACGACTACAATCATGTGGATGTGATTTGGGCTGAAGATGTCGTGGGTAAAATCGGGTACATAGTTACGAAAACACTTGCCAAACATAACGAGCAAATAACGGTGGCTGATCCTCTGGAAAAGGTAGCTGATACTTTATTGGCTGAAACAATGAAAAACATTGCTTCAACTAAGTTGGCTGTTCAAGACGACACTCTTCTGGGTGAAACTATGAACAACATCCAATCTATAACAGTCACAGCTTAGTTATTGTGTTCCAACGAGACTATGGCATCAGAAACAGCATCCCAAAACGCTTGTGGATTAATATCATACCCAATATAGACACCATTACTACTACCATTTTCAAACATGGTTGTTTCACCTCTTTTCTCACCTTCAAGTGCAACTTGAACGGTCTCATGCCAACACTGATAGCCATATTCCTTTTGTTTCCGTTCCAAGACGGCTATCAAGCTAAAGACAGCAACTGGATCATGGACTGGAGGTCCAGTAGGGCTAACCTTAGCATATCTTTCGGCGTAGAAATTGGTTATGCTTCGAAAGAGACTGCCCTTTTTACCTTTGAAGGTGTTTCGGATAGCCTTGGTTGCAATGCATTTATGGGTGATGTTTAATGGTGATAATATGAGCTTATTATCCTGTAAAAATACGTTTGTGAATACCTTTTCTGCAGCTAAAGGGTCGGAATATAGATTGAATTCGGCATATGGAGTGATATTTCCGAGCCCAAATGCCCCTCCCATAATAGAAATATATTGAACTTGGTCACCGAAATTAGGATACTTGTCAAGCACTTTACTCAAGTTAGTTAAGGGCCCAGTCACTATGACACAAAGCTCTCCATGGGCATCTTTAGCGGCGTTATTAATAGCTTCAATATAATTTATATCTGTCTTACACTTGACATGAGGGTTCTCGGATAAATATCCCTGCGCACCTCCAATTCCTGTAGTTCCATGAATATACGAAGCTTCAGGAGCGTCACCTTCAAGCGGCTTAGACGAACCTTGGTATACGGGAATATCCGGCGATCCAAGGAATTCTAAAAATGCAATTGTATTATGAGTAGTTAATTCTAACCCCACGTTCCCATAGGAAGTGGAGATCCCTATGAGTTGTAAATATGGATTATGCATTGCCAACAATATGGCAAACACGTCATCATTGCCAGGATCGCAGTCTATCCAAACTGGTACTCTATGTGATTTTGTCATGTGTCAATGGACCTGGAAGATCGCTAAAGCAAACTCTCGTATATTTTAATCTATAGGATACTAGTTGGCTAATGGCTGCAACAATGCCGCTATAATTAAGTTGCTGTTGGTTGACACTTTTCTTACACACGGTGAAAAATGAGCGAGCACTGTACAGTAGGTGACGATCGTATATCTGCTTAAACTACGTATGTAGTTAAATACGAACCTATAATAATGCAGATATACGAATGCTTATGTATGGAATGAATCACTTTTATACTTTCCGTGGCCCTACACACATATATATTTATATAGGTATTTGTATACGGAGATCTATGGTCATACAAAACGTAACCTACCCCAGATTTCTGTGATGTTTTACCAATTGGCACGACCTTCAAAGTTTCACGTTTGTTTCTAAATGTCCTTTCCTTCTTCTTCCACAGGAACAACAAACGCACCTGCAAGTTGTAATGCAGGTTCTTCGATATTGTGATGTTGGTAAGAAAGGACCCCAACACCACCAGCATCCAACATATATTTAGGATTACAATGAACTGGGTAACCAACCCAACGAGCAGCAAGACTTCTAAGAATATGACCATGAGCAACAATAATGATATCACAAGATTTTTCTTCTTCTAAAGCTTTGAGATGAATCTTACGAATATCAGCAATGAGTTCATCCAAACGTTTAGTAACATCAACATAGGTTTCACCATTTTCACATCCATTGGCCCAAATGTTCCATGAAGATCCAAGACCACGCAGTTCTCTCAATTCAATGATTTGCTTGGTTAAAAGACCTTCATAATCACCATATTCCCATTCTCTAATTCTTTCATCAACTCTACATTCAATTTTAGCTCTTTCTTCAGGTGTTAAGGTTTCCAATATCAATTCAACAGTTTGTCTTGCTCTTGTTCTTGGAGATGAAATCACATAACGTAAATTGGGAGTTTGTACCAAATTGTTAGGTTTAGTACCAAGGAGATTTTGACCTGTAGCTCTCATTTGTCTAACTCCAAAGGGAGTTAACGGTAAGTCAGTGATGGACGTATATTGACCAGATTTGGACCACTCGGTTTGTCCATGACGAACAAAGATAAGTCTTGGACAGATTTCTTTAGCCATTTTCTTATAATCCCAGATGCAATTGCTTAGTGAGCTTCAACAATTCTTGGTGATCTCTTATATTTTGTTGGTTATTCACTACCGTATTTATGCAGTTAGAGGTTCTCTCTGTCTCAAAAATTGGATCCTGCATCTGAGCTCGTACTAATTATTTCGTAAGGGTATTGTCCGGTGAGTTCGGATAAACCCCCCCAAAGATAACTCACCATATGAAGCACACATTTACCCCTCGAACTTGTTCTTTATTGCAACGGTATTAATATGAATTATAAATTGCCAACATTCTTTTACTAAAAGCAAGCAATTGTGTTGATGGCAAATTACCCTCGGTTTTAGCCTCGGATATCGTCGCATTCAACCGACCCACGCCCTTTTAAACGCGATCTATCAAATCTTTTTTCAACCTTTCCTAAACGGCTAGCACTAAACGAGTCACATAATAATAGCATCCACTCATTAGTATAATACACTGACTATGACTGTGTATACCGCCTCTGTTACAGCACCTGTTAACATTGCTGTATGTATTTATATTTTTTTTTGTTGATCAAGTATCAACTTTCGATTCCTCTTACTGACATCTCGTATAGACATTAAAGTATTGGGGTAAAAGAGACAAGAGTCTTAACTTACCAACCAATTCGCTGATTTCAGTGACTTTATCCCAAAAGGATTTAAGAACTTTGACTTCAGTGGCCTCAAGTGCTGATTTCACCTCCGATAAGTTATGGTTGAATGGTACGGAACAAACTTTAGATACTCCTAGAACACAAGCTTGTTTGGCGGATTTAAGAAGTTTAAGACGTCAATTGGAACAAAATGATTCAACTTTACCAAAGTTAAGTGAATATGGTTTACACATCGTTAGTGAAAACAACTTTCCAACTGCTGCTGGGTTAGCTTCGTCAGCTGCTGGGTTCGCAGCTTTGGTGGCAGCTATTGCTAAAGTGTATCAGTTACCTCATGATATGACAGAAATCTCCAAGATCGCCAGAAAGGGATCAGGTTCTGCTTGTAGATCATTATTTGGAGGATATGTTGCTTGGGAAATGGGTTCCAAGGAAGATGGTTCTGATTCTCGTGCTGTTGAAGTTGCTCCTTTAAGTCATTGGCCATCTATGAAGGCTGCTATCCTCGTTGTTAGTGATGACAAGAAAGATACTCCCTCAACTGTTGGTATGCAAACCACCGTGGCTACTTCTGATTTATTCCAACAAAGAATCACCGACGTTGTTCCTGCTCGTTTCAAGGAAATGTCAAAGGCTATTATGGATAAAGATTTCGCCAAATTTGGTGAATTAACCATGAAGGATTCTAATTCATTTCATGCTGTTTGTTTGGATTCCTATCCACCTATTTTTTACTTGAATGATACTTCCAAGAAGATCATCAAATTAATTCATTCTTTAAATGATTCAGAAGGTGAAATCATTGCTGCTTATACTTTTGATGCTGGTCCAAATGCTGTTATCTATTATGATTCTGTGAATGAAGCCAAAGTCTTGGGGTTGATCCATAAATATTTCGGTTCCGTTCCTGGTTGGGATAAACTCGATACTTCTTCTTTAACTCCTTCAGATATCGTTGCTGATGATACCATGTATAAAGGTGTTAGTAGAATAATCTTGACTGAAGTTGGTCCTGGTCCTCAAGATACCACTCAAACTTTGGTAGGAGAAAATGGGTTACCTCTTTGAACCAAAAATTGTATAGTTGTATATGATTCCAATAGAATCAATATTCTCATTGTGAACCTTAACTCCGCATCTTGAAAAATTCACAGCAAGTCAATGTCAGACACAGTCATTACCTTTGCACGGTAGTACTATCACCTAAGTCCAATCACCTAAGTCCAGGGTAACCATGATGAATAGCATTCCATCAATGAGTAGAAGTATTCGAATAGGTGTGCCCGTGTTTCGAGGATATTCGTTGTGGGTTCCAAAAAATCATTCATTAAGGCCAAGATACTTCACCCATTCCACTCGAAATAGTCAGAAACCATCACCAGATCCAAATCCCAAGCCTTCACGTCCACTGCAGATCATCAATGCTGCTAAACAAAGGGTTCAACCAAACGTACAGCAAATTATCACCAAAGCTAAAGATAAAGTGCCTCCAAATGTCCAGCAGTTACTATTGAAAGACAACGTCTACACTATCCCCAATTATCTCACGTTGACTCGGATTATAACTACTCCTGTGATTGGTTACTGTATTGTAAAGGGACATAATGATTTGGGAGGGGCCATATTTGTATATTCATGTATCACTGACTTTGTTGATGGCTACATTGCCCGTAACTTCAAGAACCAAAAGTCCATCATGGGTTCTATCCTTGATCCCATAGCAGATAAGTTTCTTATGGGTATATGTACGCTTTCATTGGCATATGTTAGTGCTATTCCAGGGTACTTGGCATTGTTGATCATTGGAAGAGATGCCATGCTCTCGTTGATGGGGTTCTTTTATCGATGGAAGTCATTACCTCCTGGTTCAAGGAATTGGAAGAACTGGATAGATATTTCCAAACCAACCATTAGTGTTCACCCCAATATGCTTTCTAAGATCAATACAGGCCTTCAAATGGTATACATTGGAGGATTGGTTCTTATGAGTGGATTAGAACGGGTAATTGACCCTACCATCTTGGGTACCTTTTATTCCTATTTTGAAGTGGTAGTTGCCATCACTACTATCACCAGTGGTGCATCATATTTGAATAAAAAGCATTTTAAGGTCATTCCATCACCATTTAAATGATTGAAGTATCATGATCATCTTATGATTCCTATAGAAGATCACTCTGCACATGAGTTGTTTATATATCCAATTCAAAACAGGTTTATCACAATATTTAGGTGAAATATCGCCTAGGACTTTTATATAACTCATTATCACATAGTCAAGCATCTCATCACTATAGTGCTCGCTCACCAACTCATCAACGACTTGTTTAGGAAGTCCATTGGTCAGTTTAAGGTACCTCCACTTCAATAATAGATGAATTCTATTGGCTATTTTGAACACCAGGGCCCTTGATAAGGCTGTGGCTTTCATAAGACGTTGTAATTGATTCAACTTGAACTCCATCATAGGTGTAAACTCCATTTGCTCATATACAACATACATAGTTATAGTTAGTAGAGGCATGATGGTTAAAGTGCATTTATCAAACACTTGTATCATACCGTGCAATGGTATGCAAGTATCATTTGATTTAAGGAGTTGTAGAAGAATCTTTCTATATTCTGATTTGGGAGTAAACTCCGTAACCAAACTTAGACTATGACTGAAGGCACTTTGACTCAGACAGTAGCTGAAGATTTGACTCAGACCTTGATTGTGGCTTTCACTTGTTGATGCTTGACTACAGTTGTTGATATTTTGCTCTGTTACTTGCAACCTATTGAATACCTCTACCAAATGTTAGTACTTAGTGATAAATATTATGACTCGTCATATCTCATCATGCGAGTCATATCTTTCTATACGAGTAATATCACGTCATACCTTCCCAATTGACATTCCAAGAATGCTTCAACTTGACTAAACATACAGCCAACGGGATGTCAATCTCCATCATAATGGTGTATGTTGTTGAGGATCAAAAGAATATAACTTGGTGGCAAAATTTTATGCATTGACTGTCAACTGACCACCAATTTCATCTTTAACATCACCAGTAGCAGGCACCTTATTTCGTAATCGTATCCATACTCGCCTTCTAATGAAATGGCCCATGTAATGTTTCCCCTTCCAGTGTTTACTTGCAAAGAATAGTCGGGAATAAACCCATCCTTCTTCGTCAACATCACTGGCCATCAACACATACCATTCAGGCCAAGTCCATTCCCATCCAAAATCAGATAAGGGGAATTGAGATAAATCTCCAAGCAGATACAAGTTATCTCCGCTCAATTGTTGAAAGTTTGTCGGATCCATCTTGGGGATAAGGGTTTTCCCTGAGTATAAGGGGATCCCCAATACCTTCATACCTCTTTGGTTTTCAACCACCAATTCCAATCGATACTCGGAGCTCGGTACACCATTCAAATGGTCATTTCGAAGTATTGTAAAGAGGTAATCTGTTTCATTACTTGGAGTCTCTAGTCGTTGTTTGAGTTCACGGACTTGAGGTAAGTTGTTGAATCGGTGGAAGATAGCCCTATCATAGACTATGTTCATGGTATTGATGATAATATTAGTATATTATAGAGTGAAAGTGCAGGAGTGAAGGGTGTATTGGGGTAAACTTAATGTAGTAGACGTAATACGTTCATGGATACTGTATATGAAAATGTTACTACGGGTAAGAGAAAGCTCATAACTATATTAGCCCTTCATCGTATATATTCCGTTGCCTTCTATTATTCCGTTGACGCATATTGTTCCCGTGTATACGAGAGGATACAACATACTAATCTTGCATAGACAATGCCTGGAATAATCTATTAACTCTTAGTTTTACTTCTCCAACGGTATATTACAGAACGCGTAGAGTATATTTCAGCATGAGAAAATTAATACTATCCAGATGAACTTGCAATACGAACTCCTTGTTATAATAAGTTCCCCTACATTACAGCCGGAGATAGCCGTTATCCCAAAGGACCAAAAAAATGGAGCAACTATGCAGTAGTACGATGTTAGCATACTACTGCATACCTTCGTAGTATATAACAGCTATAGTAGAGTACACTGTAAACACTGTATGCACTGTAAACACTGTATGCACTGTAAACACTGTATGCACTGTATACGATATTAATAGGATACGCCTAATCACAATATCATCACTTTTTAGCACCGTTCCAGCCGCCACTGCCGGGGGGCTGTCGATGAGCGAAGATCCGGCATCCTTTGTGCTACGACGTGTGCTCACCAACATCCATCATTATGACCTGATGGGACTGAATAGCAAGGACACTCCAAGAAAATAAGGAGTTCCACTTAAATCCATACGGTGGGCATTATAGTGAGTGTGTGTGTAGCGGAAGGAAGAAAGAAACAAATTGACACAAGTGAGTGAATTTTTCCTTTACTTCGGACAGAAGTCTTTTAACTTATATTGTTGATGATAAAAGAGTAGTGCTAAATTTTTCATTAATAATCAAAGGAGGCACATTGTATATTGTCTTTGTTATTGTTTGCAGTTCATAAATGAACTTTCATTCAGGGACATCCCAGAATCCATCAGCTAATCCTCCAACTCATACACTGACTTCTTCTCTAGATCCGAGTCAATCACAGTCTGCTGCTAATCGTCCCCATCGATTTTTACCTTACCAACACAATCCTGGCCATAATAATCTGCAGTTGCATCCACATCAACATCATCAACTGCTCCAACAACAAACTCCCCCCTTTGACTTTGCAACGGCCAGAACAGTGAACAACAGTTCGGCTTTGTCCTACAACAGTACCAGCGAAGTTAGTTCCGTGACGAACTCAAGCACGTTTTCAGTCCATCCTCAATTTGCATCATCTGAAAACTCAGAAGAGTCAAAGTATCCAACAGAAGCAATGCACGAGAAAAGAAGTGTCAATTCAAATGGCACGGAAAAGGACTTCTTCCCTAACCACAATCCCTTTGACTTTAATTCTTATCCCATAACCAATCCTCCGCTTATTGATGCCACTTATATCAATTATGCTGCTGATGGACATCGTACAAGAAGAAGAATTTCCATTTCTAATGGTCAGATTGGTCAAATTGTTAATCATGAAGCAATTTTTGATTCTGATTTTAGTCTTGATGATGGTTATAATCAACAGGGAGTGGGGAATGAAGATTCCATTCAAGATGTCCCACCATTTCCACCAGGGTTTGTAGATGATACTCTTTTATTAGGCATGGGGAATATACAGCCTAAAGCTGTAATATCTCCTCAACAGCAGCAACAGCAACAACATTTACCCCCTCATCAAGATCCTCGGCATCGGGCTGGACCCGCTTTTAATCACAACATGTTCAAGGTAGAGCAAGAATCACAACCACAAGTACAACCACAAGTGCAACCACAAGTGCAACCACAAGTGCAACCACAAGTGCAACCACAAGTACAACCACAAGTACAACCTCAAGTACAACCACAAACACATGCACCAATTGCTCTTTCTCAAGGACTTCATGGGTCACCACCAATCAACGGTAGATTAGATCATCAAGCAGTCGTTGGAATGCCACCATCATCTAAAGTTCTTAGGACAACGACAGCAGTTCCTGTTAACCAAAACACAGGACTACCAGACTCATTAGCAGATGCTGCAGGAGTTCCACCACCCAATCATCAGCTTATATACAACAATGAAGTCATCTATAACCCCAACGATGGGCCCATACCTGGGACAGCAGCCTGGAAGAAGGAAAGACTCTTGGAAAGAAATCGGATTGCTGCTTCAAAATGTCGTCAACGGAAGAAACAAGCTCAGCAAGAATTGGTGTCTAATATTTCCAAATATGAAAAGAAAAATGATGAAATGAGAGAAACAATGGCCAATTATGCTCAGCTTATATCCATTTATAATGAGCATTTGAAGTTATATTTTAAACTGGGGAATCCAAGTTGTTTAGAATCTCTTAGAAAATATGTTGATATCGATATCGGGGAGGCTGTCAATTTACTTGAAAAGAAGAATCAGGGTGTAAGCATCAAACAAGAGAAGAATCTTTAGCTTTTATGTTATTATTATTATTATTTTTGTTACTATAATTATTATCATTTAATTGTATTAATACAGCATGAAGTTAAGTGGTAGTGGTGTTAGTTAGTTTAATTTACTTAGAGAAATGACTGCACTACCGCGATAACCTTTTGAAGACAGATATAGCAGAATCATTATGACATAGTGTATCATATTATAACGTTCTATAATACCGTAATATAGAGTATATACAAGTATTGGTCATGAAAAGAATCGCGTGCTTGGGGTAATGCCAGTAGTGAAATACCCGCGCTACCATTGCACAACCTCCTTTCTTTTATTACTGAGCCGTTATAAGGTATATTATATTTGGATTATGGTTCTATAGAACGTCATAGAAAACTACACTTTTAAATACCAACAAAGGGATACGAATCTACATTACTATGTTAATTGTGCAATATACTTTATCAATGGCGCTACCGATCACTTGGTAGCTCATGGTAGCGCCATTGAAAATTTTGCTATCGCCATACAAAATAAGCAGTAACGATTCACCTTAAAACAACAAGCAAGAAGGAGTTTACCTTTACATATTTAGGCATATAACGATGTCACTTAAGTTGCCACAAGCTCCCAATAGCGGGCTTTTCAAACAAGGATACCAAGCATATTCAAGTGCTGATGGAGTGGTGATCAGAAACATTGAAGCCGTGAGAGAGATCACTCTGATGGTTCAAACATCCTTTGGCCCATGTGGTAGACAAAAGATTGTTGTGAATAAGATGGGCAGAGTTTTCATTACCAGTGATGCCGCCACTATTCTTGAACAATTGGAGATCATTCACCCGGCCGTGAAGATTTTAGTTGGGGCCACTAAACAACAAGAGTTTGAAATGGGTGATGGGACCAACTTTGTTATGGTGTTGGCAGGTGAACTTTTGAATGTTGCTGAAAAGTTGATATCTTTGGGGTTAAACGTTAGTGAGATCATCCAGGGGTATACCATGGCGGTTAAATATACGTTGAGTCAATTGAATGATTTAATTGTTGATACTTCTACAGATTTATCACTGTTTGAACAATTACGTAAAGTTATTAAGCCCGTGGTTGCCTCTAAGCAATATGGCTCTGAAGATATTATTTCCAAGTTGGTAGTTGAAGCTGTCCAGATTGTATTGAACCCCAATAGACCTCAAAACTTCAATGTTGATTCCATTAGAGTCGTCAAGATCATGGGGGCTTCATTGCCAACCTCCGAGGTCATCAAGGGTATGGTATTCCCCCGTGAACCGGAAACAACCGTTAAAAACATCAATACCAAATCTAAAGTGGTGGTCTTCACTTGTCCTATTGACATTTCAACCACCGAAACTAAGGGGACCGTGTTGTTACATAATGCTCAAGAGATGTTAGACTTTACCAAAGGTGAAGAACAACAATTGGATCAAATGTGTAAAGAGATCAATGATTCCGGAGTGAAGGTTGTTGTTGCTGGATCATCTGTTGGAGATTTGGCATTACATTATTTCAATAAATACGATATCTTGGTGTTGAAAGTACCAAGTAAGTTTGACTTGAGAAGAATATGTCAAGTTTGTGGAGCCACACCTTTACCAAGATTAGGAGCGCCAATGCCTGAAGAAGTTGGTTCTATTGCTGTGATTGAAACCAAGGAAATTGGGGGGGATAGAGTCACTATTTTCAGACAAGATGAAGATTCTATTTCAAGAACTGCCACCATTGTTTTAAGAGGTGCAACTCAAAATACTCTTGATGATATTGAAAGAAGTATTGATGATGGTGTTAACTCCATCAAGGGGTTAATCAAAGATGATAAACTTTTACCCGGAGCAGGTGCCATAGAAATGGAATTGATCAAACAATTGACTCAATATGGTGAAAAGACTTCTGGTTTAATGCAATTACCAATTAAACATTTTGCTAAAGCATTTGAAGTTATACCTCGTTTATTAGCAGAAACTGCTGGTTTAGATTCCACTGAAGCCTTAAGTAAACTTTATGCTGCTCATTCCGATATTAACGGGAAGTGTCTTGGTATTAATATTGAAGGTGATGGGTTGGTTGATATTAAACAAGAAGGAATCTATGATTTGTTGTCTTCAAAGAGTAATGCCATTGCATTGGCTGTCGAAGCAACCACCACCATTCTTTCAGTTGATCAAATCATTATGGCCAAGAGAGCTGGTGGTCCAGTCATTCCTAAACAACCAAGAGCCGGTAACTGGGATCAAGATGATTAATAGTGTACATTAATAGTGTAAGTATAGTAAATAAGTGTTCACCTGCTTATGCTCTTCCCATTCTTAACAAATAATTTGACCTTATCAAGATCCTTCTCTCCGTTGGGATCTTCCACTCCTCCACTAACATCAAACCCAATCACTCGTCCAAGTTCAACTGTGTCCTTCAAGTTATATGGAGTCAACCCTCCAGCAAGAATGTACCTGCCATCTCTCAATTGATCCACAAGCTCCCAGTCTATAATTTTCCCTTCTCCACCCGCTTCAGAGTCCAATAACGGCATTATAAACCCGTGAGCCCTGTACTTGAGTAGATCAGAATCTTCACCAAGCAATTCAGTATCCAAGAACTCAGTGAACTTATCTCCGTCTCGAGGCACAACTATCCTCGGGATAATACCGAACGGATGGCCCAATTGCTTATTGTAGTCCAAATACTCCTGGAGTCTCTCGTTGCCATGAAGCTGAATGAAATCAACACCGATTTCTTTAGCCACCTCAAACACGTGATCAATGGGTTGATTCTGAACAACTCCAACCAAGTAAGGGCCCTTCTGACCCACTAGTTGCTTCGCTTTGACAAAGTAGTCGTCGGTATCAACATACTCTTGTGCTGAGAGCAATGCTAGCATCTCATTGGCCGATGCTTTCTGGTGTGACTTGGTCAATTGTGAAATCTGCTGACCAATTTCAGTGGGAACGGTTCTTTGTTTATTGGGCACTAAGATTACTCCTAAAAGATCTGCACCGGCGTTAATTGCCGTCTCTGCCGCTTCCACGGTTCTGAGACCGCATATTTTTACCAAATGTGGCATCGGAATTTGACTTAAAAGAAAACAATGGTCTAACTTCACATTTAACTCAAGAATTTAACTCCCAAAAACTATCACCAGAGTCGTGCGAATACCAAGTATTCCTACATTAAAAAGCATTAAATAGCATCGTCATAATATTACAAATAACTGACTCAAGATACACAGTAGCAAGAGCATACATAGTTTGTATACATGAGAGAAGTAAATGAAAACAGATAATAAAAGAAAGAAAGAAAAAAAGAGATAAGCAAAAAAAAAATATAACCGTTTGATCAGAAAAGCGACATTAAAGATCAAGATCATTCTGTTAAAATTGTTACAAAGTGTAAGTACAAGCATATACTTCTTCCTCCAATTAATCCTTTCTTGACCATCTCCATATTCTTGCAGTGCAGTCACCAGAACCAGTGGCAAAGATTCCTTCCTTACCTTCGGAGTTCAATGCAACAGCAACTGAAATAACAGAGTTACGATGACCTTGTAACATCAACAAGGGGTTACCGGATTTTTGATCCCAGAAAATAACCCCTCTGTCTTTAGAACCAGACAAAATGTACTCATTGTTTGGAGTTGAACAAACGGATAACACAAAGTCTTTGTGTCCAATGTATGTTACAGCACAACTGGATCTCTTGGATGCGGTGGATGAAGCTCCATCGTCCAGCTTTAACAAGTTCCACAATTTAACTGTACGATCCAAAGAACCTGAAGCAATTTGTCTACCACTAGTAGAGAAAGCAACTGAATAAACAGAATCGTCATGGCCATTACCATTTTCATTCCCTGAATCCAATCTGTCAACAAGGAATCCAGTAGTAGAATCCCACACTCTAACAGTTCTATCCAAAGAACCAGCTGCGATTTTCATTCCATCAGGTGAAACCGCAACAGTTGTAACACCATCTTCAATAGATAAGGTCAATGAACATTGTGATGATCTTAAATCCCATATTCTAACAGTGCGGTCACCAGAACCAGATACTAATCGGTTACCATCAGGGAAAAAGTCCAAAGAATAAATATCTTGTTCATGTCCTCTTAAAATCTTGATTATTCTCTTTGTTTGTAAATCCCAAATTCTGATTAGTTTGTCTTCAGCACCAGTGGCCAATAACTTACCATCAGGAGAGAAACACACTGATCTAATGTATAAATCTCCATTGGCACTTGTGTTAGCAACTTCATTGGAAGTACCATTGGAACTAGCATTAGTACTGTTACCATTGGAGTCTGCTGCATCTTCCTTAACATCAGAAGAGTTGGATGTGTTATCATCAATTAATCTGGCAATACGTTCACCAGTCTTGACATTATAAACTTGTGTGGTCTTGTTACATCCAGTAGCAATAAGTTCTCCATTTTTAGAGAACCTAACACAACACACAACGGAAGAATGGTCCAAAGAGTGAATCAACTCAACATCCAAATCCTTCTTGAATGCTGGGTTATACAATACATAATAATCATTGTTCTTCTTTTTGAATCCTTCAGCAGCATTGTTGACATCCAAATCTGTTAAGAATGGAGGAATTTCCTTAACATGTAATGCCTTCTCATTAGGATAAGCAATGTATTGGGATTTATCGATTATTTGCAAGGGAGTTGAAAATTCAATCTCATTGCTCTTGGATTCTTCGTCACCTTCTTGGTTTGGAGAGGAGTTTGTAGATACTACTGCAGTTGAAGTAGCAGCATTAGCAGCATTGGGAGATCCAGCTGTTACTCCACCAGGAGATGACTTTACTGGTTGGGCCACATTCAGCTGAGGTGTACCAGCGGCTGCTGGAATGGTAGGAGTAGCAGCAGCAGCAGCAGGAGTAGCACCAGGTTGGAGAGCTGGAGTAGCAACTCCGGCAGCAGGTGAAGCTGCGGATGTTCCACTAGCAGTTGCTGGAGGTTGAGGAACTGTGGATCCAGTACCAACGGGAGCAGCACCGGCAGCTGGAGGTGCCAATGGTTGGAGAGGTTGTTGCAGTTGTTGGATTGGTGGGGGTTGGTAACCACCAAACACCAAAGGTTGTTGTTGTTGTTGTTGAGGAAGAGTGCCTTGTTGAGGTCTTTGTTCCACACCATTTTGTTTAGCCAATTGTTGTTGTTGTTGTGCTTGGGCTTGGGCTTGGGCTTGAGCATGGGCCTGAGCTTGTGCTTGAGCTTGCTGTTGTTGAACCTGTTGAATTTGTTGTTGTTGCCTATCTCTTGTTTCCAATTCTGTTTTTAATCTCAAGATTTCCTCTTCATAAGCCTCTTTAATTTTACGATGAGCCATTTCCAACTCGTAAACTGTTTGTCTAATTTGTTGCATTTCCGCGGTTTGTTGGTTATACTTCAAATCATAATCTTCTTTAACTTGCTTGAAAGATGAGGCTTCATTGAAAGCAAAGTCAAATTCTTGCTTGACAGCATCCAACAATTCATTTAATCTTTTCTTGTGTTGTTGTCTTTGTTGTTGCTGTTGTTGCTGTTGTTGCTGTTGTTGCTGTTGCTGTTGAGCCTGTTGAGCCTGCTGTTGTTGAGCCTGTTGTTGCTGAACTTGTTGTTGTTGTGCCTGTTGTGCCTGTTGCTGTTGAGCCTGTTGTTGTTGCTGTTGTTGTTGCTGTTGAGCTTGTTGTTGTTGGGCAGCAGCAGCAGCGGCAGCCTGCTGCTGCAGTTGTTGCTGAGAAACCACAGAATTAGATGCGTATACAGACATTGCCATAGGCTAGTTGCGAATACGCACTAGAAATACCAGAAACGGAGATTTAGGAAATGAGAACTTTTACCGTTGGTAATTCAATGCTTAGGGATGGTTCCGTAATCAATCTCAACGTCGATAATTCTACCGACAACTGGCAATGTTCACGTGATACCGGATGAAAGTTAGTTCCACCTGATTGGTGATTAAGAAGATAGCAAAAAGAAAAAGGTGGGCCGTTTTACCGTTGTTGTTTTTTCAACAGCGAAATTTTAATTCTCAAGACGGGGTTACCCGGCACGCGGGATTTTAGAAAGGCAGATAACGACTCATGAGTCTTTTGGACACATGTTTCAAATTAGGGCAGCAGTCAACGTCAAGATGGTAAAAAGATGAGATCGGTGATTACATAGTCATAGATAGAGTCATAGTGAGAGTAAAGCAAATGCAATGGTCTACACCAGTACTAAATATACTTATAGTATATACCTATTATTGTGCATGTATGAGATAATCAATTAGGGGTAAAGAAATGCCAGCCCTTCATATTCAAGTGTATTTGTGTTGTCTTATTAAACTGATAGCATCTGAAATCTACACATTGTACGAGATTATGGCTACTGTCTAATTATGGCAGTTGCTACTTGTTAAAATCATGCATGTATGTGGACCTAGTTTAGATCTGGTGCTGCCGGTTTTACCATGTCCGTGTTTTCCCTAATTTCTTGTGAGTCCTCGTGAACTTTACATTACATTCTTTGTGGGGTTGGCAATTAATGAACAAGAGACGACTTCCTTGAGAGTATACTCATATAAGTTTAAGTTATATGCCATACAAGAGCAATAAGGTGAGAAGAGTTTCATTGAGAGAATAATAGGTGCAAATACTTTCTGCTATTGTTTCTTACGAATATTACTACGATTGCTAGTCACAATTAACTCTAATTTTTACCTTTGTGGTCAACTTATGTTGACTCCTCCTATCTTTGTTCATTATGAACATTGTTGTGCTTATAGGCCGATAACTGCCGTGTTTGTACCATTATTTACTGTCCAATGAAAACAATATGTCATATGCTTACATAAGTATATCGCGTATGGTAGCGCAGGACGCTAATAAAGTGAGATGAAATCCATATTGAATGATAACTATTGAGTGATGTACTGTTAAACAAGTAATAAAATGGTTACGCTTGGAAGTAGGGTCTTCCGTGGGAAGAAGGAACAAGAAGCCTTTGACAAATCATTTGCTGGGAGATACCAAAAGATGCTTCGGAAAAATCATTTCCTTTATTTTGGACTTCCATTCATTCTACTGATTGTTGCAGGTTCGTTATATCTACGTAAATTCACTAGTTTGAAATGGGAACGATACGATGAGAAATACCGTCAATGTGGAGAGGAAGAAATGTTGAATATGATTGAGAATAAACGAGTGGTGAACAAGAGAGATGATTATTATCGATTACAAGGTTTACTCAGTGATCATTTGGACAAGGAAGTGCAATCAAATGATGATTATGATATAGTTAGAGTTAAGAGGAAGAAGGAAGATGAGCCTGTGTGGTGAGATTCCATTTATATAGATGTTAATGTATGAGAGATGACTGAAGGCTTGTTGTGATCACGACACCATTAGTATGATGGTACTAGTGACTGTAGGATAGTAAGAGTATTTAGACAATATTATCATGGTTCACAATAGCATAAACATCATATGAGGTTCTATGCTGTTTCCACTTTAGTGCACTGTTGTGTTTGTATGTTGGTCTGTACGTTGGTCTGTATGTTTGTCTGTGTGCCTTATGTTCCTGTCTCACGATGAATTAAGTCGCACCTCATCTCAACTATACACCACATTCTTCTTACAGTCCTTTTACACCAAGTACAATAATGGTATCCTTTTCGTGTGAAGTGTGCAACGACACCGTTATCAAGAAGAAGCTAGACGGCCATAAGCAAAGATGTCGGGGAGCATACTTCACCTGTATTGACTGTTCCACTACATTTAACGGTAATGATTATAGACAGCATACTTCGTGTATCTCCGAAGCTGAAAAATATGAGAAGGCCTTGTACAAGGGTAATAAGAAGAAGCCTGTTGCTAAGTCCGAACCTATAATAGACAAGAAGGAGACTAAGACAGAAAAGAAAACTACAAAGTCCAAGTCCGAAGAAAAGAAAACTAAGGCCGAGTCTAAATCTTCTGCTTTGGATAAGTATGTCTCAAAGTCCGATAGTCTTTACAAGATTGCTAAGAAGATATCAAAGGATAACTCTAAAGATCTCAAGGATGTGTTGAAACAATTAAAAGTGGAAAAGTCTTCTGATGGTTCCTATGTCATCACTTTATAACATTATAGATAGATAGTACAATTTTATATGGGCATGACCGCACCTTGTCCTATATTTTCCCATTTTGGCTGGCTTTGGTTAGTGCTCGACTGACTTTATCATAAAACTGTGCAATCGTATCATAATGGAACGTCAAAGGTCCACATAGTTTAGCAGGAAGTATCTGCTTCAATTGGTTGACTCTGTTGACATCAGAGTCTTCAAGAAATGTAGGATCATATTGAATTTGTCCAGCATGTGCCAGATCTTTCAGAAGCACCAAAGAATATTCAATGTAAATCTCCTCGTTATCTCTGCTTGCTTGTTTCACTTCAAAATAAAACTTGGTGTCATCATCTTGGAAATTGTTTACCTTGACTCCTGTTAAAAGCTCCAACATATCAAACGTTATTGCTATATTTTCCATTTCTCGTACCATATCTGGTTCACTTATCTTAGTCTTTGTTTTCTGCCGAATAGGTGACATAAAAGTCTTTGGATTATTTGGCCCATCTTCGACTTCATCTTCATCTTCATCCATATCGTCTTCATCATCTTCTTGCTGTATTCGTTCGCCTCTTTTCCTTTTAATTGGCGTTCCTGCCGTACTTTGAGTAGCATATTTCAACCGGTTCATTTCCTTTACAAGAGCCTTCTCCTTCTCTTCCTGCTTACTCACTTGCTCATTCAATTTGTGTATCATCTTTTCTTGCTGTTCAAGCAATTGGCTCATAGTGTTCTTGTATTTGGTAAAGGCCAGGTCATTGCCTTGTAACCTCGAAAGCAAGCCCATAAGTTCATCATTCTCTTGCGCTCGATAGATCTCTTCAATTGTCACAATGGCCTCTTGTTGAGGATCAGGATCTGTTATGGTTTGTGTCTCCGCTTTGGAAGCTTCAAGGTTGAAAGCAGCCGCTGGAGCGGACTCGGTGGTTGTTTTCTTTCTCCGGGTGGCACTAGTCACCCGTTTAGTCCCACTGGGTTTTCGAGGAGCCATTGGTACTTGTGACAAAGAGAAGGGTAGAATGTAGTACAAGTGCTTGTTTATACTCTCATTTATTGTGCGATGCAAACTGATGTATCACGTGTTAGGAGTGTGAATTCCGAGGGCACAGATCAGCTCTATATAAAATGAATAAAATAGCTTACTATATAATTGTGACGTTATTCGTGTAGCTTCCCATGTATCTAAACTCTCTTCTCTAGCGAAGAGCAAGTAGACTTTCCTTATACTGAAACACAAAGTCATCGATGAGCAGATCGTATTCTGGTAAGTAGGCAATAACCACCGAAAGTCCTCCTATGGCTGTGGAAGTGAAATTGGTGATCACATGGTACTTGAGACACGTTGAGCTTGCAAAGAATGAATCTTCAAGAATGAAATGCGACTCCGGTCTGGTGCCAGGATCAATGAACCCCAAGTTTGAGTTGAGAAGTGTGTATCTTTGTTTGGTTCCTGGAATAGCTTTATAAGCTTTCCACGCATTAGTGAGAGCACCAAACCCTCCATATTGTTTAAAGGACAGTAGAGACTTTTGGTTGTCGATAATCTGGTTCAGGTACTGGTTCATTCTAGGAAGGAGTAAAGGCATTATATCGTTGATATTATTAGTCTTATTTCCTGTGCTTAAAGCCAAGGGTAATGGTGGATCATTGTGAACTGTTGCCGAAACAAGACATCCATAAATGAACCCCTGGGTCTTTGTTTGGGGAATATGTTTCCTGCCGTTAACTGCAATGCAAGTACACGATGAAGGTTGGTTTCCTGTCTTTGACACTGTCTTGATTAATGTGTTTTCAAGAGTATAAAGTGCAATGGTATGAACTACTGGAGTTAACGTCAAGTTGTATCTCTTACAAACACCGCGAAGAATCTTCAATTGATCCGGAGTCAAATTAAACATCTTAAACTTGGATCTAGTGTCTTTTTCAATGGTAGAACCGAGGAATACCGGTGGATCAATGGTTTCCTGAAGTCCTAAATACTCACTAGCAACTTGAGGTAGGTAAATTTTAGCCCATTTGGTCAAATAGTATGTGGCTGTTTGCCAGTAACTTAATTGAAATAAATCAGACATCAATTCCCTAGGACCGAGGATAGTATCTCCCAAGAGATGTTTGTCTAATTCATAGTCAAATATGTTGATCAATGGTTCAGTCTCATCCCATTTCTGATTCAAATACTTGGGCATAGTCTTGTGGAACTCGGCTCCACACATACCATCAAGCAAGGCATGATCACATACAAATGTCATATATTGTTTGCCATCATTCTGACTATCAAACACATAGACTTTCCATAAGGCACCATTTTCCGTGTTCATGGGGGGTCGAAGATCATTTAACCATTCTAAGGTTCCCGAGTCAAACGACTCAATGGTCTGGAATTCGACAACAGAGTCGAATGAAAGCTTAGTCACGGGTCTAACTTCAAAATTGGATCCATCAGCTTCTTCGTCTTCGATGCTATCGTCAACACGGTAAAAGTTATACACTAACCAGAAGTCCATATGTTCAAGCCATGCTCGAAGACTATGACTCAAGTTCCCCGGAGTTATACGGACTGATCCACCGAACTTCCCGGTAACATTGAAGTTACTATAGAAACCTCCGATGTTACGACATATATATTGTTTCTCAAAGAATCCAGGTCTTCTGGTGTGTCGACGCTCCACCATATTTCCCATAAGGACTGACTTTAGGTAGAAATGAGTGATATTGATGGGGTAGTTATATACGCTATGGATCTCCTGTATATACTGCAAATGAGTCATGAGTTCCGATGGTGACTCAAGTGATGTAGACATCTGATATAGGGACCCCAGCTTCGATGGACACAAAGGAGGAGGTGATAGTAACGGTTATTGCTGTAGATATGTATTGAATGTCTCGAGTATTATGTGATAATTTAGGGATAACTCATATATGTTCATAGTTGTATGTATTTATGGGCACGCTTACCCTCGGAACTGATATCTCGCTTGTTCCCCGTTCGTCACCTCGGTTTTTCTCTATAAACTTTTACTTTTCAGCCATCAACAAGAACCAACATTGTTATAACCACCACCATTAGTTACTACCCTATACACCCCTACACCAAATGTCATATTCAGCAGAGGCATTGTCTCGCAAGTTATCTACGTTGCAAGACACCCAAGACTCGATTGTGTCTGTTTCCCAATGGGTTCTTTTCCATCATCGTCATAGTAAGGAATCAGCAAAAGTATGGGCCGATTATGTGACTGGTAACCCTCATCTGCTGCGTAAGAAGCTCACGTTACTTTATCTTTGTAATGAGGTGATTCAACAGGCACGCCACAAGCGAAAGACGGAGTTTCTAGATGCCTACTTTGAAGTGTTACCCTCGGTATTGAACGAGATATATAAAGAAATGGATTCGACCATTCAAGGGAAAGTTGAACGGTTATTAAATGTTTGGAATCAACGGAATATCTTTAATAATAACCAGATAGCTGCCATGAAGAATGCCATTGAGCTTTCCAAGGCTTCAAAATCCTTAACTGAAGGCGTGGAAGAAGAGAAACGAAAACAAGAAGCCTTATCAGTTGTTGTGGCCCCGGAATTAAAGTTTATTAATGATTTAATATTGAATATCAATAAGCTTGAGGATTCAAATCAACCGAACTTATCCCAAGTTGGTATTCAATCCAAGACATATTTACCTGAAGATCCTTCTGGTTCAGATAACTTGCCTTCACCCAAGATATATATTTCCAAGTTGAATATTCTAGAAAAGCTTTGTGATGTGAGCTTGAAGACTCTTGAGGAGATCAATACGCAGAGAAGCGAAGTGTTGGGTCATTTGAAAACTTTAGAGACTCTTTTATCCGATGGAGCTGAATCTGATAAAGAGAAGGTTAAGGTGTTGAACGAGAGGAAGCTGAAGTTGGTTGAGACGAGAAATGAACTAAGAGAGCTTCTTGAGGACGAAGCTGATGATAGTACTGCTACTGCTGAAGCTGCTACTGCTGAAGCTGCTGCTAATGCTGCTGCTGCTTCTAATGCTGCTAATGCTGCTAATGCTGCTTCTGGCTCTTCTACTTCAAATGTCGCGTCCTCGGATGAAGAGGCATCGCCTGCGTTTGAGAGCATCAACGAAGACGACGATGACGACATTCCTCAGTACGAAAACGAAGGCAGCGATGAAGACAGCGACGACGACGACGGTCCGGTGTTGAAGAAACCAAAAGTATCGCCACCTACCGAACCAGAACCAACACACAGTTCCAAAATCGTGGCCTTCTCCGATGATGTGCAAGTCAGAGAGTACGTTAAAGAAGATCTTGGGGAAGGCATTCGCATAGTGAAGAGTGATAGCGAAGCAAGTGACGACGACGTACAACAAGAAGAAGACGTTGACGAAGATGAAGAAGTTGAGTACAAGTTTCTGGGTCTTAGTGAAGACGAAGACTTGCTTAAGTTTGAAAGCAGGCATAAAGATGCCGTTGATTTGAAACATGATCAAGAAGTGTCTACGTCTCTGAGCTCCAGCGTTTTGGATTTGCTTTCCAAGTTGGCGTAGGAATAAATAAAACGTCTATTTAAGTAATAATAATACAATGTAGAGAAATGATGATGGTGTTAGTTCAACAAGTTGTTGAGGTCATGTGATTTTCTCTTTCTATTTTTGACGGGCATGACAGGAAGTGAAAGTGTCTTGTTGAGTGAAGGCTGGGGGGTTGCGGGTTGTGTCAGTCGGAATGTAGGAGTCGACGATGTCGTAAGTAGTGGAGGAGGTTTGGGGGAACTGTTGACGGTGTCTTGGAATGGATTGTTTAGGTACGGCGATGGATTTACTTCATGTCGTTTAGGGGGGAGTATTGTGTCTAGAACGTTATTGATGGAGGGCAATTTTACCGGTCGGTTGTTGGATGTTGACAGGCACAATAAAGGAGATGGAGGTGTAGTTGTTGATGATGGCGTTGAGTTCCGAGGGTCAAAATAGTTTGTGATTGGGGGCGGATTATCTGGATATTCCGAGGCCGGGTTGGGCATTTGGTTTGATGATACTCCTGACGTGGGTTCCAGTTTCTTCTTCTTGGTCTTCCGGGATAAATATACACATAATTCTTCCGAAGAAACACAGTTGGAACATTCAGGAAGTGTCCGAGTACATTTCTTCTTGAACTTCCGACATCTGGCACAACTAGACTTTGATTTGGTCGAATCATTCAAATCTAATTCATACCCTGAAGTGTCTTGCTTATAGATGTTACTTCCAGACACCATATGTCGTGGATTCTTTTTCTTGAACACTGTTATTGAACTCAGAAGGTCAATACCTGATTGTATCCTTCCCCCAATGGTGTCATTTACATTATGTTTGGCTGTTAAAGTGTCGGGTTTGTTTATTGTCACCTGGAATGTATTGATATGAGTGTATATATCTCTGTATTCATGTTCAAAGTTATATTCATTTTTATCAACAGCGACAGAAGTGTCCTTCGGATCCGGAGAATTTGTTTGACTGCTGTTACCGCTCATGAGCTTGAGGGTTCAGGATATGTTCAAGGTTCAAGCTTCTATCAAGGTGTATTAAGCTATGAAAGGGGATGTAATGGGTGGTGAACCTTGAAAGAGATCAGCCGCGCACTCGGGCAAATATATCCACCGACATTAAATCAAATCAAGATTTGAGTCCGCATTTAAAGCAGGCCACATCATCTAATTCAAAGAAAAGGCGACATCGTCTGGTCCCCCGCATAGGGAACAATAAAAGTAATATTCGACGTAAAAATTTACGAAGTCAATACCACATTTTCGCATCCAATCCATAATCTTCTGCAGACACAAAACTATGCAAACACAAATTTTTTTTTTGATTTGGCATTTTGCTGTCCCACTTATTGAAGTCATCGCCGTTAGCTGGCGCTTTAAATGATGTATCAGCTGTTACGCCTGAAAAAGAATATGCCACTGTCTGAAGAATCAGATATTAACTGTGCTTTAAATCAGACATTTTGTTGCAGGAGTTATTGTTGCAAAGTAGTGTAGATTCTTTCATCCGACACTAAGGAGGATGTTGCAAATGCCGTAAAAGTGTCTTGTTAAAGTACCTGTTACCAAATTGATACTGCACAAAGCGTTTTTTTACATCTAATCAATCCAGACGTTTCATTCTAGAACCATCATAATAAGGGTATTGTGACTTACATCATGTTGTGCAGCTCTTGGGGGACCACAGATTGGGGGACCAATGATTGGAGGAGGTACACGGAAATAATCACTTGCTGTCAAAATCAGTCTTGGCTTCTATTTCTTGTCAGCAAAAGTCTATGCACTTAGCGGGAGGGAGTCTTCGATTGTGTTGTACCCATCCTGTACATTATCGAATTTTTATTCATTTTCGGCTTTATATCTTTGAACAAACCTCCATCTTTGAAAAGCTAGGTGCAATCTTAAACGTGTTTAGCATACAGATGAGCCCCCTTTGTCGAGTTTAATTTATGTTGGGGCAGGGGTCCCCCATCAGACACTGTGTAAAGTTCCCTTTGTCGAGTTTAATTTATGTTAGGGCAGGGGTCCCCATCAGACACTGTGTAAAGTTTTGTAAAAGAGAGAACTCTAGAGATTGAATTGTGTAACGCAACATATTTAACGTCTGAGTTTCAATGAATTTATCCGTGATCGTGTATGACAGGTAAATTTGAAGGGGTATCGACATTTTTTTCCATAAGCGTTTTTTACACAACGAATCATTCGGGAATGTGAGGGCATTGTCGTTGAATTCCGAACGCAGACACGAATTTGGTTCACAATGCGGCACTTAAGCGAGGCGTTGCGTCAAATTGAAATTCACTTTGCATCATCATAGAACTAAATACGTTCCGCGCCCACCCCTGGCGTTTTGTGAAAGTATAGCTCTCACTTGCCAAATGTGATACTTCCAGCATTAAATCAAGCATTAGTTAAAGTGACCATACTGAGCAAACTTAAAAAAGAAAGATAGAAAGGGTCTCTTTATCTCAATAGTTAAGCAGACAGAAAGTAAACATAGATGAGGGCGGGAAGAGTCGTAATTTTGCAGGTCCTGGTGGCACGTAAATCTTTTGCATTTCCATTGTTACCAGCCACCTGATTATACCATGTGATGCGGCCAATCAGATAATCTCTACCCATATACGATGGCACTGCATATCCTCTCACACTTTTAAACTTTCAAGTATCTTTGAATGGAATCGACAACATCCGATAATTATTGTCTGATGTTGAAGAAAGTTCTCCAATCTTCGAATCTTTATTTTAGTCGACCTAGACCTTTCCTAAGTAAATTTGACAGACACATCCTGGTTCCGTGGTGATATGGAAGTCTTAAAGTGTCTTTAGTATAAGGAGTACGCTTAATCATATGATCCCATTGTCTGGTATTGGTATCATGCATATGTGCGGCTTGGAGCTTTTGGGTTGTCTCGTAATTGACAGCACTACTACAGTAATGCCTTGTGTTCCACTTGTTCCAAAGCCTTCTTCCATGCAACCTCATAGCAGGAGAAGGCAATTGGCGATCGAGCCTATGTGCTATGCTTTTGAGTAAACTACCACCCTTTTCTGTAATTATATAAGGGGTTTGGGTTGAAAATTGTTTCGGAATAATAGTCATACGCTTACTACTGACATAGTAAACTAAAAGCCGGGCCCTTGTTATAGCCACATATAACACCCGAGCTTCCTGTGAGAGATTGGTTCCGGAGTAATTCCGGCCCGGTACAGTACTCTTCAATAACTGTAACCAAGAAGAACCTTGAAATTGTCTCTCATCGTCAACTATAAAGACAATGGGGAATTCTAAGCCCTTTGCCGAATGAACGGTGGAAATATTTATCTTATCTTCGGTAAAATGTACCTCCGGGTCGGTGTTTGCCCTTAGGAAGTAACTAATAAAGTTGGGGAACTTACTGCACCTTTCGGAACTCTTCATCCGTAGATATCCATTATAGTAATAATTGCTCAAAGCTTGGTAAAACAAATTAAGGTTTTCTTTGATAACTTCGTAGGGTTTTTCATTGTCGTCTTTGGTAACCAAAAATGTCAGATCTTCTAAAATATGACTCTTAAGCCCCAGGCATTCAATAATGTCATACAAGCTCAGTAATACCTGCAACGGAGTTTCATCAGTTTGAAATAAATGTCTGGTCTTCTCCACTTCCCTAAGAAATAACTTTAATTGGTCATGGCTCTTGTAGAGAGCTTTAAATTCGGGCATACTCTTAATATAATACTCCAATTCATTGGCTCCAACAGTCCCCTTTGATTCTTGCCATAAGTTATACTTCTTTATGAGTCTTGAGAGTCTTGAGTGAGGACGAGTGTGGCCATCCAATGTTAGTAAGATGCACATTAAACTAAAGTCTGATCCTGCTCCTTGGTTTATAACACTCAAGATATCAATTAGAATGTGTAGATTAGTTGTTACCCATGGTTGTTGAGAGGAGATCACATTGTACTTGAATCCTATCAGTTTCAAGTTGGAAGCAACTTCCTCGGTACCTTTATTGGTTCTGGTTAGTATGGCGAAGTCCCCTGGTCGTAATAACCCTCCCAGTTGACATATAAGTCGAGCAATTTCTTCACCTATAAAGTTAGTTGAAGCACTCGGGCAAAGTATAGGAGCCAATAAAGGGCGTTGGACGGATGTTATTTGAAGCTGTTCATTGTATTGCTGCTTAAACGGTTTCAAACACACAAAGGAAGCCATAGAAAGTATCTCCGGTGTTAATCGAAAGGACTCTGTAATTGTCTTTTCTGTAATTGTATAACTCGGGTGTAATATCATACTCAAGTTGAACAACGACCCCGGATCTGCTCCTAAAAACTCGTAAATGCATTGATTAGGATCACCTGCAACTGTCAAATGTTTAAATTTATCCAGCGACTCGTTTGCTGTAGGATATTGTACAACCTTATAGATAACTTGTAATAAAGAAGGCAGCATATCCTGGAACTCGTCTACTACCACTGCTTTATACCTACTAACCCTTTCAATTTTCTTACCGGTGTCCAATGATGCTTGGAGAAGACGGAGCCCCTCAGAAATGAAATCGTTGTATCTCATCATCCCGTTCTGGGAAAGGTAGTTCAACATATACCGCACAACATCCTCACCGACTCCATACTTCTCAGAAGCATCTTTGAGACTCAATTCTTCCATTCTAATGCTGTTGATCATCTCTTCGAGTTTCCGAGGACGTAGTTTCTTCCCCTTGAAAGCAGACGTAGGGCCCAGGAACAAATCTGCAAAGCTCTTCCAACTAATATCATCCACCACAACAGGCTGCGTGTAACATGAGAACACTTCTTTGCCATATTCCTCTAGTAGTTGCAAGCAGAAGGAATGAAAAGTATATATGCCGACTTTTGCGGCTGTTTCTGAACCAAGTGCTTCGCTTATTCTTCTTCTAAGTAAATTCACGGCTTTGTTGGTCATGGACAACACTAAGACCTGTTCCGGCTCTAAGAGTCCGCTTTCTATCCAATGGATCACTCGTCGAACAACAACAAATGTCTTTCCGCTTCCAGGTCCAGCGTGTATTGCCACAGCAGAATTTGCACCCATTGGGGCATGAATCACTGCTAACTGGGAGTCCGTAGGTTGCGGTTGTGCGTCGATACATGAGGGGTGGTCAGTTGCCATTTCGTGGGCAGTACAATGATACCGTTTGATCTTGAGTCACAAAGATTCGGAGTCATCCAGAAGAGCCTGTATGAGTCTTGATAACTCTTGAATCAAAAGGGAACTCATTTACTACTGCTACACTTTTATACTTCTGTGAAAATCTGGGGAACCAATTGTTTTGGTTTATCGCGTGATTATACACGTGACTGTGCACGTGATTGTGTTGATTTGGAATGATTTCACTGTTTCTAAACAACGAAATAGTCCTGACTTTCTATTTGCCTCCTTCCAACGCCACCAGTAGTAAGACTGAGTTTCTGTCCCGCTGTCTATCTTATTATTATGAACGGATTAGCACGACTCCAGCGTTCTTTTCCGCTAAAAGAAAACGTAACTGAAAGTACCACTGATAATAGTACGAATGAATACCAAAGGTACTTAGAAGGATATAAGACCCCTAAGCACGCACCATTGCCTCTTTTGGAACATGCTCGTGTTACTGCGTTTACCGGATGGGAAGACGAAGAACTTGGACAGACCATAGAACTGACCAATGAACTTGATAAGCTCTATGCCAAGTTCACTCAATATCACTTTGAGTTGGAGAACTACTGTGACCGTTTGAAGCCCCTTGAGAAGGGCATTGACGGGTTTCATGATCAATTGAGTCATTTAGCAGCAAACTTTGCGTTATTGCAACAAGAATCCACAAAATTACAAGTTGAATTGGAGAAACTGGTCAATATCACTAATAAATTGAATCCCATATTACTTGACTTAACGATCCCTCCGGAGGTGGTCAAGCTGGTGGCTAATGGACCAATAAATTCACTGTGGGTTGAGAATATTCATTTTGTTAATGAAAAGAGCAATCTCATAGCCAATGTGAAACAGAATAAATTACCGGATAAACACTTACAAGAAATGTATTTGAACTCGACACTGTTCCACCAATTGGAAGAACGGGTCGAGTTATTAGCATTCAAAATCGTCGAAAGAGTACGTGATTTTATGATCTTAAAGATCAAACAACTTCGATCGACTAAAGCATTATTTTCCTCCCAAAAGATTCAATCTGATTTGCTTGAAGTCAAAGAAGCATTTGCATTTCTTCAAGAAAGACATAGAGATTTAGCCAATAATCTTCAATTGGCGTACATTTACACTATGAGATGGTATTACCATACACGATTTGCCAAATACATTCATTCATTAGAGAAGTTACGGTTATACAACATTGATTCTAGTAATTTGCTTGGAACTCCTGCAGAAGACAGATACAGTATATTAAGTGGACCAAGTGGTGGTGGGTTCAGTTCGTGGTTTGGTACATCTTCTAGAACCATAGGTTTGTCGACTTCTCTGCAACTGCAGCAACTGCAGCTGCAGTTGCAGCTGCAATGGAATCAAGTGTCACCTACAGAATACTTGAATTCTATTCATAAAAGAGTAGAGATCATTCGACAAAATGAATCTTCATCTCAACTAGCAATGCCGTCTCAGATTGCAGAAACAAATTCAACACCTTATTGGATGGAATTTGTATTTAATCAATGGTCAGTAGCATTAGAGAGTAATATCATAGTGGAGTATTTATTTATGGTTGAGTTTTTCTATCAAGAAGAAGAGAAGTTTTCACCATTAGAAGATTTATATCCTGAAGGTACCACCAGTACCACCTCCATTAAAAGAGATTGGTCTTCATTAATGTTTGATAAAGTTTTCAATATTGGATTGGAATTTGTGGGCTATTTATTAACTCAAGTTCAAGCAAATATCTCTCAACACGGAAGAACTACAGTTTCTGGAAGAGTTGTTAACCAATTGCTGGTATTAAATGCCCCAGGAACGACCTGTGATGCTTATGCGTTGTTATTAATGATTCGTTTAGTACAGAAATCACAACTGGCATTGCATAATAAGTTTCATATTCCAACCATGGACGATTATCATCATCAAGTTTTAATGCTATTATGGCCCCATTTCACCAAGATTATAGACTTACACTGTGATTCCATGAAGAAGAGTATACTCCAATCAACTGATAACAAGTCGTTAGCTCCAATTGCATTAACGCAACAGTTTGCTCAGTTTCTTCTGGGAATATTAACCTTGTGCAATTCTGCTGGTGACCAAGATTATAAGGGAGAACCAATAGTGGTTTCCATTGGACGACTCCGGAATGATTTCGAAGGTGTTCTTACCAAAGTCAGCAATAATTCATTCAGAAGCTCCAAACAAGTGGAAAGAGAAATTTTCTTATACAACAACTACTTTTTAGTAGTGAATATTCTTCGTAATGAGTTTGGGTCGTCGTCGTCATCAACCTGTAACATTAGTGACATTGTCGAAGAGCAGATTAACCATTTTGAAAAGGTATGTCTTGCCTATAAGAGAACATGATCTATTGAAGCAGGCATATCTTTGAAAGCATTCCGCAAAGTTGCAAATACGTTGACACTCCTTCAAGAACTCTCATGTGAGTGTAACCAATTTCCTTTATAACATCAAGTCTTTTACCCTCATCAACGTTGGGGATCGTCTTTGCAACTTTGAAGCTCAGAGTGACGATGTCAATGGCGGAATAACCCTTTGACCATAACGAATCTAATAGGCTCAAGGCTTCGTTGATGTTGCTGTCTGCAATGCAACAACTCAAGATCTTTTGAATCACCAATGGATGTGGCTGATCAACAATCTTATACACATTGATGTCATTAACAAACCCAAACCCAGCAACAGTACTTTGTAGGTTGTTGATGGCTTGTCTCATGTCACCTTCGGCCGTGAATATCAAAGCACCCAATCCACTATCGTTATACTTGACGTCTTCAGCTTGACACACCTCCAAAAGACGTTTCAACACCTGAGCATCGCTCAACTTGGTGTATCTGAGAATAGCACATCTCAGCTGTAAGGGCTCAATGATCTTCAGCAGCTGGTTACAGGCAAATACAAATCTCGTGGTGTTGGAGTAAAGCTCCATCGTTCTTCTGAGTGCCTGTTGAGCTCCAGGAGTCATCGAATCGGCTTCATCCAATATCACTATCTTATGTCTTCCCGGAGGTAATTGGATTTTGGTCTGTGCAAACTGCTTGATCTTATTCCGAACAACATCAATGCCTCTATCGTCAGACGCATTAAGTTCTAACGTGGCACTCTTATACAATTGCGCTCCAAGCAATTCCAAGGCTAGGCAATGAACACTAGTGGTCTTTCCTATCCCCGGGAGTCCGGAGATAATCATATGAGGGATGTTACCATCTTTGGCAATGAGTTTAAGCCGTTCTACGGTGTCTTCGTTGCCTACCACGTCGTCAAGCTTGTGGGGACGGTACTTCTCGACCCATGGAAGTTCAAGTGAGAGGGCTAAGTTCTTAGACATGGTGCTTGGGCGGATAGGGGACACGTGTGGGGGAGTGGAGGATTAGTATGGAAGAAAGAGAGACTTTGATTTTGGTGTCTAACGCGTTATAGTTAGAACTTTTTTTTCTCAAGTCAAAAAGTCTTTAAAATTTTTGTGGATATAAGGCGGATTTAAGGCGGGTAAAATATAGTATATATTTACATATTATATAGCATCGTACATTAATACTCATTTTTTTCACGCAGCATTGTCAATCTTCTGCTTCTTCTGTTCTTTGTTCTGTTCAGGTTCCTGCGATAGTCTCTTGGCTTGCTTCTTACTGACAATCGGAGCTGTAGTTGATAAAAACCTTACTGAAGGGTCGTAAAACGGTATGGACTTACTCTCACTAAAGATCCCCATTAACCAAGGCACTTCAACATTACCAATTCCATTATTGATCATTGTGAATAGAGATTGAGCTGCGTCAGTGTCATGTTCTAGACCTACTATACCCAAATGGTCCATTCCTGTGGCCTTTGATAACCGAGCCATGGCTCCTTTGGGAAGTTGGATTAACTTGACTCTTTCTTCAAGCGAACGAGAAGAAGTGAATGCTAACACGGGGAAGTGATTGAGTAATATTGCAGGAGTGATGTCATATTTTGCGACAAAAACGTATTTTACGAATCTTGAACTCTTTTCTACTTTAGCCTTGGTGCCAAACACTCGTTTCCGGGTAATCGATGCTTGATTTTCGAGTGTCTTCACTGTGGAATTAAATCCAAGTGTTACATGAGATTCAACCTGAGGTTTTTCCGGTGGAACAAACGAATTATTCGTGGCATTGTCTTTTAAAATTTGTTTGTGTGATCCTATTGGTGCCAAAAGTTGTTCCAATAGTACTATGATATCTTCCCCAGTCTTAGGATCGACAAAGGGCCATGTAGTGGATTGGGTGTAGGGGTTATCAAGAATAGGTTTAAAGACTTGACGAGTTTTCTTCTCCGATTCTCGAAGCGAATGTGCAACCTTTTTAGCCATTAAACTTTCTATATGTATATGCGTATTTATGCGTTATGTATGCATATGTAAATGTATGTGTCAATTAATATGTAAGTGAAGAATACTTGGTGATAATTGGGATGAGTAGGTCGTGCGATGACCCGATTTGAAGTATAGACATATTGAAATCTACTAGCTAATAGTCGTAAGTGTATTCATTTTTTATCGTTTATAAAAGGTTTTTATACATATAAATACAAAGACAAGCATTGGGCAAAGATCAAAAAATACCTTGCCATTACTTGAAGTGTAGATTGTAGAGGACAGTATTCTCCGTACAACAGAGAAACCTCATTATTAGTCATCTCTCTTGGATTTATCCTTATTATTGCTGGATGGGGAGTATGATGGAGATGTGGGGGAATACGATGGTGAAGTTGGGGAGTATGATGGAGACGTGGGGGAGTATGTGGGTGAAGTGGGGGAGTAGGAAGGTGAAGTAGGTGAATAGGATGGTGATGTTGGCGAATAAGATGGTGATGTTGGTGAGTAAGATGGTGATGTTGGTGAATAAGATGGTGATGTTGGTGAGTAGGAAGGTGACGTTGGTGAGTAGGAAGGCGAAGTAGGTGAGTATGATGGTGATGTTGGGGAATAAGATGGTGATGTTGGTGAGTATGAAGGAGATGTTGGTGAGTAGGATGGTGATGTTGGTGAGTAGGATGGTGATGTTGGTGAGTAGGATGGTGATGTTGGTGAGTAGGATGGTGATGTTGGTGAATATGATGGGGACGTTGGTGAGTAGGATGGTGATGTTGGTGAGTAGGATGGTGATGTTGGTGAATATGATGGGGACGTTGGGGAATAAGTTGGAGATGTTGGTGAGTAAGAAGGTGAAGTAGGTGAGTAAGTTGGAGATGTTGGCGAATAGGTAGGAGATGTGGCACCACCAAACGAAGGTGAAGAAGCACCATATGAGAATGGAGATGTGGCAGATGGAGAAGCAGGTTGACCACCATAAGAAGTAAGAGCACCAGAGCCATCTACTGTTGGTGCAGTGTGGATAGGAGAGAATCCCGCACCTTCCACATATTGTATATTATCATCTTCCATTTCGTACTCTCTGTATGGAGTAGCACCACCATCATTCTCAGTATTGAAATCAAGAGCTGCATTAGTGGGAGCATCTTGTAACATATTATCATCAAGCATAACATCAAATGCACCAGTACCCAAGGGAGCCATTTGACCCAAAATAACATTCTCCGAAATCCCATGACAATCATCTAATTCAGCTGCAGCACCAGCTTCCAACAAGATTTCAACAGTTTCTTCGAAGGAACAACGCATTAAAGCTCCAGTGTCGGCTCTGTTGATACCGTGACGAGTGATAGCCATCAAATGACCACGAGAGGTCATTGCATCCACAAGCAACGCCATATGTCTATAATTGACATAAGAACCATCAAATGCAATAACGTTCAAAATTTCTTTAAACAAAGCAGTTCTGGTAGCCTCAATACCCAACACTGAAAGAATTTCAATGAAATTATTGGAGTAAGTACGCTTTGAATCGACACCTGGAACTGCCATAACATCCGCCAAGTTAACACCATCAGTTTCCAACACCCATTCTTGATCTTGTTTGAATTCACCAGTTACATCAGGTCTACTGACCTTGTGTTGCATCATAAAGACTCTTATAATACCAGGAATACCTCTCAAGGAAATAGACTCAAGCATATGAGCTTCAAGACGTTTCAATATTTGATCTTCCTCAGAGTCTGCATCCTCATCCATGGCCTTGGGGTCACGAACAACTCTACAACGAATAATCAACTTATCAGCAGTATCATCGGACCAAATGACAAACAAATCTTCACCAAAGTTTTGTAAAATCTTGTTGGCAACTTGGGACATGGTTAATTGTTTATCTAACATCTTAGCACGATCCAATTCAAGACGCAATAACCAAGGAGATTGGTTTTGTAATGATTCTTCAACCTTTTGATCGGGAATAGAGAAATACGCTTCAACTGTATCATAATCCTCTTCAATAACAGTACTTCTTGGATCTGGATCGTAGTAAATTTCTGATGAAGATGTGACATTCTTTAAAGTTGTGTGCTCAATGGCAGATTGAATAACCTTGGCCTTTTCAATGTCTGCTGCAATCTCTGATTCCAAATAGACTGTCATAGCAGGAGTCTTGATGTTCTTAGCAACGTTAAGAATTTCCTTAAGACGAGGAACACCTAATGTCACATTCTTTGATGACACACCCGCATAATGGAATGTGTTTAAAGTCATTTGAGTAGCTGGTTCACCAATAGATTGAGCTGCAACGATACCCACCATCTCACCAGGGTGAACAACGGATTTTTGGAATTGGGCTTCAATTTCTCCCATAACCCATTCAAAAGACGTTCTGTTTAACTTAAATTCTTCGATAACACGACGAGATGCCAATCTTGAACGTAACAAACTTTGGAAAAGTAGCGTAGCATTGGCTTGAGCCTCTTTGATCAACGGTGTATCCCCACGAATAACAAGCAATTTGGTACATAAATCCTTGACACCATTAACAATTTCGTCCAATCTCAAATCAGAAGCCTTCATACGACCACTGTGGAAAATTTGTTGGGAGTTTTGAATAATACGACGAATATTAACAGGTAACGGCCAGTTGTAATCACCGTTAGGGAAACAAACATCTCTCAAAAACTTACGATCCTCCAACAATTGAGAATATTCTTCATCCAAAACCTCTTGTAATTCAACATCACCTCTTATTTCCTTACCAGATTCCAATAAGGATTCATTAATAGAATTCTCAGAATCCAAAAGATCAATACGGTACCGACGTTCAAAAGCACGGTCAGAACCTGGAATAGTATCAATGGATTGCTTTTCAACTTGAGTACCATCCATACCATCTTCACCATAGACGAATTGAATGATATCACCTAAAGAGTTTCTGGTTGTACCATCATAATGGACCATAATATCCTCCAAAGCTTTAATGATACGACGTTGAATATAACCTGTTTCTGCCGTTTTAACTGCAGTATCAATAAGACCTTCTCTACCAGCCATAGCGTGGAAGAAGAATTCTTGGGGTGTTAAACCTCTTAAATAGGAGTTTTCCACGAAACCCTTGGACTCAGGTGAATAATCATCCTTTGTGAAATGTGGTAAAGTACGGTCACCAAACCCAAAAGGAATTCTCTTACCTTCAACAATTTGTTGACCCACACAAGCAGACATTTGGGAAATATTAATGAAAGATCCCTTGGAACCAGATGTCACCATTTGCTTCACGTTATTCAAATCCTTTAAGTTCATTTCTGCAGAACGACCAGCTGTATCTCTGGCTTGATTCAAAACTCTGGAAACATTATGTTCAAAAGATTCTCTCAATGTCATACCAGGTTCTGGTTCTAACTTATTCAGTTGAGCATCCAAGATAATTTCTTGGACCTTGTCCTTTGCTTCTCTAATAGTGGAGGTAATTGTCTTCATTGTTTCGGCATCAGCAATGGTGTCACCAATACCAATAGAGAACCCATTGTGTAACAACCAAAAGTTGACAACTTTTTGAATGGCACTAAACATTTGGGCACAAACTTGAGGACCCTTTTCTCTGAAAACAGTATGAATCAACCCACCACCAGTTGCACCCACTGTTTTCTTATCAACAACACCAAACATGATTTCACCATCTACAATAAGCATCCCCTTATCCTTCGGACTTGATAAATCTCTTCCGTCATCAAATCTTTGCAAATGAATACCCTTTGGAATGGCCATAGATAATAATTGCTTTCCGGTCCACAATTGCTTAGGCTTCATGACCGCGGGAGGGGGGATAACACCATCCCAATTAGGAATCCAATAAAGCATGTTCATAACTTGATCATATTCAATAAAGATGTCTCTTAATGTCATTTTCCTAATACCACACAAAGTATCTTGCACAATACCCATAACAGGCTTATTAGACTGTGGAGAAATAATTTGTAATGGAACAGCACAAATCTGGGACAATTCAGATCTGGTTTCGGGGGATTGTGGAACGTGCAAGTTCATTTCATCACCATCGAAATCGGCATTATACGGAGATGTGACAGAAAGATTCAATCTAAATGTGGAATACGGCATGACTTTGACTCTATGAGCCATCATAGACATTTTATGTAATGAAGGTTGACGATTGAATAAAACCGGGTCATCATCCATAAGATGACGTTCGACTCTCCAACCATATTGCAAAGCAATGTCACCTGCTCTTTTATTATATCTCAAATCAATACGATCACCAGTATCTCTGATGACATATTTGGCACCGGGATGTTCATTAGGACCATTACGAACGTATTCTGTCAATCTATGAATATTGTAAGGAGTTACAATTTCTGGATACGATAATGTTCTGGCAATAGAAATAGGAACACCAACTTGATCTAAATCCAAATTTGGATCACCGGAAATGACAGTACGAGCAGAGAAATCCACACGCTTACCCATCAAATTCCCTCTAATTCTTCCATCTTTACCCTTCAATCTGGCTCTAATAGACTTGATGGGACGACCAGTCTTTTGAAGGGCTTGTGGTTGACCAGCAATATCATTATCCATATAAGTTGCAACATGGAATTGCAACAAAGCTTCAAACTCACTGATAACATGTTGAGGAGAACCATCCATTTCTAATCTTTGAACATTTATATTTGCCTTCAAGACATCGGCCAATTTGAAAGTCAAATCATCCTCTCCTCTAGCCGTATCATTGAAAGCAATGGAAGGTCTAACTGGAGGTGGAGGCACAGGTAAAACGGTGATTAACATCCATTCAGGTCTTGCGTAATCTTCATTGAACCCTAATCTAAGACAATCAACAGAACTAATGTGTTTAAAAACGCTCAAGATTTCAGAAGGTGTTAAAAGACGACGTTCAGGTTGTTCATTTTCTTCAAACGTTTTATTTTGTTTCCAAGTCCCCCATAATTTCAATCCATCTCTTCTAACAGTTGGTTGAGTATGACCACACCCACCTCTTGTAGGTTTATTATCCGAGGTGTTACTATTATCTTCATCTATAACATCAGCTTCACAAATCATTTTGGTTTTACACAAGTTCCACACAGCGTTGAATCTCTTTTTAGGATCTCTGATTCTAATGGCTTGAGCCATGGCTGGATTGGTTTCATCTAAAAGTAACTTACCACAATGCATACAAACACATTCACAGACTTTTTTAATCTTAGCAATGAACCCAATATGGAAAACCGGTTTAGCCAATTCAATATGACCAAAATGTCCAGGACATTCAGCCATGTCTTCACTACAAGTTTGACATTTGAAATTTCTATCGATAGAACCTAATCGAGGATCGTTCAACCCTCCGTCTCTGGGTTTCTTGGTAGTTTGGTCCATGGTTTCGGGATACTCAATTTTGGCCACTGAGATCGCCCGAACTTCTTCGGGTGACAACAAACCAAATTGGACCTCCTTAACAGACCGGAGTGGGGCACTGGAATAAGGGAACTGACGACTCATAGAACAAAAATATTAATAATAACAATAACAGTAATAATAATAGTCTTTATCAGTTAATCCCAATTTCACAACAAAATAACCGTAAATTAAACAAGCACTGGATACGGGTCAATGGAACACGAGTTTGGCGTTGAATTCAATACTTTTCACAGTGGCAATCAAATCAATGAGTGCTAACAACAAAATCTTTTTAATGACTCTTCCACAAACAGTTTAGTGTTCAATCTATCACACAATCGATCTCCTCGGCTTATTGATCTAACCTTCCTTGGCCTGAGAGTTGCGTCCGTGATCTCTATGCTGCCGATAGCTACTGATGCTACTGGTGCCTGGGGTAGTAGTTCTTTATGTTGACGTTGAAAGTGGCGAGCGAAAAATTTTAGAAGGTGTAGGTTGTCATGGTATCTAATTTACGCTGAGCGCGCGTACATTTTGTCACGCATTGTTGAATATAACCAGTATATAATCGTTGAGATAATAGATACGTAATGCAACCAATGCAACTAATGCAACTAATTCAAGTATAATATTGTGTGTGGTATATCCTGAACGGTGACAAGGTTCTGCGTTTATCCGAATATAAGAATTTTCTATCTGTAGATAGACGTAACTCTAACCCACATATATGCAATGACTGTGTATCTGCATCACTTGCAGGTAGAATTGTAAAAATAACTAAAATGTTTGCAACCAAATTATACGATGTAACTCATCCTATTATGAGTGAATCTTACTAACTCTCAAATATTTTATATACCCTTTTATGAGTTTTGCATTTATATATGTACATCTAATTATATATTATGGTCTCACAGGATCAAAGTAAGCATGAGCCATAGCTTCCTTAGCTGTTAGACGTTCCTGGTGATCATATCGCAACAATTTATCAATTAAATCAAGAAACTCTTCAGACACAAGATGTTTGTTGGCATCGTTCACAAACCGTTTCCACGGTCTTCTGTTATAGTATCCCAAATCATCATATTCAGATGAAAGAGTCAAATTATACTTCTTCAAATAAGTCTGCAAGTCATCGGAGCCTAGAATACGGACAATCTGTACCAATTGATCAGTATTAGACTTACCATGGAAAAATGGTTCCTTCTTAAAAACCATAGAAGCCAACATACATCCAAGAGACCATAAATCAAGCAGGTAATCATATAATCTAAAATCAACCAATAATTCTGGACCCTTGAAATACCTGGAAGCCACTCTTACATTATATTCTGTTCCAGGATGATAATATTCAGCCAACCCCCAATCAATAAGTCTAAGACTCTTTTTACTATGGTCTATCATAACGTTATGAGGCTTCACATCACGATGCATGATCCCCATAGAATGGGAGTAATCTAGTGCTTTCAACAACTCATACATATAGAATCGGATGTCAGTATCGGTGAACATTGGATACAATTGTCTGAAGTCCAAATTGTTTACATGCTCAAAAATGAACCCAGGAGTCTTCAGTTGGGGTTCTCTAACAATATCAATCAAACCAATAATATTAGGTCCACCAACTAAGTTCCTAATAATGGATATTTCTCTCTTGATTTTCTTCCGTTTCACGGGTTTTAATACTTTAATCACACAGTTAGCACCTTTAGTTAAATCTATACCTAAAAACACTTCGGAATATTTTCCCCGACCAATCTTTTTAATGATTTCGTAATTTTCTTGGGAATTCCATTTAATATTTAAGTTCTCATAGTCCCAATATTCAACTGGTTTGGATGCTAACACATCAGCATAAACTTTAGAAACATATGAAGTTCTAGCCATGGTGTTGGTATTGGTGTTGGTGTTGGGGGCTTTCTTCGACAGGTGTGGTTCACTACTCAAGGGAGTATAAAAGAGGGACAATAACACACTGGAGATGATACCAAGGGAAACTAAGAACGCTATACTTCTCCACAACTGGACACAGCGATTGGTGATTGATGTCAGGGTGTCTTTTTCACTTTGTACTATGGCTAATATGATACGTAGAAAAACGCGAAAAAAAAAACCACCAGTATGATCCCCCTAACAGCTATTATACGATGATCTTCTATTTTGACTTATTTAAACCTATAGGGAAGGGTTCAGTCAACTAGTTTTATGAGTCTGTTGATTTTGATTGAAGTTTTGGTTTAAACTTTTGCCTTTGAAAAAAAAAAAATTTGTCCTGTTGATTTGATATATGCAGGTTCGTCACGCCCAAGGATCGAACTAGGTGCAGCACACTACATCAAGGTTTATATATGTAAATAATCCAATGTTAGAACTTAAGAGATCCGAGAGACTTGCCGAGGCTCTTCATTGGATCATTGGCATTGGCAGCAGCTTCTTTTTTCTTTCTTCTGGCAGCAGCAGTCTTACTCTTTGAAACAGAATCTGCAGACTCTTGCATTCTCTTTAACTCTTCATTCTTCTTGACCAACTTTCTTCCTCCACGCTCCAACTCGTAGTTGTCAAGGAAGTCATCGACTAAACCTTCAAAGTCCGATCTTTCATTCTGCATATCAAATGGTTGGTATTCTTTGTTCTCTTCTATAATGTCATCTTTATTCATTCTTCTTACCAATTGCTCATAGCGATCGTCTAGAAGTGCTAATCCCTCTGTACGGTATGTGGCTGAGGAAGACATAGAGAACGCAGAGGTATCTGTCATTGCTCCCTTCTTCTTTCTTAACTTGGTCTTACTGACTCGCTTATGGGCAATAGAAGGTAGACTACCCAATACATCGTCGCCTTCTTCTTGTTCTTCTTGACCTTCACTATCGTCGTCAAACTCATTATCAGAATCCCATTCGTTGTCCTGGTTCTTAGTCTTCTGATGGAATATATTGAAACTCTTCTCCCAATTAGTGTTGACCTTAGCATTGGTTACAATATCTTCGGGTGCCTCGCCTTCATTATAAGGGTTCTCTGCCTCTTCATATTTGTCTGAATCGTACTTTTCATCGTATTCTTCCTGGTAATTATCCATGTCCCATTCATCGTACTCGTCATCATAGTATTGATCGGCATCAGAACCATAATAAAAGTCATCTTCATCCTCAACTTCACCAGATTGCAACAAGTTGTTGAAAAGATCATCATCATCAACTGCCTCAGCTTCTTCTAAATACTCTTCATCTTCAAGAGCCTCCAAGACTTCTCTCAATCTTGGATCCATGTCAGGGTTCAAACCTTGCAACTCCTTCGGTATGTTTTCATATGGATTCTGAGATACTTTACGCTTCTCCTTGGAGGGCAATTGATCTCCAAATAACTTTTCAATGTCAAGTTCCTTCTTATTATTCTTCTTCTCCTTGTCATCTTTAGCAGCTATGAAGACCCCATCGGAGTTTCCAATGGGCTTCAAATGTTGCATATAATCATATTTGGAGTCATCGTAGTAAATCCCATATTTAGCAGCCTCCCCTTCGTTTTCTCGTATATCAGCATCTCCAAGTTGCTTGGAAACGTCCTCAGCAGTGTATGCCATGGTCTTTAAGGGTCCATCTGGTAAATAGGGTTTTTTCTTCAGTGGTACCTCCACAAGCACATGGGACGAGGCTTCGTCGTCAAAGAACTTGGCGTCATCATGAGCTCTGTGAACCACAGAAAATGTTTTGGCCGTTTTCTTATCAAACTTTCTTCTGGCCATAATTTTATGAGTGTTTGAGATAGTGAGCTAGAGCGGAGAGATTAATGCTAGCCATAGATAGTTTTAATGAGATGAGATGAGATTAGTTTGGTGTTAGGGTTTGTTGTGGTAGCGCGGATGTTTTTTCAGTACCGTAGGTCATGACACTGACCAACTTGTCAATAACTGTTATCTATGAGTTAGTTGAAAATTCAAGAATACTTCGGTTCAACAGAGTTCAGCTACATTGACTATCACAAGATAAGTTATATTGCATCTGATAAGTAATAGTGAATTACAATGAAGAAACTGAATAGCTTACTAGATTTTGCAGTTTACTATTCCCTGACTTTTTACACTACCTAAGTACTGAACAAGTAGTACTGAGTAAGTGTTTTTGTCCTTACTATGGCCATTTCCGGAGTTCAAAGTATACCATTCCAGTCTTCCTAATGCAGCACCCTCATTTTAAATCCTCTTCGTCAGTTCACGCGATTGTCTATTCAATTCCGTAATTATTGGGTCAGATGACTTTTGCGGAGGCATCGTACATTCCTTGGCTTAAACGAATCCCATAACTCTATATATGTATCTTTGGTTCTTGCAATTCATTCTTGTCGCTCCTTTGATTCCATTTGGTGCATTTGAAAGTACACATGACACATCTTGAAATATTTTAAAACTTCTGAATAAGCATGACATGATAATGATGATGCAAAGACCATAAAATATACCATTTAACTTTTTTACCCCTGGTTCAACATTGCCAGAGGTGTTTTCTCAATATATTAAGTTTTAACTTGGTCTTGTTAATCCAAAACACCCAAGTGTTATATTCGAGTTAATATTCGTCTTGTTCTCTTAACACTATCAGTCTGGCGACGCATCTTCTTTGATATTATTGCTAAGAATGCAATTCCCCTTGTCATTGCAATGTCATATGCACATGCGTTGAATTGGTAAATTACTATGGATAAAACTATGATCATCACAAAACACGCTGCAGGGTACAATTAGACAATTTGCTTTTAAATAGTCAACTATAGCCCTAAAATTACTGAGAATAAAGTCAAAATGTATTAATACGCCTCACTATTTTGTCATGAACCCATTTTGGGGGCCCTTGACCAAACTACTGGTTGCGAAATTAATGTCACGGGTTACTGGCTACGAATTTAAAGCAATATAATTCCACTTTTGATAAATGAATTTTATATTCTAGAGAGATAGAGTTACATATTTTCATCTTTTTCTTGCTTAGGGATGTCCCATTATGCCCCTACACTTGTGAAAGCTGCGAACCCCTTATCTGATAGTACTACACCTCCAATTCCCTACTAAAAGGGTATTATATTGGTTCTAGAAGTTGATTAGGGAATCATTGAACGGGGCTCTTGTTCAAAGATATGAAACAATATTTGTGAGGGTGTTGTCAATGGTGCTATTATAAGAAACGGCTGGTGACTTCAAAGTATATTCTATTCATTTCTATCTTCGAAACTTGCTTCAAATCAGTAAAACCCTAAGCTGTAAACTTGTACAGCTAAAATCTCTTATTTTTAATTAACTGCTCGATAGTGTCGATAACAGTCTTTTCTGGGCTAATAAATGGTCCCAATAAAGCCTGGGTGCGCTGACTATTAAAAAGGTTAATAGGTGCAGGTTTGGCAGGGTCGTTAGCCTTTAACGTTGTCTTCTCGGGGAAGTTGTCGTTCAAAATCTTTAAGATAGTGTCAGCGTTAACCACACCATTGGATAGCGAAAGTCTCTTCCCATCAGCTTGTTCGTTTTCGGCTGCAAATATATGTGCTTTGACCACGTCCCTTATATCGATGACGTATGGAAATGCCAATGCAGCTTCCATTTCTTCTTTGGTCTTGGATTTGATAGCACTCTCAAATACGGAAGCAGAGGAAGTCAGGTGGAATATGCTTCCTTCATAAGCTTGGGGTCCAAAAACAAGTGATGGTAATATGGTTGTGATAGTAAACGACGGTTTCTGTTCGTTGCGGAACTTCCATACTTCTTTCTCAGCAAACTTCTTTGAGCCAGCGTAGCCTGTGAACCCATTAACTTTGGATTCTTCGTAGGTAATATCAGACCACGAATCTTCATCAGCAATAGCATCAGCTCCATAGTTAAGTTGAGCGATACTAGATGAAGTGTAGACAAAGTGTTTGAGCTGAGGTGCCTTATCCGTTATTGATTTCAAGATATTCTTAGTACCTTCAATGGCTGGAATAAGCATCTTTGATTCAATGTCATCTTTGAACTTGGTTACGGGAGACGCAATGTGAAAAATGGTTTCAATCTGATGGTTTTCCTCCAAAACTTTATCGAAGGCACCCTTTTGTTCTAAGGTTGGGACGACTACGTATGAGAAGCTGGTATCATCAACCAATGCACTCAATTGTTTGCCCTTTTCAGTCGAACGTACTTGTCCAATAACCTTATAACCATCCTGAAGCAATTGGTAGGTCAAAGCCTGACCGATGAAACCGTTGGCCCCAGTAACCAAAGCAGTAGATTCGACCATTATCTCTTGTATTGCTTTAATTGATAATTGCAACAGCTACAACACTTCGCTTTATATAGTCATATTTCCAGCCACATGTTGTGTTAGCACTTGAATTGTTTCTGCACGTAACCTTTTGCACCCAACCGTATTTGGTAGCATATCCGACTACATTTGTCATCGGGTCACGCTTAATCCGAAAGTGAGGTTGTTTCGTTGGTCAGAATCGTTAGATTTCCACGGATCGCAAAGGCGTACTTCTTGGCAAATATTATATAGTAACGTGATCTTGGACGACTTTCAGTTGGTTAGACCAAACGTTCCTTTTTCGTATATCCTTTATAGTGTTAAAGACCAACCAAATACAGTATCAAGTATTGTCATACTTCATTATGGTGGACTCCTTTGACGAAACCTGATATTCCATTTTTTGGTGAGCCACTCCCACGTAGATTCGATGATTTAATCAATAGATTTAATATATTATCTTTACGTAGGATAAAGGACATTGACAATTATATATTAGAAAAATATATTCTTGATTCGAAGTTTAGGAAATTTGAGGATTATTCTAATAATGATATTTTTGAAAATGTAGATGCAGCTGTTAATTCTCTTGATAATTCTGTAAATATTGATATATGTTTGTCTAAATTTGTTTCTATAAATCCTGAGGCTTCTTTTTCTAACGAGAAAAAGTATAAACCATTTAAAGTTTATGCTTGTTCCCTATAATATAGAAAATATTAAACAGTATAGTTTTTCAGTGATGGAACATAGCTATACTGAAATATATTGAAATATAACGCGTTATATGTTGACTTAAGATTTAGCAAGTATAATTTTAGAAGTTTTTATTGAATACAATATTTCACTTGTGATTAAGGATTCCACTGCTAATGCGGTTCTAATGTTATTAGAAAACACATTAAAAGATAAATCTATCTTTCAATGTATATATTTGGAAAGAAATTTTACTATAAAACTCCTAAATTTATTTAATCTAATTTAGAGGAATTTAGTTAAATAGAAATACAGTTTGAGACATATCAGTTTAAGCGTTAGACGAATTAATTATTTTTGAGTACCGGGGATCATTACTTAGTTCATATCAATATGTGGATCAAATTAAACTAACAAATATAATATTACTCCATTTTAGAGAATCAACTAAAATCGAATAAAAAAAAAGAAAGTGTATAAGTATACTATTCATTTTGTTGTCTTAGAGGTAAATATTCATTTAAATTATACCTCTTTCTAAATGAATGCAAAATAAATATAAAATAAAACATTTAATAAAATTGTAATAATTGGATTATATATAAATAAACGTTCAACTTACAGAAAACTGAGCTAAACATCAAACACAAGAATAAATCATGTATTTAAAATTATAAATTAAAATATATAAACATAATTTAGATTTCTTTATAAAAATAATATAGATAAAAATATAAAAAAAGTGGAAAAAATTAAATACTTCCTAGTAGGAAATACCTTAGGAGAAAAACAGTGCTACAAACCTTGTGGACTTTTTATATATAGTCAGAAGCAGATTAGATTTATGATATGAATAAAATATACCACGAACCCTTAAGACCTTATTTTGATTATAGAACATTAGATATAGATAATGAAAAAAATGTATAGTTGAAGAGTATGGTAGTATATATGTTGATAGTTATATACTTAGTTTAATTTTAGAGAATGAACATATTAGTAATTATAATTACGATTATTCATTTCATGATATTTTAAACAATTCTGATTTCGCAATGTATCTTAATTCAAAAGGCAAACATAATGAATTATGTTTTTATAGATTTCTTATTGCAGATTTTGAAAAAGCCAGTAAATTGGTCAATGAAAACACAATTTTTACATTTTTTAAAATTTTATTACTACACCCATATGTTATGATTATAAACGTGAATTTTTTTATGAGGATTTTGAATTATCAAATTTATTAAATTATAAACAAATAATGTTGATGTATTTTTACATTACTTTTTATAAAAAGTATACGGCTTGTAGAATTGATACTAAATTTATTGAACAATTTGATTTTATTCATTATAATATTTTACGTATTGTTAGATTTTATGAATACAAGCAAAATAATTCTTTTTTCAACAAATATTTAAAAACTCGTAAAATTGTTAAATTATTCGATATACTAACCAAAAATATATGTACGAGGAAATAAACGAGATCGAGGATATTTCAGAATATGAATGTAAATGTTTAATATATAATTTTAATATTTGCAACTAGAAGGTGGAATTCTTTCTATATTATTTAAATAATATGTGTTTTTCATAAATTTTAAATGAGCTACCACACTTTTAAAATTTAGTTTTTGTTAAATCTGTTTTGCCAAATACTATTATTTCGTTTAATTTATCTATACTTGATTCAATAGAAAACTTTTCGGTAATCCTTAATATTTTAAACTATTATTAGAATCTTGATCATTTAAATTAACAATTGTTTGCTATCAATTTTTAAAGTATCCAGCGCACCTTTAAACCTAAATAATCTACAACTGCTCTTGGAATTCTTACTTTATTCATGAAATCTTTAATAGTTTGTAATTCATATAGGTTCATTGTTTTAAGTTTAATATAAATTACATTGAATTTGTCTGCATAACTCTTCTTAGCCGGCTTTAGTATAGTTTTACCTCCTTCGATATTTTTCTTATTCAAGAAATCTACATTTCTATTATTTAATTCAACTATATTATATTTCTTTTTCAACTTATCAATTTTATTACCATTTACATTATAGTATAAAAACTTTTTATGGAAATATTCAAGATTCATATTTCTATTTTTTTTAAATCAGAAAATATACCATCGTATATATCAGGACTTATTTTATTTAATGATTCTAATTTTTTGTATTCAGTTGTAAAATCTAACTTAATTCCATCTTTTAAAAGTACAAAATTTTCTATTTTGAGATTATCGCTACAATCAGATAATTATCTATTTTTCCTTCAGGATTCCCTCTTTCCAATAATAAAAAATAGAATGTAAACCTATAGGATCGGCAAATACATTAGCTAATACTTGATTCAATAGATTTAGCAATACTATTGTTATTTTCATTATATATGATAGAATAGTTGCATATTTTCATTTGATCAGTTGATTCTGGTTTATATTTTTTATATAATTCTTTATCTTTTTAAAATGGGCCCAACACTTCCATCACAACAAGCAGTTGTTTTAAATTTATCACCACTTTTACGTATTTCTTTGCATTGTTTTACAGGAGCACAATTAAAAAGCTGTTGTTTCTTCTTTTCATTTAATTTGTTTTTAATTTCTTGAAAAGTATAATCATCAATTAAATTTTCTATTTTATTCAATAGATCATTATAAGCGCATTCTCGTACCGCTTTTACGCGGTAAGTAATTAAGTCATTGTTGTTGGCCGAATGTGATTTAATTATTTGGTTTGTTACGGGTACATAGATAGCTCCAGTGGCTGATGTAGTTGATGAGGTTCCAGCATATATTTCTGAGTTCTACTAGGATCGTATATCACACTGTGACTTTGATGTTTCACTATTGTGATGATGCTGCCAACTATATTTGCAGCAAACTCCAAAGGAACTTCATCGTAATGATCCTTAGCTGGGAAAGTGCATCTGATTGGGAATTTAAAATAGGAGGAATATGAAGAGATGAACAATATCACTAAGATCACAATGCCCACAAGTTTTGAAGTTAGCTTTAAATTGTATAAAGATAACCATAGATTACGTGCATGACTCAGTACTTTCTTCCAACATTAATTATTGCCCTAAATCTTCGCGATACCTGATAACATTGATTTATACTTACAATCTATGTGAAATCTGAATATAATATTGCATTTATTTGAGCTTATAATATTAAGTATTCAACACGCAATATCTACAATTGTCATATACTAACTTCCTTAAATATCGTTTTTAACGAGAATCCATTCGTCCAATTCTTTGCCTTCCTGTCTCTCGTTATCGTTCGTCTTTTTATTTATTTCTTCCCGTCTGGCTGCCTTTGCAGTAAGTAGTTCCTTCTGCTTTACTATCAAAGGATGATTGTCATCCAATTTAACACCAGTTTTTTTGAACTCGCCCTGGATCTTCTTGTTTACTTCCTTTATTTGTTTATTGAGATCCAGTATTACGCTGTCATATGGTTGACTTGGAAGTGTCTCCTTCTTCTTAGGCGATTTCTTCTTGTTCTTGCCTACGCCCCAGTAATAACCGGGATACCCTCTTTCGAGCTTAGAAAAGCATTTTAATTTCCCGTGATGTGACAAGAATTTCATTTGCGAACAGATAAGATCAATACGCCATTTGTCGGAGTCGATGTAAGTCATTTTCCATATATTATAATACTATTGGAAGTAGCACTCTTTATACTTCAGTCCCAATTTTAGATATAACCCTCTGTTTCTTGTTTGCTTTAGGACTGTATGTAGTTACTATCACCCCCTGAGATATTAACGGTCACGTGATTAGAACCAACTCAATGGCTTTCATTCGATGAATACCTAGTGGCAGCCCATGACATGCTATTCAAGGTTCTTTATACGTGTATGGGTTTTAGTCAATAGAATAATGTATATTTTTATTCAAATTCTCTACTCAGCCAACGGACTCGCACTCTCACAACTAGCTCATTATGATATTATCAAACCTGTATATAATAATTTCTTATCGTACTGCATATAGTTTACTATTCCTGTATTTATCTAAGTAGTTTAGCGATTCCATCTTAACGCTATCTGTTTACAAATTACACATGACCAATCCCTATCACCATGATGCTCCTCAATGATCATGTCTACGGAGAGATTCAATGATGACACTGTCCCAGTTTGTGGTAAGTACCATCGCCAACTGAGAAAGTGAAAGGAAGAATACACCAGACATAAGACCATACCACAACCCCTTAAGACCCAAGTTCACATGGAATGCTAGAAAGAACCCAAGTGGCAACGATATTACATAATAAGAAATCATGTTAAGCACTGAACCCATTTTTTGTCTTCCTTGACCTCTTAATAATCCAGAACCAGCCACATTAAGACCATCAGCAAGTTGATTAATAGCCACTAGAATCAAGATTACATCAGAAATGGCAGTGACATTCTTATCTTTGGTGAAAACTCTACTCCAAATGTGTCTGAAGAAGAATACCACCAGGAAATCAAACATGGAGATGGCACTAGTGCATGCAAGGGCAATCTTGGTAACTTTAGCAGCACTTTTACCATCTTTACGACCAACATAGTGTCCAATACGGGTGGTGATTGTCACAGCAAATGCAAATGGCAATTGGAAAACAAGTGCACCAACACTTGAAGCAATAGATTGAGCAGCCAAAGAGTCGGTACCAAATTTAGCAGCAAGAATTGTCAAGACTTCAAAGGCTAAATATTCTGCTTCCACCATTATGACCCCAGGAAGAGCTAATTCTAACATTGGACCCCAATTAGTTAAGGCTGTACGTTCGAACCCATTCCAGCACTTCTTACCGTCAATAAAGCAAACATAACCCAAGATCATTAATGGCATGAGCCAATAGACAATTACAAGAGTAATTGGTGCACCAATGAATCCTAAACCGTAGGCGGGGTGCCAAACCAAGAGCCAATTCAAAATGAAGTTAATTGGAGCCACTGCTAAAAGAATATACGTGGTAGCATCAAAGATATGTTGAGCTTGTAAGAATCTCTTTCCTGTTTCAAAAAAGAGTAAGCCTGGAGCTCCAAAGGTAAGGATACGTAAATAAGTTTGGCACATCATAGCCAATTCCTTATCACCAACCAAGGTATATATAATAGGACATGAGAACCACCATATTGGAACCAATAGAACCAAGGTTATAACGAGCATAATGGCAGAACACCGTTGGAAATATAACCCAACCTTATGAGGCATTCCTGCCCCAAATGCTTGAGAACACAAGGCATCCAAACTTGTAGCCATACCTTGATAGATAGCCAATCCAGTGATATTGAAAGTAGTAATGGCTAAAGATACGGCAGCCAATTCCTTAGAACCAATTCGACCAGCTGCAAACACTGATAAAACTGAAACTAAGTATTGCAATAAGAACGTCACCACTAAGGGAAATGAAGACTTGATTATGAAGTGGATCTCACCCTTAGTATTGGCCACAGAAGTATCTTGTTCCTGTTCGATGGTGGCATACGAAACATGGTCCGTAGCTCCGATGAGGATCTCCTCGTCCCCAATCATGATTATTCTGGATTCTATAATGGGTTTTTCTGTTTCTTCCTTAGAGTTTTAAAAGGAATAGTTGGTATTTAAGAATGGCTCTTTGAAAGTTTGAGTTCACTTTTTATTAGTTCCCGATTGGGATGATCGCCGCTAGCGCGCCCCGTCCCAATTAGGAAGTGGATTGCGAGACCATATACCACAACCTCATCGTCATGGTCTAAAAAAATTATGGTAATTCCACTTCCAAATTAAGAGTCGTTGCAGCATATAGAAATGCTATTCAAAGGAATATTCGAAGTCTTGAAGGATGACCTTCAAATACGCTTCGGATATTTGTGGGTGTACGGGAAATTGGAGGTAAGGGTATTTCAAGTATATCTTTCAGTTTGTCTTCTGTATTAACAAAGTAAAAGTCTCCTGAACGATTGTGAATAACAATTGAACGGCTAGCAGGATTATATGAGACCAATACTGCATCTGAAGTAAGCTGAGGACATAAAACGGCCACTTCAAGGGTTTCTCCGGAAGATGGACTTTCTATTTTCAGAAAAGTAACTGAAAAATCGTACTTTTGACGTACAGACGTAGCAGTGGCAATTGGCTTTGTAGCTTTATGTTCTTCCTTTTTCATAGTCCGTGGTGTAGATATTTCTTCTATTAAAGGTCGCTTCTGAGGATCATTGTTGATATTTCTTAAATCTGGAAGAGGTAAATCACAATCTGCATCATCGGAATTAAACTTAATCTCTTCTATTAATCCCAAAGTCTCATTGCGTTGAAGCTCTTCAAGCTGAGACTTAAGATCACCACTGTCCATGTCTTCACTGGCTATAATGGTCTTTGACAATTCTCCCTTGTTCAACATCTTGGGTGTCGTGTACGCTCTCTCCAATTCCATGTCGTAAAGAAGCTCCACCGCTTCAATGCACCATTCAATAAGAATAAGCCGTAAATCCTTATTCACTTGAGCCCATTGGAAGCTTTGCAGGTTCATGCAACAATCGTAGACAACTGCTGGGACTCCCTTCTTATCTACTGATTGTTTTTCGGCAGAAACAACAAGAGGAATCTCCCATTGATTCTCCATAATTAGTGGGAACACCACAGCAGGATCAAACTCAACCGAAGGAAGTGGAACTTGAGGATCATGACATACGTTTATGAATGCCTTGGTCCCTGAAGTGAGAGTCCTCGACCCTAACACCTTTGTCTTCACTACAAACCCGGGCTTCGGGTCTAAGGTAGTTTCCGGTCCTGATGCCTGACGAAGCATGATTCAATGTATATGATGACTCAGTAAAGAAAGTGGTTTTTCATTTCATAGTTATTTGAGTCAACAATGATCGATGACTCCAATGATTCATTTAGGACATTGCACTACTTTCCAACAAAATTCAAAGCTTAATCTGAACCAACCCATAGTTCAACTAACGTTAGCTTTCATCTGTCAATTATCACTGTCTTTGTCAACAAGCTCAGAGATACGGCGCCTAAATCAGAAAGACAGCGCCGGAGGTAGAGTCAGAGTCACAGCCAATTTCTTCAAATGAACGTTCTTGTGTATTCAGGTCCAGGTACCACCAAGGAATCAGTCAAGCATTGTCTTGAGACTTTACGGTTACAACTCTCGCCACATTATGCGGTCGTGACTATTTCCGAGGCCGCCTTGATCAACGATCCATGGCAAACGAAATCATCTTGTTTGGTGATGCCAGGAGGTGCTGATCTACCATATTGTGAAGCTTTACGAGGTGAAGGAATAAAAAAAATTAACCAATTTGTTAGGAAAGGTGGTAAATACATTGGGTTCTGTGCTGGAGGGTACTTTGGATCATCTAGATGTGAATTTGAAGTTGGAAATCCTCTTATGGAAGTCAGTGGACCACGAGAATTGGGCTTTTTCCCCGGTGTAGCTAGAGGCTGCGCCTTCAAAGGGTTTGTATATGAATCTCACGAAGGAGCCAAGGCTCCTAAGTTGGCGGTGAACAAAGCGTTAGTTTCTTCTTTCCCCGGTGAATTTGTCAAGAATTATTATAATGGTGGGGCAACTTTTGTTGATGCTTCATCCTTCCCCAATGTTGAGGTTTTGGCAAGATACACTGATGTCTTGGATGTAGAGAGTCCTGATAACGCGGCCATTATCTTGTGTCAAGTTGGAAAGGGGAAAGCTTTGCTAACAGGAACACATCCTGAGTTTTCAGCTTCATTATTGAAAGCTGCTGAAACCGAAAAGGTCTTCAAAAGCATTATAAGTGAGTTAAAAGACCAGGAATTGGAAAGTACTTTATTTTTGAAAGGATTGTTAGAAAAACTTGGACTTAAAATCAATGAAAATTTAGAGGCGGGGATACCAGGTTTAACTCCGATTCATATTGTATCACCACTAGCTCCAGAAAGATCCCATTCCTTATATAAATCCATTCAAGATAAGGTGGAATTTGTCGATAATGCAAAGAACTCTGTTTTTGAAGACTTTACCAATACTTTCCATATATATAATGAAGCTTCTGATGATAGCATGCTTGATGACTCTAATGATCCTGCGGATTTAACTGATGTCAGTGTGAAGATCTACGATAAAGGTGGTCTTCCTGATGATAGATTGACTCCATATTTCAACTTGGACAAATATTTCCATGTCTTAGCTTCATTAGGAGGTCAGAACATCAAGGTGGGGTCCTTGCTTGGTTATGGTGAAGTGGTTACTTCAACAAACACCTTAATGGATAGCAACCAGACGTTCTTAGAAAACTTACCTCACGGTTTCACTTTAACTGCATCTGTTCAAGTGGCAGGTAAAGGTCGTGGAGGAAACGTGTGGGTTAATCCAAAAGGTGTTATGGCCACTTCCATCTTATTCAAGATTCCTGCTGACGAAAGACAATCATCTTCCGTTGTCACATTGCAATATTTGTGTGGACTTGCACTCATAGAGCTGATCTTAGGCTTTGGAAGTACTGATTCTGGTAGTGGGGTTGGATACGAAGACATTCCTATCCGAATTAAGTGGCCCAATGACTTATTTGTGATGAAACCCGAGTATTTCAATAGTATAGAAGATGGTCAGAATACCAGTGATACTGTTGATGGAGACGAGCAACGTTGGGTTAAGATTCTGGGTGCCCTTATCAAATCATTATATGTGAATAAGCAATTCCATCTTGTATGGGGAGGAGGAGTCAATGTTTCCAATGAAGCTCCTACCACATCGTTGAACCTTGTGTTAGCCAAGTTAAATGAGATTAGAGCTCATTCAGGTCTTCCAAGTTTACCTCCTTATGATCATGAATCATTGTTAGCCAAGTTGGTATTCACAATGGACAGTTTTTATGAGGTTTTCGCCAGATCGGGGTTGAGACCGTTCTTGCCTTTGTACTATAAGAGATGGTTCCATTCCGATCAAATTGTCGTGGTCCAGGATGATGCTCATAACAGCCGCAAATGTATCATCAAAGGTATTACCCCAGATTATGGAATGTTGGTTGCACACGATATCAGTAATAACCAAAGGTTGGAACTTCAACCTGATGGCAACTCATTTGATATTTTCAAAGGCTTAGTATATTCCAAGAAATAAAGCTATGGAGCCACCCTTCACATCAACGCCACTAATATGTACTTGGCCCAATTCAATTCTGTTCATAGTTATAGTTATCACCAACATCCAAATACGGTAGTAGCAACCGAGCGTGAACACAAAAGCGAACCACAAAATCAAACTCAGTTTGTCATACACTAAAACAAAACCAGTAAGTACGTCATTCTTCCGTCGTCGGAATAATAGTTTCTCCAACGAACCCAACTAGGCTAACGGCTTCCGTTAGAAGTAAATACAGTATAACTCAGACTCATGAAAGTAAAGATACGTCTGTGGCAAGGCGTTTCTACCTGGCATTGGCAGCTTCACGGTGAGAATGAACTCCGAGATCAAACACAAGAGGCCGATGAATTGTGTGGGATTTGTCGTGTGGCTTTCGATGGTACCTGTCCCAATTGCCTTATCCCTGGCGATAAATGTCCTGTTGTTCTCGGTCAAGGCTGCCAACACAACTTCCATTTGCATTGCATTCACAAATGGCTTGAGCAAAAAGCGTCTAAAGGACTATGTCCAATGTGCCGACAGATATTTACCTATATACGACAGCTGTATCAGGAAGGGAACTCCGCATATAGTGAGCTTCAGAGTTTGATTAATGATCACCAATTGATTCGCTCCACTGCCCATAATGTCAGTGCTGAGTATGAAGTTTTTGATGGGGAGTAAATATGAATGTATCAAAGATTTCATTCAACAATGGTATCCTAAACGGTTTGAAGATTATTCTGTTGACCATACTCTCTTGTGTTTTTATTGATTATTGAACCAATTGTTAAGTAACTTCAGAGGTTAAAGAATTCCCCATATATTCCTTAGTTGAGACTTAAAGCACCCCGTGTCAAGAAACATATAGAGCAGGCTCAAAGTATTCCATTTCACGCAACAAATAACACGAGAGCAGGGTATGGTTCGTGCCACTCGAAAGGAGCTAACAAACTCAGCTCAAGCCACGATGTCACCATTGCTACAAAGTATCGCTCTATGGCTTACCCCTCCCTATGTATAGTTCTTTAGAAGTATCCATACATTTACCGTTGCTTGTTTATATATCTCCTGCATAGTGTCTCGTCCCAAATAGGAAATGGCACTATTTTTCAAGCGATCCAATCGAATGGTACGACAACTGAACCTTTCCTTCTTCAATAGAGATGTTCATATTACCCCCAATTAGAGGTGCTTTGAAAGCAGCACCTATTTGGAGACGAACGAGTTTGGGTACCAAATGGTTGAGCACTACTTCGGTCCGGTTCTCCTCACAAAAGGAACAACCAATTGCATCTCCTCCTTCTAAGTCTAGGTCTAATACCAAGCCAATGACTTCATTAGAGATGGCCCGATCCAAATTTAAACCTGAGGAATTGGAAGCTGCAAGAATAGCTAGGGAGACATTGATCCAGAATACCCCATTATATCGAGTTTTACCTACGAAATGGATCCCCTATGCTGAATTGATGCGTCTAGAGAAACCTGGAGGAACTCATTTACTATTGATACCTTCATTATGGGGTATAACCATGGCTGCATATTCTATTCACGCTCCCTTAACCACAACTTTATCTGCCATAGGGTTATTCACCATTGGAGCAGTCATAATGCGTGGAGCCGGTTGTACCATCAACGATATTTGGGATAGAGATTTGGATAACCAAGTTGCAAGAACAATGGAACGTCCTATTACCAGTGGAAGAGTCTCTGTGGGTCAAGCAGTTACATTTTTAGCTGCAGAATGCTTTGCTGGATTGGCAGTTTTGCTTTCTCTTCCGTTTGAATGCTTTTATTTGGGTGCTTTATCACTTCCTTTCGTCTTCTCTTACCCTTTGTTCAAAAGATTCACCTACTACCCTCAAATCATGTTATCTATTACCTTCAGTTGGGGGTGTTTATTGGGGTTTCCAGCAGTGCATGCCCCATTGGATCTTTGGGTGGCTGTGCCTCTTTTCCTCACCAAATTCTTCTGGTCAATGTCGTACGATACAGTTTATGCCCATCAAGACAAATTGTATGATATCAAAGCTGGCATTAAGTCCACCGCTTTGAAATGGCAAGACAAGTCGAGATCTATCATCTATGGTATGACTGCTGTTCAATCTTCATTGTATGGATTTGCTGGTATCATGAACCATATGGGACCAGGGTTTTTTATCTTTGGTGCGTATGGGATGACCAGAATGTTCCTCAAACTTAGAAAGGTAAACCTTGATAACCCAGACGATTGTTGGAAGTTCTTCAATGATAATATCCGTACTGGATACATCTTATGGTTCGGTATCGTTGTTGACTATATCATGCAACTCTTGGGCTACTTGTAAATAGTACCACCATATTTATAATAATCGTAATACTAGCCTTATGGATCTCCACTTGTTTTAAACACTGACTCCAATTGTTGAAGCTGTCTAAGTCGTGCTTTCGCAAGTGACTTACGAATGCTTGTATCTTCGTGCTTAATGTTAAGTCCAATAATGCATTTATCAATATATGATACCACAAATGCAATGGGGGTATAATCAGGCAACATGCCTAACATTTCAGCTGGTGAAAAAAATTGTGTCCCGTACGTCAATACAAAGTGTCTTGTGTGTTCTAATGAGCTGTGTTGATCGGGCAGATTCTTCAAGTAATACTGGAGTATTTGCTGCAAATTAAATTGAACATTTTCTAACAAAGGTGATGGTTCTTTCCTCCAAGAATCTCCTTTAAGGTAGAAAGGCTTTAACGGAGAAGGGAACGTCCCGTGAATTGCGTAGAATTCTGCCGTTGAAAAATCATTGATTTGAAGAAGCTCAGCTACCTTGCTTGACACTGGCTCCTTTGTATTAGAAACAAGAGTTAAATAGTCAAACATAGACAAATCTAAAATTGGACCTTCTTCTTCCTTTGAGTTGGTAATCAATAGAAGCTCAAACACCTTGACGTAGCCAATAATGAAATCAGAGATCTCACTCTTTCCAGATTGGATGATAAGATAATCTATCCAGCCAACTTTGGGCCAAATGGTGTATTCTAAAGAGCACTCTAGATTAAAAGTGGCTCTGATAATTTCAAAGTTATTCTTGATGATCTCCAGGTCAAAATCTGTACTTATCTTCTTTGTGAGTTCCTGTAGTAGTTCATAAGCTAGAGAACGGTTTCCAGAGTCCTCTAGGAAACTGTTTTCAAGAAATTCTAGTCTTATAGCACCAAAGTCAAAACTATGGTTCTTCTTCAGGGCTAAGACATCCATTATGTGCTTGTGGATTGTCTGTTTATGAGGATCATTATGCTTTTTAATAAATTCAATACCTTCAGGAGGACTTAACTCTATCAATTCAAGTAATGCGTTCAGGTACTCTTTGAGATCACCTAATTCAGGTAAGATATCTAGAACCTTTTGCGTCAAATTCATGCTGTATTTCTTGTCTTGTATAACGGATTCCATGCTTAAATCCCTACATCTCGTAGACATGAGATCAAGGGACGTACGAATAATAGTTAATTCAAAAAATGACCTTCTTTCTGTCGATAACATTGGATCTTTCCTCGCCAATTCTGAAATGTATATGACGGCTAAAAAATAGCTCTTGGCTTGTAACTCGTTGAAAATGTCCATATTCTGTGGATACTTCTCAAAGTCCTTCCAAATATGACCATCTTCCTCGTCTATAAAAGCCAAGATTTCAGAGCTTGAATGGAAAGAATTGTAAACTGGAAAACGAAGAACAGACGACGCTTTATAATCTAATTGTTTGTATCCTGCTCTGCAGTAATCTTTGAAAAAGTGTTCGTTTTGGAAGGCACCTTTAACTCTGATCAAGAATGTTTGGATTCCTTTAAAAGTTAATGCATTTTCTTCTCCTGGAGGTTCAATGTCACATAAATAGAACACCAATGAAGAGCTAATAAGCAATTCTCCTGAAGGTTCAGCTGTAGATAATGCTATCTGAATTGCATTATCATAGTTATGCAAGTATAGGTAGGAGAGGAACACTATATGTAAGCAGTATACGTAAATGTTCGAGGAAACCGCTTGACTCTTCATATAGTTTTTAACTCTCAGTATAAACTCGAGATTGTTGTTGTTGTTGTTGTCAAAAAAGAGCTGCATTTGGGATTGTATCTCCATTAAGTTGTCCTCCTCAGCCATTATCCATATGCTGTTGTCATTGTAGAATGTTAGAACATCATTATGAGTAACCATATACAAGGGAGGGTTCTCCACTAATGTAGTATCATCTTTGAGGTTGACTTTTAAAAGTAGCTGGGAAACATCGTCATCAGGTGCCATGATACATTGTGATTTACCCAATTTGATGATTGGAAGAGGTCTTTGTTCTTTCTGTTGTGGTTCTTCTTGTCGTACTTCTTCATGTACTTCTTCCTGTACTTCTTCCTGTACTTCTTCCTGTACTTCTTCCTGTACTTCTTCCTGTACTTCTTCCTGTACTTCTTCCTGTACTTCTTCCTGTACTTCTTCCTGTACTTCTTCATGTACTTCTTCATGTACTTCTTCATGTACTTCTTCATTTACTTCTTCCTGTACTTCTTCATGTACTTCTTCATGTACTTCTTCATGTACTTCTTCATGTCCTTCTTCATGTACTTCTTCCTGTACTTCTTCCTGTACTTCTTCTTTTACATCCTCTGTGCCTGCTAATTGATCAGCAAAGAGATCAGATATATTTTCCTTCGATATAACAATCAAGTCTCTCAACGAACTCACCACGAGCTTTGACGTCCCTCTCTCCTTATTGGTGAATATCCCATAGACAAAGGCTCCCTTCACTACAATCCCACCGGTAGGATACCCCACGTCCACCCAGGAGAGGGTTCCCCTGGTGACATCGCCCAAGGAGTTGATGATCATGGCCATCGACATTGACTCGTCAGATTTGACAGTCAACAAGTACTCCTCCTTGCCCGAGTCAAAGGCCTTATATGCTATCATGAACGGCTTGGTCCGGTTCAGAGGCAGGGGTGAGTACTGGAACAAAGGGATCTTTCGTATTTGACGAATGTCGATGATGTCGTAGTTGGTTCTGTTAGCCACTATGGCCAAGTTACTGTAATTGGAAGTCATCGACAGTGAGATCAGGATCCCTCGAAGACTGTTGGGATAAGGGATCTCTTTGATCACATCAAGCTGGTCTTTACTTATTTGTATGATCTTTATATGAGTCGGAGTGAAGACAAGTAACTTGTCGTTTAACTTTGGGTGTAGGTGTGCGGGGCTCTGGCCCTGGCCCTGGCCATGGCCGTGGGTCAGCTGATCAACCCTGCCAGAGTACTCCAACAACAGCACATCTACCACGTGCTCCATCTTCCATTTTGAGTGGTACGGCGAGAGCTCAGGCAACGAGTACAACTTGAGTGTCCCGGCCACAAGGGCCATAAGCGTATTTATAGTCGGTAATATCAACAACTTGCGAACGCCACCCACAACGTCTGTTGTTGTTATTAGTGATATCATCATGTAACTACTGGCATCTTCAAACTGGTGATAGTGGACCAATCGCCCTTTGGTGGTGCCCACATAGAGATTGGCATCTAATGATTGGAAGGCAGTGATTGACTCTGAGTCATCGCTGGTATCTTCGCGGATGTTGGATATAACTAGTCGTTTTCGGAGTTCCTTCGGAGCTAATGATGTGTTTGGATCCATGGCGACTTCTGTAGCGACATTGAATTCATCCGAGTACTGCAACTGCTGCATTTCACGACATCATTGAGTGGTGATTGAGAGGTTTGAGATTTTCCGAATCTATGATCTCGACACCCGAACACCAACATATACCAATATGGAACATTTAAACAGTATTGAAGTGTTTTCCATATATAAAAGTGAACAGTAAATAGTGCGACATGTAGATGTATCAATTTGTGGGTACATTTATGTCTCCTATACTTTTTTCTACATAAATGTATTTATCCTCTGAAATATTGACCTAAGCTTGTTCGTTCTACTGCTGGTGTTAGGGTCTAAGAAATTGTATATCTATTTAAAGTTGCTTAAGCAAGTCAATGGTTGACTGACTAGCTGAAGGGTTTAATGGAGGAAACGCCAAGTTATCTCTATGGGCAATATACTCCGAATCAGCAAACCCCAATATCGATTCAATCTCTTTACTTTTATGACCTTTGATCATAGATATTTCCGTAGAACTGTAGTTGACCCTACAATGACCAACCTCAATGGCATCCACCACTGGTGATTCCCGCAGCGGAATAACTTTAATCAGTACGCATTCACTTTCATGGAACGATCCTTCTACGTCAAGGACACCTGCAGGTAAAAGCCCTGCTCTATTCTTCCGTGTAAGCGCTTCATAACACCCTTGATCGATAATCAAAGCTCCTCTTGTCTTCAACCCGTGAAGCAACCAGAATCTTCTATCAGATTTGATTTTGTTCATGCTAGGCAATCCCAAAAACCTTGTATGTAATGGAATGCTCTTATTGGCTATCTCCTTCTGGACAATGGCTATCTGTTCATCGACTTCCAACCCATTTGTTCTCAGAATGTTGCCGACAATATTGAGAATGCTTTGAGGTTGTGAAGAAAGACACACTATTGTCGTAACACCAACACTTGTGGCCAATTCAGCTGCAATAAGCTTTGTCGTCATACCACCGGTGCCCACTTGAGACCCTCCTCCACCAGATTCTGTACCTGATTCTGTCTTGACATGTAAATCATCAATACTACCAACCACCAAAATTGGTTGTGCATCCGGATTAACTCGAGGATTATCCGTGTACAAGCACTCCACATCAGTCATCAAGAATAAAAAGTCTGCATGAACCATAGCCGCCGTTATGGCTGAAAGAGTGTCATTATCACCGAATTTGATTTCTGCAACGGAAAGCGTATCGTTCTCATTGACAATAGGAATTACCCCCATTTCCAAAAGCTCATTCAAAGTATTGACAGCATTCCGATATTGTGTATAATCACTAATGTCGTTTCTGGTAATCAAAATCTGAGATATGGGTTGATTTAATTGTCTGAACAAATCGTCAAAAAGCGCTATAAGTCTCCCTTGTCCAATACTAGCCAACGCCTGTACCTTAGATAACTCAAGAGGCTTGGTTGCCATGCCTACTCTCTTCATTCCAAAAGCAATGGCTCCTGAAGATACCACAACTATGCGATGTCCCTGTCGACGTAACTTGACAATCGTCTCCACTATGAGTGCCATGTTGGCAAGCCGAGGCTCTCTGGTGTCCTCATCGACCAAAGATGATGTTCCGAGCTTCACCACTATAGTATAGGGCTTGAATCCGGTCATCTTTATTGGGTTGTGCAGTAAACGTTATAGTGTTGGTCTTCGATACTTTGAGTCATCGTGACAAAATCTTGATTTGGAAAATTGACCTGGCGCTACCACAAACACAAGATTTTTACGGATTAATTAAGGGGAATGTTATACCTAAAGTAAGGTGTGTGGTTTGCATCATAATAATATGTGGAATATATATTGATTAGGCATAATGACTAACTATAAGAATACACTATGGTATTGAGTAAGGGTACTTAAACAACTGAATTTTGCTTCGAAACAAAAAATATGTACTTCAAAATTTACACGGTAGATTTAGTTTTTCCGATACATGAAGAGACGTTAGAAAGCTGAATATTGACCAGCCACAAACATGAAGCAGGGACAGACTCCACAAGACCTCAGCCCTTTCCTGTAAAATCATCAAAAGTAGTTTAGCCTAATCAAGAATGATAAAATTTGTATAATCATAAACCCCCACAATCAGTTTCATAGTCAACTGCAGAAAACATAGCGAATCGCAAAGTTTAGTAATATCTGAGAACTTTGCGAGACCAAATGAGAAACTCCAGGCATTGTTCCGAGAATATGGTTAGCCAATAATTGTATTGCCATTCCCCCAGGAAAAATACTGCCTCACAAATTGTTTCTATTAATACACTTTAGGTAGTAACTACTCAGAAAATGATCTAAGGTAGTGTCGCTTGAACCCTTAAACCGAAATGGGGAGCGTAACTGTAAGCCCCGTATGAATTAGGAAATGAACCGCATATTACGATCCCGCAAAGTTTCTTCCGTAAAAAAGCACGTAATTCCTATTAAGAAAAGCATACAAAAAACTTCAGACAAATAAGTCTTCCTAAGGGTCGTACAGTTACAAAAACTGGGGAACTCCAAATTCTCTTGTTATACAGGTACACAAATTGGTGTGTTCGGAATGACGTCTTGATGCTCTTCCGAATATTCGTATCGTAAAATGCGCCGCTTACCCAGAGGTATTTACCCCATTATGTCATGCAATATTACCTTCATGTCTGGGATTGCTTTTATGAGTTACTCTTGAAACTCCCATACACGTTTGTGGGGAAATGTTCGTGCCCCATCTTGGCAGTTGTTCGTAACTTTTGCTGCAGATGAGTGATTGCAGGTTCGCAAATATTCGGAAAAATTAAATTCGCAAATACTTTCGCGAACAATAAGTAACTATTATGCGGACTCAGGGGGATATGCATAACGAAGTTATACACATAACTTGGTACTATTCGTGGTAGATCAATGATTACCACCAATGAATAACAAAATGAGGAGAAAGCAATGAATCAAGTAATTTTATCTTGAATGTGTGACTGCCTGTCTGATTGACTGAATCACTGAATGACTGTCGATCAAGTAAGTGGTAGCGGTTCCAGAAACAATTACGAAATACTTTGCCTATGACAAAGTGTTCAAATTCTTCCGAAGATCCTGTCAAGCCAAGTGCTCACACCAAAATGAAGTCCCCCATCTTTTTAGAAAGTCATTCACATTGTATGCGAGATGCACAACAATGTTATAACCCCAGAATATTTCTCTGCTTTGGAGATCATTGCGAAAATGTCTGGGGTTTTAGTGCTCCCCCACTTTTCCTCCCATCAGATTAATGTCTGAAATTTCATTGAAATCCAAACCCTATATAAACCCATCCACCCACCCCATTCCATAAAAAATTCAACATCTTTCTTACCATTACAACATCAACGTTCTTAGTCTACTTGTCAGTAGAATAATAACGGATAAATTAAATAGTAAAAAAAGAAAAGTCACCTCTTAAATATAATGACTGTCGACAACAAAGCCATCTGGTGGAAGAATGCCACCGTGTATCAAATCTGGCCCGCTTCTTACAAGGACTCCAACGGAGACGGTGTTGGTGATATTCCCGGGATCATTTCCACTTTGGACTATATCAAATCCATTGGTGTGGATGTTGTTTGGTTATCACCAATGTTTGACTCTCCTCAAGACGACATGGGATACGACATTTCCAATTATGAAGGTGTGTACCCCAAATACGGTACCCTTGAAGACATGGACAACTTGTTGAAGCAAGTCCACGACAGAGGTATGAAATTGATTTTGGATTTGGTCATCAACCACACTTCCAGTGAACATGATTGGTTCAAGGAATCCAGATCCTCCAAGACCAACCCTAAGAGAGACTGGTACATCTGGAAGAAGCCAAAGTACGATGCTGAAGGTAACAGACAACCTCCAAACAACTGGGGATCTTACTTTTCTGGTTCAGCTTGGAAATACGATGAAACCACCGATGAATACTACTTGCATTTGTTTGCTGAATCCCAACCTGATTTGAACTGGGAAAACGAAGAAACAAGACACGCCATCTATAACTCTGCCTTGAAGTTTTGGTTCGATAAAGGTGTTGATGGGTTCAGAATCGACACTGCAGGTATGTACTCCAAGGTTCAATCCTTCCCAGATGCTCCTATTGTGTTCCCAGACGTTGAGTTCCAACCATGTAAGGAATTCCATCAATCCGGTCCCAGAATCCATGAATTCCACAAGGAAATGTTCCAAACTGTCACCTCCAAATACGATGCCATGACAGTTGGAGAAGTCGGCCACTCAACACGTGAGGACTCCTTGAAGTATGTTTCTGCTAGTGAAAAGGAAATGAACATGATGTTTTTGTTTGACACTGTTGAAGTCGGCTCCGATATCGGTGACAGATTCAGATACCAGGGCTTCGAGCTTCCAGAATTGAAGGACGCTATCATTAGAGAATCCGAATTCACTGTGGGTACTGATGCTTGGTCTACCGTTTTCATTGAAAACCACGATCAACCCCGGTGTATTTCCCGTTTCGGTAACCCATCCAAGCAATGGAGAGTCCCCTCTGGTAAGGCTTTGGCTGCCTTGCAATCCACCTTGACAGGTACTTTGTTCATCTACCAAGGTCAAGAAATTGGTATGATCAACTTGCCAAAGGAGTGGGATATCAGTGAATACTTGGACATCAACACCATTAACTACTTCAAGGCTTGGTCCGAAAAGAACAAACCTACCGATGAAGGCTACCAAAAGAACCTCGATGTCTTATTGGCCAACATCAACTTGTTGGCCAGAGACAATGCTAGATCCCCAGTCCAATGGGATGACTCTGAATACGCTGGATTCTCCACTGGTAAACCATGGACCAGAGTCAATGACAACTACAAGGAGATCAACGTTGCCTCTCAAGTCAATGACCCCAACTCCTTGTTGAACTTCTGGAAGAAGATGTTGAGTGTCAGAAAGGAATACTCCCCAGCCTTAATCTACGGTAACTTGGAAGTCATTGACAAGGAAAGCAAGGAGAACTTTTCTTACTATAAGGTGAATGGTGATAACAAGGCTTTTGTCACCATTAACTTTACTGAGTCTCCCATTGAAGTTAAGAGCACTTCCTCCGACACTTTCAAGTCGGTGGTCTGTTCTGGTGACTCTCAAGAAGAATCTCTTGAACCAAAGGGTACTGTTTCTTTGGGTCCTTGGGAAGCTAAGGTCTTTGTCTCTGTTTAGATTTGACTAGTTGCAAAATGCTGCGAAATACTGCGACATTTGTTTTGCGACATGCCTTACACTGTTACGACATTTGGTGATGTTCTTTATACTAAAATTCTTATGTTTGCTTATAGATTATTATTATGATATTTTTCTGTTCCAGCCAATGGCCCTTGGGTCAGTGTAAATGGTATACCCATCATTCAACTCTTCAACCTTATCGTTCAACAAGAAGCCAAACAATACAACACAGTAACTCAAGATTAAGATAACTCCCTTGAAGTAGTTGGACTTGCCCTCAGCATAAACATAGATAAACAAGTAGATGGAGATCAATGTGGCTATAATGTCCCACCGAGGGAACACTAGCGCAAACATCTGTTCTACTTGATGGGTCCCACTATAAATAGTGTATAATACCAATGCTGGGATCTGAATCAACACAACTTGTAAAGCATAAGCACTTCCAATCTCAAGTGAAAGGGCAACGTTACCTCCTATGGCAAACAGAATGGCATTAAGAAACTCAGTGGTGTTCGGGACTAATGCAAACACCGTTAAACCTAAGAACTTGGGATTGATAGGGAACACAGACAACACAGAATCCACATTATCCACTAAGATTTCTGCAATGATGGCATATAATAACGTTGCACCCAATAAGATGATGACGGACTTGTTTCTAGACCAATTGGGTGCATCATGGCCCAGGGCTAGCTCATCGTTTTCTTCCTTCTTTTGTGGTAATGGCTCTGCAGGAGCAATCTTGACTCTGTTCCTAGACTTAATACCTTGCAACATTGGAGAATTAGCAAGGGATGAAGTGTATGAGGCTGTCATAGGTGTATTTTCTTTGGTATCCTTGAATATTCCAGATTTGAAGTTGGCCGAAGGAGGAAGCTCTAGACTTCTCATCGAAGGTCTTCCCAATGTAGTAGTAGCAGTAGCAGTAGCAGCAGGAGCGGTAGCTAATTGAAGAGGAGTGGTATCCATACTGGTAATACTTGGTGATCTTATTGGATCATTAATAGAATCCTTTTTGGTTACAGGCTCATGCAGTGTGGCCCATATTAAAGATGCATGGGTTCTCAAGGTAAAGAATAACCCGCATACATAGGCAATAAATAAACCTATAACCACAGCAATAGAGAATGGTTTAAGAACCCTTTCATATAACTCATCATAAGAGAACGTTGGCTGATAGAATCTGCATCTAGCACATTTATCAGCATTGGTTTCCAGAGTACACCCACTGCATCTTATCTCATACAGACCATAAATTTCATAAAAGATAGATGGTGCAAACATTATGACCATGGCAAACAACAACATGGTGGAAGAAACACCAGCCGAACGGGGGTTATACCTTTGAGTCTTACGTTTGAATGCACCTCCACACATAGATAACCCTGGTAAGAGTAAAACAGCACCCAAGATAGACCCAATCATGGACCCCTCAACCAACTTACCTTTGGATTGATCCAAGGCAACACAGTATAAGAAGATCTCAACAACAGTGGAGAAGAAGGCATTGATGACCGCACCAACACCCATGGAAGATTGAGCAGAAATAGAAGCAACGGCTTGTCCAATGAAGTATGCTAAAGGTATAATGGAGAACAAACACCCACTGAAAATGAACATAGGGTCTGTGATCTTCAATTGCAAGCCAAAGTGTTCCTTCAACAAATAATGATCCAAGATAACAAGGATAACAATCGATAGCAAGTTGATAAAGAAAATGTTAGTACCATCAATGGTGTACTTATAGTAATGGAATCCACAGCATCTATATGTACAAGCAATCAACAGTTGATGGAGTTTCTTATTATTTCTTTTGCTTTCCTCTAATTTTGTATAGTAGTTCTTTTCCATTTCATATTCTAATGCAAGTGGATGACGTCTGAGATGGTAGCAGATTGTAGAAGTAAGCTTAGCCATTGGGATCGTGAAGACGAAAAGATAACATAAGAGACTCACAAGAATGATAATGGGTTGCAAGATTCCATAGAACCAAATGTAAAACACTAAACGTCCTATTGACCATTTACCTCTCCCAAAAAATCTTACCTTGATATCAAACTCTTGATTATCATCATCATCGTCATCCACTGTTGTTGGTGGTATATCTGCTGAGGAGTACAGATTGTCGATGCTTCTACCTAAATGATCTTTCAATAGAGGTCTTGTTTCACCAGAACTGGTTGGACGTCTTGGAGGAGCATAAAATAATCTTCCTTCTTCTTGCATTCTCCACATATGAAATTCTGTAATGGAACGTCCTTCAAACTGGTCTTCGTCAATATAACGTTTGTCCTTGTTTAAAAGAACAAACTTCCCAAAGGGACGATTTAAAAACACCCCTAATCTTAGCAACACAAGAACATATGCCCTTGATTTGGGTTGAAGAGCAAACCCAGTGAATACAAACACAAATAAAGCACTTAAAATACACACAATGTTTAGGAATAACCCAAAGGTTATACACCAAATAAAGTTAGTCAAATATACTCCCCAATAGATGCTTTTAGTCGGTTTATGGGGGTCAAAATCATGGATATCCTCTTCAGCTCTGGCTGCAACAGATCTTTTCTTCTTATATAAAGAGGGTTTCCAGATCTTAATACCGAATGGATGAGTGGAGTTAATGGCATCTTGTCTTTCTCTCAAATTCAACAGCTCCAAAGTAGCTGACAGTGAAGTGGAATGAACAGAGTTGTTGTCGTCTAAATCTTCTCCTCCTTGGTTCTCTTCCAGCGTATCAACAGGACCGATTCCAGGAGATTTTACAGCAACAGGAGTACTTGAACCAAAGGAAGCACTGGAACCAACACCACCACCACTTCCTCCTATAGGTGAAGGGTCCATACGAGGAGATTCGACACCTTCAACTTCATGTATCAATTCACTAACCATTCTTGGAGGGTTTCGCTCTAGGTTCTCTAGTCTCTTAAGCTTCTCCTCTGCATCCTTGAGATTAATAAGGACAGCCCCCTCAGTACCACTGTTCAAAGGATGATGTGGACCGGCTGGTTCAGCATCGCCACTTCTCCGACTTTGCAAGAGCGACTTCAATGCATCGTTATACCCTTCTAAATATTGAACGTTATCCTTTAAGACGTCCTCTGCTTCGTCCAATTCTTCTTCATTGATATCATCATCTACAGAGTATATCAACTTGCAAGACGAAAGGTTATTGTTGATATTATTAATGTTGCCAGAAGTAGATATAGTACCTCCACCGCTGCCGGCTCCCGCTCCAGTCATTGAGGACAATCGTCTTAAATGAGGTCTAGACTTGTGCCTCTTCATCCTACTACTAGTTCCGCCAATTGACGAACCTTTACCAGCCGTATTAAACGTGCCCAAGCTAGCGCTTCGTGATAGTATCTTTCTATCCTTATCTATGTCCGTGCTGCTGTTCTTGGTTCCTGTTTGACTACTGGGTCCTGGTTGAGGATCCTCGATCATGGAAGACGACATTGTGTTTGGATCGCTGACATTGTTTTGCTTTTTGAAGCCCTCCGAAGATTCTTCTTCTCGTTGGACATGCTGTTGCTTCAGACCAGTACCCATCGATTCAGTAACCGTATGAGTAATAATTAGATGTATGTTCTTAAAAACTGTGAGTAGTTAAGGAGCTGTTTATAGAGGAAATTAATGGATTAAATAGCAGTCGTGTATGAACCTAATCTAATGGTAGCGCACAAGGAAACCCATAGTATGGAAGCCAACCCCACGTACCATACTATACCATATCATATCATACTACATATACATATACATATACATATACATATACATATACATATACATATACATATACATATACATATACATATACATATACATACACATATATATACTAGCTACCTAGTTTATGTCCCGTGCCTCTGAATGTAGTGTTGGTGTCTTTCGGCGTAGGACTCACTCCTGTAGACATACTACCATTAGTTACGGCACTCCGTCCACCAAGCTTAACAAAGCCATCCTTCAGGTGACGTCTGTTTAAAGAATTGATAGCGTTTCTCTTGTGATCCAACTGATCAAATGCACTATAGCTGGCATTATAGTTGACAGGGTATCTCAATACTTTATACAACCAGGCCGGGGCTTTAAGATACCCCAAATCCCAGATTGAATCATGATGGTAGTTGGCTTGTTGCGTATCCTGAACCACTCCACCGACACGTTGGACTCTAGAGCTTAGCTTTGCGTTATATTTGGAGTAACAACCAGGAAGCAAATTGTAAATGGGTATAGTACCAGATTGAATGCACAAATAGATATAGGCGGAAAGAATACCAACACAGTAATCGCCCAAGGGGACTCCAATCAAGAAATTCAAACCACCTTGAAGTATTGGTAAGTATACTCCTTCAATAGGAATTATACCCATGAAATTTATCACAGTATTCTTCAGGAATCGTGACCAAAGAAATATCACACACGATAACATCGACACAAACGGCATAGCACCCAATTGGAAAAAGGTGAATAACTCCTGAAAACTCAGTTCAAAATACCATCCCACTATTGAAAACAAATGAATAGTAGTACCACAAATCAATGTAAACCATAAGGCATCTGGGAAAATACTCTGGAACTTCCCATGACGACTCTCTAAATGTTTAGCAAACGTATAAAACAAATATACGTCCATTAAACTAGCCATCATGTTGGTTGTATCGACCACCAAAAAGGAAGTTAAAAATCGGTAACTATACTTGATTAAATGAACCACAGAAGAGAAGGCATTCAAGTTGTCCCCATTCTTGAAATGAAACCTAATAATCCAAATAAAGTAACCAAACGCACTGGGCTGGAAAAGTAAGTCTCCATAACTGACATATCCCCCACGTAATAGGAAGCAGAAAAATAACGTACTGAATGTGAAGAACCGTGTTACCGGAGGAATTGCCCGGATCGTATCTAAAATTGCCATTGAAAGACCGTAAACTTTAACTGGCTTAAGCCTCTAGGGTGCTAATAGGGATTGCACTGGATAAACTTGGATGCAATGGGTACAGCTTCGTTGAGACTTGACTTAAATATGATAATGGATAACCACTGAGTTGTGATGGCACCAATTGTGTAGTTACATGGTAGTAGTCAAGTTGTTCACAATTGTTGCTAGCGCGCGACTAGTAGGTGAAAGCGCTACCAAATCATTTTATGCTGGTTTGGTGTTTCGAGATAAGCTCGGCTGCTAACACTAATGTAACATATAACTTGCCATACGGGGTACTTACGCTTTTAAAGAGACGTTGAAATAAATAAAATAAGCGTATCAAATAGCACTTGGTAGTTATTTCAACAAATACTTTCAGTCATGGTACTGTCACATGACAATCACGTGACACAATTATACAGTCTTTTGACTTTGAAAGAGCAGAGATTAAGATTGACTTCAGTATTCTTATCCATATATAACTGACTGACCTTTTCGACTTGTAGCAACGGGCAGCTAGACTTGGTGAAATAATAATAATAACACAATATGAAGTTGGTAAGGTTTTTGATGAACCTTCCTCAAGCAACTAATGAGCCTATTACAGTTGAACTTAAGAATGGAAATACCGTAAGTGGCCAGTTACTCAACTGCAATCCATCTATGAACTTACTGTTGAAAAATGTCAAGTTAGTACAACCATATCAAGACTCACAGTTGCTACAATACATTAACATTCGAGGGAATCAGATTCGACAGATTCTTTTACCGGATGACATTAATATCGACTCCATCTTGGCGAAGAGCGCGTTTAAGTTGAAGGGAAATGGGGCTGGACCTGGTGCCAAAGTTGATACTCGAAGACCAAAGCCATTTAAGGGCCGTGGTGGTGGTTCTATGGGGGGTCGGAAAAGAGCTTTATAATATAATTCGTTCATTTACAGGTAACAAAAATGTATAATATGTATGATGAAAATATACAGAAAGATATTCATATAATAAATGTATTCTTACTATTACAAATATAAGGCTGTTTCGATATTACAATACATTACGTCAAAGCTTGTATCTTCTGCTGCATTCTATATACAAAAGGTTATTTCAGCAATACAAAGATTTATCAATGACTTAATACCAGGAACGTTCTCTTTGCTTCTTCTTCTCCAATTGCTTCTTGAATGAAGGTCTAGCCTTGATAATGGTTTCATCCATTGCATTCATAGCAGCCTTCCGTGTAGTAATCTTATCATCGAGTTCTCTCTCCCACTTATGTTTCTTTTGTCTCAACTGACCACGCATCCAGTTCTTATTCTCGTACTTATCTTCAAAGAACTTCTTACCTTGGGGCATAGGAGGTAACAATTCGTGGACTCCAAATTTATATGCTATCTTGTACAAGTCTGCGGACCGTCTCAAGGAGTATTTGGGACCGTGCCACCTGCCGTTTTCCGGATTTTTGTTGGGAAGGAAGGGATTCAGTTGAGCATCATTCACATTCGATGGCTCGGTAGCATATTGTGCAAATGGCCTGGGAGGATATTTGATGAAAAAGTTGTGCAACTTCTGTGGAAGCTTCTGGAACGCTTCTTTGGCACTTAACAAAGACGACATTCTTTGATTCTTTGTCTATTTATATATGAATCTCCTGTGATGCTTAGCCTAGTAGGTGGTGCACTGATTCTACATAGTCAAAAATTTTTCGTTGATAAAACTTTTGGTGAGAACTCTATATGCAGGTGCGAAAAATGGTATAAAGTATATCATTCATATCTTTTCTTACTTTCTTATTTTATAGTTACGCTAGATTGTTCATTTGAATACATATATAAAGATAAGCCTCAGCTCATAGAATTGATACCGTAAATAATTTACTAAATAGTAATTATTTATTCAGGACCACTAATAATACATTTGACTGCACCATTACCAGCTCTTACCAAGTCGTAAGCCTTGATAGCATCTTCCCATTTAAGTCTATGAGTAATCATTTTTTCAAAGTCAATTTCAGGCAGATTAGAAGCATAGTTTTGAGCTAAAATACCCACCGCTGTCTTATAATCACCATAGCCATATCTGAAGGTTCCAAATAGGGTCAATTCCTTATTACCAAACTCGGTTATAGGGAATGTGACATCACCAGGAGCATTTCCAACTTGAATATATTTCCCACCATGAGCCAAGCAGAAGACACCCATACGGATACATGGTTCTGCCCCTGTGCATTCCAATACAACGTTTGGTTCCTGACCCAATTCTTCAATTAATTTTTTGTAATCTCCGCCTGTTTTAGAGTTGAAGGTGTGAGTAGCAACACCCATTTCCTTAGCCATCTCTAACTTGTTATCAAAAATATCAACGATGATAACTTTAGAAGCACCAAACTTCTTAGCCACAGCAGCAGCCAATATACCAACAGGACCAGCACCGAAAACAGCCACAACATCACCAAACTTGATACCACCAACACGAGCAGCATGAACGCCAACAGACAATGGTTCAACAAGAGCACCCATTTCCAAAGTCACCTGCTCTGGTAACTTGACCAAGAAATCTTGGGGAGACTTGAAATATTTACATAAAGTACCTGGTGGGTTCTTACCATCTGCTGAAGGTGTAGCAGCAAAGCACATATGAGGACACAAGTTATATTTACCTTGTTTATATTCATCACTCAAACGAGATGGCACACCTGGTTCAATGGCCACATTATCACCTGGTTTAAGATCTTTTACTGCAGAACCAACTTCAACAACAGTACCTGAGGATTCATGTCCAAGAACCATGGGGGACTTCAAGACAAAGGGCCCAATCTTTCCATGAGCATAGTAATGGATATCAGAACCACAGATACCGGTTTTCTTCACTTGGACAAGAACATCGTGGGGATCAGTAATTGTGGGGGCATCATATGTTTCAAAGGTGATGTCGTCTACCTTGTTCAACACGAGGGAAGGGTTTGGAGTCATTGTTGTAGATGTTTTTTTGGGGATACTATCAGTTTACTCAATTGATACGATTAACACCAATTGTTAGTAGTAATTGACAATGAATGAACAAATGAAGCTCTTAGAATGTGCGCTTTCTTCCTTTAAATATCCTCTGTTCACTTTGTGCACGAACATGAGGTGATAACAAAAAAAGCGGGGGTAGTGTGGGAGTTTACGGAATATCCCTCTCAGCGGATGCGTTAAGCAAGGTACGTTCCTAGCCACTGCAGTTGTACTGCACTACTATATTACAGCAATTGGTCGTATTATTGCATGTCGTATGAGCTGTAGCCTTAAATTTTGGAATTGCTCTATCGCCGGATCCTATTGGCGAGAAAAATTCTAGAAGATTGCGAGGGAAGAACGGGGGCCAACATATGAGTGCACCAAAAACGTAATCCAATCCAATCCCTTTACTTTTTACCTTTTGAGTGTTCTCTTAACAAACACATGACTATGGTACGATTGCTATACCATATAGACAGTTTTATGAGCTTGTACCTCGCTCGTTAACTGTCCTTTGTGAATATTGCAATGTAGTTCCTAATGTTCCATTCGCGGGGGGGGGGGGGGGGGGGGGGGGGGGGGGGGGGGGGGGGGGGGGGGGGGGGGGGGGGGGGGGGGGGGGGGGGGGG